GCTATGCTATGCTATGCTATGCTATGCTATGCTATGCTATGCTATGCTATGCTATGCTATGCTATGCTATGCTATGCTATGCTATGCTATGCTATGCTATGCTATGCTATGCTATGCTATGCTATGCCAGCTTTGATTTCTTTGGACCCATTCGATCCATTGTATTACTTGGCGCCGTCCTAAGCACTACCCAAAATTTCAACGATGGTGTCTGAAACCCCAGTTTCTACCATAATGATTGACTGACTCAAACGACCGTATCACCTTTTCTACATGTTACATTGATGTCACGAAATATCCCCATGTATTATTAGCTGCATGATATTTTAAAAAGTAATACAGATCAGCTATTATTAAAATAGATAAAACCTATAATCCTAGTATCTTTATCGTTATCGTTCGTTTTTGAGATTCTCCAGTGCCGTGTCAATACCAGTTTGATTGCATTCCCAAAATTTGAGTCCACATCGTTTCAGTGGGCGTTGTCGATTGGACAATGCCACTGCCAAATCCGAATATCCACTGCGACTCCCCACAATGCAGGCCGCATTGGCCAATATCAAAATTTCCGCCCAAGCATCCAAATGTCCGGCCACCTTGGATTCTTCAAACCCCTTTTGATCCTCTCGACCGACATGGAGCAGTGTCATGTTCTTGGCCAGCACCACGGATTCAGGATCAAAGTCTCGAATCTTTTGTTTGGTGGCATCTTCGTCGGATGCTACATAGATCTTTGGTTTCGACTTTGGTTGTTGCTTCATTTGTTTTTTCGATTGCTTTTTCTGTTGTGAATCATCATTATCGTGATCGCCAAGTGTCATAGTCGTCGTCGTCGTCGTCGTCATCATCATCATCATGCCAGTTTGCAATTTCTTGGCACAGGAAAAGAATTGTTCCGGCACCTCCTCTCCAGCATGTCTTGGATGCTTACCCACATGCTTCTTGCCACTTCCCTTCCAAAACTCGGTAATAAAGGAAGAATCACCCGTCCGCACATGAACGGCAATGTAATCTTCCCCGTCGTTGTCGTTGTTGTTGTCGTTTTCAAGAGAGAGCAAAGCGTTGGCTCGTTCTTGGACGGCGGGCGTGAATTGAAAGAGGGTGTAAAATAAATCGTGCTGAGCTTCGAGGGAAAAGACATTGCCATAGGGTTCCAATAAATCTCCCAGCAGACTGGAAGAAGAAAAGTTTCCCCATGAATTCGTAGAGAGCCGCAGGATCAAACGGTTGTACAATAGAGGGGTCGTAGCAGTAGTGTTGGAATTCGAATTGGATTTGGGATTCTTGTACGCCAGTAAACCTGGATCTTGATTCACTTCATGAGCTTCTTGATTGTCCAGAATGAGCATTTGTTTACTATTATCCTCGTCTTCTTCTCCTCCTTGTTCTGCTTCCAAAAAGGAAGCGTTCCATAGAATGGGCCCCGCCGGAATCAACACTTGATGCAAATGGGTAGGCTCGTGATAGTCAATCAAGAGTACGCGATTTGTGCATAGGGCAAACAAAAAGGCTCCTAAAATTCCCTTGACGCGATCCCCAATGCCTCCCCCTGGATTGCTGTAAATAAGGAGCGGAGTAGTTCCCTGCTCTTTGATGACAATGCGACGATGATCATGACCAGCATCCAATTCCAATAAGCTGCTTCGATGCAGATCCAAATAGTCTTGCATTTTCCGACTCTTTTGCAACAGAATGGGCAAATTGGTGGTGGTGGTCATGGTGGTGGTGGTGGGTGATGATGATTGGGTCGCCTCACTACTACTTCTGCTTGTTGTTGTTGTTGTTGTTGTTGATGATGATGATTGGGATGGTGACGGCGATGACCTGAGATTAGAATTAGTACCAGTACTGCTACTACTACTACCAGTAGATGGTTTCGATGCTGGTAGTTTTGTTGTTGCTGTTGTTGTTGTGGATTCATCATTAGCTGGTCGTGGACATTTACCAAACAAACTACGATCTTGCGACCCAATGTGAATGAAAAATATTGTAATTATCACCCATTGAATCTGTTTGTGATATCTGCAAAGACTCATGATGCTGATGCTGATGCTGATGCATATACAACACTATATAACAAAATTGTATTTTAGGTCAAGCATAATGCTGATAAATAAAATGCGTACCGCTAAAACCGGGGGTTTCGGATTTTCAACAAAAATTGTGCCTCCCCCAAAAGCGGTTTTCGATCTAACGAGTCAACAAAATAAATCTCGAACTCGAACTCATCATCATCGAAAAAATTGAATATTCATCGATGGCGTACGTGTATATATAGATATACTCTATCATATGCTTCATATCAAGGACCATATAATTCAGCATAATATAAAAGCAAATGATAGTGCATTGATCTCATGGATGATCCAAGCAATGTCCAAGATGATAATAAGGGCATTATTATAATCAGCAGCATCCGACCTAATCCGACCAACAACAATAAGACGAAGAAGACTGTCAAATTCGCAATGTTCTTGATTGTCATTGGCGCCGCCTTTCATTATTATTATTGGCTATCGAATACAAGATCTACCCGTCTATCTTCCATATCCTCATTTATACAAGCCGGAGGGGGTAGTAGTAACAGTAAAAGTACAAGTAAAAGTAGAATTGGCAAGGTAGGACGAGGAGGAGAAGTATTGGATTACAACCGCAATAATAAGGAAGAGGAAGATACTACAATAAATGATGATGATGATGATGCTGATGATGATGCTCCCACAATCTTGCTCGTTCATTATCACAAGACGGGCAACAATTTCATTGCGGATTTGCTAATGGAAATTGATAGAACCTACAAGGCACAACGGCATGATTTGGCCATGAAGGATTTCGTTTTATTAAAACGAATGAAGAAAGAACAAGAGGCAAATAATAATAAGGAGCATCATGATGATGGTGATGATGATGATGATGAACAAGGTAATAATTACAACAATGACAACAACTTGAATGATGACGATGATGACTCCAATGAGAATAATGCGAATGTCACCTCCAAGCATTCAAAACGACGACGCCTCCGACTTTTGTCAAACGACGACGACGACGAGGATGACCAAACCAAAAGAAGCAGCAAAAAACAACAAACCATCAAGGGGTCGAACAAGGGGTCGAACATAGTGATAGAGGATGATGGTGGTGGTGGTGGTGAAAAGCAACAAATAAATCACAACAAGGCATCTGCAGTTGTGGTGGATGACGAAAGCAACTATTATGCCAGCAGCAAACCAAAAAGAAAGAAGAATACGACAAACCGAAACAAAGGTCAAGAAGCACTGGGTCAAGACCAAGCCAAAAAAGACGGATCTATTTCGTTATTACCAGACTTATTACCACCCAGAAAAAGAACACACAATCCAACGACTGGATGTCCTCATATGGGATCCGGACTGACATTGGGGGCTGCTTATCGATTGACGGCACCGGATTTCTTTTGTGATTTGAACCGAATGGTACCAGTACACGTACCAGCATTGAAGACTAGTAGCAAGAATTCTAGTACTAGTGGTACTAGTAGTACTAGTACTACTAGCAAACAACGAGAACAACAACAGGGCAGTGAAACAGAAGTGGACGTGGAACTGGACGGCATGGGCGGAACAAAGACGACTAAACTTCCTGAAAAACTTGCCTTTCCACCATGGGAGACCACCAAGATTGTTCACTTTGTGCGAGACCCTCTTGACATGGCCCTTTCCAATTATCTATACCATTCGCAGCGTCCAACTCCAGAGCATTGGGTTTTGGGCAGACATCTCAATCCATGTGCTACCAATGACGAATTCATTCAGTACATGTTGGATGAATTGACTACTGGCGGTAGCAACAACAGACCAATCATTAACATCACCAAGGACGAACTGGACCAAGTCAGTAAACTCTGCAAATACTACCGTCGAGATCATCCATTGCCCAATACCAAAGTCAATGTCACTCGAGCCTTTTATGGACTCTTGCTTCGTTTGCCTCCATTCGATGGATTACGGTTGGCCACGACCCAATTCCTCTTGGCCCAAAATCCAGAAAGTGGTGGGGACTTGCTCCGGATGCCCAACAATATCAAGAGACTACAAGAATGGGAAGACCAGCATGATGGTTTGGAATCGTCATTATCATTGTCATCATCATTGTCATCATCATTGTCATCAAACAATAAGAAGGAGAAGAAGAAGAAGAAGAAGAAGCAATCGTCGCATATTCTAACAGTCTCCATGGGAAACATTATGAAGGATATGGAGACAAGCATTCAAGAGATTTGTGATCTCATCTTTGGTCACATTTCAAATGTCACGGAACGATCGGAAATTGGTCAAGATATTGCCCATGCCATGGTGGCCACCTACACGGCCAAAGAAAAGGCTTCGGAAGAACTGTTGCGCATCAAATTGACCAACAATAAGGACAATGAGGATATAGACAATAATACCGATCAGACCAAGATGCTAGACGATCCAATTGCAATCGATGGGAATAACTCGACCATTAGAGAGGGAAGTCATGTCACTCAAGGATTAATGAATGCGACCGAGCGACGACTGCTCAAGGAACGACTAGAAAAGGATCCCATCCTTGGAAATATCCTGTTGCAACTTCGTGAGATTGTGAATTCAGCTATTGGGCGGTGATGATGATGGACATTATTATTATTATTATTATTATTCCAAAAGTTCTGCGGTGTGGTTATAATCCTCGTCCACAATGATAATCCCAATTCCCAATAATAGCAGCAAAGTAATCACTGTTGCTCTTGGTGTTCTTGCAACAGTGGCTCTTGCAGAGACTCCAAGACATTATTATTATTATCATCATCATTATCAGGTGGTGAGCATGGTTGGTCCCCATCAATATTTCCTGTCTGTTCCGTGTCGTTACTTCCTCGGTAGAGGACCAGTCCAAGAACAATGACGATCAAACCCAAAATGTCATTGATGCGCATCGGAGCGTACCCGGGCATGAACGGTAGACAGAATGCAAGGTTGCCCAGTGGCACCGTAATCGTTAGAGCCAAATACAAGAGACTTGCTGATCCGTGTTTTAGCAATAGCACTGAAAATACAGTGTACAGCACAATCAAGGCAAAATTTATATTCCATAGCCAAAAAGCCTTGCCGCATTCGTCGTCCAAATGACATCCTTGATCCACAGTTCCCCGACCATGATAGTAGCACTCCCATGCGTCCAGTAAATGTCTAGGAAGTTTGTGAGGTTTTATGGGTGGCGAAAAGAGTGGGGCCGCCACCACCGCAATGGCCAAGGAAAAGGGCAGTTGAAAGAATGCTGTCCAGCCATTCATGTAGAGTGGTTCGACTTCGACTTTAGCAAGTGTGATTTCCTTATACAGACTGGATAATGTCATGGGAATGCAGGATAAAATGACGGCCAGAGACCATATCATGCCCGTCCCTTGATCCGTCGACGCACCCGAGTCTTTGGTTGGTATCCATGTGCATAAGTGTATTACTATATCATCAGTGAATGCGTTATTGTCGTCAATCCCAATCATGACAGGCATGACATTTGTTAGCTTGGTAGTTTCATTATGAGACAAGCAGCCTTTTTGGGTGATTTCGTCTCGACAAATGTAGCAGAACTCGTCGACACCAAACTCTTGGAGATTGGTTTCACACACAAATCCTGTCGCGTTCGAAGTCATTGTCTTGTCTGGCATCAGCATGGGCTCCAGGACTAGAAATATACCCAAAATGACCACCAAAGCACCTCCATATTGAACTGACCGAAACCGTTTGTTTTGAAAATACCAAGAAAAGAGCATGCTAAAGGGAATGCAAGCCTGGGGCAAAAGGATTCGTAGTGGTCCCGAAATGTAGCAAGATGCAAATGTTTGCCTGTCAAGAGAAATACATGTATATATAGGAAGCAGAACATGAGATTGTACTCCATAAGGCTAACCAAATAATGCCATCAACTAACTTACACGCCGATCGAAAGGGTGTCCAACAATCCAAAGATGGCAAAGGTCCGCTTTGGAATCTGTCGTTGTTCCAAGGTAATCACTTCATCTCCATACCGAATCATCATGAACATTACATAGACAAAGGTCATGGCAACATACATAACAACGCCGTACAAATTGAGGAAGTTTGGATAGTTGTATAATGGGATTGCCTTTTTGTGAATGGAAACAAGACGTGAGTTTCACCCAAGTTTCAGAAACATCATTCGTCATCGATACAAAGTAAGAGGAGGTCACTTACCACAAGCTTGCCAAGCACTGAAACACCCGTTCCCACCAGCACCATGGAAATAAAGATCGAAGCAAGCTTTAGATTGTCCGCGGAAGTCTTTTGCTCATTGCTAGTGTTGTTGTTGTTGCTGTTGTTCTGATTGTGTGTCAGGTCATTATTGCTGACGTTTTCGTCATCCGCTTCAGTCATGTTTTCATGACGGACAGCTGTAGAATGATCCTCCTCTTGGTGGACTTCGTGGTGTTCCGTCAGCGGTGATGACGATGACGATGAAATTAGTGGCTCGGATAGAGAATCACTACTACCCAAAACAGCTTCAGATGATACGGAAGGTCGTGTCAATAAGGTATCAGGTTGCGTCATCCTGTATTCGGCTTTCTGTTGACTGAAGCAATCGTTCGCTTTGGCACAGGAACCTTTTATCTTCGTCTCTCTATCAATCTGTACCTGTTTTCTCGTAGCTACAATGATGTCAATTGTTGAAATCCAATTTGTTTCGAACTGAATTACTGGTAATGTATTGATTACAGAAGCAGGAAAAAAGAACTAAATTCTGAGAATACGGGTGTCGAAAGCAAATAACCACGGGCAATCCCGTCAATGACAAGAGTATCGCCCGTTTTATCATTCACTGCCCAAAAAGTATTAATGATATAGATACATGTACAGCAAGAGTAGGGTTGTATTCAATGGATTCCTTCTAAGGATAGCTTATTTCTATGATCGCATAGTATTATCTGATAGCTGGTCATATTATATAATAACAATAATAATACCAGTGCCGATCTATGTCGAGGGAGCAGTAGGTGCTGTGGTTGTAATAGTTGCAGCAGCAGGTGCTGGAGTAGCTGGTGCCGGTGTGACAGGAGGTGTCACGGGCACTGGGACTTCTATCGGGGTAGCGGTGCTAGCGGCTGGAGCGGGTGGAGGAGTAGCTGGGGGTGCTGTAGGTGTTGCTGAAGCTGGTGGCGGAGTTGCTGTTGTTTCAGGGACCGGAACTGGTGCTGGAGTGGCTGGAGTAGCTGGAACTGGAGCAGGAGTTGGGGCTGGAACTGGAACAGGTACTGGCTTGGGTAACTCTGTTACAGCCGGTACTGGTTTGGGTGCCTCCGTTGCGGGTGGGATGGGCGCCGGCACTGGCGCTGGAGTAGCTGGAACTGGCACTGGAGCTACCGGTGGTGGTGTGGCCAGAGGAGTAGAGACAGTGGCAGGTTCTGGAGCAGGCGATGGAGCTGGTGGCGTCGCTTCTGCTACTTTCTCTGCAACTTTATTGGAATCCACCACTGTCGAGGTTGCCGCTTCGAAATCAGCAATTCCCTTTTCCAATTCTTTCTCTGCCCGATCCAACAATTTCTCGGAATCACTATCCACTGCCTTTGCCATATCCTTAATCGCCACTTCTAGTTCTTCCACTGCCTTTTCGACCTTTGGCTTTTCCTGAGGACTGACTGCGCCTTCAATTTTCTGTTCTTTTCCTTCGATTTCTATCACTGCCTCCTGAACCTTTTTGACAGCTTGCTGTTCATCCTTCAACACGGTTTCCTTACTCAACGTTGGTGCTGCTGGAGTGGTCTTCTGTTCGTCAGTGCTCGCTTTGTTTTTGTTCTTTGACATTGTATCTAGCAAAAGTTGCTGGGGACCCAATCGTTCATTGATGGCAGCTCGCATCACGGCACCCGCCTTTTCCAAACGGACCAGCAATTCCGTGTAGGCGCTCTCTGGTGGTGGGGGTGGGGGAACAGCATGGAGCCGGGAGGATGAAGAAGCTGTTCGAGTTTTGAAGTGATGTGTCTGAGGAGAAAAGGCATCCACCGAGATGCTGCAGGCTGTCAAGAAGATCAGAAGTGATGATGTCGTCAGAAGTTTCATGTTGCTGAAAATTTATGATAGGAGAATTGAAAATTTGGAATAAGAGTAAGAATAGAGTGAAACTGCCTCCTAAGTAGATTGAATAGATTGAATGGGTCGATAATGCAATTCAGTGTAATGCTTGGAGATGGATGATATTGCGATTGTCTTTTGATTGGTTTGACGCACACACGTACATTACATCCTTCTCCGGATCGTCATTCAAGCTCGGGAATTCAAAAATCACCAATGAAATCTCACCTATGACGTCAGTCATTTCCAAAACTACAATATCATCGACTGCCTAATATGAGGAGTACTCAGTATTACGCGAGGCATCTTACATTACTTCATGTTGTTGTTTTTAAAAGGCATAACAGATGTGACTCTCACCGCCGCTAATGAATCTATCAATTTTTTCAAGAAGCTTATTACTTTACAAGTTTTACCGAGTTGTTGTTTAGTAGAGTTCAAACCAAAACAGTACGGTTTGAATGTTCCTTGGGTACCAGTGCACCCTTTACACAATCAGGGTCACACGCGGTTACATACAACAAATTGAGGAAGAAAAATGTGAGGCATCATCAGTAGCCCGAGTCACTCGTTAGTTTCTTTTTCCACCAAATAGGAAAAATCTGTTCAGCGAGTCTTTTCCCTTTTCTTCGTCAGGTACTACTTCTTGTTCTTCAGTCTCGGTCTCTTCTGGAGTTTCAACAGTCGTGGTGTTCTCTCCTACATCACCATCACGACCTCCAGCAGAACAGTAGTCAAATCCAGATACACCGAATCCTGTGCATCCAGGGACGTCTTCAAATTCGGCACGTTGGAAGCAGATCAAGTTACCGGCGCACTCTGCATCGGTGTCACAATCTCCTTGGCAGGCACCCAATGGAAAGGCAGAAGCAGGTTGACCGTTATCACCTCGGAAGTTCAGAGTATTGGCGGATGCTTGGATGCAGAAATCATCATCACCATTTCCAATTTGGAAGGCGTCACCAGAACATCCTGGAACTGAACGAGGTTCAAAGTCGCGTTGGAAACAAACCAATCCATTTTCACTGCACGAGAAGAGAGCGAGAGTAAGATTAACGCATGATAAGACGGAAAATCACTACGCTGTTGAAGATCTGTACGTACCAATCGGTATCTTCGTCACAATCACCGCGGCATCTGGCAAGATTGGGGGGACCTGTACCATCAAATCCTTCGTCATCATCTCCAAGATAAACGAGATCAGTTGGGCCTGGAGCGTAGCAGTAGTCGAATCCAGTGGCTCCTCTATCAGAACATCCAGTGACCGGGGCGTTATCATCGCGCTGTCTGCAAACCAAGTTTCCAGCACAGTCTGAACGAAGAATCAGATCACATTTGTCAGCAAAGGCTTCTGTAGATGTATCATGTCATCATTTGCAATATAGACCAGAAGACAACTTACCATCATCGTTATTACAATCGCCCTGGCACCTTTGCAATGGAAAAACACCGGCAGGAGTTTGGACGCCGTTGATGTCGTCACCCACGATGACCAAGCGATTTCCTGATGGAGGAACGCAGTAGTTTTCATTTCCGGTTCCAATCAAATCTGCGTTTCCAGAGCACCCAGAAATTGACGAGGTTCCTCTGTTGCGTTGCTGGCAAACAAGTCCAAAGGCACTGGAATAGAAGAAAACAAATGTGTTAGCAGTGTAGCAGTGAACCGTTCAATATTTTTTCTTCATCGCTAGGCCTAGCATTAAAAGAAACTTACCAATCTGTATCAGCATTGCAATCTCCTTGGCAACGTTGCAAGAAAAAGACTCCGAGCACTGGAACAAGTTGCAGCGGTGTCTGTGTTGGTGACATTGTTGGGGAGGTAGTAGGGCGCTTGGATGGCGAAGTGGTAGGCAAGTTTGTAGGATTTTCCGATGGGCTCATTGTTGGAACTGGTGTTGGTCCCAAACTAGGAGGGTTGCTAGGCGTATCAGTGGGTGGGGAACTAGGCGTATCGGAAGGCGCCATGCTAGTAGTAGGGCTAGAGGAAGGCGCCTTACTATCAGTTGGTGACAGCGATGGAATTGTAGAAGGAGTCTGCGTTGGCGACTTGGTAGGTGAAGTAGACGGCCGTCCGGTTGGAACTGGTGTAGGCGACTTGGTAGGGCTCAAACTCACAGAGGGGCTTTGAGTAGGAGATAGGGAAGAAGTTGGATTAGGTGTCGGTGGCACCGTCGGCTGTGGTGTTGGTACAGGTGTTGGTGGAGGAGTAGCAGTTGGCGGTGGCGTAGGGGGTGGTGGGGGTGGAGACATACTTCCGGTTTGAAGAACGCGGTTGAACCAATCGGCATTCTCACCGTCAATTTCCTTAGATAATAGATTACTATGGACTTCTCCATTGGTGCCGCTCAATAGCGCCGAGATGCAAATCCAAGTGAATACTTTCATCTTGCTAACGTTTCAAGAAGAGTCTTGAGACAGAAATGGATGAAAAAAGTGAAGGTTGAGTGAGGTGTCAAGCGATAACGAAGTGTGTGGCACGCTTGTCGTCTGTAAGTAAAATACAGATACTTCTGCAGGCCGATATTTTCTATAAATAAATATCGAAATTACCGGTAAAATCATCGCACAAACGGAAAAACGGTTGAAGGGTACAATGTCGAATAGAAGAATCGGAGTGACGAACATGGCGAGAGATATTAGAGCAATACCAATCAATCGTACTTGCAATGATGCTGTCAGCATTAGTATGTGCGGTGGCGAAAGGAATGAATCCAATCCATCTTGGATGGGATGGGTGGATTATGCCATCCATGCACCTCCTGATGGTCCCATTCCAGAGGATTGGCCTTCTGTAAACGAAATGAAAGTCCTTCTAAAGGCTACTGGTGAACAATGGGACAAGGGCGGTCTGGAATCACCATCCAAAGACGGGTACCTTCTGCCGCCTGGGTATGGCGACAGCGATGATGAGACTGCAGATGAGGCTATACGCCGACTTTGTGGAGACTGGCGTCGAATTCTGAGGAATGCTAGGGAAAGGGATCAACCGGACATGTACCCGTCTGCCGAATCTGATCTTCAAGAATTGTAAGGTTTGTTTTGTTTGTTCGGTCGACAGTAGACGAAGCTGGCAATGACCTTGCTTCAGTTTACACTCAGCGTCATGGATATGTGGAGGCTTTGGATATCGATCTCGTCCCTCAATCAGATTTTCCCATACTAATCCATTCTCTCAGTCTGTCGACAGGAAAGTCAGGATGCAATCATGAGGGGGCACCGATGCCACTAAAGATTCAGGTGGTAATTTTGCCTAAGAATCGAGTGTTTGGTGCCCATGCTCATCCAACCATAGAACTGGAATTGACTCTCCGGGGTGCCCTAAGAGAAGTACGCCTAGTGACAAATGGTACGTATTCTGCCAATGAAGAGAGACCACACGACCCCATCCGTGTTGCTAAACCATGCGTTTGCAGATGCATCAAAGCCTCTCTCAGTCCCTCACCGTGGGCCTTGGGAACTACGACCTGAAGGTAAGACAATGGTGGGCCCAAACTTTGCCGACAGTGGAGATCTTCGTTATGCCAACCTGCCGAATGGAGCACAATGGAAACACATGGAACCAGTCTGGGCCGGGAAATATCTGTTCAATGAGGTTGGCTCCGTTCATAAGTCGTATACGGGGCCTGAAGATGGTGCATTCATGGTACTGTGGGGAGGCATCCATGCCACTATGTCAGCAAACGACGAAGGAAGTGCCATTCCTAATTCTGATTTTCTGAACCTCGATCATATTACGAATGCAAATGGTGAACCGAAGCAATAGATACAAGTTATCAAAGGTATTTTTAGTAATTTACATAGATGCGGATGTACGAATGCTTCCGATGAATACCTTCTTGAATTCATCGAATGTCACATGGCCACTTTTCGTAAGGTCCAATACTCCAAGCACTTCCAGAATTTCAGCGTCGGTGATTTGTGGATTCCATTCTTTCATTAGCTTCCCGATCGAATCCTTGTCTAGAACTCCTTTTTTGTCAGAGTCCACTATTTGGAAGGCTTCTTCTGGTTTGTCATACGGGAATTCCTTCTTGAGTCGCCCGACAATGGCTTTCTTGAGTTCTCGTCGGAGTTGCAAATCTCGGATCGAATTCCTTACATTCTCGGACTCCGAATACAGTTTTCGGAAACTCTTTCCCGGAAGGGCTTGGGCAATACAGCCATCTTTGTCTACACAGACTGCATTGCAATTCCTTGATTGACCTGTGAGTACGGAATGTTCCCCGAAAACATTGCCAGGAGTGACGGACATGACCTGGATTCCATGGACAGTCAGATCGACCCTGCCGGTTTCCAATATGTACATTGAGTCTGTATCTCCTGTATCATCTTCTTCAAAGAAGCATTGGCCTTTGTCTCGCTCTGTTGGCTCCATATCCTGTTGAAACCGTAAGATGGTCTTGGCCCGATTTCGCTTGCGAATCTTATCCTTTTCCTTCAGAGTCAAATAGAGCCCAGTGTCAGCTGACTCGATGTACTTTTCAAAGTACTCTCTATTAATCTCCATAGCATGGACAGGTGTCGTGCACCGGACGGTTGCTGATCTTCTTCCTGTTGGATGGAGTAAGGCACCTTCTCCGAAAAAGTCACCTTGACTTCGCGTAGCCCAGGATCCGTCCGCTGTTTCTACTTCAATAGTTCCCGAATCGATGAAATACATGTGGTGCCCTTTGCTTCCTTCGCGGTACACTACATGGCCCGCTGGAAAATACTTGTTCTTCATGTTGTCGGACAAGAGATTCTGAAAGTCGGAGAGATTTATTTGCGGACCACCTTCCTCAGAGTCCAAATTAGGATCGAATTCATTGATATTCAGCGCCTTGAAAGATCTTTCTACCAGGCTTGTCTTTCGAAGCACAGCGTGATCATGAGAGTCTGAAAACTTGATGGCATCAGAAAAGAACCTTGCCTGAAGTTTCGTTTTGATGTGGCGGAATCTGGATAGCTTCTTGTCCGAACCAGCAATGATTGCTGTGGTGGCTGTTTCACCTCTGACCCACGGATGCTGCAGCATTTGAAATGCCGTCAGCCGTCTCCTTGGGTTCCGATGCATCAGTTTGGAAATCAAATCTTTTGCACTATCGGAGACGTGTCCCGTAATTTCGGGATCATTGATGGGAATTTTGTAGGCGGAATCCTTGATTCGCGTCTCGATTTCTTCATCCGATGCACTTCCTTCTATATCGTACGGATGCGCACCAGTGAGCATGATGAATAGAATCACCCCCAATCCCCACATGTCCGCAGATGCTTGAATAGGAACAGTCTTAAGAATTGATTCCGGTGGACAGTAGGCTGGTGTTGGGGCACCATAGACAGGTTTCACCTCTACATCATCGAAGTCGTTTGTGGGGTTCGTTATTTGTGAGCATCCAAAGTCTGCCAACTTGACCAAGGCGTCGTCTCGCCGAGTGGTTGTCAGCAAGATATTTTCCGGCTTGAGATCAGCATGGACCACTCCAATACCATGCAAGAAATTGAGAGCACTGGCAACTTCTCTCACTATGCGAGCGGCGTCCATTTCCGAATAAGCACCATTATCGATCAAGTGATCAAAGAGTTCGCCCCCTCCGATGTAATCTAGTAGGACGTAATAGGAGTCTTTGGAATCAAAGTGTTCTCGCAAGGAGCAGAGATGTGGATGTCCTCCTTTGCTTCGAATATACAACATGGCCCTCATCTCCTGCTGAAAGTTGACTGAATTTGTGTGTTTTTTTGGAATTTCCTTAAGTGCCACATCCTCGTTCGTGGCCTTGGAATTTGCAAGATATACGCTACCATACGCTCCTTTCCCTAACACTTTGCTCTTGTGCCATGTGTACTTTGATGAGAGTTCTGCTTTCGTCGAGAATTGTTCCATTTGTCGAACGGTTCTCTTCCGCTGGATGGCTGCTCGGTTCTTCGTGACACCAAAGGTAGGTTCACAGCCTGAAACCATTGGGGTGGGAAATGAAGGCACGAATCTGGAGATGAGTCCACTGGCGGGATCGGAACTGACGAATTGTCTGAATGATGAGGACTTCTTCCTTTCTTCAACATCGTTTTTCTCAGCTGTGCGTACAATTACCAAAGTAGAAGCAACTCCTGTCACGAGAGCTGCAGCCCATCGACTGTATTGCTTTAGAGGTAGGTTTGCCATGCTGATGCAGTATTATTCAGGTTGATTAATGAGTTATTATTCTGGTTGTGATTGGAGGCATCAACAAAAACTCGTCAGTATCCGGCATAGTATCAGAAGTCACAATACCGCGCAGAGTTTGCGCGACGTGGCTCCACGTGCAATGACACGTGCGTGGATACCAGAGCCGCGCACGATTGAAGGAGATGGCGTAGTCCTTCATCGTATGACCTCTCATTTGCCAAAGTTCAATTCATCATGCTGTACGGTGTACGGTACTACGTTACACCGACACCACGAACAGTTTAGTATTGCAAAAGCTAGACACATAGCTATGTAGTTTTACCCCTTTATACTACATGCTTTTTCCAGCCAAAACCCCGTCGGCAGATTCATAGCTCAGCATGCCCACGCGCTTCTTTTGTTTCATCTTTTCTCTCCTTTTCCTTCTTCGTTCCTTCCCATCCAAGCTAAGTCGCTCTGTGAACTGCGAAACCAACCTTGGTATTTGTTCGCTGATTCGCCGTGGATTCCCAGCCGTGTTTTGCCCTTTGGGTTTTTCAGTAGGGTTTGACTTGATCGAGAGGGAATTATCATCATCAGATAAAACGGCAACCTGACCAGCAAAGTTCACAGAAGAGACAGGAGCAAAAATCTGATTTGATCTCGGACCCTTGGATAAAACACTATCATCGTAATCATACGAGGCATCTTGATCTTCTTTGGCTGCAGAGATAGCAGCACCACTCTTCCTGACATTATTACCAGTTGCTTTCTCTTTGACTTCTTTTCTTTTGAAGAGTTGAAATGCTTTGGAGATGCCGCTGGTAATGTCTTTATCTTTCTGTGCATCGCCATTTTCTTGGGCATCTTGTGGGATATGAGCAGCTTTGATACTTTTGTTTTCGCCACCATCTTTGACAATCGGCACTACGCCGCTTTTGCCGTTGGTGACTCCGACGGTTGGCGAATCGACCCTGTCTTGCTTCTCTTGAGTGGCGCTGGCATCATTTTGTTCCCTGTCAATCTCCTTCCTTTCTTCGATAGGCTGATCCAAGTCGACTGTTACGTTGGAGATTGCATCTCCACCGTTCTGCTCATCATGCTTGTCTTCCTTCTCTAGAATGGCGCTGCCAACATTTGGTTGCACTTCGTTCTCAATTCCTTCTTTGACAGGTTCCTCCAAGTCCACTGTTTCGCTGGATATGGCATCTCCATCGTTCAAGGCATTGTCAGCGCTGCCCTCATTTCGCTCTTGTACTTCCTTGTTCATGTCAAAGACGATTGCCTCGTCCGATTTTTTCTCGGTGATATCATTTTCTTCTTCAATAGGTTTGATTGCGTTGCCAATTTCGTCAGCTGTTTGTCTATCATTCAGACCCACCCACATGTCTTCATCCAATTCAATTATGCTGCCAGTTTCTTTGTCAATAAATCGTGCTCCATCATAGGTAATGCCCATTTCTGAAACACCCGAAAATGTTGCGAGTTCGTTCGCATACACAAAGTCCTGTGGCGCTGACCCAGGAACTGATGGTAGAGCATCGTCAATATTCTCGTTGCGAATGATTTTGGGCGGCTGATTCGGCTTCTCGAACCACCTATTTCCCTTCATCCAATCATCAATGTTGCTTGATGATAGCGCTGACAACCGTAGCTTCATGATTGATTTGCCATTCATAGTTTTCAAGTCAAAATCTTCCTTTTTTGATGTATCTGCAACATGCTCCCATTTGACTCTCGCAAAGGTAGCACCTCCAGCACTTGGATCGTTTGCAGCAGCCGCACTCGCGTAGTACATGACGGTGCCCATTTTGTCCAATACAAAGTAGCGGTCATTCCATAGCTGTTTGTGCTTTCGACTTTGCTTTTGCAACCAGCCTTCGTGAACAACAGAGTTATTCTCATGCTGTTTTGTACCAAACCAATCGTCTACTGTGCAAATGGTAAGATCTGACAGTCGGAGTTGCATGATGGGTTCTCCTTGCTGTGTATGCAACTCAAAAGTGTCTTCGCTCCCCTCTTCAGGCTTCTGAAACTTAATTGCATGAAAGGCACAGCCACCATTTCTTGGATCATTCAAGTCGGAAGCATTCCGAAAGTAGATGACTGTACCATCCTTATACGACACAAAGTAGCGGTTCTTCCACAATGATTTCTTGTTGAATCTTCGCTTTTGCAGCCAGCCTTCAAAAATGACCTCGACATTTTGTGGCGCATTCGGATAGTGAGAAGGATCACGATGATTCACTCCTGGAGAAGCAATCAATTCGTGCCTCGATTTCTTCAGTTCATCCTTTAGGAGGGCGACTTCATCCGAAAGCTTTTTGTATTCCTGTAATGAAATGCTTTCAGCTGAGCCAACAACCATTGATTTCTTCAGTTCTTCTTTCAATACTTCCACTTCCTTGGATACCGCATTATATTCCATCACAGATACGGTTTCCTCATCACCATTCGGGCCTGAAGCCAGGGGGACACTTTTTAGCTTATGAGACGAAGAAACAGACCTCTTGTTACTGACATGAGGAGTCTCCAACTCATCATTCAACCCTGTAGACACATCATTCAAAACTGTTGACTCGTCATTCAAAACTGTAACGTAGTCGTGATGAGGAATAGGAGTTTGTGCAGTACTTGTACTCTGCCAATCTTCCATTTTGTTATCAGGGTCAAAGAAAGGGTGGCGCAGTACCTCCTTCATAGATGGGCGCATTGACTGGTCTCTCTGCAGAAGATATCGTAGCAGATCTTGCGTTGCATCATCTTCAATATGTTGTGCCAATGATGATTCCAAATCAATATCATTCCAATCCCATAGCCTTCGGAGGGAGTCACCATCTTCTATAGAATCTCGATAGTTCACTTTGAATAATGGGTGGCCAGTGCAGCATGCGTAGACAAGAACACCGAACGACCATGCATCCGCAGAAGCGGAAGCTGGAAGCAACTCGTATGGTAATCCTTCAGTTCTGGGAACAAACGAGCTTCCTTTTCTACCTTTGTCTGTAAGGTAGGCTTTAGTGACGCACCAAAGTTTTGTTGGCATGTGACTGATCTTGGGAGCTCGGCTTTCTTTGGTTTTGGCGCTTGCATTTCGATAGTAGTCTTTAAGTTGCTCGCAACCGCTGCTGTCGAGGATACCGTGGATCATCTCCGGGGGGAGAACGCCCGAGGACGCTTTCAAACCCAACGGTTCTGATCCGCTCCTTGCAGATGCTGCCATATCCGTAAGCTTGACATGTCCGTTCTGTCGCACAATCTTTGACATTCTCAAATTGCCATGGACAACTCCATTGTCATGTAGATGCGAGAGCGCTTTTGCAACCTCGTGCAAGAGTGATTTTACTTCAAGTCCAGTTGGTTTCTCAAAGCGATAGATTGCCTCTAAATTCCGATTGCCATGGGGAAGTACAATCAGATGGCAGTAGTCAGAGGGCGATTCGTCATTACTAAGGTGAGCCCCCAGAAAACCAGGAAGAGCGTCTGCCATTCCTGGTGTATCACGTTTGTCGTGATGTCGAAGAATCCGCAAGACATGCCTTCGGTCAAGATCCAAAGCATTTCTGTCGAGCTCCCGTTGGTACTGGTCCTCATACCGCAGAAACTTCAGCATGACTTTGCGTCCAAACTTTTCCGTGCAAAATGATAGAAATTGTTCCTTTGAAATCTCCCCTTGCTTCTTGTGGTCGATTTGCCGAAAATACTCCTCGCTTACTGCGAAAGAATTCTCCATCGGTATCAGCAGCAGGTCTTCCAGAGCGCGGCAAAACAATTCATCGTCTAATGTTTCTGCTAGAGACCACCGGTCAAAGCCTTCTGCATAGCACTCTTCCATCTCGTAATCCACTGCTTCTATCACGATGGCATTGTCCGACTTGCATACAACAGCTTCTTCCTGCAGGCTGTACCGGCCAAGGAACGAGAGCCGCTCTTGAAATGCTTGTAGAACAGGTGGTTTGGCAACTTTCAAAGCTGAGTTTCCAGAGAAATCCTTCGCAGTTGCCAGCCTCTGGACAGTTTCAACACTCGCTGCTTGTAAGTAATCATACAATGATTCGGCACTCTGATTATCCAGGTGATGGGACAGAAACTGTACAAATCCATTATCTTTCGCCTGGTTTGGGAACTTCGCTATAGCATCCAGCTCGACTAGCATGTATGCTGACTTGATTTCATCAAGAAGTTGGAGTTCATCTTCATTGCCCGACACGAGCTTTGAGGCATCCAGCGGAGCTTCAGAGTACATTTCCATAAGGCTAGCCATCTTTAGCTTCTCACCAACTTCATCCTCATACTGCACACGAATGTGCATCGCCAATGGCAAGTTATCGGGACCGGACAGATCAATCCACTCCAAATTGATACACTGCTCGAAGGCATTTTCTCCCAAGGTGTTCAGACCAGATGGCAACGTGATGTTGACCAGAGACTTGCAGGACATGAACGCTTCTTGACCAATCACTTTCAGGAGGTCGTTAAGTTGAACCTGCTGCAATTTAGTGCAAGCGTAAAAGGCAGAGTCACCAATCACCTGCACATTTTCAGACATAGCAATGGTCCGTAGCGCGGTACACGCTTCAAACGCTTCATCTCCGATAACTTCCAAATTGGTATTCAGAGATACCTTTCCAAGACTCGAGCACCCGAGGAAAGCTGCCCTTTCGATGATTCTGACGTTTCTCGGTAGGCTGATTTCAGTCAATGCTTCTGAATAGTAGAAGGCTTCTTCCCCGATTGAGGTCAAGCTGAGCGCCTCAGTGAGACCAACCTCCTGCAATTTCTCACATTGGACAAAGGCCTCTTTTGGCAGGTTTTCCACAGAGGTCCCTACGCGAACTTGTTTCATATCGGCCGGAACCATTTCGCCGGCACCTCCATTGTAGACATAGTATCCTGAAAAGTTGAGAGCAGCCCCGTCCACCAGGGTCAAGGTTCTGGGAGGGTGAACCGAAGTCAACGATTTACATCCAAAGAAAGCCTTTTCCCCGATCGACTGCAACGGTGTCGAGGACAGATTGACGTCTCGCAAGTTGCCACATCGATAGAAAGCATGTTTCTCAATTGTCTTGAGGTTGTTGGCATTTCGAAAGTCCACCTGCAACAGTTGGTGTCGATACATAAACGTCTTCTTCGGGATGGTTTCGCAATAGTCGCTGACTCTAACGTGGGTGACGTCTTCCGGAACAACAAACTGACCGCCGTCTTCGCCAGTGTAGACAAAAACCTTTGGATCCGCGCTTTTGGGATACGGGTTCAACTTGAAGCAGCCATAAAGAGCATTTCTGTCTATCCGATCAAACTCTTCAGGTAGACCAAGCTCGAGCAACGACTTACAGCCATAAAAGGCGTACTTTTCGATTCGTTGCAACGTTTCGGGACTCGCAAAGCTAGCCTTTCGCAACCCAATACATCCCAAAAAGGCTTCCTTGGCAATTACCTCGAGGTGCAGTGGGAAATGCATTTCCGTCAGGGCCTCGCATTTGTAGAAGGAAGCTTCTCCGATGGACTGTACTTGCGAGTCGGGTGGAAAGCTGACGGATTTCAATTGCTGGCAACTCTCAAAGGCTGCAGCTGGAATAGTGTTGGCTTCAGCAGCAATTTCGATACTCTCAACGTTGGGAGGAATCATGGCAATTGGTTGCTCTTTTTCTTCCTCTTCGTTGTTGGCCTCAGCTTCCTCTTCTTCTCCGTCCTCTTCGTCCTCCTCTCCTGAAGCTTCCTCGTCCTCTTCTTCGACTGGTTTGCTCTTCGCTTCAGCAGCAATTTCGATATCATCAACATTAGAAGCAATCTCGGCCTTTGAATGTTCCTTTTCTTCCCCTTCTTTATCGACAGTGGATTCTGCTTCATCTTCGGAGCTTTCTTCTTCGGCTGGATTGCTCTTGGTTTCAGCAGGAATTTCGATATTATCAACATTAGAAGGAATCATGGCCTTTGGTTGCTCCTTTCCTTCCTCTTCTTTATCGACAGTGGCTTCTGCTTCATCTTCAGCAGTAATTTCGATACTATCAACGTTGGAAGAAATCGTAGCCTTTGAATGCTCCTGTTCTTCCTCTTCTTTGTCGACCTCGCCTTTTTCTTCTTCTTCGACTAGATTGCTTTTGGCTTCAGCAGTGATTTCGATACTATCAACGTTGGAAGGAATCATGGCCTTTGAATGTTCCTGTTCTTCCTCTTGTTTGTCGGCCTCACCATTTTCGTCTTCGTCTTCGTCTTCCTCTTCTTCTTCGGGTGGATTGCTCTTGGCTCCGACAGGAATTTCGATACCATCAATGTTGGAAGGAATGGTCACCCCCTTTGCTTGCCCCATTTCTTCCGCTTCTTGGTCGGTCTCATCCTTTTCATCCTCTTCTTCCTCGCCGTCCTCTTCGGAACTTTCTTCTTCGCCATCTCCTTCTTCTTCTTCACCCGAACTTTCTTCCTCGCCCGAACTTTCTTCCTCGCCGGACGATCCCGAATCATTCTCGTCGACTTCACTATGATCTATTTCCTCGGCAGCAGCAGCAGCGGCGGCGTCAGTTTCAGTGGTTTCTGTGTTTGCGGCGGCGGCGGCGGCCTGTGCTGTCTCTTCCTTTGCGTCGTTGGCAGCTTGCCCCGCGTCTTTGGGTGACGTGTCGGCAGGTGTACCAGTGGATGATTCCTCCATTGGTGGTGTATTCGTATCCTCCTCAGGTTGTGTTTGCTCCATTTCGTTGCCGGTTTCGACATTGACGTTGGGAGGAGAATCACCATCATTTTGTATTTCGGTCTTGGCTTGTTCCGATGGTTCCTCCTCCTGGGAGTCTGGAATCTCGGCAAGGTCATTGCTAGCAGATTTATCTTCTGATGGCTCGACTACACCCTTTCCTTCCATTTCGTCATTGGTTTCGATATTGTTTTCGATATTGTCGTTGGGAGGAGAAGCATCATTCTTTTGTGCTTCGGTCTTGGCTTGTTCCAATGATTCTTTCTGAATTTCGAACGTTTCGGTTGGAACATTGCTAGCATTTTCATCTTCTGATGGCTCTACTCCACCCTTTGCTTCCATTTCGTTGTTGGTTCCGATATTGTTGTTGGAAGGCGAAGGAGAAGCTGTAATTTCATCAACAACACTTTCATCTTGTTGCGCTTCGTTCTTCTTTACATCACCACTCTCTTTTGATGACTCTCCTGCGGAACTTTTGACGATTACCCGTTTCGCTGCAGGCTTTGTTTCAGTTTCCTCCTCGTCCTCTTCAGAACTTTCTTCTTCTTCTGTTGATTCGTACGACGACCCTTCCTCTTCCGAGCTTTCTTCCTCGTCTGTGCTTTCCCATTCGCTGGATTCTTCGTCCTCCGCACCTTCTGTTTCCTCCTCGGACGATCCCGTCTCGTCATTACAAGTAGCTTTTGGTGGAGGTGTTATTGGCTTAGCAGCAGATGGTGCTCCGTTTGATTCCTTGGTCTCATTTTTGGTAGTGGCAGTGTCTTCACTTGCGTGATCTTTGGTTTGTTGCGGAGAGGAGACTTCTGCTGCTGCTGCTGCTGCTGCTGCCGGACTTTGTTGTTTTGGATTGGATGATGGTTCCGACGATGATGCTTCTTTGGTGTTGTTAGCAGGCGGTGCCTTCCCCTGATTCATGCTATTGCGTATCCGTTGTGGAACAAAATCATCTGTCAAAATATCCAGCAATGAATTGTCATCATCTGACAAGACAGCCGCGTTGATGCTTCGGACTTTTGATTTTTCGGAAGTCCTTAGTTTGCCAGATTTCCCATCGAGCTTGGCAATGGCGGGAACAGCTTTACCTTCTTCCGCCATTGGTTTTGAACTTTTCAGTCCAAGACTGAATCTCATTTGTGTTCAGTGTACAAGAGTACAATGCAGAATCAGGAGAAGAGGCGCGAATCAACAATCACAATACTGGGGCAGCCTCTGTCACGCAATGATATGTTGTTTTTGTTTTCCCCCTACCGTATTGAATCAAATGTGCTAGACTGTCGCTGTATGATACTCTCTCTGATGCCAATGTATTCGTGTGTATATATATACATATATATATTTATGAACAATTCCCCCTTGTTAGTGACTTTTACGTTGCAACAATGATCACGATGGACATGTCTCTCTACGATACTTCCAAATACGATATACCGGTAGATATTGCGTTCACCAAAAATAGCGAAACTCCGGGTCAGATCGCACCCGGGCACAATCACTACTCGCGCGCTAGTAAACGCGCGAGGCACAATAAAAATGACCATATTCAAATATTGAATAGACGCAAACTGCGTGAAGCAATAATAAGAGATACATACCGGAAGTCCAAGGATAGTAGTAAGAACTTTGCAACGGCGACATGGAATGCGACCCAGCTTGCATCTCAAGTCAATGAACATGGCGGCGAGATTGCAGACCAGCTGGAACGGATGCTTGAGCGCCAAAAGTATCAGATACGCCAAAACTATATCATTGGCTTGGGGTTCCCTCGACACAAGATGTGCTTCCGGGCAACAGCGCGGCACTCGCTTTCAAAGTCACTCTGTCAACAACAACCTTCAGCAGGTGGTCTTCGGTCGACATGAGGACCATGAAAAGGTGCAAATAAGGCTCAAAGAAAGGTATGGCTGAAGAAAATCGTTGATTCCATCGGCTGTAGGGGTAATGGGGCGCTATTTCTAACATGGGAAGTCAAGAAGTTGGTCCCACTCAACGATGAAGTAGAGGTTTTATTTGAAGGTCAGCGCTGCTTTTCGAGCGTTGCGGCTGAAAGTGGGTAGAAGTAGTGACCAGTTTCGTTGCACCGACGATTGCAATTCCCCCACCATGCTCTCCCGAATCGCAATTCTGGATTGTAGTTGTTGTGAAGATTGCGGATCTGAAGAATTGCCGGTGTTATCTGTTTCGAGAAGGCATCCGCCACTCTGTCGTCACAAATGACCTTGCCTTCAGCCAAGATTCACAAACCCAGTACCATATCTACCAGGTTGCCACAAGTAGGAGAGAAACACAATGCAAGAGGCATTCCCGGTTATAATACTATCACTCCACACGTCTAGCCTTCTCTTCATTGCAGTCGATGAGCCATCAATTTTAATACAGGCGCCTCCGGTGGAAATCCTAATCGCAATAGCTATATGTGCACAAATCGTAGTTCAAAGTATCCCGGTACGCAACACATACCGGTATAGCAAATCTACAGACCAGTAGCAAAGATACAGACTATATATTATCGCAAAAATATTGCTTTTGGCCCGATAAGTCGAGTCAGTCGACCGACCTTTTTCCGCCCCGACGCGAAGAAGACAAGACGACTGACTGACTGACTGACTGACTGACTGACTGACTGACTGACTGACTCATTTCGTTCAGGCAAAGAATGAAACGCGGTGAAATGACGAACCGCAATCCTATTAATTTTTTAATAAATCGCCCTTTTTTAAAATTATCGGTAATATATGCTGCGTGACCAGCCACCCTAATACGACTATTGCTTCAATCCTCTTCAATCCGAGCGAAGACTTGTTGTTTGACAACAAATAATACTCTGTTTTAATTGATGAATCAGCATCTTAAGGGAAGTGAGGATAACGACAAGGTCACGGATGATGACGACAAGAGTCCCAACATCTTGACCAAACAAATGCCGCCCAATGCTTCTGATCCCAAAGTCGCCGATTCCTTAATTGCCACTCAAATGGCTAAACTATCAGTCGCTGATCGAGAAAAGGCCTACATGGACGTTCATGGCATATCAGAAGATGCTCAAGAAACTCCTGAACTGATTCAGGAGAGTTTGGTGCTACTCCAACTTGAAATCGACATGTTGTCCGACAAGAAAGCCTACATCATTGCCGATCGACTGGATCCTAATTATACCCAGGATGGAGACTTTCGACTTGCGTTCCTTCGATGCGAGAGGTTCGATTGCCAAAAGGCAGCACTTCGGATCATACGACATTTTCAGACGAAACTGGATTTGTTTGGTGAGGATAAGCTTACAATGGACATTACTCAAGACGATTTGGATACGGACGACATGGATGTTCTGTACAGTGCCAATGGCCGTTTTCTGAATGCGTATGATAGCGGTGGAAGGATCATCAATTTTATAACGCGGGTGCCGAAGCTGTTCAAGACAGATGCGGTGGTAAGTCTTCTTCGCTACCGGTATATCGAGATATGCGGTTCTAGGTTGCTCCACTCTCGGTACAATCATTCGTCATGTGTACCATCAGTCCTTTGATCCAGCTCAACTAATTGCTTTCAGCTTCGAAAAGGTTTTTACAATATAATGACGTTGTTTCGTGACAACGCGGAGGTGCAACGGCGTGGAGCAGTTTCTGTCTGCTGGAGTGCTGGGAGTGCGAAAGGAACAAGTGGGGACAGTCCTGATCTCAATTGGAAACTGCCAAAGTTGCATGAAGGATCCCCCATGCGGATATCAGCAATTCACCTGTGCTTTACAGATGACACTTGGAGGGACAAACTCGCAATCGTGAGAGCCAGTTTGAACAAGCAGACATTAGTGCGTGCTCGGCTTATACATGGTACGATGCAAGACTGTATGCAACACCTACGGCGACATGGAATCGACCCAGCTTGCATCCCACTCAATGAACACGGGGAGATTTCAGACCATTTGGAACATTGTAATCAACTGGAACAACAGCGGATGCATGAACGTCTAAAGTATCCGATGCGTCATACGATTGGGGTCCCCGCGGCTCACGATGTGCTTCTCGGTAAAGGCACTCCCTTTCAAAATCACTGGGGTAACAAGAACCTTCGGCACATGGTCCTCGATCGATACAAGGAGTATGAAAAAGCAAAAAAAGGTATAAAGAAGGCTATTGCTTGCGAAATCGTTGATTCCATCAGGGGCACCGGAGGCTTATTTCTAAAGCAAGGTGAAAAGGAGTGGGTCCCAGTCAGCGATGAAGTAGCGATGACGAAAGTCAGCGCTGGTTTTCGAACGTTGCGGCTTAAGGGTGTGGCAAAGTAGTGGACCTTCGTGGGCTCTTGGTTGGGTGAGCTTATTTCGCCATTGCTACTTCGCGCCTAGGCCTTGCTTGGTATCGTTATTGTTGTGGAAGAATCACTGTTTTACTTTTAGGAGCATTTCGCTGAAGTTGTGTACAAATCTTGAGGAGAACTATAGCCGCGTCTCTTCTGAATGCTGCTCGTCTTCTTTCGGACGAAGGTGCCTCTCTGGAACCAAGGGGCACCTTTGGCATGTTCAAAACGACCCTGAACAAGTACCTTTTATATTGAGTGATACGTGCGTGCGCGCGAGATGATGGGAAAAACCGCATTTTGCGATCGAATTATTTTATCATATATCGCATCGCATGCACCTTAGCATGTGCCAATCCGTTGGATCCTATCCATAAGGTGCTTTAGTCCGATGCCATGTCGGGAATCTTCACCACTCACACACGGCTCTGGAACGGCCGGGAAATAGAAATTTAGCATACAATTCTTGGGAGTAAATATTGATTTTCCCGGCCGTCCCTGACGAAAATTGACCAACCGTTGATCGGCTCGTTTTTCTCTACCTAATATGCAGGGATGAATACTTTATTCCATCATAATATATTACTATATGCGTGCGGCTGTTATATTTACAAGCACGAAAATTCCAAGGTCTCGCCAAGGCAGGTACTAGAGCATATATATATACTACATACGGCCAACAAGAAGGGACGACTCATTCTTGCCACCTCAAGTATTGCATAATCTATTGCGTGCGCCTCAAATACACAATAATATAAGCATCAGCAACTATATGATTGTGTAGACAACAACCATAATGGCGGACCTGATTCAAGCGGTGAGGGGTGGAGATTGGAGGCTAGTAAAAGAATTGCTGGATGCTGGAGGAAATGCGAATCAACCGGATGAAAAGTTCAGCACACCAGCCTTGCACATTGCCATCTATGGGATACGCAAGGAAAATATTTTTGATTTATCGATTATTGAATTATTGATCGATTATGGTGCAGATGTGAATGCCAGGGATCATAATTGTAGGAATTGGACGCCAATACATTCAGCGTGTGAGTAATCTTGTGACGACATTGTTGGATTGCTATTGGATAATGGGGTCAATTTGGAAGCAACGGACTGCTGGGGATGGACTCCACTGTTCACTGCCTGCACCACATATGATGGACGTCTTGTGAAACTATTGTTGGATCGAGGTGCCAATATACAAGCGACGACCAGTGCTGGAGAAGCAATGGAGTCTCGAGACTCCATTGCTTCACGCAGTCTCCGGAGATTATTTCGAACCCACTCAGGCCTTACTATATCGAGATGCGAATCTGGACGTATGGGACGCTGTTGGCGATGCACCCTTGCATATTGCATGCGCTCGAAACCGTCCCTGGCATATGGGAATGTTACTGGACCATGGAGGTAGCGTGGAGGCAAGAAATATCAAAGGCAATACACCTTTGCATTCGGTTTGTCGAAGCAATGACTTTATTGACATTTTAATGGTAACGTCGACAGCGACAATGGTAACCTTGAAGTTGATGGGAAAACTCATGCATTGATTGACTGGGGTGCCAACATGGAAGCACGGAACGCTGATGGTCGTACACCTTTGCATGTGGCAACCAATCTGAATGCTGCTCGTGCTCTTTTGGATCGAGGTGCCGGTTTGGAATCAAGGGACAACAATGGCAATACACCTTTGCATATTTCATGTTCCGAAGGCAAGATGGATTTCGTTCGTCTGCTATTGGACCAAGGAGCTGATTTGGAAGCGACGAACAATATGGGATGCGGACCGTTGCATTTTGCAGCTGTCGCCGGGTGTATCAATGCTGCTCAAGTCCTCTTGGATCGGCGTGCTGTAACAGATGCCACGACACTTGCCAGGACAACACCACTTTTCTTCGCATGTCAAAAGGGCCGTGTGGAGATGGTCTGGCTGCTTGTGAGGCAATATCCATGGCTTATTGATGGACAGACATACAGTGATGCAAGTAATCGCAATCCTAATGCCTGTCACTATAGTACTGCATCGTAGGAGAAGTAATAGTCAGGCAATTTATATCATGGCATAATCATAATACGGGTGGGTATACGCTATTCTATCCTTGTTCCAACGACACCGTCACAAATAGTCATCGATGACGGACAGCTGTCGAACCAAGAGGTGGACCAAACGTCGGACAGGTATACCGGTACCACACTATAACCGATTCCGTTGGAACTTATGTATATGTAATATGTTTGTTGGGTCTGGTGCCATAGCGGGAATTTTCTTCATCACACATTGCACTTACGAAAAGTGCCCGAACCGTTGATTGATTCATAACGCAGCGGGGGAGGGGGGGGGGACTGCCAACCACCAGTGCCGCAGACATAAAGTGGTACAGTAAAGTTTCAGTGATGCCCAAGTTTTCCAGCAGACGTACTACGCCAAAAATAAACGACTGACTCACACACATCCCCTGTAGGGGGCGGTATACATTGTTCCAATCCCATATTATATGCTTACTTTATTGACCCGGATGACATGGTTCGGGTTTTCATGTGATTGTCTTCTTCATCAAATTTAAATTCGAATTTCACCATTTATTATCATCCAATATCATTTTTTAAAATATAGTATACATGAACCATGGACGACGAAGAACTGACCGAATGGATCATGATGGGCGACTTGAGCGAAGTAACGAAGTTACTGGATGATGGAGTAGACCCTGATCAACTGGAGGATGAAGAGACATATATGTCACCCTTGATTTTTGCCTGCGAATACCAACATGTGGATATTGCCAAACTCTTGGTGCATCACGGTGCCGATGTGAATGCCAGGGATTGTCGTGGTTGGACGCCATTGCATTATGCATGTTATAGGTCGAATCTGCCAATCGCTGAAACGCTGTTGGATAAGGGAGCTGATGTGGAAGCAACGGATAGGGATGGATGGACTCCTTTGTTCCTTGCCTCCAGAAAGGAGTTTGTGCAATTGTTATTGGATAATGGTGCCAATATTAGAGCAAGGTGCAACGAGGGATTCACTCCATTGGACCAAGCATTGCACTTTAATTGTTTCGAAAGCGCCAAACTCTTGCGACGTCGAGGTGGTTGATAGTATTTTTATTTAGTCGTTGGACAATGATGGTACAGTACCCAATCATTGCAACTGCACTATCAGAAAATTTTAAAGCTGGTTTACTCTTTTAGCCGCTTCCTCACATCACGTCAGATGGTAGTATTGCAAAGGGTGTTCGTAGTATGAGAACGACGGCTAGTCTTGGCCTTGGAAGAAGAAGGGAGGACCGAGGAGGACCACGAACCAGAATTATTCATTCATTTTGTGTTCTACTGTCAATCTTCGTACTTTAGTTCAACAATCGTGAATACCCATCTGTTTGGTTTTAAGATGCAATTACAGGAGTGAGTCTCCACGAGAGTGATCGCATCAAACGCTTTCACCGGTCGTATCATCCATCGATCGTTGCAATGGATGATTGATTTTAAAAACCGCAATATTTTGTGACGTCCCTTCAGTTTGGAAATTATGGGTCTGCCGCCGCAAGCTTGACACCAGCTCTAAGTAAAACTGATGCAGGCGTGACACCTTATCTAAGTAAATCCAGAGGAGAAGGATTTCAAAAATGGAATTACGTGGCACACGAATCCGAAAACCGAACAAGTTCTTATTTTTGTCAGAATCTTTGGAAGTTCAAAAAGAAAAAAATTGAAGAGATCGAACGAAGTCTCACAAATTTACCGCAACAATCATTATTGCATCATCATCCCACTTATCCAACAAGATGTCACGATCCACCAACCCTTCCACCATCCTCCTTCCTTCCTCGCTACTTCTTCTCCTATTGTTCCTCATTGGACAAGAAACTTCAGCTCTCCTAATCCCGACACCACCATCTCTAAAGAATTCAGCAGTTTCTCAACGAGCTTCTGTTAGTTCCTTGTCCCTTTGTCCTGGAGAAGGTAACAAGCTTGTCGATGCCTATAACCAGGCAGTCGTAGCATCCAAGGTGGAAGCCGAGGATGATGTCGTGCTTGTGCTACAACAACGAGATGACGAACCAGACACTTCCGATGAAGCTGCAGCCGCAGTCGCAACACCACCCGCTGGTATCATTCATCGCATCAAACATGCCTTGGAAATCGTTGCAACAACAACAACTAGTACTGCTGAAGCATCACCAAAGGACCAACAACAAGAATTGCTTCCATAGGAAACAAGAACGACCACTATAATGTCATCGAATCCTGATGATGATCATCCAGAGATGAAAGACGATACCACTAGACCGTCGTTGGTAGTCTGAAGCAGCCGCTGTCAGGGCTGCTGAGAAAACCCTGTTTATATTTGTTTACATACATACATCCAAAAGGGGAAAAAAGAAGTACAACAACAATTCATTCCATAACAATCACAGCTCACACACGAATCAACCAAATCAAGCATCCAATCATCCAAAATACAGTGTAAGACTTAAGCCACGAATCAATCAATCCATCTATCAATCCTCAACACAATAATTCAGATAGACTTCAACTTTTCCTTATTAATCAAAAGCATTCATGCAACCATTCATTCATCCAAAATAAGAGAGAAATACTGTAGTACTATGACTATTGTAATCCTAGTATATGCCACGAATCAATAATAATGATCCTCGAATTTCTACCCACCGCAATATAATTCAGATAAAGTATAATATAAAAGGGTTTCCTTTTTAAAAAGTTCATACATCATGCTGCCTATGCTGTTGTGATTGTAATAGTATTCGGTGCAACTTGCTGGAGCAGTATAGGCATACCTACCTCTAGTAGCTGATGAATCATTCGATTCATATCGTTCGTTATTCGGCTTATTCGGCTATGTCGCAAGAGGTACGGCATCCGAGTATAGCGGGAAAACGTTGGTTTGAAGCTATATTTTATACTTCCACCATGAATCAAAACCTTTGCTACAAAATACTACTGTCTTTCTAGTAAAATACAAAGTATTACGTTTTACTTCTAGGATTCTATTGGAACTCATCATCATCATCGTCATCATGATACCGGTAGATCATCATCGCATGTACATATGTATGATACATGTTAGATTCCATGCGAACCGCAGTGATTCAAATTTGACCGTTATTGGCCAAGTAAGTAATGTTGACATTCTCGCTCTTGATGGAAAGAGTATCGTATCGAATGCTCTTTGTAATGGCATATCCCGTAAAGTCATTGAACAATTCCACCGACATTTTTTGTCCCTTGGTCTTTTCGGCACCCTTTAGGTCCATAAAGGCACGAAAAGTGGCGAGTCCGTGTGGCGTGTGATGGGATTGCCGCGCTTCGCCAGGCCTTCTCGACTTGGCCGCTGTCTCCCACCGCCCCACACTTCGATCTCTTGTCCTCCATCCGCGAGGCCCTCCGAGTTTCCAACATATCCTGGGCCAAACAACACGTGCTTCGTCGCACATGCTGCTCCAAGCAAATCGAGCGCGGCCCTGTTTGCAAGCTGGTTTGTACACCATGACCTTTTTGATGCCTTTGATGGCGAGTTGTTTGACATTGTAGGCCTGCACTTTGGTCTTGGCGGGGTCGATGGGTTTGGGAAGTTGCTTTTCCAATTCGACAATGCGCTTGTCCCGTTTCTGCAACTCGGCAATGAGTTGTTTCATGGTCAGCTCGTCGTACGACTTTTTGGTGGTAGTACTAGTACTAGTACTAGTACTAGTACTACTAGTATTAGTGGTTGCTGTTGCTGTTGCTGTTGCTGCTGGGCTCATCCTGATATGGAATTGGAAGAGAGTATACTACGCTGCTGTTATTGTTTGGGCAAAGAATTGTATATGATTTTCCTTTTTGGATACCTGTAGCTTATTTCACAGGAAATCTTGATTGAAATTCTGTCGTAGTATATATATATCCGGAATCATATTATTCAACGTGAAAACGCTGGCAAAAACAGTGTTACAGATTACGTACTGCAGTGATCGCCGTCTTATTCCTCCAAGCATCAAACTCTGCCATGCGCCTCTCGGCTTGCTCAATTGATCGAAGTATTTGATGGCTACTGAGAGATTGTATTCGCTTAACTTCATACTTCTGAAAGACATCCAACAACGGTGTCCCAAAGAACAAGTCTTTAACAGGAGCCGGCAATTGCCCCGTAAATGGTTTTACCTCGAATGCGGAACAAGACTTGCGACTTCGACAGCTCCCGCAACTCTGACCTGCCAAGGAAATCTTACGATGGTGAATTTCACTGACCAGCAATTCCGCTCGCTCATAGTCTTGTAATCCTATTTTCTGCTTCAGCACTTGGCGGCTTGTTTGGCTATGTCGTTTCTTAGCTTGCTGTTGATTTCTTAAATGATACAAAACAACTCTCATTCTGGACTCCAATGTCTGTAAATCACAATAACTTTCAAAGGAAATAGCCGACTTATACAATCTCTTTTCTAGCATGCACGCCAATTTCCATATGCTGAAATTCGACATGTCAGACTTTTTATCTTGGGTTCTGAGACACAACTCACTGCAGATGGAAGGAATAGAGTAGAGTGACGGAAGCGCGATATCGTTGGCACATATCCAGCAAAATACAGTGAACGATTCACTCAATGAAATGCAAAATACGTACAGCAATTTTGTTATTTCCGATCTCATCTTGGACTCATCTCTTTCCACCCTTTGTAGCTCAGCATTGGGGGTCAAACAATTATCCGAGCTACTGTTAGGAGTGATTTTGCTAGAACAAGTTGGTTCAAATTGCTCCATGTGGTGCTTTTAGTGTTAGTGCTGGACACGCGGTTCAGTCCTGCACAATGACTACAGGGTCAGATGCGGGAGCGGGAGCAATACACCCTTTCGTCGAGTTTGTTCGAAGTTGCTCAGATGTTAACCAAACGTGTCTGATCTTTGGTTGAGAGCTACCGTTGTTTATTAGCACGCATTTAGATGTGCATCGCTTTTGGCTCTGCCGTTTCGCCAAATTGTTTGTGGGGTTCAATCCTGTATACAGGTTAGGTAGCAGGCAGGTGAAAGGAGATTACGAAGCAATAAGTTTCGCCTGATGTGGACTGCTGACCGTACTGCAGGTACGCATTCGTAAATTGTCGATTTCGTCCACGTCGACTGTATCCTACTTGATCAGATGTGGAAGTCTAGTACCAAGAACTGAAAAGTTCAGAAGTGACGAATGGTTGGAGTATAGCTTGAGCTAAGCTAAGGGCTGAGATATTGATTTAATCGCTTTTTAAAAAGATTTAATTATAATACGAGTACCGGTAGGTCCCTAAAGGAGCGAGACTGCATACGGAATTCGCTTTTAAAAGTTTTTCTCTCTTATTTTAATAGTCGCGGTATAGGGTTGTTATTGATTGTTAAAAGGGGAGCGAAGCATTGAGTTCTTTTGAAAAATACATTCGCTTTTATTCGTCAGAGTTACATTATAACCATCGCTTCTACGGTACCTGAATTGTGTAAGATTTAACTCGCATTCGGTGCAACCTCTTTAAAAAGGTGGTGGGCATTCTGACACGACATTAAAACGAGAGTATGTCACAAAACGAATTCTGCAATTCAAGCTCCTCCTCATAAACTCATAACACCAAGAACTTTCACAATGGGTAATTGCAAGTCAACAACGGGCAAAGTGATTGCTCCACCAGCCCTTGCTCCGCAAAGAACTTTGTTTGACCCAGCTGGTGAGTTTTCAGATAGTGAGTGGCCCGATGCATCAGGGAAGAGTTCTAGTAACCTTCATGAAGATGATCCTGTATCGATGCTTGATGAATCAGATCCTGTCTCTCTGATCAGGAAAAATATAATCGGAGGATCACAATACATAACCACGCCTTTCGGCAGTCGAAAGATAGTATATGCTGACTATACGGCCTCGGGAAGATGTTTGAAGCCAGTCGAGGACTTTCTGACGACCAACGTTTATCCCTTCTACGCAAACACTCACACTGAAGCCAGCGCTACCGGCGCTATAACGACAAATCTAAGAGAAGAAGCCCGTCTCATTATATCCAAAAGCCTTAATGCACCTAGAGAAAAGTACGCCTTGCTCTTTGTGGGTACCGGCTGCACTGGTGCCATCGAAAAGATGATGAAGCTGCTGGGTATCTGGCTGCCAGAATTTGTGACCTCCAAATGGAAACTGCCCAATCTGATTCCGGAAGGAGATCGCCCCATCGTGTTCATTGGTCCATTCGAGCATCACTCCAATGAGCTCCCTTGGAGAGAGTCCATTGTCACCGTCGTAGTCATTCCCGAAGATGATGATGGCTGCCCCGACATTGAAGTGTTGGAAGCAAAGCTATCCGAGTACAAGGATCGCAAAATGAAGATCGGTAGCTTCTGTGCCGGCTCAAATGTCACTGGAATCTGCATTGACACTAAGAAGTATACCCGTCTTCTACACAAGGTATGTGTGACAGAGGCTTTTGTCTTTTTCTTGTTATGAGATCTCATACCACTGATGATTGATTCTCTTGCTTTCGTTGCTCCAGCACAACGCCTTGGCTTTCTTCGACTTTGCCGGAAGTGGCGCATACGTTGAGATCAATATGAACGGCGAAAATGAAGACGAGTCTATGGATGCCATCTTCATGTCGCCTCACAAGTTCATTGGAGGACCTGGATGTACTGGCCTGTTGGTCGCCAACCGCTCCATCTTCGAAACAACCAAGATTCCTACCTTTCCTGGCGGTGGTACTGTGTCGTTTGTGTCGCCCTGTGCCCAGGACTATGATGATAACATTGAGGCACGAGAGGATGCTGGAACACCAGCCATCGTCCAGGCCATCCGCACTGGATTGGTCTTCCAAGTGAAAGAAATGGTGGGCTGTCGGCGCATTGAAGCCATCGAGCGGAACTACTGCAGTATGGTCTTCTCCAAGCTTCGCGAAAACGACAAGGTCCAACTTGTGGGTAGCGATCGTGGAGCATACTTTGATCCACACAGGCGAGTCACAATCATGTCGTTCAACATCCGTTCACCGTTTCAAGCAAGTTCGAATACATCGGGAATCAGAGCTGCCATGTCAGATCCAAGCGTTATGCTGCATCCTCATTTTGTGGTGGCCCTGCTGAATGATGTGTATGGTATTCAAGCTCGAGCAGGCTGCAGTGTAAGTGGTATTTCCGATTTGCGATTTTGTTGATTCCATATCCCAATCTCAAGCGATTTTACTCTTTCCTGGATCCCAGTGTACCGGGCCCTACAGTCACCGTCTACTGGATATCGATAGCGAGATAAGTGAGAGGACTCGTGCAATTGTCAGTAAAGGATACAACGCTTTCAAGTTTGGCTGGGCTCGAGTGAACTTCAACTATTTCATTTCTCCCGAAGAAGTCGAATTCATCTGCGACGCAATATTGCAGATCGCCGAACATGGGTGGAAGCTGCTCCCACTCTATGACACCGACTTGAAGTCGGCACTTTTCGTGCACCGACGAAAGATGACTACTCAACTGAACCGCCCTTCGCTTTCGAACCTCGATCTTTCGGCATCAGAAAATGCAGGTCAAAAGGGTGGAGGTATGCAGAAGAATTCTTTTTCGTTCAAGAAAGTGCTCGAAGATGCCGAGCAGATGTATGGCAAAGCGGAAAAGTTCCTCAGAATGCATGGGCAAGAGGAGGAGGATCTGCCAAAGGATCATATCATTTCCAAGAATGATATCTGGTGGGTGACCACGACCAATGTGGTGGAGGCTGTCAAACGTGATCTTCCAGCAACAGCTCCGAAAGCGAAAGAAAGAATCCTCCAAGATGCTTGGTCGATTGCATTGCAGTGCTGAGAGTCTATCGTGTTCCAAATGAATGAATGGTGTTCCAAATGATGCAAACTATCAGATATGGTATATAAATAGTTGGATCCAAAATGTAGAGAGAAGTATTTTGTAGATAATTTGTACAAGAGACAAACGATGCAACTTCACTGTGACTCGTATGAGGAATCTTCGAGTTTCAATGCCATTGTTGATGGCACATGCAGTGAGATTGTGGTGTGGACAACAAACATCATGAGGGCCAATGTACTCGTACAATTTGCTTGTATCGGTACATAATATCTGGTACCGGTATACCTACCGGTACAGTACCCCGCGTCTCCGCGTTATAGGTTTTCCGCGCGTGGTTGAGATTTTTGGTTTTGGGCGCGGCAAAATAAATTCGGACGAGTCATATCATAATGGGGGAATACGAGTGCAACTTTTTGCTATCTCCCTGTCTCCCAAATAATAATTTATAAAATACCCCGAATGCAATTATGCGACACGAAATGGACATCCTAAACTGGCATTTCTAAAAGTTGCATGTCCGTTGAGAAAAATAGTGCAAAATGTCCGATAATGCTGTACTGAAACAATAATAATATCTTCCAAGTCGATACTTCAGCAGAAGAAGCTCTGAAGATCTCTACTTGTTCCGCTACTTCAATCTACACACTTCCTTATTCTTACAAACCATATTCATATAATCAATCACTTGCAACAAGATGGGACAAGGAGCTAGTACTCCCAAACAACGACGAAAGAAGAAAAAGTCCAAGAAATCGAATAACAATAAGACTGATAATAATAACCATGATCAGGACGACCTATCGCTCTTGAAATTGGAACAAAAGATTGCCTTGACCAAGGAGAATCTGATTCGGACCAAGCAACTTGGGGGAGTAAACAAACGGACCCAAGAAGATGAGATTTATTACTTTGAAATGGAGCTCTACAAGAAGAAGTACATTTTGCACAAACGGGGGCACGATGCCAAGCAATATCTTTCCTTTTGGGAATATGTGGAAATTGTCAATACGGTATTGCATGCAGATTCCACTGATTATAGCGTGGCCAGTGGTGACATGACTTTGGAACAACATAAGGCGGCCCAAGAACAAGAAAAAGAAAAACGCAAGGCTGCTGCTGGAACGCTCGCCAAACACAATGGACATTTCAATGTCTATTCCTTCTTTGAAGCCTTTTTGTTGAGGAGATTGCACATTGCCATGATTCTCAAACATCAACGTGCCAAACAATCGGATGTATGGAACGATGTCATCATGTCTCTGTACAATATAATGCCTGGAATGAAGAAACGGAACAAGGCTGCCAACGAGAAACTCATTGTTATCAAACCAGAATCCAATGAAACCATGAGAGAAATGATAAAGTTGCAAAAGAAAAAAGTAAAGCTCTACGAGCATATGGTAGAGAATCTCAAGGCCGAAATTGAAGAAGAGGAAATGGCAAACTCTTTGGATCCGGATGATCCACTCGTTGTGGATGCGGATGAACCACCACCTTCGACCATCGGAGGGGAGGACGAGGATGTGAATACGGCCAAATATTATCAAAACAACGGCCGTCGCGGCCTGGACGATGACGAAATGTCCTTCAAGTCGTTCACTTCCCGCAAGTCCAGTCGCTCCAAACGACGCACCTCCAAGAACCCCACCGCCGCCAACGGTGTCGAACAGGCACCTCGATGGAAAAAGTCCAGTCGGTCCAAACTAAGCAAGGCCAGCAATCGGGATGTGACCAATGGTGGGGAGGCACTCGATTCCTCCTATCGATCCGCAAATTCCAGTCGTCGTCGATCGCCATCGCCGGCCTATAATTCTCCAATGGCCTCGCCCATGAAATCACCCAACCAAGAACCATCCCCAGCCGCAGGAGGAGGAGGAGCCGATGGCAATGATAAGGCTCCCATTACCGACGATGACATTGAACGATTTTTATATCCCAACAAACCCCTTCGGAAATCGGGAGGCTCCAGCAGGCGCAATATTAAAAATAGAGGAGGAGAACAATCATTGTTGCCACCGTCAGAATTGGAATTTGTGGATCAAGACGGTGGGGGTCGAAGCATTGTCTCGGGACTACACGATGATTCTTCGGTTGGTTCCGGGAGCAATGCTCCGCAATCCTTGGCTGACATCAAGGCTAAAAAGAAGGAATTGGATGGTTTGATCAAGGCCATGGAAACACCGGGAGAAGAAGGTGAAAGCGCGAACAGCAGTTAGGGAGGGGCCTCGTCGTGGAGGCACGCACAGTATCTGGAGCAAGCAAGTGCAGTAGAAAGAAATTCCAAATAGTTGCCCGTAATATACTGTACAGTAGTCGATAACTTTTGAATATAGGCGCGCAAGGGAGAGGAACGATATCCTATAGTAGTATAGATAGTATCACCATAAAACAGAGTAAAACGACAACTACCACAGTATAATAGTTTTCGACCTGCAGTCTATATAATCCTACCTACTACCATGGTGTCACTTTCATTTTCCGATTGACATTTCCCCAATTACACACAACCATGTTCTCCATCGTATCGATTCCCAAGTTTGCAAGGAGATCCGCACTTGTGTTTTGCTCACGAGGCACATGCCGAAAAGACACATTTGTTTGTCGTTCCGACATAAAGTTGACAAGATGTTTGGCCTTTTGAACGAGTGCTTGCAGTTTCGGGTCGTTCACTTGGTAGGAACCATTCATTTGATTGATAATGAGCTCCGAATCGCCGCATACGATGAGATCCTTTAGATCAAGGCGAGAAGCCCATACGAATCCCTCAATCAGGCCATAGTATTCCATTTCATTGCTTGTACGATTCATACCTCCGTAACCATATCCACGTACGAGCTCAGATTGTTTCTCATCTACCAGGGTAATCCGAAAACCATATCCAGTTGGACCTTTAGGATTGTTTCGGCTCGCTCCATCAAAACAAAGCTTTGCAGTACCACTAAATTTAGAAACCTTCATACCGGCAAACATTTCTTGCCTAGGTAAGGTTATGATCTTTCCTGAGTGTAGCGTCAATGTCTCGCCGCTCGAGTCGGCGGAAAAGTTTTTTACCAGCCCTAGTGTGAACCAATCATGGATCAGCACATCACTGGCAATGTTGTCTCTAATTTTCACAGGCAAACGGATGGTTTCCCCCCATTCCACAAGATCAAAATCCACAACATCCCCGTCTTGAATTGCTAGTGCATCTGCGATGCGCTGTCGGATAAGCACCAGGTCCTCACCTGTTACCATCATGATACTAGGGGATCTCATAGTCACTGCATACGCCGGAAGGCACCAGCTTTGGACAACTGCTTTGTTATTGTCACTTCGGGGTGCCTTCAATCGTACTTGTAGAGCTCCAGAAACACCCATGGTAAATTGTGAGATCAGCTATGTAGTGAATTAATTTTTCGTGCCTTGTATATATATGGTTCGATGGTTATGATGCCTCGATATGCGTGGTTGCTATTGTCATAATCCAAACCTCACTCCCGTTGTTATTGTTGTTATCTTACGCGTGCATACCGCTCTGCGTACCGGGTACCAGTATATTCAATATGGTGCGCTGGTCATTTTTATCGTCTGTGCGCGTACCGGTACGAAATGAGATGTCACGGATCTTTTCTAGTCGAACCGGTCAAAGTGGACTGGGGTACATACACTACACGTACTCTCAGGCACAGTAGATGCATGTTGGTTTGTGTTGCCCCGCGTCGGCACAAGGTCCGAAGATGAAATTTGATTGCTTCTGCGATAATGGGTGGATCAATTCTGCCAGGTATTTCATCCAATTCGTTGATATGGTAGGATAGTATAGTATAGTAGTAGTAGTTTGTCCATCATGTATTATTATCATTATTGTTTCTAGCGTATAGTTCTACAGTTTTATCATGCAGCTTTGGCAGCTTTGATTAAGGGTGGAATATTCAAAAGGAAACCCTGTAGATGACGCAGTCGCAAGTGGCACCCTTGATCCACAAACATCATCAATACAGAAAGCAGATACTCAAAGTATTTGTTTGCTTCAGCCTTATCGCCAATCTTATGTTCAATCACAGCGACGTTGTTCAAGATTGCAAATTCAAAAAGCATGTTTTCATCCGTGCACTGTTGTGCCCGGAAAGCCAGCTCGTACATTCGTTTTGCTTTCTCTAGCAACCGAACCCTCGAAGAAGGAGCCTCATATTGTCTTTCTGCGAACAGATGAAAAGCTAGAGCGGCGTTGAAAATGAGAATCGGTGCGATGATGGCCGTATCTGTCACTGATGGTGGTAGTCGAATACCACTTTCGTAGGTGTACATGGTGCGAGCTCCTTGTTTCTCGCTCCTTTCGCACATATCAGATTGCAACATATAGTGATCGAGTGTGATGTCACTAGCGTCATTCTTGCACGAGTCTTGTGATAGTATGTTGACTTGGAAAGCCCGATGGCATCGCAGCGCCAAGGATGCGACCTCGATTGCATTTTCAAAGTCCTTCGCTTTGATGTAGGCAACAACGATATTGTTTCGATACACGGCAGCAGTTGCAAGCGACATGATTGTGCGTTGTGTGGTGTGATGATTTATGAGACAAGAAATGGTGATTGAATTCCTCGAAAGTGCATCCTATTCCTGTTACCCATGATTGATTGCAGTGGGTGGCCGCACCGGAGTACTGCGGTAGAGAAATGTCTTGGTGAGAAACGGAACACGAAATTCAACTTGAAGTTCGGATTTTAAAGAACACAACACGAAAAACCAACTCAAGGAGTTCGGATTGCTTGCACAAAACTAATAAATGAATCAATCAAGAGCACGGTACCTATAGTACAAGTATAAAATACGCGTACCAGTACCAGTACCTGGAACAGTACTGTGAACAGGGTTATTCCTGGTTCTTTTGGAACAAGTCGGTTCATGCACTGGAAATGAAAAGTGCTGGAAAGTTCCGAACTCAGACAATAAATGGCCAACCGCTCCTGCCTACATTTATTGAAAGGAAGCTATGATGACCATCACAGCTTGAACTTCTGTATCTATCGTTTTCTTCTTAAAGGTTTTAGTTAAGCCGCTGCTGCGACATTCTGATTGCCGAGGGACAAAATATTCAAGATTATTCCCCTTTTAGCTTCTTCGTCGATTGCTATTCTTTTTCGTTGTTCTCTGTCCAATGAACCAGCCGCCATGATCTGACCAAGATGTTGCAAAGTCTCCATTGCAAGGGAATGATTTCCTACCCTGCATCTCAGTTGCATCAAGTTGTTCAATGCTGCTATCCTGACAAGTGCTGCCGTCCCTCTGTTTTCCATGTGGCCAAGAGCACTTATCGCATGATTGTATAGGTCATTGGCCAAGCTGGCATATTTATTATTGCTGTTCATGATGGTCAAGCTCTGGTTGTGATTAATCAATGCCAAATTGAGAACGGTAATAGACAGGCATAGATCAGCGGCAATCTTCGAGTTCGATGGGAGCTGCTCTGCATCAATAGACAGCAGTCTGTTGTATATGTAGCCATGGCGGAAGGACTCGACATTTGCAAAGTTGAATGAAAAAGTACCGTGGCAAACGTTGACCTTGTCACATGCTGCTCTACCGCAGAGTTTCTTACTTGCAACTCTACGTATTAGATGGAAGCCTTTCATCAGGACCTCGTATGGTGCTTGCTGTCTGGAACCATGTGAGAGATCAGCGATTGCTTTATTATTCATTGCTATCCCTTTTCGAAGTAGCGTTTGCTGTTTTCTCTCGTACACCTTTCGTCCAAAGTTTTTTTGAGAGGTTTCATTGCTGCGGTCCATCATGATGATTGTTTGCCGTGTGAGATTTATGAGCTCGGTTTTATTGAAATTGTGGGCGAAGAGCAGAAGTTGTGGGGACTGCGGACCCAGAGATGTAACGCAACGCGTCGCGGACTTTTGATTTGTTCTTTCGGAGTTTTTCTTTCGCCTACGAGACATTCCACGCGAGTGAATTGAGAATATACCGGTACTGTAGTGTATGTGGGATTATTTCTAGTTGTGAATCTATCTTGCTCAAGACGACCTCAAAAAACTTTTTACACCTAGCGTTTGCTGTGTTCATACTGTAAACTACTGTACTTGTTTTCCTTCTCCAAGCGATGGGATCGTGGAGAACGTTCTATGCCACCATTCATGCAATTCCGTGTGCCTATGAATTTGCCTTTGCGCTCCTTTTGCATCGCTCATGTGGATGATTCATGTCGATCTTTTAAACAATGTTTAGTAGTACTATTAAGGAGGAAGGATGATTGGGAGTTCCGCTGAGCAGACTTCTGTGAACACAGCGTCGCTGCTACAATACCAATCCTGTCACCCAACTTCAATGACGGTATTTTAATATTGTTCTTTTCTTTGCTAGGTTACAGCTCTCAAATATGACCGGTTGATGGGAGAATGAATGAGAGATACGGTTGATGATGGTGCTAATTCCAAATTTCAGGAATGGATTATTGATTGATTTAGATTCGGACTCATTCACTCGCGGGTCATTCGTTCCGAACACCAAATAACGGTTATGACCATTTGTACTTTTCGCACCGTGTTGCAAAATCCAAAACGAATAATTCTCATCCGCAGTGCGTGTACCAGCACTTGTGCAGTAAAACCAGTCAGCAAGCAAAATTACAAAGTCGGACAAGGCGATACAGCAACCCGAAGGCAACTCTCACACAAACTATTGAATACTGAAGACAGACACCGATAGGAAGTTCCCAAATTCATACTTTCTCTCAAAGTTTCCCAAATTCATACTTTCTCTCAAAGTTTCTATGAGAAAATTTTGAAACCTTCTCGCCTGTATCAATCCACCAATCTTCAGATCTCCACTTTCTTTGTAAGATACCATCATGGGCCAACAACAGAGTCAAGATATTGGCGAGATGCCAAAGCTGAAACCGGGAGGACGAAGGCGGGGCCGGAGAAATATGGGCCAAAAAATGAGTTCCTTCGTTCGCAGCAATAGTAGTCGATTCAACGTTCATGGTGATGACGAAGTTGAGCATCTTGACGAAAAGATTAAAATATACAAAAAGGAACTAGAAAGACTCGTGGCGTTTGGCGAAGCCAAGCAACAAGAGCACCATGCGGAATTAGGCAAAATGGACAATGAACTTTATAGGAAACGGGTGGAGTTGCACCGATTGGGAGAAAGTGCCAAGGTTTTCTTTACCTTTTGGGATTATGTCAAGATTGTCCAACGGGCTACGCCTACTGTATGGTCTCCTGAAACAATGACGTTCATTGAATCTGAATCGGATACCAGTGAAAGTAGCTATACGACAGATGATCTTACGCCTGTTCCACCTTCACCAAAGGCGCCACGAGGCAAATCACCTAGAACGAGAACAAAGAAATCACCAGGCAGGCCCAAACGAAAAGAAAGTTTGCGAAAAAAGAGGCAGTTTTCTCGAAAAGAGGAAAAGAGAGGGATGATAATTTCCCGGTCATCAACGGACATGACCTTTACTATTTTTGGATTCTTTGAGGCGTACCTCCTGCGACGATTGCATTTGGCTTTGCTCCTAAAGAATCAATCGACCATGCAACGTCATCGATGGAACGATATCATTGTATACTGTTATGATGAAATTCCGGCTACCAAACGTGATACAGAACAAGCCAAAGCATGGTTAGACTACCTGAAAACTGTCACGCCGAACTATAAAAAGCAACTGAAAGAAACTTTTGAGCACTTTCTCGCGTTGCAGGATAAACTCATGTATCAATTGCGTGCTCCAGAAGATAGGCCGAAGGAACTTGAGGCGCAAAATGCGTTCCATACCATTGAAGAAGCACCTCTTGATGATGAAATCACAAGAACCCTTCCAACGATTACTCAAACAAGCAGTGGGACAATCGACTTTGAGGACCAAGATGATGCTCCGACAAGCGCATTCTCCTACAAAATACCGGCCGAAGAAGCAGCTCTCCCTTCAGCTCCACCACCACAAGTTGAGGGTCGCATTTATGCTACTTCGGAATTTAATACTGGTACAACGGGCATGACGCCGGAAGTACGAAGTCGCAAATCCAAAACCAAACCCAGAAAGCGCAAGAGTGGCAATTTGAAGGTGTCCGCCCATAACAGAGTTTTTGAGTCAAAATCAGGTTCCAGTGACTCTGGTTCTGACTTTGGTTCTTCCGATGATGATTTGGGAGACAATTCGGGAAAGGAAAAGGAAAAGGCTGCGAAAAATAATGATGTAAAGGAAAAGGACACAGGTAAAAGACGATCCAAATGGAGCATGTCCTGGAAGGTTCCGGCATTGGACTCTGATTCGGACCATGCCTCGGGAGATGAATTGAAAATGAGCGCAGACAATTCTGCGGTCGGGAACGAGTACGGTAGGCTTTCGATGCGTGACGACGATGATAACGATGATGACCGCTTTGATTTTGTCTCTCAAGAAGCAAACCAACAACCGATGGCATCATCGGCATTGGCAGGCGGGGCATCAATGATGCTTATGCAGAAATCCATTCGTGCTCAGCAGACGCAATCCAAGCCCGATTCTCAGCAACATTTTCAGCTTAATACTGCCGGAAGTGACGATGCAGTCGATGCGTAAGACTAGGAATTTATCAAGTTAATTCGATATTTCATCCTAGGCGACCTAGTTACCACCTGCCTTGCACGATAGCTCGATAGTGTTGGAAATAATGGAGAAGTAAACTTTAGATGATGTTACAAATGGTGAAATTGATTCTGCAAACAAGAAAATCATGGATTGATGGAAATCAATGTGGAAGATGGCTTCCATTGGAAAGTTCTGAAACGACAGATGAATTCGAAGACTCGCCCACCTTCTTCTTCTTCTTTTTCTTCTTCTTAACAATTGCCTCGCCCCCATCTTCTAGACCCTCGTCTTCACTGTCTGTTGTTCCAACCTTCTTCTTCTTTTTCTGTGAATGAGCAAGTGAGTAAGGATGATGGTTTTCAAGGGGCGGAGATGAGTCTGTAAATCGATTTATCGTACCTTCTTTTTCTTCTTAATAGATTCGCCCTCTTCGAGGGCAACTTCATCGCCACTGCCAGTTCCAATCTCCAGCGTCTCTGGCATGCCTTTTGGAAGTTTCTTCTTCTTTTTCTTCACCGACACTGTTTCTTCCTCGGCCTCAGTCGTAGCTTCCGTTTCGTCTGGACTCTTATCACTGGAAGGCTTCTCGTCATCCTTGACAGGTTCTGGTTCTGGCTCCTTGACGACAGGCTTCTCCTCCTCCTCTTCCTTCGGAGCTTCAAACTTCTTGAATTTGGACTGGAACTTGGCCTTTCGGTTGAAAGCGGCTGGGGTGGGAGCAGGAGCAGGAGCCGCGCTCTTTGTTTTTTCCGTCGCCGCTTCCTCTTCCGGAGTTTGTGTCTTTTGAACAACCTTGGCGATCTTGTTGCGGCTGTTCTTCATCCAAGGCGCTTGATAAGCCTCTTTCTTGATACTACCAGCTTCGTAGGCAGGACCAAACATGGAAGACCGAGCTGCTTTGTGCTTAAAGCTTCCACTGCTGCCCTCGGATTCCACGCTTCTCGAGCTGCTAGCACTGGCTGTCAAGCTGCGGTTGCTACCGACGGTGGATTCAGGCTTCTTTTTCTTGAACGAGAATTGGGTTCCTTCGGGAGCAGCGCGAACCTTTCCTTCGACTCCTTCTTGCAAGGCCATCATCAAATTTTTCTGATTTTCTATATGCGACTTGTATATCTGTTCGACGTGTGCTTTGTGGGCCTCTTCGTCGGTCTGTAAATTCATAATTTTGGCTTCCGCCTTCTCAAACGAGGTTTGGATTTTGGGAATTTCATAGTACAGGAACATGACCATATCATTCCATCCCTTGGCATGCAGCTTCTTTTGTGTTTTTAACATCATGGCTATATGCAGTTTTTTCAACAGATAGGCCTCATAAAAAGCAAAGATGGTGTACTGCACAGCATCGGACTGCTTGACCATTTCTCTGCTCTTGGGCACTTCCTTCTTTACGGAATCCTTATTCAGGGTCATTGTGGATCCCTCGATTTGTAGAGGTGCTGCCGTCGAGTTGAAGGTACTTCGAATGATACGAACGTATTCCCAGAAGGAATAGTGGCGTTGGGCATGTTTTCCAAGTTTCATCAGAGTCACATGAAGATCCATCTTTTCTCTCGACAACACCTTAATTTCCTTTTTCCGCTTCTTTTTGTTCACCTTGCCTTGTGCCTTTAGCACGGCAAGCTTCTCTCGCATAGCCACAATCTTATGGTGAGCCATCTGGATATCCTCAGGGTATATGGAGACATCCTCGGACTTTTCGCCGGTACTTTGCCCCTGACCCATCCTGCGAGAATTCTCGTGATCTTAGTGGGTCTTTCTGTTCTGGTTATAGGTAATATTCAGACTAGAATGCCAACAACGTCAGGATCTTGTTCTTGCTGATATGGTCGATGCTGAGATTAGTGATTCCTACAATAGTCACAAGATTACAATCTGAAGCGGATATGATCAGAACTGTTGCATTATACTTTGCGCAATTGATGCGGAGTCGATGATCTTTTCGCCTGCATTTCATCTTGCATGCGGTGACCTGGACCCCCAATAATTCTGGATCTCATCTCTGATCCTGCATGTGTCTAAATAAGTTACATAAGGTCATTCGGGTCATCAATTCCTTCACTTCACGTAGCAAACGGACAATAAAAAATAAGCGGCCTCCCTACGCGGACATGGCGTACTAACAACTGAAACTGCTAAATCTATCATCTTCAACTGGAATTTGTGTGAAGCCATACAATGAACCATTAATACTCGTCTGTTTTTAAACTGTTGCGGTTGCTTACTCTTTCTTCATTTTATGCATTTGGATTCTTCTTCCAACACAAGCTTCAGCGATGAAAGGAATGGCAACCATTCCTTATTGTTCGTTGCTGGCGACCCTTTCGATGATGATGATGATGATGACGATTCTTCTTTTATTTGTAGCAATGCCGATCGAACCGACTCTATGGATGTTTTCAATTCGCTTCTTCGATTCTCCAAAAGATGCTTCAGAATGTCGTTTCCCAATGATTCATTTTCGCGTGGCTGTTCTCCAACTAGCTGAACCGCCAAGTTTTCCATCATTTGCAGTCCAGTCACCAAAGATTCTCTTGGTTCTTTTGTCTTTCCATTGTAAGAAAATGTGGCACGTTGTTCACTAAGGACAGTGTAGGTCTCGTACAATTGCGGATGTTGCACGAGTGATTGTTGGACCCGAACCGGAAAGATTTCTGGTCGGACTGCACCCGCCGCTTCCAATAGATCCTGCCACGTCCAAAAGATGATTGGATCAACCTTGCCCTTTGGCAAACAAAAGCCATAGGTCAATAACAGCTTCCAGTTGTCCTTTTCGTCCCCATACGAAAGATGTATTTGATCTCCAGCAGAATATGACTTGGCCGACGTCAATGTCCAGGTATTGATGGTGGTGGTGTCACCATCATCGTTTGAATTTTGTTTCTGTTGCTGTTGTTGTAAAAGCGTGCCGGCGTTCAATTGATGATTGAATAGATCCAATCCTGGAATCAAGGCAATCGGAACTGTGGATGACTCATCCTGCTGCTCCTGATTTGTATTCATTGTTGATGGTTCGAGTTCAGGTACCGCAATGGATCGGGATCGCACCATGGAAAATGCCCAAACCCTATCATCATAGCTGCCACTGCCGCCACCATCTTTCGCCAACGATGAATACGCAAAGGCTTGCACCATTTGACGGGTCGCCAACAAGGTTTCTCGATAGCATCGTGGGAGTTCTAGGTCGTCCCATATGGATTCGGGCAAATTCCAAATGGCATAATGCTCTTTGGGAAGTATTGTGGAGACATATGGGTGACGATGATTGTCATCCCGCTGGTCATCTCCTCCTGATCGTAAATGATAAAGCACGGTCAAGGCGAGTTGTTGCTCTTGTGAAAGTGAGTTGTAGTATTCATTTCGAGAAGTTTTAGTGACATTGTTAATGTCAGCGATGATCGTATCCTCGACTGGAACTTGTAGCAGTATATCTCCCGGTGACCGATCTACTAGTCTGAGGCGAAAAATGTTTTCGATGGAGATGAAGAATGATTATAGAACACAATAATACAGTCGGTTGAGAGTGATGATGACAGCATACTGAAAAGCGATAACCTTATTCTAATACCAGGTCCACATCATATGACAGCAGAATAGTATTACTCACGTTCGAATTCCTCTTCCAGTGTCTGGAAAGTTGTGGAGCTCCAAATCAAAGGGTTTCAGATATTTGTCAATAAGTAGTAATCCATCATTCTTATTGTCAGTTCCACTATTATCACTCGAACTTGACGACGAAGAAGATAAGCTCAGTATTGAAAGACCTAGTAGCCACCAATGGGGAGAAAATAGTGAAAGTAATATCATTGTCAATCAGATTGTAGCATCGATGCTGGCATATGGTCGCATGCGATGATCGCATATAGATTGAAGATGATCGATCGAAAAGCGATTTTATTGGATGGTGTCATTTCATCGGATGGAGGCCAGACAGCAAATTATTGGGTCGCTCTAGTCAAGGAGACGAAACCCAACGGATCCGCAATCGATAGGATATATATGACCCGATCTTTTTAACGGTATATTTATTACTGGAAAGTTCTGTGATGTCTCTCTCTGCGATACAAATCTATTGTAGCGGCGTCGTTTCGCCGTTTTTATTCCCTTATTCTCATTAAGAGGAGCCCATGCATTGAAATACCGATAGTCCATCGGAGGCTCATACTGTATCCGAGCTATAGGTACTAGATAGATAGATATAGACATATTCGAAAGAGATGGGTACAGCGCACTCTGCAGGTGCTCGGACACAACGAGGAAGCAAAAAAGCACGAATCAACCGTCTTCGCCAAGCCCAAGCGGAGATTGACGAACTTGAAAGGCAGATCCATGAGCTCAAGATCCTACTATATCAAACTCAAGTGGACGGAATCATGAAGCGTGATAAGCGAGATGCAGAGATATATGATATAGACACACAGACTTATCGAATGAGAACCGATCTGATAAAGAAGGTAAGTGAAATCATATCGATGGGGGTTCACTACAGTACTGCCGAGCCATGCACAAGCTCAATGCCGCAGTGGTCCCCACTAGCACTTGAGTTTACTGCCGGTTCATTTCGTTTTTATTTGCGTGTCTTCCTATAAACTATATATATGCTTTGGTGACTTACAACTGTGTTTCACTTATATTATTCTATAGGGGAAAAAGGCATCACAGGTTGTGCCATTTCAAGAATACCTCAACATCGCTCGGAATGCTGCTGCTACCCCAAAGAAAAAAGAGGAAAACACAAAGAAAGATAATAATGAGAACGAAACTGAAACTGTTGGCAATACGAATGCTGACAAAGTTACAGAAGATAAGGCTCCACCTACTCCTGCTACAATCCCAAAACCAAATGATCAAATAGCCAAGCCACCGTCTCGGTTTTCCAGAGCCATCATGGTGGTGCCAAATTTCCGAGACCTTCCACTGGCCAATACTCTATTTGCCTATTTGGAGGCGTATTTATTGAAGCGATTGCACATGGCCATGCTTCAAGAACATCAGCAAAAAATTCATCGAGACTGTTGGAGCAACAGTATTGCGGACCTTTGTTTGGAAATGGAACCCCTGAAAAAGGAATCTGCCTTGGTCAAGACCAAATTGAATCGAACTGTAGAGGCGCACAACGATCGACTCAAGGGCATGAAGAAAGTGTATGAAGATCATCTAAGGTATGTGCTATTCTAGTGGAATCAGATTTTTGTGCATGTGAACTTTAAAAAAAAGAGTGGCTCACGACGACCTATTACTCGTTTTGTCTCATATAACATACTATACTATCATGAGACAGGCTACAAGAGTTGCTGATATATCGCTATGAGCAAGCTCCATGGAACGACGTCGCGGAAGAATCGCCAGAGGATGACTTAGCACATGAGGATTTCGATGAAAGTAAGCATATGGCGTGATCGCTTGAGGGGCAGGTACCCCTGCAAGGAGTTTGACTCTGAAACCAGTTTTCAAAATATGCCATATACTATCATGATTGCTATGCTACATCATGTACGATTATTACTTCTCGTACAACAAATTTTTATTTTTATTTTTTACAAACAAGACTACAACTTTGTTTTCCTGATGGTTGAGAGTTAGCGCCGTGGCTCATCAACACCTCCACCGGTACGATGGATGCAAGGTGCACCGCTGTATCATTGTCAAGCCGCGCGTCCCTTGCTTCCATATCAGCACCTCGAATCAGCAAGAGTTCAGCGATTTCAATGTTCTCCCCCCAGATTGCATGTGATGCAACCGATTGCGTCCCCTCTCTTTTCTCGTATTTTTAGATTGCCACCATTATCCAACAGTAATCGAACAAGCTCCACAAAAGTCCCAAATTGCAGCCCATGAACAGGGGTGTCCGCCCTCCGCCGTTTGTTGCTTGCACATTAGCAACTTTTTCCCAGCAACAATGTAACAATAATGTCGAGATTTGGCATTTCACATGCTATTGCCAGTTGGCCTTGACATTCACGTCTGCACGTACTGTATTATTGGACCAATCATTTCATGAGATTGGCTTCGCCGTTTTGGCAAGCAATGTGCAATAGGCTGCTTATTACTTGCGGCCATAGTCATCGAGTTATTCCTCACATCTTCTCCAAAATCTAGTAGTAACTCTAGTATAGCCGCCAATTGCCATCCCTCACGACTGCTTGGATCACTTTCATGATGGTTCTCTCATCTACACAGAAAGCCAGTCCTCATATCTCAAGACAGAATTATTGTAGAACGCCTGCTACAATGGTCATGCGAACATTGTCGAACTACTCTTGATGCATTAACTGGCAAAAAAAAGAGTAGGTGGTTATACCGGTACGATGATCGAGTGAGTCAATATTTTGCAACTCGAATTTTGGCGCTTGTCCGACGTTTTGTTCGACAGCATCATTCTGTCCGTTGATGAAGCTTCTTAGTTTCGCTATCAGAATTTCGAACACGCAAAACGAACGTGAAGTCTTTCCACCGGATATTGCGTGGTGGAAGCAATATCCTAGGCATGGAAGTTCCCACAACACAATACCATCGGTTGGCTTGGTTCTATAATATCGACCCACTGCTGATTTTCATTTGAATACTCTATATAATCTAGTCACTACTACTCTGAAGAAAAGAAAGCATAGACCTGTGCTCCCAAGATATCTACATTGCCGAACAAGAGAAAGTCACAGTCGGTTGTCGTGTTCATCCCATCACAACTTTTCAAGGCAGTTCCCCTCTGAGCTTCAGCGCCCTGATATCTGATTGTCGTCCTTTACAATGGGGAATCAACAGAGTGGTGGTGGTGGTCTCGATGACACGATTGGTAACCGACTCGCTGCCATTTCGGAGCACACCTTCGACTGGACCGCCATGGATGATGACGACGATGACAGTATTTGGGACGAGGCCTCTCTTGCGGATGACGTGCACAGCCTTGGTGAATCTAGCCGCCGAGGTGACGGTCCCACGACATTTGAGCTCTTACCATCGGTCATTCGTACTACTCAAAAAATTGAAAAAGCCAAGTATCGATTGCTCAAGGCACGATCGAAAACGATAGAGAAGCGAGAAGAAATGAAAAGAGAAAAGAAGAATTACAGGTCGGAATTGAAGAAGACTGAAAAACTTTTGAAGAAGGTGGCAAGAAAGGCTCCGTCTTATTTCGGATACTTTGACTATTTCAACATGGTCAAGCGATCGTACAACACAAAGGGGGAGAAATCCGATCTGAATACAGAATACTACACCAATCGAAAAGCCACAAGCAGCCCTAGCAAAAAGAGCAACAAACCCATGAGCACTGCAATTGTGACGCAAGGGAACTCCTTCTTCTTTTCCATTTTTGCCCTTTGGGAAGCCTATCTTTTGAAAAAGGCTCACATTGCCGCGATGCAAAATACTCAAGCAAAGAAACAAAAGAAGGGTTGGAATGATGTCATCGTAAACTTGCAGCACGAACGACAAGGCATGGACGATGCATTTGCTGAAAAAGCAAAGGCTATGAGAGAGAAAATCAAGACTAAGGAGGCTGAGCTGTCTCAAATACAAGATGCGTATTTGAACTTGGTCCGGTGTCAAGACAAACTTATCCGAAAATTGCAAGAGCATGAAAATTGGATGTCTGGCAGTATTATGCACGCCCTAGTGGAAGGTGACTCTTCTGAGAGCGAGGAAGGCGGTATTATGCACGTCCTAGTGGAAGGCAACTCTTCTGATAGCGAGGAGGGGAGGGAATACGAGCTCCCGTATAGGATTAGTACACTACAGGACAATACAATACCAACAGAAATCAACACTAGTGCTTACGAGGAGCACGAGGGTACTTCCGTGGTCACCGACGATGATATATCAATAGAGATTGCAGTGGAGCAAGAGAAATCGGAACAAGGAACACTTGATGACGCCGAGGATGATGTATCCATTGAGAATGCAGCAGAGCAAGAGAAGTCAGAAAAAGTAGGAAATGGTGCCGATCCCGAAAAGGAAAAAGATTCCCAATTTAGCCCAGTGCAGCTCAGGGATCAAAATTTGAAGAAGAAGCTAAAGGAAGCAAAAGAGCTGATGAACTCGAGTATGAAGGACTTGACACTCGAAGAAGATGATTATTGGTAGTATTCTGGTTGGTTCTCTCCAACCAGGTAGGATCAGTTCTTCAACTTAGCATTTTGGAATTGCTATCATTCAAAGGCCGAACGAGTGACAAATATGCAGCTGTGCATTACTGCTCATTTGTTTTTGCCTTGGCTCATAGGGCCACATAGCGCTGAAACGAACAATCGCCAGGTACCAACAGTATCAGCACGGGCAATTCTTTTGCTGCTCTTGTTAGGCAGAGTATGATAAGAAAGCTATATGAACAAGATGAGCAGAGCAAAAACCTTACGCAAAGGTTTAGGAAGAAAACTGATATTGGGTTCCAGTAACAGTTCTACTACTTCTAAAAGCAAATTAGAAAGTCTGGAATTTATGCCTTGTACTCATGCTCTGAGTCGTCACTTCTTCTTTGTCCGATGGTCTGTCGCTCATCAAATACGCCCATATCTCTAATCCATCTGGTCACCAACTTGGAGTGTTCGTTTCTTTTCGATACGACCATGCACAAGAATTCAGAGCCGTCCTTGCGCCTGGCTTTTGTATTTGATTGTGCGTTGGAGTTAGAACCGACATCTGGGCAGACAAACGAGATTTCCTTCCCTAGCAAGTCTTCTTTCATCGTGAAAGCAAATACTTCTAGTGCAGTATTGTTCACTTTTTGGATGACGCCATCAAAGTCACTTATTACTATCGCATCAAAAGCATCTTCAAATAAATCGTCTCCGCCCTTGGACTTTAGATTCGCTTTGCTGGGTTGTGCACCATGCTTTTGAAGAATGGCCCGCAGATGCGGGTGTTTCTGTTCATCGACAAGGTCTATGGGTCGCCTATTGCTTCCATCTACAATATTGACGTTGGCTCCTGCCTCGCAAAGCACCTCTACAGCTGAGTCAAACCCCCCACTTACTGCCAGGTGTATGGCAGTTCGTCCATCCGAATCACTCTTGTTCACGTCAATATCTCCTTGAGCTGCCAATACCTTGATTCCATATGAGTCCCCACGAGATGCAGCATCCATCAATTCCGGTAGGTTACTATCATCTCCGCCCTTGGACTTCGGACTAACGTTGCTTGATTGTGCAACATCTTTCGGAAGATGCGGGTGCTTCTGCTCATCCGCAACCTTGATTGGGCGCACTTTGATTCCATCTATATCGTTCACTAGTTTGATTTCATTTTCCATATCGCTAGTTTCCAAAGCGACACGATTCGAAACATCACGAACAAATCTATATCGCCACCAGAATGAAACAAAGACACAATGAGTGAAGGGGAGTTCAAATCATGGACCAATCCTCATGAAACGAAACATTAAGCTTACCCAGACATCATCTCGGAGCGTGGAACCGGCTTGAGACCAATCATGCACTGAAATGTGGTTCCATCTGTCCTCTTGCCGTGTATTGCATGTTCTTGCCCAAGCATCTTGGGTGGGCGAGACGATTCTCCAAGCTTCTGCAAGCCCAAAGGATCGTTCTCGTACTTAGTATCTCTAAGCAACAGTGATACATTGTTTCCAAGGATCTCGCTTGGTACACTGTAGCCAAACTTGTTCACTGCAGCCGTATTGACGTAGTGAATAGTCCCTGAGCGATCGATTACGATGATGGTTTCGTCTGATGTATCCCAGACTTCCTTGTGGATCAGGAGCTCCATGCTTACGTCTGGAGGCGTATCGAAGGTTCCCGATGATACTCTCGTACTCTTTGTAAATAAATTCAGTATTGTACTTGTCTTTCGTCGGAAGCTCTTTGGCGTTTGTTGGAAGCTCTTTGATACAAGCCTCCTTGGTGCGCGGCGGATTGATTGGAGCATCTGCCTGATTTCATCTTCCTTGTGCACCATCCCCCATCCTACGATCCGTGAAATTGACATGGCAACCACAACTGTAAAGGCAATCATGGAAACCTCTGTCAGAGATCGCTCCCATTGGCTCAAGGTGATCGTAAAGAAAATCAAAACAATTTTGAAGAGTATCAGCAGAATCAAGGCCTTGTTATATTTCTTCACAATGCCCTCTTCACCACGGTCGCGACTCTTGAACAAGCGTTTGTAGGTTCCCTTGGCACCTTTGTGATTGGCCAACATAAATTCGAGACTGATCAACACAATGGCTAGAGATCCTGAAAAGAGAGTGGCAGTCGCTTCCACGCTGACGGCTGGAGTTGCAGCAAGCCTACGAGACTCGTACGAATTATTCGATACAATGGTTGTCAACATGATCTTGAAACAAACCCCAAATGCAATCAATCCAAGAGACAGGGTCTGGACTAGTATATTGAATACCAGTTGCCCCTTGAGACTTCTGTAGATAGCATGCCCATGGGAAGTGCTTGGTTGCGACTCAAAGACCAGCACGTGAATTCCCATCACTGTCAATACCCCAAAGCAAGATACGACGAAGTATTCGATCGACTCGGTAGTTTCCACAATTAGCAACGACAACACACCTTCGCCAATCATAAGCCTATATATGAAATCAGCAAAAAAATTAGTGAGAATCCAAAACTTTCGATCAACAAAGAAATGCCAGAGGACAACTTACATAATCCACTCCCCATATCTGTGGATGACATAGTCTAAATTGTTTGGTACAAAACGATCTCGAATATCCTTTTCCTCAGATGCCAGCGAGAGTTGCCGCAAGAAGCTGAAGATAATGCTGAAAAGGTATGCCACTGCAACGAATACAATGGGCAAGTCGTCGTTTGATAACAGGATGCCAGTGTGGCAAGTACAGCCATCGTCGTCGTCGGCTGCTGCAAGCTTCCGGTATCCCTCTCCAGAAGGACAAGCGATGTCAGAAGCTCCCAACATGCGCGAAAGTAACAAACGGCCACCTGAGCTGCATTCCACATCAGAACCTCCCGCCAACATTCGATTACCATAATCATCCCCACCACTGTTTTTCTTTCCAAAAATGGGAATGTCAAAGTATGCCAATGTCGCAACTACTAGTGCGATAGAGTAAAAGAATAGTGTCGGGAGATCTTCGATCAACATCATCCGTTTAGAATGTTTCTTGATGGGCGTTCGATCCCCAATGGCCTTGAAATAGATTTCAAGATTCAAGCCCAGGTTGATCAAGCTCTCGAGAAAGACGGCCAATATAAAGAATAGCATTTCGATACTTTTTGGATCCTTCATGAGGTTTAGCGGCGTGATGAAAATAATGGCAACACCCACACTGAAAAACTTGAGCCCCCATACCAGTCGATGGAAATGGTCCAAAACTGTATATCGTGATGAAAACGTCAGGTCGTGATACCAAGTCTGATACATGGCACCAAATATGGCAATGAAATAAATCATTCCTTGTACCCATTCCGTGTCATTCATAGATGATATGAGCAAGACTCCCAAGTTGTAGGCTGCGGCCACAAAGAAGAGATCAAAGAACAGATCTCCCCAGTTGACGTGTGGAAGAACTTGCGGTTTCCCATAGAATACCCGCTGCATAGGTGGTGTGTACCAAGGAACAGCAGTCGTTTTGTGGTGGGGGATTGTGTACTTTTGACTATCGTCCAGCACCTGTTCTTCGTCTCTATTTTCGTCTCCTTCCTCAAGTAATTTTTCTTCTTCATTATCCAAATCCTCCTCCGTTTCCAGCAGTTGCTCCCACAGCATCGTATCTCCCCCCATCATGGAGCCGCGTCGTCCCGCAACTGCCAGATTGCGAACATTCTGGCGATAGGCATCATCGCGCTCCTTTTCACGGCGACGCTCTTCTTGGGAGGCGACAGAGTGGTCGTCAATTCTGTCGCTGCGTCCGCTGTTATCAAAGGGAATCGAGTCCATATTGACAGCCGACGATTCGCGATGCTGATATTTTAGTGTACCAGATGAAAAGTCAAAAGAATCATTCGCAGTGTCACCGTACACAGGTAGGGGCGGGGCTCGAAAGGAACTCCTCAGGTTTCGTTGGGCTCGTAGATAGTCACGGTAATTGGCTGGAGACTCGTCTTCGTGATGCATCATTTCGCTGAGAGTGTGGTCGGAAGTAACACTGCTGATACTTGCCCGGTGACCCGAACTGCTGGTAGTACTTTGCCGTCTCAGATCCGTGTTGTTAAGGCGAGAGTCACGGCGCCGAGGACCTCCACTTCCAACAGCACTGAGACGAGAGCTACGCCTTCGAGTACCTCCACTTCGTGGACGATGTTGTTGTCGCATCGGCGAAAGTGGTTGTTGCCGTGTGGGCGACGAAACAGCATTTTGCTGTCCTTCCAAATCATCAGTAATCGTTTCATCATTCTCGTTGATGTCAGGTAAGAACATTCCTGAGGAGGGAAAACCATGATTCAGTGGCATTGTTGCAATAGATCAATGTTTCAATACTGTACGTTTGGAAGCGCTAAGTAGGCCTTATTGAGATGATAGCTCTTGATGGTGTTTTTGAAAAATGCCGAAAATGAGGTGAAAGTATGAGCGACGCGAGAGCTCGAAATGATCGGTCATAATTAAAAAATGGCAACACTGTCAATAAGGAGGGTCTTTCCCGTTTGTTATTGACCGTGTGGATCGATGGGCCTATAATAGGTGGTGGCATGGCGTGTTGCGCGAAACACAAATCCGGTGAGATATTTAACGCAGACGGAGATTCGAACGAAGACGTCATCATTTGTCGATGATGGCAAAAGGCACATGTTCAATATGCGCTATACCACCACTGGTAACTTTTGTCTGCGTCAGTGCCACCGCAATCTTTATCCGACGTTTTTATTTCGGTGCGATTGCCTTGTAGTGTTTACAATCAAATAGCGATTACACATCGAGTTCCTTGGAAACACAGTATCAACAATTGTGGATTAATGGAGGCACTCATAGGACGAGGACGATCCGTTGAACTTTAAGACGTTCGGGTCACTGACTGGGCCGTCCGCACAATGTTCTTGGACAGCAACATCAAGGTGGAAAGAGACACACATTACATGGCAAGAGGAAAGATGATGCAACCATGTTTCAGTGCATGATCGGTCTGAAGCGGATACCAGACTCGGATTTGATCTCATGGTACGTTTTATGCTTCCTATTCTGTTTTAAATATATACTTTGAACTCACATACAATGGTTTGATGCGACTGTAATACCGGTAGCAGGAGCGACTATTCGACGGCGTGATGATTCGGAAAAGTAAATAATACGGCAGTGGAACGAATTGGTTACGCAAACAAAGAAGCTTTGCTTCTCCGGGAATATCGTCAGTTAGTCCAGGTTTTGGTCCTTCTTCGAATGGGCAAGCAATGACCAAAGCGACACTCAAGGGCGGTTCTGAATTCTTGTGCATGGTCGTATCTAAGCGAAGCGAACAGATGGCATAGACCAACTACTCCTTGAATGATGCGCTTGGGATAACACGCCAGACCATGATGATGGCAACCCATGAACTTAGAACTCCTAGACTGCTATATTTTTCTTATAAAATACTATCTTCGCCAATGTGTAGAATGAAGCCACCCCATCGTTCTCCATAATTCGCCTTTTCAACTTCGAACTTGACTATTGGAATCATATCCGATCCTTCTTCAGTTTCAAATACGGCAGTTTCAGGATTGACCTCGCTTCTCAAAATACAGGACCAGACGACTTGGCCAAACGCAGTGATAGAAATAGTATTTGTTGCTGTCAAGACAGATAGGGACATGGCTGGTTGGCCTCGCAAACCAGGAATGGCAAATATGGCTTCCATTTTGTTTTCAGTTTCAGTCCAAAAGCAAGCATCATCGTTGACATCTGGTACTCGTGATGTGCTGTCGTAGCCAGAAGTCTCGACGGCTTCCAACAAGTCACTTGGAAGAGGTGCATTCAAGTCGTCCATGGTAAGGCCCAGATCCGAGATATCGATTTGCGGTGGTTCCGAACCACCGGAGGAAGACCCCAGCAACTGCGAGGACGAGTGTCCTTCTTGGCATGGAATTGTGAAGGAAGAGCTCGACGCCACCAAGAGCACTAACAGGCAAAGTATTTTGTGAACCATGGCCGTTTTGAGAATCATAATCTTGGAGGAAAATGGTTTTGCCTGGTGAAGAATAAGGTCGATGAACTCATTGCATTTGCAGGTACTCTTCACCAACCACACGAAGAATGAAAATGTTGATGTGTTGAATGAATGACGTGGGTCAATCCAATCGAGCCATTTGGGGTTAAATGAAAAAAGAGGGGGAAGAGGGGGATATCATTCGATGACAGTTTCCCGCACAAGGGTATAGTAAAAGGATCGCACTGCCTTTGTCTTGGAATATAGACTGCCTACAACTATGAATTCGTTACAATGAGATTAAAATGATTATTTTATGAAGCAAGTTGTCGATTTATTGAGCTGATGGTGATGGAACCTCTCATGGTCAAGTCACTGACATCCTTAATGTAGGATATGATGAGCTGGCGGTGTTCGTCCTTTCGTTCGTTTATAATGCAGGGAAACGTTGAACCACTCTTGTGGCTTCCATGTGATATTCGTTGCGTTTGAGGGCTTCCACCAAAGCTCTTTCTTCCAGCGTATTCATCCCGCATAAGTAAAGTAATGTTATGACCAACAAGCTCTGCATCAGATTTATATCCAAACGCCGCTAATGCTGTCCTGTTCAACTTTTGAATCACGCCATCATAGTTGGAGACAATGATTGAATCTGCGGTTTCTTCCAGGACTTCTGGAAGGCCTACCGAATCCGAATCTGTATCAGAATCCGTACTTCGGCTCTTGCCTTTGGCTCCAAAATGTAGTAGCTTTTCCTTGCAAGCCATGTTTCCGCGCAACTCGGCCTCGTCCAATGGTGTTCGATTCCAACGGTCTGTCGCATCAATATTGGATCCAGCCTCACAAAGCACCTCCACCACTTGTGCATGGCCCTCGCAAGATGCCAAGTGCAGGCTCGTCCGTCCATCGTAATCGCATCCATTCATGTCCGCGTCTCCTTCCTCTAGAATGATTCTTACTTCATCAGTAGCTCCTTTAGCCGATGCTGCAATCAAATCGGAAACGGTCGGTTTGAGGCCTCTCTGGGCCCCAAGCTTTTTAAGGAGATGAACGCAGTCGCTGTGTCGGCCCCGGATGGCATCATCGAGTGGGCGGTTACCCCATCTGTCTACCACATTGGCATCAGCGCCAGCTTCACAAAGCAGTTGGATAACCTCTTCGTGACCATAATCTGCAGCAAGATGCAAGGCCGTTCTCTTGTCGTAGTCTCCTTCGTTGATGCTGAGGACACTAGTCGAATGGGCAAGCAATCGCTTTACTTCTTCAACGTTTCCCTCAGATGCGGCAGTAAGGAATTCCTCCTTATTGTAATTTGGTATTGATGACAGGTCGGACAGGTTCTTGATGAAACTGAAAAAAAAGAGATGCGGATTGGTGTCAGTACAGAACAAATACATGATGCAACCCTAACTAACGCTGAAAAGAAACGTACCCTGCAATGTAATTGGGCCCAATCGGTTTGAGACCAATCATGCATGGAAATTCTGTTCCGTCCTTTCGCTTGGCGTACAGCAATCGCTTTTTGCCGCTCTTGTTGGACGAGGCTCGATGGTGCCCAATCACCTTTGAAGGAACCTTGCCCCCTTCCATTGATTTCATATAATTACCGTGATTCATGGCTTCGCCACCGCCGACTAGTTCGGAAATATCTTTTCCGACAAGTTCTTCTTCTGAATCGTAGCCAAATTCTTGGAAAGTCATTGAATTAGCGTATTGTATAACCCCCTTTCGGTCAATCACCACAACGATATCCATGGAATCGTCCCAACTCTCACGATGGGATTCCAGTTTACCAATATCCTGAAACGCCTTCCGTCGGTCGTTTTCACGATGGTGGTTGCTGGCCACAGTGTCAATATTCTTTCCAATCATGTTGTTTTCCGACGTGTAACCAAATTCAGCCAGTGCCGTCTTGTTGGCATATTTGATACTGCCTCCTTTGCCACATACTACAACACAATCGTCCAAGTTGTCCCAAGTATCACGGTTGGTCGCAATCTCCATAGAAATATCATTTGCTTCTTCAATGTCGTTGAGGGAAGTTGGACCTGGATGTCCAGCTTTTTGCTTCTTGGGCATCATCGCATTCAGACCATTAGAAAATAGTTCTCGAATTTCGTCTTCCTTGTGAACCAGTCCCCAAGCAATGACGCGGGAAGCCAGCATGCCAAAGACAACCAACAATCCAATCCAAGAAATTTCAGTCAATTCGTTCTCCCATTGGCTTAATGTAGCAACAAAGATAATCAATCCCCCCTTGGCGATGGTGAGTGCCAGGAGTGGCTTGTGAATCTTTTTATTGATACCTTTGGAACCGCCATCTCGGTTCTTCCATAACCTTTGGAAGGTTTCAGTCATACCCTTATGCGTCACCAACATGAGCTCTAGTGAAATCAAGACGACTGTCAACGAGATGGAAAATAAGGAAGCTGTCATTTCGTTGCTGACACTGACCGAACCCGCCAAGCGCCGCCCATAGGAACTCGCTTCGGCCAAAACTGTAGACAGCATAATCTTGAAACAAACTCCAAAGGCAATCAAACCCATCGAAAGTACTTGGACTAGCAACCCAAACGTCAATTGACCATTGAAGGAACGAAAAATGGCGTGTCCGCTCGACGTACTCGGTTGAGATTCAAAGATCAGGGTATGGACGCACATAACATTCAAGACTCCCAAGCTGGCAATGATAAAGTAATCAGATGACTCTATAGTTTCGACGATCAATAGAGACAGTACACTCTCTCCGATCATGAGCCTTGGGTAGAAAGGAATAAAAAAACAAATGGATCATTAGTAAATGGTGTCGTATCAATCTACAACACGCAATCCAGCCAATATTTACTCACATAATCCATTCTCCATATCTATGAATGACATAGTCCAAGTTGTTGGGCACAAATCTGTCGCGGATATTCGTCTGATCTCCGGAGGCCAAGAACATAGATTTCATCAACGAAAAGGAAATATTGAAGAAATAAGTAAAGCAAATAATACCCAACGGCAAGTCCCTCATTTCTAGCAGAGCGCCTGTATGACAACTGCAATCATCGTCAGTAGCAGCAGCAGCCGCCAAGAAACGACGACCATCGTCAGGACATTCCACTTCCGCAGCCCCCAGCATACGGACTACCAGTAAGCGGCTGCCAGAACTGCAAGAAAAATCGGAGGCCGCCGCCAATTCACGTCTTGTCCCATACGTTGCTGCAGTACTATTCTCAGAATTGCCATAATAATCCGCAGTAGTGTCATAAGTAGATTCATCCTCATCCTTGGGATATGCCAAAATTGCCAACACTAGAGCAGTCGTATACATGACCACGGTAGGCAAGTGATAATTTTGAATGGTCCTCCAGGAATGATTTTCAATGGGAGTTCGGTCTCCCACTGCCTTAAAGTAAACTTCAATCGTCAAGCCCATGCTTATCAAGGCTTCGAATAAGATGGCTGCAATGAAACCAATTGTTTCAAAGGAATGTGCATCTGCCATGAGCGAAATGGGAGTAATAAAGACCATGGCCCCAGCCACGGAAAAGAATTTCAGGCCCCAAATCAAGTGGTGGACTTGATCGAGTACCGTGTAGCGAGACGAGAATGCCAAATCACTGTACCAGGTTTGAAACAAGGCCCCAAAGATTCCCACAAAGTATACGGTACCCCGGAGCCAATCTGTATCGTTGAGGCTTGATATCAATAAAGAACCGAGGTTGTATGCCGCCGCGACAAAGAAGAGGTCAAAAAACAAGTCGCCCCAATTGACATGAGGCAACACTTGGGGTTTTCCATAAAATACCCGTTGCATAGGAGGTGCATAATGTGGAACCTTGCCACCATGACCACCATGATGATCCCCATGATGATCGTCGTGATGATGATGATTATAATCGTCATGATGATCATTCTGCGCTTTGGTTGCATCAGCCTGAACAGATTCCAAAACGGTATCCCATAAGCTTGTTGTTGTGGTTGCATCAGACAGTATCGAATTGCGTTGTCCCAAGGCACTTGCTAAACTTTGAAGATTCTTTTGATAGGCACTGTCAGTCGATTGCTCACGCAAGGACATGCGCTGCTTTTGTCTGGGAGGGGCTGGTCCTTGGACGGCAGTATGGAAGGTACTTGAAGAAGTAGGCCGCGAATGATGGAACGAATGACGATGCAAGTTACGCTGTGCCTTCAGATGGTCTTCGTAGGATTGAGTCTCATTATCAGAGTTCATTTCGGAAGACTCATCAATGCTCATCAAGGAATTGGGCAGATTTGAATGATTCGATTGTGGATGATTCATCATGATACAGTGCTTATTGTTTCGGTTTGACAATGATGATGTGATGTGTTTTTTCCTTCTTGCTTATTCCTGTGGTCGGTCTTGTTTCATCTCCAAGGAATTATTTCCAATGGGATGCGGTGTGTTGATGTGATGATGTATACGGTATGTTTCAGTGTACTGTAGGTTTGCTGTCACCGAAAATCAGGTCCTAAAATTGTGTCAAGTGTTTTTTTGAAAATGGACGGTCCTTTTTTATTTATGTGGAAAGCGGCGGGAAAGAAAGAAAGTGGGAAAGCATTGAGACCGCGCGCGACACCAGTATCATATGATTGGCCCCGTTGATAGCTTGACAGAGTGTTCGTTTTTTATCTGGCAAGAAGTTTGATTTTTCTATCGTGAAAAATGAGAGGACAAACATATTTGCTTACACCAATAATGGGGTGTTCAAAACAAAGGATCCAAAATAGCAGAGCTTCTTTTCTAACTCAAAACAGCATTTTACAAGATTGTTATGTATATCACAAAAAGTAGTCAATCCCAACAGGGCACGGTGTTCAGCAGGTCCGTCTGCGGATTCTGGCTGCTGACTGAATCTACCAACACTGTACTCTATACTACTGGAACCAGCATTCGTCCCAACCCCCGCTTAGTCTTACTAGACATTGTCATCCTCAAGTCCTCCGCTACGATCTTCGTCGGAAGTAGGCGGGGTCTCGTTTCTTGCCTCGTTATTGGCTTCTTCATTTCTGCTGGTGCTGTTACTACTAGATGGACCACCCAGGTAGGACTTGATGCTTCCGGGTGCAATGATACTTGCTGTACTCGACGGCTCTGGATTGTCCAACGATAATTCCGGTACTGCTGGCAATCCGATGGGGGGTGTCAAGGAGGAACGCTCCGGCGATCCCTGTGGCGTTGATTGACTGGCGTGACTGGATACTGAACTAGCAGCAGATGGTACTGCACTACTTTCCTTGGCCATCCAATGATTGCTGCCGTCATTGGCGCCAAGGGTGCCAACAAAGGATGTTGAAAGATCGTTGGAATACGGCACGGATCGTCTGTGCAAGGTTTGGCTTCCTCTTGCTTGAGAGTCGGAATTCAAGTTGTTCTGTGTTTGTCGAATCGAGTCGGCAATGATTTTTCGTTGGGATGCATCGTTGTGCATGGCATGCTTCCGAACGTGATTCATCTTGGGGATGAAAATGACCAATAGCACCACCATGCAAATGATGAAAATCATCAAAGACATGGTCCAGTACCACGCCCTGGGATCATTTCGTACCAATACTAGCAAGGGCATCCCAATCAAAGACACTTGTAACATGGATACCAACGCCATGGCCACAAACTTGGATTCTGCAAATTCACTCTTGATTTTTCGAGCACGGTATGCCTGCCAACTAGCGACTACCATGACTCCCACATTCAATAACCCGAGCACCATGGAATAAGGGAAAGGGTCGTCGGAGAGACATCCTCCCCAGGTAGCAATGACTCGATTCCAGGCATCGGTTCCTTCCAAGTCCGAGCGCCGAAAGGTTAGTGGATCTGCTAGAGTCCACCATAGTAGTGTTGCCGCGTTGGCCGTCAACAAAATTCCCATTGGAATCATCACATCCGTGGCCTTCAATGTAACCCTCTTGAAACGGGCACTCGATTGAAAGAGATGATTGATTCTCCATAACTTGGCAAAGAGTGCGGCAAATATCAAGGTGAATCCAATAAAGAGCATCCATGGAATGGTCATGCACCGAAGGTCTCCCAGTTCTTGTGTATAGTCGGAAGCCGAATCATCAAAACTAAGTGGCAGAATGGAGGACCCCATGATCAAGACTCCCACCGCCACCAATGCCAAAAACCCCGGCTGTGCGGCCTGCACCACACGCACCGATCGATTGACAAAGGTCCAGCTCAAAAAGAAGAGACTAGTCAAGCAAATGACTCCAAACAAGGCAAATCCGATATATTTCAAATCTCCCAAGTGATTTTGGTTGACGGTAAGATCCGGCAAAATTAGGGGCACCATGACATGTTCCAACACGTTGGTCCCTTGGAAATCCGGAATCTTGGCCTCATGTCCCGCCAAGGCCAGTGTTTTCAAGCTGAAAAGTGAATCCATGCTCATGGAACCCATATTGTAGGGCAATTGCGCAACTAACCCCGCCACCTTGCCTCGTGCCAAGAAATCCAATTGGACTTGGAGTCCGTCGGCCACGACAAAGATCACCTTTGGAAACTCCTCTACCAATTCGGTCCAAAGGTCGCCCAAAAACATGGGACCTCCCACCACTGGCACAATGGCGGTGACGTTGTGGTTGCGAATGGCATTTCGCATCAAGTCAATCGCATAAGTATAATTCCCTTTGGCATCAAGTGGACTCACACCACTCAATTCGTTCCAGACTGTCTTGGCTTCTTGTTGCAAGGACGCTCGGACTCCATTCTCTCTTGCCATGACATTGGGAGTCTGGTCCGATAGAATCATGTAATTCCCACCCGTGGGTTTGATTTGAATCAAGACTTTGCCCAACTGTTCCCCAAAAAAGAAATTGTCCGTGCCAATATAACTTGCTCTTCCACTTTGTGGATCGTCGCTGTCAAAGGTCACGACGGGGATTCCCTTGGCAATCGCATTTTGAATGACGGGTCTCATGGGTTCCGCTTTGAGAATGCTAATAGACAGGCCATCAATATCTCCTTGATCAATGAGAGATTGGACAATCTCGGCTTGTTGGGTACCATCGGGATCAAAGTCCGAGGGTCCTGTATAGAGGCATTCAATGTCGACGCCTTGTTGCGAGGACAAAAACTTGGCACGATCCATACAACCATCTTTGGTAGCGGCAAAGAAGATACTGTTGACTCGTTTGGGCACCAAGGCAAACTTGTAACCTTGAATGATAGTACTACATTGTGAAAGTAGTAGTAAGATAAGCGAAAGAGAGGCTATTCGCACTCCAGAATAGCTTGGACGGCCTCTCATCTGTGCTTTGTCGCTCTCTCTTTGTTTTGTGAAAACGAAATGATGGTACCGAAACAAAAGCTTCAGTGTCTACGGTACGAGGGATAAAAACGTCGAAGTGCCTAGAAGAATGAGGGCATTGTAACTTTTTCGTGTTCATCTCTAAGTAAAAATTCCGTAACCTATTCGGATTTTTTTGAAAACGGCACTCAGCTGTTTTTAGAATATAAAGGATGTACCGTTACAGCAAATGAGAAATAACGTTCGATGACTTTTATTTCTTCCAACAACAATTTCGAACCGCCAATACTCACTCGTTTCTGAGGTGTCAGGTGTCAGATGCACGGTTCAGGTTCGTTTTACTCGAAGCTTTGGAAACATAACGGACCATCGGACAGTTTGCCGATAGGTTTTCATAACTTCGCGTTTACTTATGCCACGCGTGAATGAAATAACGTCTTTCAGAACTCAATTGTAACCGTTGACGAAATCGCTCCACGCGGTCATACTGGATCTTTTCCAATGCCCTCTTACGTTTTTACTGTTTCTCTTGAGATCAAACTTAGTCCGGGGAGTGTTGGTCTGTAGCTTCAGATCTTGTGTTTTGTTTGTGTTGTAATTCATTTGGAATATACCATACCCTTAGCAACAACACTGCTGGATCGGGAAGACACTGAAAGACATTTGGGGGGAATACGGGTGTCTACCGCAGTCATTTATAATAATTTGCAGAGTGTTTTCACATTGATTTTCAGTTGAAGCACATCTTGTTTCCTTTCCGAAGTGTGTATATTCAACATTGCTGCAGCTGATCAAACGAAAGAATCAATCCAAGCAATAACAGCAATAACAACAACAGCAACAACAACAGCAATAGCAGCAATAGCAGCAATAACATGGGTAACGGAAACAGTCGTCGCTATTACAACGAGGACGAAGAAGTCCCCAAAAAGGTGGCCAAATGGCTGGCAGAATTGGATCACGTTCGAGAATTGAATCAAATGCTCAGTGAAGAACGCAAGATCATTACCAGCAGCATGGAACAAGAACTCTATGACAAGCAGGTCGAATTGTTTTATCTCGGCAAATCGGCCACCAAACACATTGGATTTCGAGGTTACTTGCGAATCATCAACAAGGTGTCCCCACGGACGCAGGCAGATTTTATGAAACCGGACGATTACGACGCGTCGAAACCACCACCGACCAAGTCCACGGCGATGGTATTGCGATCCGCCATTTTGAATTTTTCGCTCTTTGCCATGTTTGAAGCCTGGTTGTTGAAACGGATGCACTTTGTGAGCATTCAAAAGCATCAGCGTCGATTGCATCAAAAGGGATGGAAGTCCATTGTGGCCTTTTATTCAGAAGAAATTCCAGTCATTCAAGAAATCTTTGCCAAACAAGAACCTGCTCTCAGGGAGCGTGTGGAAATTGGCAAGAAGGAAAATATGGATTTATTGGAGGAATACGAAACCAAGATCTTTCAACAAGAAGAAGAAATTATGAGATTGCGCAAGAAACTGGAAGAAATGCAACTTGGTGACGGCCACGTTGGTGGTATTGCCGAAGAAGAAGTAGAAGAAGAAAAGCTACCGAGGAGTAGACCGAGAATGAGTTTGGACCAGGCCTTTCCAGGAACCACTGACAAGCACCGCGAATTCAACAAGGCTCGATCGCCGGTTCAAGCATTGATTCGGAAAATGAACAAGACCAATTCCATGAGAGATATTGGTGCTCCAGGACTTGAGGGTGACAGCAACGATAAGCCGCGAACAAAGGGATGGAGAACGGATAATACTCGAACTTGGGGCGCTGATGAAAGTGAAGATGAAAGTCTGTACATGGAGGAGAAGGAGACGGATGTCTTTATTGGGGACGACAACGACGATGACAAGCTCGCTGCATCGGAAAAGCGGGACTACAAGTCTCCCGCTTCTGACGAATGGAGCGACAAGTTGAAAGAACCAAAAGGACCTGAAATCAGTGTCCAAAATGACAATGATGACGCTGTCTCTGCCATTACCATGCCCCATGCGGCAGTCTCGGCCGATTCCGTTTCGACTGGAGACAGTTTGGACGATGGTCTCGCTGCCTTGAAAACCAATTCATCCTCCAAGGACGATTACAGTGTCAACTCGGCCAAACACTCGGTCTCGAATGCCAGTGCTGGAAGTGGCGGTGGTGGTGCCGGTGGAAGCCTTACTAGCTCGCAACGAAAACAAAGCCGTGACAAGGAGGCCATTCGTTTGGAACGGGAACGATTAGAAAAGGCCAAGTTGGACCGCAAGCGACGAAAGGAAATGGAACGAGTGGAGCGAGAATCATTCTACAAACAAGAACGTGAACGTTTGCAACATCAAGAAAAGAGGCTCACCATGAAACGAGAAGAGTCTATTCGCATGCGCCAGGGGCGACTTATGGACGTGGTCGTGGACGAGAATGCAGAAGATAGTGATGATGGTAAAAGTATGGATGATATTCTAGACATGGATGACGAGGAACCTCCGGATGAATTCATGGATGCTCTCGAGGAAGTCGAAGACGAGGTAAAGAAACCACCCTCCGTCAGTAGATCCTATGACGAGGATGACGAAGATGAGTTACAAGAGAGACCACGCAGGTCATCGTCTCATTCCAAGGAATTTCTCGATGCAGAGGAAGATGGAGATGATGACGAAGAAGATGAAGACGTCGTCGGCTTGAACGATCTGAACCTTGGAGAAGCACCCAAGAATCGAAACTCAATGTTTAGCCCAGAGCATCACCCGTCCATGGACACTGACGCTCTGCTCATTCACGAGTCTGAAAAAGTGGAAAAGTTGGATCGTCGACGAATGTGGCAAAAGGATAAAGCCGACAGTGACAGGGAACTGTCTGTTGACGACGACGATGATAGTATCGGAAATGAGCTGAAACGATTGGAGGAGTTTGAAACTGCGATTAATGCTGATGACGAGGAAGTTGCAGCGTCCAACATCTCGGATGACTTTAAGCTGCTACGAAGCTCGTCAGGACGTGATCTGATGGGACCGGAAGATGGCAGTGGCGGAAGGTCCAGGTCCCGATCTAGAGGCCGACTGGGCGACTCTCGGTCCCAATCCAGAGGCCGACTGGGCAACTCCCGATCTCGATCCAAACCCAAACTAGGCGCGGGGAGGTCCGCAAGTCTTGGTAAGCGAAGGGTAAAGGCAGCCAATTCTGACGATGAATACGAAGATTTTGATAATTCAAAAGTCCGCTCTGCCTCAAGGGGTCGCACATCTGAAGCTGTGCCAACGGATGATTCCAAACGATCCAAATCGTTGAACAAGAAATCAAGGCGCAAATTGAAGGATCATTTGGAAGCATCCGAACAATCTGACGATGTATCGGTCTACTCCAAGGGTTCTAAATCTGGCAAGAAGAAGAAAAAGAAGGCGCGTAGAAAGCTCAAGGGAGCTGATGGCTCTAGCGTTGTTGATGGCCAAGAAGAAGTGGTCGTCCGAAAGAGGAGGAAGAAAAAGAAGAAGCCCAAGCAGAATCCTGATGATCTATCTTCCGACGACGACGAAGACATGACTGTGACCTCTGCTCTCACCTCTGGCTCTTACGAGTAGGTAGTGATCGAATGTCTGTTTATGTTTGTGTTGAAATGATATTGGGCAACCAAACGTTTGTTTAAAAGTTTGCTGCGGATATTAATACGAGATATAACAGTTTTATTCACGTGGTATATTCACTTTGTAAAGAAACAATCAAAGTACAGGGATACAACTATTGTAGTTAGTCTTCAATGATACAGCCGATTGAATCGGTACTCCTACAGACAAGATTTGCTTTAATGATTGGTTATGAGAATTATTTTTCGATCGTTGATTATGAGTATTCCTTTTTGGTTTCGGTTTGAAAATGCATATGGTGCCCCCTTGCCCATTTGCAATTTTTGAATGTGGATTATGAAATTGAATTGGGATCAACCAATTAATTGAATCAAATCTGAATGTCGTCCGAGGTCATTACAATAATGACTGCCACGAGGAAGAATAGAATGACTGCAAAGATGCAAGCCATAGAAATTAGACATTGTACCGTGGGATCTCGAGTGGCATTCTGAAGAAATGCCCACATGGTTCGAGGCTCGTGTTGGTTCTTGTTTTTCGGGTACCCACCACTGCCGTATTCCTCGTCCTTTACCACATTGGACTGTAAAGTAGATGGGGTACCCGGTTTGTTTTGGATAGCAGCAGAACGGTAATCCATTCGCGGTGGACTAAGATAGGATACATCTTCTCCAGTCAGAATTCCCCTCGAGACGGGCAAATCGTCTGGCAGTTCGGTTCGTAGTATACCAGTGTCCTTGGTCAAGGAAGTAATAGTACTGTGCCCAATGGAAGGTTCGTCCCCTTGACTGGTACCAAAGCCAGCGCTGTAGGCATTTGGATCGTAGTAGGCATCATAGTCCTGGGTTGCCTCTTGTTTGGGAGCCTCCGGATCGATAATCGAATAGGCTTGCCGTTCCTCCTCCATGTAATGGACGTCTTGTTGCTTGATAAAGGTGTCCTTGGTGAGCGTACTGCCATCGTGGCCGTCCGTGTAGAGACTCCCATCATCCGTACTATTCGCAGCGGATGAGGAGCCAAAGGGATTTTGTTTAGTTTTGGGATTTTGTTCATCAACCAGTACAACATTAGGAGGGGTCATCCTGCCACCTTCCTTTGGTACCACATTGGAAAGCTGGCGTATTATTTCCTGTTTGGGGACTTCATTGCTGAACTGTCGTGCATGTGAAGGTTGTGGATGATTCATTTCTGGAAGCATCATGTTTGGAACCATCTGAGTATTATGATGTTCCACAACTTGAATGATTGGTTCAAATGGAGTTGTTGTCTTGTGCCCATGTTGTCCAATCTTGGGGGTTTCGTCATTCATTGCAGGCTCAATGACTTCGACCGACATGTAGGACCCACCATCTTCTTCACCACCTGTGACTGATGGATTCAGGGAAACTGTACCTCCCTTGTTGTTCGTGTGTGTTGAATGAACAGAGGGAGTGCTTTTCTGTTCTATATCGCTAGTGGTACTCATCGCCACGCTGTTGTTGTTATTGTGATTAGAAACTTTTGCCTGAATGTTATTGCTGGTGTAAATGGAATCTGAATCGATAGTTCCGTTCTCACGAAGGGAGTTATGACCCTGCTGTTGAAAGGACGTTATACCGGTTTCTTTGGATCGGTTCGACTGAAGCTGACTTGCTGCAGAAGCACGAGGCCCCACAAGTGCATCGATCAGCTGATTATCGGTAGCTTCATGGGATGGTCGAATCAAGGCAGGAGAATCCTTTTCATCGTCATTTGTTTTCTTCTCTTCTTCAACATCAAAGTCGTTGCTAGGTGCGAAATGTGCGCTGTCGTGAAGCATTTTTTCAGCTTGATTGAGATTGTTCAGATCTGAATTCAGAGAGTGCAGAGATTCAATTGTGTAGCTGTCTGTCATTTTGAATCAATCAGAAGCCCAAGTCCAGTCGATAACTTTTAGAAAATTGATGCTTGCATGTGTCAAGATCTAATTCTCTGTCACAGGCAAACCCACAGAATTACCCTCCAACATGACTGTGCACGTGACAAAATATGACAGCCCTGTCATTTTCGTGCGAACAGACTCGCTGCCATAAGCTAATAAAATGTTTTAGATGCGGACAGACTCGCTGACTATAAGCTAATAAATGTTTTCAGGCATCGTTTTGGCGGGCCAAATATTTTTAATATGTGCCATTGTTTGCTTACGAGGAAAAAGTACCATTGCCGAGTAGGCCCGCCGCCATATTCTTCAGTCGTTGAAGATCAACATTTGCAATGCTAGTCGCGGCTGAACGGACAATAAGAAATAAGATGAGATAATTTTTTATCTCTCCAAAACTTGAAACGCAAGATGATAGATATGGTACAACAAGATGAAAGAAAGGAGTCAAATCTGAAGTCTACATATTCAATCTGCACATGGTTCTTTTAATGCCGATAATAACTCATCCAAAAAACAAGTACACGTATGCATTCATACCAGAATCAATGCTCTGAAATTCAGAATGCACCGACCATATCCAAATCTTGGGTTGCCAAAATGTCGTAGATGCAATCTTGAATGGCCAGAGGATCTTTCAATTGGCTCGCGCAGGCAGCTTCCGCCTCTTCCAAACTAATGTTACTCTCGGTCAAGCGGCGTTGACGGTCACCTTGAGGATTCTCGGGTTCCAGGCATTTCTCTGGAAATTGAGGCTTTTCCAAAGCATGAAACAGCTTGGGTTCAAAACCAGGAAGAACTTGCCACTCATTGCCTAGCTGTACAAAGTCATTCAAGACAGTGACTCCATCGCGTGCAAAAGTCTTGCCAGTCTCATAATCACCGAGTAGACCCACAGTGTTGCCATAAGCTTGTTTGCCACCATGGAGCTTGACTCGAACGAATTCCTTGTAAATCTTGACGACAATCTTGGCATTGGGGTATACCGAATCCAAATCAATCTCATACACACTTTTGGACACACTTGAAGCGTGATACGAAATGGGGAATCCACCCAAGGTCTTCAACTCGCCTTGATATTCATAATTGATCCAGTACTTGGCTTCACTGTGTTCCGGATTCCCTTGAATCTCCAAGACATCATTGCCAATTCGAATGCCCACATTCTTAATATAAGACCAGAACCGAACCAGTTTGGTTCGAATGTGCACATTCAATCCCGTGGCGTTGGCAAACGTTGGGTCCTTGACCATGACCAAATCGCACTGTCCATGGAATTCATAGTGTTCTTTGGTCCACGTCACAAAATGGGGATCACCACCCACTTGTGGATCTTCTGGACCTACCGTTGGCATGGATGTTGGTCCACTGGTTGGACCACTCGTTGGTCCAGAAGTAGGAACGGCACAATCTCCGCCCGCCGTGGACACTTGCAGCGATGCTACCCCATTGGCAATGGAAAGGACTTCGACTGAGATTTCTCCATTTGGAACGCCATTGAAATTAGTAAACGTCTCGCCCTCGCCAGCATTCAACAAACCAACCAAATACGAAAAGTCTCGCTCAAGACCTTCTCTAGGTTGTGTATTGATAATGACTTGGTTCGCTCCCTCTTGAGTTCCTTGATTGATCCCAGTGGCATTGTTGTAGGTCAAATAGTAGTCTTCGCCGCTGGAAATATCTTCGATTTTCATCAAGACCCAGTCCACATTGGCATCGTCAAACGAAACGATGCCTCCAATGTCCACTTGACATGGATTGCACTGCGATGGCGTGCAAGTATACGTCTTGGAGGAATACCAGCCTAGTTGATAGGACTTGGCTGCATTGAAACACATTTGGGGTGCATGGATGTTGCCATAGGAGAATCCCATCTAATTTTTCAAAAAATGATAGAAATTAGCAACAATGCACGGGTAAATCAAAGTTGGTAACCAATCAATGGTCGTTATCGTGTACCGGTACTTACATATCCAACTTGATCCGCGTATTCGGCATTATTTCGTGGTGTAAAGAGAGTATCCGATGCATGATGCAAATCCAGATTATGCCCAATCTCATGAATCCCAAAGCTAACGTAGGTGCAAACATTGCTATTGTAGACCGTCAGGTAGGAATTGAAATATCCAATCGCATCCGTTCCCGACATGGTACTTGGTGGCAAACACAACATGACAAAGTCGGCTGGGTTCCGAGCACCATTCTGGTCAAAGAGTTGATCTAAAATGTCATTGATGTATGCCAGAAACTGCTGGTAACTGGTGCCATTATCAATATTGCCCGAACCAGGTTGGACCGTGGTAGCCACAGTGGCAACCCCGCCGTCCAATCCATTGCCAGTGGCGGGCTCGAGATTAAATTGGTTAAAGGAACAGGCCGAGAACTGAGTGCGGACATTGACATCGCCGGTGCTCAATACTTCAGTTTGCAAAGTGGCAGTGGTGGGTGTAGTACGCTTGCCGGCTCCATCGCTCGAAACTCGGATAATGGCCAGGGAGTAAGTTCCAATTTTTCGAGCGCTGGTCAATTGGCGCTGATCTTGGAGAACCCGACCATGGTAGTCAGTGGTAATAACCTCGCTTTCAACATTGAGCAAAATGGGCTCTTGATCCAACATGTAATCATTGACCAAAGTGCCCAACGGGAATCGTAATCGAGTTTCCCCACTCTTCAAATCGCCAGTAGCAATCTTGCCTTGAATCCAATTCGAGTCGACTTGGGGAACTCCCAACAGCTGGTATTCATCAGTGAGGCAGGTCAAAAAGAGTCGAATAATGCCGTCCGATGCTCCATCGTAGTCTGAGACGAGTCCCAAACAGTCCAAACCTCCAACCGAAGCTACTTGTCCAGCTGAAAAGGTAGTCGGAATTTTGTGATCAGCTTTTGCCGTGGTGATTATCATGGTAGTCGACACTACTAGTAGTAGCCATGCGGAAAGGAACAACGATGGCTTCATGATCATAAAAACGGAATTAGCTTTCGTTTCGGCGTCGTCCTTTTTATGGTGGATGGAACTGGTGTCGTCGTTTGAGAATGAACAAACGAGATGAAATCAAAATGTACATCATCATGTCCTCTCCCGAATGATTACAATATTGAAACGCCTCAGTGCCGGCAAGAAAGCGTTGCCATACAGTATAGCCACCGTTGCAAGATTCGTGCGTTTGAGAAGATTGGACATGATCAGGCTTGGATAATATATATTCTATTTTCAATGTGTACGACCAGTAGATACAGTATGTGGTGATGATAATGAAAATGATGAATGCTCCGAATATAACCAAGACGTGGAATGAATGTAGTTTCAATAGTTGCGACACAGATGTGGATGACGTCATAAAACAATAAGTGGACGTTTGTCACGCCTACCTATACAGTAATATGTTTGGAATTCATCACCGGTGGAAAGTCGAAAATAGGGACAAATTTTTTAAGACAAGCCAAAGGATTTCCCGAACAATATATTACCAACTTTATTTTTTTTTTAAAAACAGCGAACATGCGTATTCACTGACGGAAATATACTCGTCAGCTTCTAGGTCTACATCTTCCTCGAAAAGCAGAATTTAGTAAGCGTTTTCCGAAAATTCATGCATCTCTAATGGAACTTGAACTTCATCTTCAACATCACCGTCATCTTCAAACACAAAGTATATTATATTGCTGTACCATTCATCTTCAACAACAACTTCATCTTCAACAAAAGACGATGTCAATACTGTAATCTACAGGAAAAGAAATTGTTGGGTGTTCTACGGTCCCGTCACTCTTTCGACAGATTGTTGCTCACAAAATTATTTCAATTGCAATTATTTCTACTGTCGCAAACACCAGTGCCATCATGCAGGACCATACTCCACTCAATACTTCAGATGATGAGCTCCTTTCTCTGGTTAAATTCGATCTACAATTGTCAGAAGAGTCTCTTGCTGAGTCCTACTCTGCTGGTGTTGACAGCATTTGCCCAGAGTATTTCGAACAACCCTTCGACGACCCAGACATGGAGCTCTCAGATCGCAAGCGTAGAACCAGTTCCACTATCATTTCAACCCACACCAAAGCCTTCCTTTCAACAGGAGTCTAGAGAAGCAGATCTTATCCAAAGTGCGTTATCCATTTTGTTCGAGCCGGCGGATGCTATCGTCCGGAGCAAAAGGAGCACCGACAACCTCCTGTCAGATATTAGTGCCCACTCTCAAGAATCCAACAAGCGCCCGAGACTCCTCGGCCCCCAAGAGGTCTTTTCTGATCAAACGGTGATGCGATTCCGCCCGTATCAAGATCAGCAATGGAGTGGAATGTTCCAAAAACTAGTCCAGTACAGGCTCAAACATGGCCACTGCCGGGTGCCTCATTCCTATCAAGAAGATCGCATGCTTGCCCGATGGGTCAAAAGACAGCGATACCAGCACAAGAAGCTCAAGTCCAATGACCCTTCGTCTACCATGACAGCCCATCGTATCCAACAGCTCGAGTCCATCGGCTTTGTTTGGCATTCTCATGCATCTGCATGGCAGGCAAAGTTCGAAGAGCTCAAGGCTTTCAAGCAAAGCACTGGACATTGCAATGTCCCATCGGACCATTCCAATAATTCTTCGTTGTCAGCATGGATCAGATGTCAGCGAAGGCAGTACAGATTGTGGAGTTATGGTGCTAACTCTACCATGACCGAAAAGCGATATGAGGTGTTGAAGTCGTTGGGGTTTACTTTTGAGAAATATGGAGGATTGCAGCGATCCCAAAGTGTCTAAGCGCTTGGTATTGATACCGGCCAACTAAAACTTGTATGAGATTGTATTAGTTATTGATTATGTATTGAGTGATCGTAGCTTCTTTACATTTCACGATAGATGCATCGATCTGGTAGTACAGTATGGGATGCAAAATGTGAGGAACATGACTGGCGAAAGGTATGCCGTAATTGTACTTGAAACAAAAGATCCGGCATTGATATAAAAAAGTTTTGGCAAAGGTTGGTTTGAAGCTTTGAGCCCCGGCCTGACAGTGGCTGTGTTGGGCGCTCTTCTACGGTACTTGCTTGAGCCACAAAGAACAGAAGAGTATTTGCGCTCATCGGCACAATAACGAGTGCGGTCATTGACGGCGAAAGTTTATCGCCGATAGGGCATTGTTGGCACCACGCACTACGTACACCTGCGCGTATATCGAAGATGCCGGTTTTTCTCCTGAAATGCGACGCACGTGTTATTCTTATTTCAACCGAACCAAAACTTCAACCGAACATTTTGATGGCGGTCAAATAGTAGAGGGGATTGGAAAATGGCCTAGCGAGCAGAAGTGTTATTTTTTTCATTCACTTTCATGTCATAAAATTGGAGTGATGGTCTTCGATACCCAGTACGATAATCTCTTTGACGAAAAATCGTCTTGCTTTGGCATTTCATATGAAAGTGTTTTGTCACTCATGAGCCATCCTCTACAATCCAATCACAAGGTCATGCAACATCCATCTCACCACGATTCGTTCCAGGAACCTTTCGATGATCCGGATATGGAGCCTTTGCCTATTGGAGACCCCATGTCAGATCTGAATCTGTCGCTTCTCTCCAGCTCTATACTTGCTCCTGGAGGAAACCTTGAATCAAACGAACAGGAAAACACGGAGCCAAGTTTCTTGTCTCCACTGTCATCTTCCTTTTTCACTTCGACCGATGAAACTGTTGGAAGCAAGGACAGCAACGACGATGTCTTTTCGTCTACAAGTAACCCTCTCGATTCTGTGCACCAGCAATTATTCCGCCAAGTTTCGTCTGACAAAACCATGATGATGCGATTCCGCCCGCACCAAGACCGCAAATGGAGGGGAATGTTCGAAAAACTTGTCCAGTACAAGCACAAACATGGACACTGCTGCGTTCCCCATTCCTATAAAGAAGACAAAATGCTCGCCCGTTGGGTCAAGAGACAGCGCTATCAGCACAAGAAATTCGAAGATAATGATCCTGCCTCCACCATGACAGCCCAACGCATTGACTATTTGAACTCTATCGGATTTGTTTGGCATTCCCATGCATCTGCATGGCAGACAAAGCTCAACGAGCTGAAGACTTTCAAGCATAAAACAGGACATTGTGATGTGCCCTCACACTATCCTGAGAATGTTCCATTGTCTGCATGGGTCAGATGTCAGCGAAGGCAATACACTCTCTGGAAATCTGGTTGCACATCGACGATGACATCACAACGGTTCGAGCAACTACAGTCGTTGGGGTTTACCTTTGAGAAATCAACTCGCTGTCAAAATAGAGAAATTTTAGAAAGAGTTTAAAACTAGAAGTTGTCAAAAAAGATTTGCATACAAATGATTATTTCTATGGACCTATTGCAAAATACAAGATACCAGTACAGTAGGAGACCACGAATTTTGGTTTTTGAACAATCCGGGACTGTCTTTTCCGGGAGTCATTCGAGAACCAAGTTTTGCATTATGATCCCTTCGCTTGGGTTCTTCTCTATCGCTGCCATCTCAAAAGAACGATACACACAGTACAAGTACTGTAGACAACAGGCCCTTAATTGTCCTGGATTGGGTCAGTTTTACATGTTTGACTTCAAATCCGATTGGGGAGTCCTCGTAATGTCTTAGAGGCGGCGGCCGCCCGGGCGGGGGCTCAATCTCAAACAGAATGAATCATGATGTAGTTTTCCAGGGCCGACCAGAAAGGTAACTCCGAAACAAAGGCACTGCAGAGCTTTTTAAGATAAGCGCACTTCGGAACAGCCTACTAACAATATTACCTTCCGGCCACTTGATATCGGTCGGAATAACCGCAGGCCTACTATAGTAGCACCATGGCGCTGCATTGACACAAAGAATCACAATAAGTCTATTGTGACAATGTATATACGCTAGCAACTTAACGAAGATTGCCGATCATGGCTTACAGCGGGTATTAAAAAAGCAACTCCTTCTTCAGCCACAAAGAACAAGGTACACGTACAAGTACCGGTATTTACATTCTATCCAACGCAAATGTATCACCGTTGCGGGCGCAGTTGGCGCCTCAGAGCGCGTTGTGGAGCGAAAGGGTTTTGCCGTAATAATAGAAAAAACATCCAAAACAGTATTTTTAAAATATTGATAAAATGTCGGAATTTTCTTTCGCCGTGAACATGATATATAATGGAATGACAGCTGAAAATTTTTATAGGTATGACGAAGGGCCAAAAGCTTTCCCGAACAGTCAGTCAAAAACTTCATCTTCAATACAAAAAAAGAACATGGCTATTCTCTGACAAGTTTTCCTAGTGTTCCCACAACTCTTTTCACACCGATTATGCTCACAAAATTGAATTCCAGTCAGGTTTAACCTATGATGATTTCCACTTCCACAAATACCAAAGTCACCATGCAGAGCTATACTCCATCCGTGACCTCAGATGATGATCTTCTAGCATCGCTCTTTAAATTCCCTCCAACCTCTTTGGGAAAGTCTCCTGCTGCTGAGTCCTCCCCTACTGATGTCACCTACGGCGTTTGCCCAGAGTCTTTCGATCAACCATTCGATGATCCAAACATGGAGCCGACGTCCTTCAGGTCTCACGCCATCACAAGCATGGAACCAGTTCCACTATCGTTTCTGGTCACATCTAAGCCTTCCCTTCAACAGGAGTCTAGAGCAGCAAACCTTGTCCAAAGTGCGTTATCCATTTTGTTCGAGCCGGCGGATGCTATCGTCCGGAGCAAAAGGAGCACCGACAACCTCCTGTCGGACATAAGCGCTCACTCTCAAGAATCCAACAAGCGCCCGAGACTCCTCGGCCCCCAAGAGGTCTTTTCTGATCAAACGGTGATGCGATTCCGCCCGTATCAAGATCAGCAATGGAGTGGAATGTTCCAAAAACTAGTCCAGTACAGGCTCAAACATGGCCACTGCCGGGTGCCTCATTCCTATCAAGAAGATCGCATGCTTGCCCGATGGGTCAAAAGACAGCGATACCAGCACAAGAAGCTCAAGTCCAATGACCCTTCGTCTACCATGACAGCCCATCGTATCCAACAGCTCGAGTCCATCGGCTTTGTTTGGCATTCTCATGCATCTGCATGGCAGGCAAAGTTCGAAGAGCTCAAGGCTTTCAAGCAAAGCACTGGACATTGCAATGTCCCATCGGACCATTCCAATAATTCTTCGTTGTCAGCATGGATCAGATGTCAGCGAAGGCAGTACAGATTGTGGAGTTATGGTGCTATCTCTACCATGACCGAAAAGCGATATGAGGTGTTGAAGTCGTTGGGGTTTACTTTTGAGAAATGTGGAGGATTGCAGCGATCCCAAAGTGTCTAAGCGCTTTGTATTGATACCGGCCAACTAAAACTTGTATGAGATTGTATTAGTTATTGATTATGTATTGAGTGATCGTAGCTTCTTTACATTTCACGACAGATGCATCGATCTGGTAGTACAATATGGGATGCAAAATGTGAGGAACATGACTGGCGAAAGGTATGCCGTAATTGTACTTGAAACAAATGATCCGGCATTGATATTTAAAAACTTTAGCGAAAGCTAGGACGCCAATAAACTTGAAGCTTTGGGCCCCGGCCTGACAGTGGCTGTGTTGGGCGCTCTTCTACGGTACTTGCTTGAGCCACAAAGAACAACAGGGTATTTGCGCTCATCGGCACAACAAATACGGTTTTGAGAGAATACTGCAGAGAAATAGTCTATCTTGTTGGCACCACGTCATGGACGAAAGAGTTCGTCTTACTAGAGTGTCTTTCGACGAGGAACGGCCTATTGTCAGCGCACCAGACGCTAGACCAAAAAGTTAACTGCGAAACGAAGAGACTTGAGAGATCGAGGATTATCGCACTTTGGAACAGCCTATTTCGGGTATTATCCTCCGCGTGTTCACGATCGCAGCACAATCCTTGAAAAGCGCCACTTGTTTTATTAGAGAGGAGCGGAACGGTTTTTCCGAAATGCCAGAGAGACATTTCAGACAACCTGCGATACTAGCTAGTAAACGTTGCCGATCAAACCAAAAAAATACTTTCTAGAAGGTTTTGATGATGGTCATTTATAGGGATTGCCCCCGTGGCATCTCTCTTTCGGTGAGCAAAGGAGGAGCTTCTGCATTATTCTCCGTATCTTTTTTCTTCACAACATTTCATTTTGCCGTCATAAAATTGAAAAAGATGATGTTTGATTCGCTATACGAAAATACGCAGTATGATAATCTCTTTGAGGAAAAATCTTCGTCCTTTGACATTCCATATTATGGTGGGCTCTCGCTCATGAGACAACCCCTGCAATGCCCTGCTGAGGTAGTACTACAAGCTACAAAGCAGAACGAGCAGCAACAACAACACTGTGAATCATTCCCGCAGTCGTTCCAAGAACCTTTCGATGATCCGGATATGGAGCCAGTGCCTATCGGGGCTTTCAGATCAGAAGAAAACGATCTTTCACAGCTTTCCAGCTCTATACTTGCTCTTGAAGGAAACTTTGAGTCTATGGAGGAGCCAAGTTTCTTGTCTCCACTGTCATCTTCCTTTTTCACTTCGACCGATGAAACTGTTGGAAGCAAGGACAGCAACGACGATGTCTTTTCGTCGACAAGTACCCTTTGCAGTTATATGAAGCAGAAGCAAAGCAGCTCATCAGTTTCTTCTGACGACACCATGGTGCGATTTCGCCCATACCAAGATCGCAAATGGAGGGGAATGTTCGAAAAACTTGTCCAGTACAAGCACAAGCATGGACACTGCTGCGTTCCCCATTCCTATAAAGAAGACAAAATGCTCGCCCGTTGGGTCAAGAGACAGCGCTATCAGCACAAGAAATTCGAAGATAATGATCCTGCCTCCACCATGACAGCCCAACGCATTGACTATTTGAACTCTATCGGATTTGTTTGGCATTCCCATGCATCTGCATGGCAGACAAAGCTCAACGAGCTGAAGACTTTCAAGCATAAAACAGGACATTGTGATGTGCCCTCACACTATCCTGAGAATGTTCCATTGTCTGCATGGGTCAGATGTCAGCGAAGGCAATACACTCTCTGGAAATCTGGTTGCACATCGACGATGACATCACAACGGTTCGAGCAACTACAGTCGTTGGGGTTTACCTTTGAGAAATCAACTCGCTGTCAAAATAGAGAAATTTTAGAAAGAGTTTAAAACTAGAAGTTGTCAAAAAAGATTTGCATACAAATGATTATTTCTATGGACCTATTGCAAAATACAAGATACCAGTACAGTAGGAGACCACGAATTTTGGTTTTTGAACAATCCGGGACTGTCTTTTCCGGGAGTCATTCGAGAACCAAGTTTTGCATTATGATCCCTTCGCTTGGGTTCTTCTCTATCGCTGCCATCTCAAAAGAACGATACACACAGTACAAGTACTGTAGACAACAGGCCCTTAATTGTCCTGGATTGGGTCAGTTTTACATGTTTGACTTCAAATCCGATTGGGGAGTCCTCGTAATGTCTTAGAGGCGGCGGCCGCCCGGGCGGGGGCTCAATCTCAAACAGAATGAATCATGATGTAGTTTTCCAGGGCCGACCAGAAAGGTAACTCCGAAACAAAGGCACTGCAGAGCTTTTTAAGATAAGCGCACTTCGGAACAGCCTACTAACAATATTACCTTCCGGCCACTTGATATCGGTCGGAATAACCGCAGGCCTACTATAGTAGCACCATGGCGCTGCATTGACACAAAGAATCACAATAAGTCTATTGTGACAATGTATATACGCTAGCAACTTAACGAAGATTGCCGATCATGGCTTACAGCGGGTATTAAAAAAGCAACTCCTTCTTCAGCCACAAAGAACAAGGTACACGTACAAGTACCGGTATTTACATTCTATCCAACGCAAATGTATCACCGTTGCGGGCGCAGTTGGCGCCTCAGAGCGCGTTGTGGAGCGAAAGGGTTTTGCCGTAATAATAGAAAAAACATCCAAAACAGTATTTTTAAAATATTGATAAAATGTCGGAATTTTCTTTCGCCGTGAACATGATATATAATGGAATGACAGCTGAAAATTTTTATAGGTATGACGAAGGGCCAAAAGCTTTCCCGAACAGTCAGTCAAAAACTTCATCTTCAATACAAAAAAAGAACATGGCTATTCTCTGACAAGTTTTCCTAGTGTTCCCACAACTCTTTTCACACCGATTATGCTCACAAAATTGAATTCCAGTCAGGTTTAACCTATGATGATTTCCACTTCCACAAATACCAAAGTCACCATGCAGAGCTATACTCCATCCGTGACCTCAGATGATGATCTTCTAGCATCGCTCTTTAAATTCCCTCCAACCTCTTTGGGAAAGTCTCCTGCTGCTGAGTCCTCCCCTACTGATGTCACCTACGGCGTTTGCCCAGAGTCTTTCGATCAACCATTCGATGATCCAAACATGGAGCCGACGTCCTTCAGGTCTCACGCCATCACAAGCATGGAACCAGTTCCACTATCGTTTCTGGTCACATCTAAGCCTTCCCTTCAACAGGAGTCTAGAGCAGCAAACCTTGTCCAAAGTGCGTTATCCATTTTGTTCGAGCCGGCGGATGCTATCGTCCGGAGCAAAAGGAGCACCGACAACCTCCTGTCGGACATAAGCGCTCACTCTCAAGAATCCAACAAGCGCCCGAGACTCCTCGGCCCCCAAGAGGTCTTTTCTGATCAAACGGTGATGCGATTCCGCCCGTATCAAGATCAGCAATGGAGTGGAATGTTCCAAAAACTAGTCCAGTACAGGCTCAAACATGGCCACTGCCGGGTGCCTCATTCCTATCAAGAAGATCGCATGCTTGCCCGATGGGTCAAAAGACAGCGATACCAGCACAAGAAGCTCAAGTCCAATGACCCTTCGTCTACCATGACAGCCCATCGTATCCAACAGCTCGAGTCCATCGGCTTTGTTTGGCATTCTCATGCATCTGCATGGCAGGCAAAGTTCGAAGAGCTCAAGGCTTTCAAGCAAAGCACTGGACATTGCAATGTCCCATCGGACCATTCCAATAATTCTTCGTTGTCAGCATGGATCAGATGTCAGCGAAGGCAGTACAGATTGTGGAGTTATGGTGCTATCTCTACCATGACCGAAAAGCGATATGAGGTGTTGAAGTCGTTGGGGTTTACTTTTGAGAAATGTGGAGGATTGCAGCGATCCCAAAGTGTCTAAGCGCTTTGTATTGATACCGGCCAACTAAAACTTGTATGAGATTGTATTAGTTATTGATTATGTATTGAGTGATCGTAGCTTCTTTACATTTCACGACAGATGCATCGATCTGGTAGTACAATATGGGATGCAAAATGTGAGGAACATGACTGGCGAAAGGTATGCCGTAATTGTACTTGAAACAAATGATCCGGCATTGATATTTAAAAACTTTAGCGAAAGCTAGGACGCCAATAAACTTGAAGCTTTGGGCCCCGGCCTGACAGTGGCTGTGTTGGGCGCTCTTCTACGGTACTTGCTTGAGCCACAAAGAACAACAGGGTATTTGCGCTCATCGGCACAACAAATACGGTTTTGAGAGAATACTGCAGAGAAATAGTCTATCTTGTTGGCACCACGTCATGGACGAAAGAGTTCGTCTTACTAGAGTGTCTTTCGACGAGGAACGGCCTATTGTCAGCGCACCAGACGCTAGACCAAAAAGTTAACTGCGAAACGAAGAGACTTGAGAGATCGAGGATTATCGCACTTTGGAACAGCCTATTTCGGGTATTATCCTCCGCGTGTTCACGATCGCAGCACAATCCTTGAAAAGCGCCACTTGTTTTATTAGAGAGGAGCGGAACGGTTTTTCCGAAATGCCAGAGAGACATTTCAGACAACCTGCGATACTAGCTAGTAAACGTTGCCGATCAAACCAAAAAAATACTTTCTAGAAGGTTTTGATGATGGTCATTTATAGGGATTGCCCCCGTGGCATCTCTCTTTCGGTGAGCAAAGGAGGAGCTTCTGCATTATTCTCCGTATCTTTTTTCTTCACAACATTTCATTTTGCCGTCATAAAATTGAAAAAGATGATGTTTGATTCGCTATACGAAAATACGCAGTATGATAATCTCTTTGAGGAAAAATCTTCGTCCTTTGACATTCCATATTATGGTGGGCTCTCGCTCATGAGACAACCCCTGCAATGCCCTGCTGAGGTAGTACTACAAGCTACAAAGCAGAACGAGCAGCAACAACAACACTGTGAATCATTCCCGCAGTCGTTCCAAGAACCTTTCGATGATCCGGATATGGAGCCAGTGCCTATCGGGGCTTTCAGATCAGAAGAAAACGATCTTTCACAGCTTTCCAGCTCTATACTTGCTCTTGAAGGAAACTTTGAGTCTATGGAGGAGCCAAGTTTCTTGTCTCCACTGTCATCTTCCTTTTTCACTTCGACCGATGAAACTGTTGGAAGCAAGGACAGCAACGACGATGTCTTTTCGTCGACAAGTACCCTTTGCAGTTATATGAAGCAGAAGCAAAGCAGCTCATCAGTTTCTTCTGACGACACCATGGTGCGATTTCGCCCATACCAAGATCGCAAATGGAGGGGAATGTTCGAAAAACTTGTCCAGTACAAGCACAAGCATGGACACTGCTGCGTTCCCCATTCCTATAAAGAAGACAAAATGCTCGCCCGTTGGGTCAAGAGACAGCGCTATCAGCACAAGAAATTCGAAGATAATGATCCTGCCTCCACCATGACAGCCCAACGCATTGACTATTTGAACTCTATCGGATTTGTTTGGCATTCCCATGCATCTGCATGGCAGACAAAGCTCAACGAGCTGAAGACTTTCAAGCATAAAACAGGACATTGTGATGTGCCCTCACACTATCCTGAGAATGTTCCATTGTCTGCATGGGTCAGATGTCAGCGAAGGCAATACACTCTCTGGAAATCTGGCTCTAGTACGTCAACCATGACATCACAACGGTTCGAGCAGCTACAGTCGTTGGGGTTTACCTTTGAGAAATCAACTCGAGAAAAAGTAGAAAATATTTGAATTGTGAATGAAATATGTCTACTCAATGATTGATTGATTCATTCATTCGTTCTAGTGCAAATACAACTACCGTAGGACGTAGGACTGAATATTCTTCTCAAAATTAGGTTTTGGGGCAATCCGGGACTACTGCCTCTTCCAGGAGTCATTCCAGAACCAATCAAAATCAATAAACCGATGCGCACCGAATAAAAGGACGACCCCCATCAATACTGTAAGTTATCGCAATAACGCACGCTTCCATCATCTTAGCTCAGTTCACTATCGCTTCACTGCCACTTATCTGGTCCAAACCTCTAAGATGAGAACCACAACACCTTGGGGAAGACGAAACTCTACAATTCTGCACATTTCCGTTATTGCATTGGCAGTGTCGCATCATGGATCCTTCGCTTGGGTTTCTTCTCCATCACTTCAGACTAACACTATCGGGAGAGCGATACCTTTTACAAGTAACAGGGACAGTTGTCAATTCAAACAGAACTCTCGTTTGTACCAATCCAGCCGTGGACGTGATGAAGACATGTATTCCGCTGTCCACCGCAAGGAATACGAAATGAAGGCTCTGAATGCCCAACACAAATCCACAACAGATCCAGTCCGAATGGCGCTGGGTTATGCCCAAGAATCCAGTTCGGAAATGAAACTGGCCAAAGCTTTAAGAAGGGTCTATGATGATAAATACAATCCCGCCAATCCTGACGCCGAAAAAGAACCGGAGGACGCCACTGAACGCAAACAAAAATTGGAAGAGATGGGCATGGCGGAGATGTCCATGAGACGCGCCTCCTTCATTGTGGACATCAAACGTAAATCCCTCAGTCGACCAGGAGAAACCTTTTGTAGATTTGACAGTGCTGGTTTGGTGGCTGAAGCCATGGTCCGACTAGGCGCTGATGTCGTAATGGTAAACGTTGACTACCACTCGTATGGTGGGGACATTTCCGAATTGAGAATGGCAGTAGAAGCCGTTCGCAAAGCCAGCAAGACGGCAGCTGTAGTCATGAAGGACATTGTGGTCGATGAAATTCAATTGGGATTGGCAAAAGATGCTGGAGCCGATGGTATTTTGTTGATTGCTTCAGTCTTGGGTCCGGCCCTGGACAACTTTTTGGATTTGGCCACTACCATTGGATTGGAAACCATTGTGGAATGCCACACACGAAATGAAGTTCAACGAGCCATCGATGCCTTGGCTCCTAATATTATGGTTTCCAACTACGACCGTGTCTCCCAGCGGTACTACGATGATCAAGCGATCAAGTTGGCAGGAATGTTCCCAGGATCGGGAGGACCCATTATTACTATTGCCGGTGGCAACATTGACGATCCTGAAGCAATGAAAAAACACTTGGCGGTAGGATACGATGCCGTGGTTGTAGGCAAGGCTGTTATGGGAAGTACCCGAGCACCTGAATTCATTCGAGTGGTCCGGGATCGCACCTTGTTGCCGACGGAACTATCGCAATGGGGATTGGAAGGAGTCGAATTTGACACGGACGGTCAACCCATGCCAGGTCCAAAGGCAGCCATGCCTCATCCAGAAAATAATGAATAGAGTAGTAATGAGTTCAATTCAACGCAATATAGGCTCTAATAATAATGTCATTTCACTATAATGTACACGTTCTGCTGGTTTTGTATGTTTGTACGCTTGGGCTTGGCGAGATAGGGCAAGAGTTGCCGATTTCATCATGACAGTAGACAAACTGCAAGTAATATCAATGAAATAAAACACTTTGGAGCATTGCCTCGACCAGCAGATACTCCCAGAGCCATGCCGGGAACTCTATTTATACTTGGGGCATTTGTTGGATTGCTGGATGGCCAGGATCTCGAGGGAGAAGGCGATGGTTTGGGGGTTGGAAAAGGTGTAAAATTGGGACCTGGCGTAGGTTTTTGAGTCGGATGGAATGTAGGCAGCCGTGTGGGTGGCTTTGTTGGTCCATTGGTAGGTATCGTAACTCCGACTTGTTCGCACAACTGCCGGATTTGATTGCAGTCGCAACTATCCATGCTAGTGCCAGGACACTCCAAGTTGACTTCGGAAGGAAAGACTGCCTCAATAACTTGATGTAATTCCCTGTGATAGGATTGTAACAAGGATCGCGACCAAATATGATTGTGCACTCCATCACCCTCTGCAGGTCCCTCTCGATTGACATTGTAATAACTCTGAACACCTTCGGCCCACATTTCCTCGTGATTGGATGATGCATAGGTATTCTCCCACAAGAAAGATGGTCTTCCAGCACTATCGATATCGGTAATTCGATCATTGTACACCTCTTTCAATAGCGAATCTAAATTTTGTTCCCTCCCGTTGTACTCAATCATTCGAGGTGAATCTAGCTTGCCGCCGCTCCCTTCAAGCGTATGCGCATGCTCGTGGACACAGATAGTTTCATCCAAGTATGGATCATTAGATAAGCATAGACTAAAATTTTTTTCATACAGAATTGTTGAGGAGATAGTCAATGAATCGTCATGTTGAATGCGAATCCATGTCAAATCATATCAAATAACATCACATGGCACCGCCTATTGAACTTACACATCCTCTTCCGCACACGACGAGACAGGCCTCCACCTTGTAGCGCCTACTCCTCGAGCATAGTCCCATTGTTGTGGATCCAAATCAGAATAGCTGGGAAGATCCGTAATGACTTCGTCCTTTCCAATCACGGCAAAATGAATCTGTTCTTCTTTCAAATAATCCATCAAGTGTGGATTCTTCGATGCCATCTTGACCAATAGCAAAGCAGTTTCCAGCATGGCCGCATCGCGAACGTCATAGGAAGCCACCAATGGAATCCCCGCAATATCTATCAACTTGACATAGAATCGATTTCGTCTTAGAATTTCGCGATAGGGTGATGCCTCTTCGGACACAAACGAACTTCCTCGCAATGGAAGAACATCAAAACAGCAAGAGCCACAAGAGACGACATCATCTGGATTAGTATTCACTGGACGACTAGCTCTAGATTGCATCCTCTGACGAGATTTGAATCGTTGAAAGGAAGCACTGTCGTTGTATGGTCGATATGGCATTCCATCCTCACTATCAATAACATCGCGGCCACCACCATCCTGCTGTTGTCGTTCATTCACAAAGGTAATATTCTTGCTTCCAATCAAAGCTCCTTCCACTCTTATCAATGAGATTAATAAGAATAGGCACAACCACTCAACATGAAACAATTTCATCGACCGGCATCTCATGGTTATCATCATGATGACATGGTGGTTTCGTTCGTATACGGTATATTCTTCTCGGAAGTATTTTAGATTTTTGGATATTTTTGTGACGAGTCGTCCTGAAAAATCTACTCGTGCGGGAATCAACGCTTGGCTAATAGTCGGACCGACCGGCGGCGCCAAATTGCGACGCGAGCGATGCGACGCGAAACGATCGAGAGATTGATTGATTCGTTCGACCCAATGAAAAATCCAATCGGGAAAGTGAACATTCAAGTAGTAGGTTCGTGCTTGTAAAGATTGCAAGCGTTCTCTAATCAAATAACCATGAAACTGAAGCTTTCTACAACTAGACCTATCGTGTGCTGCTCTCCCAACATCAGCAACGTACTATAGGTAGGAATGAATCAATCAATCAATCCGCCTCATCATGATCCGCGCTCAAGCAATCCCGTTTCCAGTCCCCAGTGGAAGTCGTAATGCGACATTCTCGGACGGTCCAAACATTTATGCTGTCGTCAACGGACGGCTGGCTCGCGTGAGAAGTCTACTTATGGGAATTTTGCCAGGTTGCATTTCACCCCATGCAAAAGCAACAACATGCACTGACTGAAGCCCAATAACCTTTCAATTTTAGCAAAAGAGGTACCTATTTAGTATTGTTGTGTGCAGAGTGAAAGGACGTCGTATGTCCAGATTGTACTCCAATCCTTGCAGCATATTAATATTCTTCAAGGCTTCAGCACTATAGAAAGGTTCAGCGTTACCGTTTGAATTGGACGTTTAGAAGCCCCGTCTGAAGCGCAAACTTCAACACACGGCATTTAAAATATGAAAAAAAAGGTTCGCTCGACGGAAGACACTATGAGCCAGCCGAATAATGCATTTTTACCGTCCAGCATGGACAAGTCGGATCTGCTGTTGGATACTGAGTTGTGTGCTGCCTTGGGAATCTATCCAGATTCCGGCTGTTGCATACGACATCCCACCATTCACATCATTAGCAAAGACGAGACAAGTGAAAAGATTGTTCGGCCGTGCCCCGTTTGCGAGTCGGAATTTCTATCAGGAGGATTACGCCAACGGAGATCCTTTGCGTTTGCGATTATGCAGGTTCAGAAACTACACAATAACGAAGCAGGATGGATTGAATTCAAAAAGAATTGGGATCATGGATCTATGATATCCATGAAGTCTTCCGAAACCAAGGATGACGATTCCCGGAATATTGAGTTTCAGGCCGATGCGGAGCACACAGATACACCGCGGAGACTAGATTTGTATTCACCATCCAGTATATTACGGCGGACGAATGTGCATCAGGTAGCCTGGAAGGAATATACTTGGCAAGTTGTCTTAAGGACGACTCAGGTTCAGGAATGGTCCATGGCGGAGAAAGACAAGGAAATTGAACTCTTGAAAGCCAAATTGGATTCTTTATTGACGGTGGCGCATACTGATTCGCTCGTAGAAATGCAATCATCCGTGGCTCCTTCTGCATCCGAAGATACTGCTAGTCTTCAAGAAAACAATCCAACTTATAAACAAACAGCAGTCGAAGAGGCACCACCTCGATTGCCTCATCGAATGTCTTCTAGCCGATTTTCGGCAAATCACAAAGAGACGGTGCGCCGATTTGCGACGAATGCAACTAAAGAAGTTACTGAAGATGATAGGGACCATTCCAGTTCCAGCTTTATCGACTTGAAAACAGTAGGCGGGGCACCACGACTACCACGGCGACAGGTATCCAATGATTTGTTCACGTTCTCGCCAGTCGCATCCAACGAAGAAGATGAAGAGGATTCGGGCTCTGACTCGGATGACCCGGAAAAACACAGAAAGGCGATGGGATACAGTATGAACAGCAATCGGGGACTGGGACGACACAAGGCCCAAGGCCGTCCAAGCAAGCTTCAAGCCAGAGTTCCACCCACACTACCCACTCGACGAGCCTCGAACGAAGGTCGAACGAGTCTAGTCAGTCGCGATGCAAGAATGTCCAATGTTTCAGCCTTGTCAGATTTGTCGGATCCGTCCATGATTTCTGGGTTGAATAGCATTGACAGCTTGTTTCTCCAAGAGTCGGAACGCGATTTGGGAATCACGGGAAGCGTCATCGGGGGGAGCAAAACGTCGTCCGCTGGTGCTTTCAAAAGTCTGGATACCATTCAGTCGGAAGAGTTTGTATTGGATCGTCACCTGTCGATTGGTACGACAGAACGATTGGATCAGAGCACGCCCGTGTCGGGAAATCATCGAAAGTCCTCGAAAGCAAAAGAAAATGTCATAGCTGGGGAAGAAATATCCTTTATCGCATCCGTTATGGAAGAACCGCCACCAGCAGCCTTACCTATGCGAGAAAAATCCATGCGGGAACTGAACGGAGGCAATGAACAAATACAACAACAACAACAAGAAGAAGACATTAAGCTTGAGGGCAGTCAAGATATTGAATTTGATGCCAGCCAGGATATCAGGTTTGATGCCAGTCAAGACATTCGTTTCGATGCCAGCGATCCTTCTTTGCATGTTGACGAGCGTTTCTTTCGGCGGTCATCCATTGCCCAAATGGAGTTTTCTGATAAAGACAAGCTTTTGCAAGAAGCCAGCAAGGCATTTTCGACGCCGCAATATGTTCCCAAGAAACTTCGAGCCCAAGATTTCCGAAGAATGTCCGGCAAATCCAAACCAAAGTCCATCGGTCTGGAGACCTCGGAAGACTTGGGAAGGAGTCAACGGTCCATGCAATCGCCACCAACAAGGCAACCGCTTACGGATGACATGCGGCCTGCCAGTGCCGACGATGTTTTGTTGAAGAGCCCTCCAAAGAATAATCTCAAGCCACCTCCACCAGGATCGCAAGTGCCAATGCCACTGGGATCCTTTACCACACCGCCACCATCAGCAAAGAAACCCATGAAATTGGGAGACTTTTTGGAGAAACACAATAGCAGCGACAGTGACAACGACCCTGAATTGGAACAGTTTGGTGATTTGCCAGTGAATTCTGGCTTCCTTCGCCTTGACGGAGGAAGCTCTTCTCCCGTGAGCTGTGTCACCATGTTGACTACTGAACCTACCAGCATGATGGGAGGATCTGCTGACGACGACGAGGAGCTGGAACCAAATATTGGCTTGAGCGCCGGTGGGCAGCAACGACTTTTGCCCATGGAAGAAGGATTTCATTCGGATGAAGAATCGTCATCAGAAGAAGAATCATCATCGTCTGAAGAGGACGTGGTGGCGAGAATAGAGGACACGAGGGAAACGATTGATGTAGTCGATCAAATAGTGAACGACAGGTACGGTGATTCGGGACTGTACACAGGGAGAGTAACGGCGGATTCAAGAATTCCACATGGACGTGGAGTGATGATGTACGAGAATGAAAGAGAGTACAATGGTGATTGGAGAGATGGTCGATGGCACGGCCAAGGAGGTGAGCTGTTTATTATCTTTGTTGACGTACTTTTTGCAGCATTGCCTTGATTGTCGAATGTCGTTCTAACTTTTGATTTCTTCTTTTCTCTCGTTTTCAACAACTTTCAGAATGGGTCAATCCAAATGGAGACCGATACAATGGTACCTTTGTTTTCGATTCACGACATGGGGAGGGAACCTACTCCTGGAGAAATGGAAATACATACAAGGGCGAATTCTTTGAAGATAAGCGTCAAGGAAAGGGATTCTTCACCTTTGCCAATGGCAATGTGTACGAAGGAGAATTTATCAATGGTGTATTCGAAGGTGAAGGAAAGTATACCTTTGGTAATGGTTTCTACCGAGGCAGCTGGAAAGGTGGCAAATACCATGGTGTTGGCTTTTTACAATTCCACGATGGGTCCTCCTATAGTGGTACCTTTGTCGAGGGTGTTGCCCATGGCGAAGGAAAAGAAGTGTCGTCCGACGGAGCGATCACAACTGGCTTATGGCATCAAGGTGTTGCTCCCGAAAAATTGCTAAATGAATGAAGAGCCCAGCGATGCGACTACTACTATTATTTTAAAAATCAAACAAAGCTTCATCCTAGACACAGACTAACGATCGCCAAGGAGGGTATCCAAAATGTGGCACTATTAATCTTACATCAGATATGAATTTACTCTTCAGCTGGAGCTTCTTCTCCTTCAGCTGGGGCATCTTCCTCGGCAGCTGGTTCGGCTTCAGCAGCAGCTTGTTCTGCGGCGTAAGCAGCTTGCTTCTCTCTTCTCTTGGCTGTGCACTTGGCTTCCACAGCATAACCTTCAGGAACAGAAACACCCAAAGCTCCAGCGGCAGTGTTAATTCTTCGGAGAGACTTGTTGTAGAAGGTAATTCCGGCCTCCTTGGTCAAGAATGGTTCGACCTCGGTAAGGGTAGCCGAGAAGTTATCCTTGTCAAGCTTTTCAATGGTCTTGCGGATTTCGGCGTACTTTCCTCTGGCGGCAAGATCCGTTCCCATGCGTCCATTTGTAGTAGCAGTAGGAGCAAAGGCATACGATTGGCTGACAAGAGCAAGGGCAAGAGTGGCAAGAAGAACGCGGAACATGGTGGTGGTGATGATGATAGATATCTATTCAAATATATTGGATGTGTGGAAAAGGAAGTCTGCTCTTTGATGGCTCCCTGATGGCCACACAAGTGCGTACGTCCGTTCATTTTGTTCTTAGTCAGATGAGTCAGAGGTTGAGAAGTCGGAGGGCCAGGCGGACGGTCGACTGATTCGACTTTTTCCAAGGAATGCTTTTTTCAAATACCGTTGCTGTGCCCGGCCGAACACCATTAGGGATGGCTGGCGCTTCTCAACATTAAGAGACCTCGTATGTGTGCAGTGTCCGAGAGGAAGCAAGGCCGGCAGATGGTGGCGTCTGCTCAAAAAACAAGACGAAGTTGATAAACCTTTTGAAAAAAAAGAGAGAGGAAGCAACTGATACGAAGCCGGTGTCAGATTCCACTTCTCATTGCTCTGTTGGATTCATTCATTCATTGATTCATCACTCTGAGTCATAGAATATCCTAGCTTGGAGTTCATTATGGAAACTGCAGAGCCACAATCCGCAGTGTCAGAACCAGCAGCAGTTGTGGAACGTGATGAAGAACAAGAACAAGATGAAGCTGAAGCTGAAACACAAGCAACAACCACAGAAGAACTGCCGGTAACTGAAACTGAAAATGAAGCTGAAACAGACACGCCAGACTTGGTGGAAACTACGACGGAAGAAGAGCTAGCGGAAGACACTACAAATGCCACACCAATACCAGCAGACTTGGCTCCTAAAGTTGTGGAAGAAGCAACTCATGCTATTGCTGGGGGTGATAATGACGACAGTCGGCCTCTACGAATCTTGTTCTTGTCAGATGAGACTGGAGGAGGCCACAGAGCGTCAGCGGAAGCCTTGGGCAAGCAGGTATGTTATGACCTTGAATTCTATTCTATTATGGAAGGTATAAGGTGTATTCTTTGCTTCTTTCTTACACACAATCCACTCCCTTTGCCACAACACAAAAACTTTTAGTTTATGATTCAATACCCCGGTTCCACAGTTGAAATTTGCAACCTATGGACAGAAGCGGGAGATCGTGTCTTCAACTCTTTGGTCAAGTCCTACAAACACATGTCAGCTAGTCCCTGGCAATGGAAACTCTTTTATCATGCCACCAATACCAAGGTGGTGGAAGTCATTGGCAAGAATCATGCCAATATCTTTTGTGCAGAAAAAGTGAAGGCACGCATTTATGAGTTTCTACCCGATGCAGTCATTTCAGTCCATCCCACCATGAATCATTTGGCAAGAATTCAAACCAGAGTGATTGGCAAGGAACTTGGAAAGCACATTCCATTTTATACCGTGGTGACTGATTTAGGTTCCGCCCACTCGACATGGTTTCAAAAGGAAGTCAACAAGATTTATGTCCCGACTATCAATTTGGTATATTTGGCCACCCAACGACAAATTCCACCTGCCAATATTGTCTTGACGGGATTGCCCATAAGACATGGATTTGCCGTCCAGGCCAAGGCATTGCATGGAGACAGAACCCTACCAGAATCCAAGGAATACATCGAACAGGTCCGACAATCCTTGGGAATAATGATGGAGGAGGAGGAAAAACAAGACGAAAAGGAAACCAAAGATGAACCCGAATCAACACCATCGCCAAAGTCATCTCCCATGATCCTAATCATGGGCGGTGGTGAAGGTGTCGGATCATTGTCTGATATTGTCAATCAGCTCTATGCTACCTTGACTCTAGAAGGACAAGATGCTACACTTTGTGTGGTCTGTGGTCGCAACGCACAGCTAAAGGAAGAATTGGAACATCGAGATTGGTTTGCGGTGGTGGAAGCGGCCTTGCAAAAGAGGATTCGCAAACGTCGAATGAATCGCACATTCAAAGAACGAATCATGACGAGCACTCCTCCACCCAACTTTTGTTCTCCAGACACTGTCATTTGCGATGAGTCCATGGCACTGTCAGGGTTAATGTCGAGGAATAAGAATTACCGAATGGATGGACCCAAGAGCATGGAACAAGTCATGGCGGAAGCCCACGAAGCACCACAATCGCCACGCACTAGTAGCAATAAAGCAATGGTCGACTCGACTGCAAATCTTACCAAGAGTCCTCTGATGCAACTCATGACCAAATTGCCAGGAATTACCCAAAAGAGGCCACCCGCTGACACCCCACCACCACCACTGACGGCTGATAATGATACTGATGATGATGCGGAGCAATCGCAAGCAACAGGAGACAATGTCATTATGATCAAGGATAAAGGAGGAAGAGAAGACGATGATGATGATGACGAAGAAGATGTCGGATTGAATCCTCCTGCTAGCGCTCCCATACCACTTGCCGCACCTCCGGCAATTCAACCGGGACGTGTCCATGTGGTCGGTTTGGGATTTGTCACCAATATGGAAGAGTACATGGTGGCAGCCGATATACTGGTCACCAAGGCTGGGCCAGGAACCATTGCCGAAGCGGCAGCGGTGGGACTTCCCGTTTTCTTGACAAGGTATGTACCTACGAGCTTGCTGGTTGGTTAGTCTGTTGCTCGTGAACGAAATCGAACATGTCCCTAACTGGTCAATTTTCCACTTTTGCCTGATATGTTTATAGTTTCTTGCCTGGACAAGAAGCCGGTAATGTCGACGTTGTCTTGGAAGCTGGATTTGGGGACTATTGCGAGGATCCTCTAGAAATCTCGAATCGTGTCTGCAATTGGCTCAAGGACGATAGCATTCTTCCTGTTATGAGTCGGGCGGCCCACAAGGCGGGTAGTCCTCATGCGGCCGATGACATTGCCAGAGACATTGGATCGGAGACGGTCACATGGATGAAAATGAATGAGCGATGGAAGGGTGATCCAATTTACCAACCTTTTATCGAAATGGGACACACTTTGGTTCTGGATTCTTATCTGCACGACAAGTCAGCGGTTGAAAATTTGGCCAGAATCTCGTCTGCCAATCAATTGGCCAACTCGGAGAGTACGAGAAGGAGTTTGGTGACTGCCGCGGGAGTTGGCGTTGGGGCTGCGGTAGGTGCTGTCGTGGCGGGACCTTTGTTGCCAATTGGTTTAGCGGTGGGAAGTGCGATGATACCTGCCTTGCCCGTTGGATTGGTGGTTGGTGGTACTGTCAGTGGACTGGCTGCCAACCAATACAACAAACAGGATTCTACTACGAATGCTGCTGCACAAAATGGTGAAGGAGCAGGAGAAGAAGAAGGCAAGGAAGATGAGCAGAAGGAGGAACGGGACGACGAAGCACCCAAGTCTCGGTTCTTTGGATGGGGTTCCAATCCACCTACTCCCATAAATGCCCCCAATGATTCCAACGCACCAACTCCTGTTGGTGATGAGGCCGAAACCAAATCCAAGTGGTTTGGCTGGGGCAATAAGAAGGCAGCCGATGCTGCTGTCGATGAATCCCTTGTGCCCGCCCCCGAAACTGTAACCAATGGAACATCAGAGGCCAGCCTTGTTTCCGAGCCGGTGCAAGGATGAACTGTCAGTCGCCAAAGTAATGGGATGGCTATTGAACTTCTTTCGGGGATATCCAAGTAGACTACGACTGTATGTACGTAGTCATCAGTATAATAGACTTATATGAATCGAATGGCTAGAAGTTCCTTTACGCGGCTACTTCATTTGTGGTGGTTTTGTTTGCCGTTTTTCTTCGTCTGCGTTGCTTGTATCCATTTTTTGCATTTGTCGATACTTTCTTATTGCTTTGTGCTGGAACGGGCTTGGTCTTCTTGGCAACCGCTTGCACCTTTTTTGTTGCGGTTGCTCCAAGGGTCGGAAAATCTTCCTCCTCAAGTGTCCATGTGTTAGCCTCCTTAGGTAATACCTTTTTTCCCTGCTTCCCAGCATATTGCGGTGAATTTGCAATCTCTGCCAAAACGTGACCATGACACAACTTGGGACTACACCAGCATGCCAGAACTTTGCCCTTGAGTTCTGATTGTGCTTTTGCGACGAGATCCGGCTGTGAGACTAACCAACAGCGATACTCGTGAACGACACGATTTCGTTCCTCCTGCGTTTGATTCTTCATATTGAATGGATTTCCCCACTGACACAAGTCGCCAGGTGGAGCTCCACGAGAGGGCCGTCCAACATAGACATCATAAGGCTGACGCTTGCAATGGACTACCATGTCCTTATATTGAAGTTGGTCTTGACGATCCGACATTATGTATTGCAATTGTCTTCTATTTAATTTGTGAAACGGATCTTGTCAGGTTTTTGTGATGTTTTTATAGTTGATCGCAATGTGATTTGATGCACGTTTGGTCTAAACGGACACAGTAGGGACGCCCAGTCGTGCTTCAAACTTAGTGATGGTAAAGTCACCAATGCATCTACATATATTGTATCGTAGGTTCTATACTCTTATATTACTCTATGCTATTCCTTTCTGACAACCAAGGTCTCCTAAATGTTCCATCCCTTCTAAGCCGTTCTTGTTTTCTAACCAAATGAGAAAAAGACTGACACCGTAGTCGCCAAAATCAGACTCATGCCTGCGATCGGAGACATGCTCAGTGTTCTTACAGCGTTGGATACTACTCCATTGGCTGAGGCCACAGGTCGAGATGTAGGATTGGTCGGATCCAACTGCTCTACTGTCGGGGCTTTCGTTGGAGGAGGTGAAAATATGTTACCCTGCTGCTCGCCAATCGGCTCTTTGGTTGGTGCGATTGTGGGCGATTCGAAAAAGAGATCGGTGGTTTCGCCGACTGGAGAAAGGGTAGGCTTGGAGGTTGTAGGCTTCTGTGTTCGTGTCGTGGTAGGACTCATGCTAGGAACCTTATTCTGCCCATCACAACAGCCCAGCATAATTCCCTCTGGAGTTGGACAACAGAGACCGAACCTTCCTTCTTGGCGGCAAGTTTGATGAGCCAGGCACATTTGTGGCGGCAACGATAATGATTCAGTCGTTGGTGCTTTCGTTGGTGGGAAGGTTGGTCTCAATGTTGCAACAGTGGGTTCTGCCGTTGTTGGAGGGTTTGTAGTGGGAATACGAGTGATAGGTGCCACAGTTGGTGCACTAGTTGCTTTCGTTGGAGATTCAGTTGGTGCACTAGTTGCTTTCGTTGGCGATGCGGTTGGTCTCAATGTCGAAACAGTGGGTTCTGCCGTTGTGGGAGGGTTGGTGGTGGGAATACGAGTGGTAGGTGCCGCAGTTGGAGACGGTGTCGGTGCTCGAGATGGCGATTTCGTTGGTGGAGGTGGTGTTGGCGGAGGTGTCGTTGGGAGACCAGTCGGGGGATCATCACAGCAGCCTATGTATTCGGAAGCAAAAAGTCTTGTCAGATGCAATGTATACATAGGGTCGCAACGGATGGCAATCTTTTGATTCCTTCTCTTACCTAGCCAGATACCATTGATGGTATTTGTTGGACAGCAATTTCCCTGTAGGCCCTCTGAAACGCATGCCTCGTGAGCCAGACAAGACTGGGTGGGTGGAATGGGCGTCGGCAATATTGTGGGATTATCTGTCGATACAGTCGGCAGCCTAGTGGGCTTAGCAGTTGGTGCTTTAGTAGGCCGATCGGTTGGAGAACCCGTCGGAGGTGATGTAGTTGGAGCATCGGTCGGAGCATTTTCGCAACAACCTGTCAAAGAAAGAATTTGAACAATCAGAAACCATTTGATGTCAGAGTTGAATGGCAAAACAGCATGTTCTTACCCAAGAATATTCCATCGCTTGTGGGACAACAGTCTCCACCAATTCCTGCACACATGGAATGACTCTTGCACGACTCTTGAGGGAATGACGGCGTCCAGTCCGTGGCCGCAAAGCTGTACTTTGTACCATCACATTCGAATTCCAAGTTCTGAAAATGTGGCTTGAGGGCCAAATTGTCGGCAGTGAAGAACCCAAAAGTACCTTCCATGTTTAGAGAGCCTTGAGCCGCTCGCCATTTGTTGTCAATACCAGTGAAATAGTAGTAATCCCAGTCTGGCTTTCCCAAATGCACTTTGCAATAGAAATCGACAAAGTACTCAACTTGATGTTCCGGGGACGCCAAACCAGGCCGACCACCAGCCGATGGCCACCCAGTCTCTCCCAATATGAATGGCTTTGATTCTGTCCCAGAAGCTTTTTGTATTACTCGCGTGGCATCGCCAATCAGCTGATCGACAGAACCATTGATATTGTACGTATCCTGCCAGATGAAGTATGGAAAGATATTCATATACAGAGTGTCCGAACTATCCCGTAGGTCCGAGTAAAGTCCATAGTAATAAGAAATCTCCACAATTGACACGGCTAGGTTGCCAGCTCCAAAGGTTGCCAAAGCGAGGCTAACCTGTGATTGATAGTCCATCAATTCAGCCAAAGTCGCATCCTTTCGCAACAGGACCTCAGAGCCAACAGTGACACCGATGACAACCGATGGGTCCACTACACCCCTTATCAAAAGATCTTCAAAAGCAGAAATTTCATCCAACCAAATCTTCTTTTCTTCATCCACCCAGAGTCCCAAATAGACTTGCATCCCAATTTCTTTGGCAACATCCAAAACCATTTCCGATTGATTGCAATCCGTGATGCTCAAGAGTCGTATCCGGTTCGTCATCTTTTGCAAGAGCTGCAGGTCCGTGACAATCTCGGCTCGTGATTTGCACCTTGCGTCATCGGGAGCCCAATCGGGACCTTTTCGTGTGTTGTAATTCAATCCTCGCAATTTGACAGGCTGAGGACGAGGAGGAGTTTGGGCCACTACAACTACTGCTCCTCCTCCTGGTGTGAATCCCGTTATTAAGGATATCACCACCAGTAACCATGACGTGGTGAATAGTGGTTGTAAGCTACAAGTACCTGCGATATGCATAGTCATTCAATCAATCCTTTCGTTTTTATCTGTGGCAATATAAGAAGAAGCAAGTTTGCCGAGTACATACAATACTGTATGTTTCCATTGTGTTTCATGTGTCTGCGTGAATTATTCTTGGCATGGAAAAATCTTTCCACATGGTGAGCACAAAAAATTGAATCCCACGAGCAACCTGATTGGATGGGGTTCATGTGGTTCGGCTTGCGCGAAGACAAAATTGGGCATATCCAAATCTTCATTGCTACCGGTACACCAATGTATACCGGTAGGTATAAAACTGATGGAGTCTATCCGATCAGATGCTTTATCTACCGTATGGATATAATACTGTATATACCGTATGAATAATTTTACAGTAGTGGTAGCATGGTCTCTATGATTTCATTAGTAGTCTTGATGGTAGTGGTGATAGTAGTAGTAGTAGTCGTAGCATTCTATTATAAGAACCTTACTTCGCCTATTACTACCATCTTATGGGAGGTCTCCCTCGGTTCCATCGTCCGGACATTTGAGTGCCATCCGCTTGAAATTCCACTCCTTCTCCATGTTGGTGTCCCGCCTCAAAATTACCAGTATACGAGGATCCATTCGCATTCAACAGGAATCCCTTGCCGTGATACTTACCCGCCAACCATTCGCCTTCGTACATGCCCGTTCCGAAGCTATAGGTTCCCGTTCCTTCAAAGACCCCTTCCACAAACTCGCCGTCGTAGACGGTACCATTTCCAAATTTGAATACGCCCTAAAAATGAAAATGCAAAATTTCATGAGGTATTGCGTGTACTTTCCCAACAACAACAACAACAACAACAACAACAACAAAGACCATAACTCTGTGGCGTCATGCATAAACATAAAAGCCTACCTTGCCATGCCGCTGATCATCTTTGAATTCACCAGCGTATTCATTGCCATTTTCCCATCTGCACACCAGCAGTAGGACGTTGTTACGAAACAGGCAACATGTGTGAGATACATACAACTTCCATATGCGCAGATACGTTCGACGCAATCCAAGCGACTAATATTGCACCTACTTGTAGACTGCATAATAGATGCAAATGATGAGTGATAAAAAGGACAATAAGCGAGGTGTCAGAAGCATTTCGAATGTCATACAGAGAAAGATACACTTAGTAAGAACTTACCTCCATATCCATGCCTCTTCTCATTTCGAAAGGAGCCATTGTAGACATCACCGTTTATATTCTGCCAGCATCCTTTGCCGTGCCTGGAAATTATTGACCAAAGGACATACAATTGTCAGATTAGATCAGATCCGCCACAAAAGTGAATCTTCAGTCATTCAGTCATTCATTCATTCATTCGATTACTCACCATTTACCATCTTCCCATTCACCATCGTAAATTCTCGAATTCTGATATAACAGTAAACCCTTGCCGTGTGGTACTAGTGCATCTGCTGTCACCGTGCCGCTATACAGTCCAGAGTCACCATAATGATCATTGACAATTTGATCTGTCACCAACATGACTGGTTTCCCTTGAAACGATTGATATGGATCTTGTGGTATGTTGGGGTCCTTATCATTGTCCGAATCGTCATCAGAATCCTCGTCGCCATCGTCATCCGAAAGATCGAGCTCTTCTTCCAATGGCAACATGTTCAGCAGTCCCCCGCGTTGGTGCATGCCCTTTTTTGGCGCCAATTCTTCTTCACCGTCCGAATCTGGATCACTCATGGTGGCGGCATCCATTCCCATGCTGATTTCACTGACCGTGCTCTGTAATTCGGGTCGATAATTGATCATGCCATTCGAAATGGGCAAGTCGGACGGAATGAACACAGATTCCCCACCCGTGTCATGGGTTTGGAGCCTGTTTAATTTGACTCCACTTATGGAAGAGTCGTCACTATCATTATCTGACATTCTATAATTTCTTGTGTTGTGTTTATGTATAATATGTATGTACTGCAGGTATTATGGCTTGCTGGATGCTCTTGGTTGTTTGTTTTAATGTTCATCGGTCAGTCATCAGTCGTAGGTATAGTTATGCACCGCTAATAATCACTCTTCCACGGTTCCAAACAATTGGTCACTTAAGACTTGAGCGGTAAAAAGGCACTCACTAATGCGAGGGTGTGATCGGAAGTAAATCCTCGGACAATATGTCCGTTTATCTCTATTTGTCCGCGTCCGTCGCACAGAATGGCGCGCTGCATGCAGAAATAAAATGACGAAATCGGAGGGAGACGAGTGGGAAAACCACGCGATTGATTGATTCATCGCATTTCCACCACCCACGTCGATATACTGTATACACAATCTTTTATTTTATTTTTTAAAACTGACAAACGATGAAAAGTAGTAGCAATAATAATGATAAAAATACCTTGAATGGTTGGCTTCAAGCTGGAGCCAAAAGCAAAACGGAAGTTCAGAAAAATAGAGCGATTGCGCAAGAAGCACGAAAAAATTCCAAGAGCAGCAAAAGCATGACGCAAGCCTATCGAACGGCCAAGGAAAACGTCAAGAATGGAGGAGGACTGCTGGCCAGTCAGAACAGCAAGAGAAAAAAGGCTGCTGCCGTGGTGTCCAAAAAGAAGACAAATAAGAAGACAAAGAAGAAGGAATGGGAAGAGGATGACGAATCGGATGACGAGCTGTCCTTTGTGGAAGTAGAATCATCGGATGAAGAAGCAAGTTTTGTGGAGGAAGACGACGACGATGATGAAGACAGTGAAGAGGAGGCGGTCTCGTATGCGGAAAGTGATGAGGAGGAGGATGATGCTGATGCTGATGAAGAAGACTTGCAATCGCCTTCTCCCACTCCCAAAAAGCGCAAAGGCGTGGCATCATCATCAGCAGCAGTGGAGGAAGATGATGGTAGTGACAGTGATTCGGACAGTGACACTGGACTCTTAGCGTCGTCCCATACCAAGCATCGGGCCAGCAAACCATCTGCTGCCTTGAAGCGGGCATCTCAAGCTTCCAAGAATCGACACAATCCTAGCTTGGAATATTTAGCCATGGACAAACTAAAGGCGCCACCGGCAATCAAAAAGACAAAAGCAAAACCCAAGAAGAAACGGATTCACGATGATTCGGATAGCGACGACGACGACGACGACGATGATGATGATCTCCTCCAAACGCCTCCCATTCGAAACAAAAACTCGAAATACTTTCAGCGTGCCAAAAATACCAAGCCAGACAGTCATGAGGAGGAGGAGGAGGATTCCAAGAAACCAGCGCCCTCCCATAAATCAAAACGACCGGCTCCTTTTGAGGATGGCAGCAGCAGCAGCAGTATTGAAGAAGAAGACGATATCGTGCCGAACAAACGCAAGCGCAGCTCCATGGATAGTCTAGCATCAGTGAAATCTTCTTCTACTTCTGGTGGTGAAGAAAAGAAGGAAGAAGAAGAAGATGATGACATTTGGATGACGGAAGATTCTCCAGCCGCTCCAACCACCAAGTTTTCCAAGCTTCAGAAGAAAAAGAAGACGAAGAAAAAGTCCAAGACGAGCCACAAGAATAATCCTTTTGCAAAATTTAGTAATTCCGCTAACGATGAAACGATGGACTTTGACGATGCCAATGGTGATAAAGAAGCAGAAGACCTTGCCATGGCTGTGGCACTTTCCAACAGCATGAAGGATGCAAAAAGTACTCAAAAGACGAAGAAGAAGAAAAGCAAAACAATCATTGATATTAGTGATGACGACGACGACGAGCCAATTTTCAAAGAGGATGATGAAGACGAAGAGTCGGATGGCGAGGAGGAGGAGGATGTCAATGACGAAGGATACGATGAAGAAAAGGAGGCAGCCACCAATGTCTTGCAAACGGCCGAAGGCTTGAGTGCCAAAGTTTTGCAAACCATGAGGACTTGGATGTCTTCCACGCAAGATGAAAATGACGATGCCCACAAGGGTATGATTATTGAAGATGGTGCGCTGGCATTAGGTGGTGTCGATGGAGTAGACGACAATGGCAATAGTACCAATGACAGTACTAGCAAATCCAAAGAATGGATCAGCAACGAGTACATGCAACAAGTTTTGCCCCAAGCAAAGTTGTCCAAATACCAACTCATTGGTGTCAATTGGATGGCCCTTTTGCACACCATGGAGTGCAAGATTACCAATCGCCGAAACTCCAAGGCAAAAACCACCAATGTCAATGGAATCTTGGCCGACGAAATGGGCCTTGGCAAGACGGTACAAACCATTGCCTTTTTGGCCTATCTTCGACACCAAAAGTTATTTCCTGGTGATGATGGTGGCGGTGGTGATGATGGTGGTGGTGATGATGATGGTGGTGATAACAATACTACCACTACGACGACGACTACAACTACCAAGGCAGCTACGGAAGCACATGCACCCCATTTGATCATTGTCCCAGTTTCGGTCCTTCCCAATTGGGTCCGAGAATTTGAAAAGTTTGCCCCGGAAATGAATGTGGTCAAGTACCATGGCAGTCAAGCCGAACGACAAGAACTCCAAAACGACCTTCGCAAATATTTACCAAAGAAGAAAAAGACTTTGGAGAACATTCGAAATAAGAAATGGGCGCAGCAATTGGACGACGCTTCCGCCGGCACGGATCGATTGGATGTTATTTTGGCGCCCGTGACCTACTTTCAAAAGGAAAAGTCGGACGATCGCAAATTTCTCAACAAGTTCAATTTTGATTACATGGTAGTCGACGAAGCCCACATGCTCAAGAATTCTCAATCCATTCGTTACAAAATGTTGGATCGTATGGTATCGAGCCATCGATTGTTGTTGACTGGGACTCCCGTACAAAATTCTCCACAAGAATTATTGAATATGCTGTGTTTCATCATGCCGCTCTTTTCGCAAGGCGGTGGCGGAGATCCATTCGACGATGAAGGTGGCAACAACAATGCTACCGTGAGCGAACGAATGTTGCAGCACTTTGTCGAGAGCAAGACAATGGAGGAAGGAGACGAAGAAATGGCCTACAAGAAACTAAAGAGACTCTTTGCTCCCTTTGTCCTTCGCCGCAAAAAGTCCGACGTCATTGCTCAGCTGTTGCCACCCAAGGAACAAGTGGTAGAGTATGTGACCTTGGACGACGAAGCTCGTTCGATCTATGAGAATATATTGGCGGCGCATGTCAACAAAAATGGCTCTAAAATTTCGGCTGCCATTGGGGATCATTTGTTTACCAATTTGCGCAAGGCCGCCAACCATCCCTTGTTGTTGAGAACACGACATACCTCTCGTAGCGAAATCTCGCACATGGCGGAACACTTTCACAAGTACGGAGCCTTCAAGGGAGAAGGTTCCACCAGGGAACGTGTCCAGGAAGAATTGACCAAATTTAACGATTTCCACATTCACTTGACCGCCTTGGAATTGCTGGATGAGAATCCGCACCGTCGCAACGAATTGGATCGATACGTTCTGCCCACGAGCGCCCTCTTTTCCTCGGCCAAGTTTTCCCGTCTCCAGACCCTCTTGCCCTCATTGATTGCAAAAGGTCATAGGATTTTGATCTTTTCGGTTTGGACCAGCTGTTTGGATTTGCTGGGTTGCCTCGTGGAACATTTGGGTTTGGATTATTTACGAATGGATGGAAGCTGTCCGGCCAATGACCGACAAGATTTGATTGACCGCTTCAATCAAGATTCCTCCATTTCCATCTTTTTGCTTTCCACCAAAGCTTGTGGTTTGGGCATCAACTTGACTTCCGCGGATACTTGCATCATTCACGATTTGGACTTTAATCCATTCAATGACTTGCAAGCAGAAGATCGATGCCATCGCATTGGACAAAAGAAAAAGGTAACCGTGTACAAGATGGTAACCAAAGAAACGGTGGATGCTGACATTTACACCATGCAAGAACGCAAGGCCAAAATGAATGCCGCCATTATGGAATCGAAGAATGACAAGAAGGAGCGACGGGAAATGCTCAACAAGGAGGTTCAAAGATTCCTTGGTAGTCCCAAAGCGGAGGCATCCAAAACGACTACTGACACAAAGAAGAAGAACGGAAAGAAGATTGAAATCATTGACATCATTTAGAGTTGCAAATTAAGATAATAAGGTCAGTACTCTTTTAAAATCCTACAGTATGATACAAGTACTACAGTACTCTTTTCCATTCATTCTCTTGAAATCCTATAACACAAGCACGATTTGCTTGTATCCCGCGTATTCAAATTATTGGCGGGTTTCTTGTCCGCGTGACATTTTCCCCCCAACAAAAAGATAAAAAACGAATGGTAGGTATTCTACTGGATCGGCCGTTTCCCGCGATGAATCTCTAGGTATCTTGTCAACAGTTATTCCAAATATATCGCACTGCACCGACCTACTTAGTGATTTCCCACAGTATCGCCAAAGATTCTTTGGCGAAGTTCCTAAAACGGAAGCAACACCTATCAGTTAACTTGCTGCCGTTTTCAAAAACTGACGACGCAAAATATTATTAAGCGATAGTATCCACACACAACATACACCCAAGACCCCTTTCATTGATTCAACTGCTTCCGGCGCTATCTACTGACCTTGCAGTATAATGGCCTGCCCCATCATCCAACGAGTGGATCACTCCACTCGACTGGAAATCAGGGATCCCTTCAATCCCAATGACAATTGGAATGAAATCTCTGGAATTGCCGTCTCGCCCACTCAAACAGGACCTAGCGGTGCGCCAGTCATCTTTGGACACAACGATGGTCCGAGTAGCAAAATGGTTTTTGCGGCTTGGGATTCTGGAACTGGACAACGACTCAAGACGATCAATCTAGAATCGAATTCACGTTTGCCCCTCTTTCATCAAGATTGGGAAGACATGACGATTGGACCATGCGGCCCAAACACCAACGAATCTTGCCTTTATCTCGCCGACACTGGCGATAATCGAGCGCAGGTTTCGGGCTCCAACACGCAACGAAACGGACGACCGTATACTATCTATAAGATTCGAGAACCGCAACTGCACAAGATTTCGGATAATGTGGTTCTTAGAGCGCAAGACAATGTCAGCGTGCTTCAATTTGATTATCGGCACTCTTCTTCGCCTTCGCGATATGCCAATTGCGAGGCCATGTTTGTGGACCATGCTGGTTGGGGCGGTGAAGTGGGAGACTTGTATTTGGTAACAAAGTGGAATCAAGACGTGAGTCGAACCTACAATCGTCTCTTCAAGATACCCGCATCCGCTTGGCCCAGTGGCTTTGGACACGTACGAGGCTACCAACCATTTGTCGTGGGAGAATACAGTGGCAATGCCCGAGGAAGCTTTTATCGATACGAGTGGACGGGTGCCGACATGTCACGAGATGGCACCACGATTGCCCTGACATGGACGGATGAGACTCATGTCTTTCAACGATGTCCGGGAGAGTCGGTGGGTGACGCGGTAGCGAGACGGGAGGTATACTCCTGTGTCCAGTATCGAAACCCAACGGCCGGTGCCAATCCAGGGAATCAATACGAAGCAGTTGCGTTCAGCCCGAATGGAAACCGCATGTTCAATTTGGCCGAGTCCTTGGATCCACCCAAAATCATACACGTCGATTTGGAATACCCGAGCAACAATGGTCGAAGTCAACGGTGTGCCCCCCGTTCCACGCCAAGGCCCACCAAACCACCCACGAGACCACCAACAAGACTGCCAACCCCACCACCCACCAGAGAACCCACACGTCCACCCACACCACCACCGACGAGACCACCCACACTTCCACCTACGCCACCGCCGACCAGAGAACCCACTCCTCGACCCACGCCGGTACCTTCCTCCCTACCTTCGGAAGGTCCAAGTTGGAATCCCTCCGACCTTCCCTCCCTTAGTCCATCGGACGTTCCAAGTGACATGCCTTCCATGGTTCCCAGTGATATCCCGTCTATGGTCCCCAGTGACGTACCATCGATGCGACCTTCGAGACAACTCGATTTTGAAACTTCCTTTCAACTTCCAGAAAGAAATCGGGAGGAGGTATCCAGAGGGTTTGGAACAGGACCTGATGTGCAACTGATCATGATGTTGGCTCTCATTGTCATGCTAGTATTGTTACGATGAAGGAAATGAAATGAACAATAGCATGAATGGAGAGATGATGATGTTGATGATGGCTATAAGGGAGGTACAACACCTAACACAAGCTATACTACTTACTGTATCAACGAAAAGCTGAGCTGAACAAACGAAACTACAACTACCAACCAATAGAAGATAGAAAATAATAAATACTTCATAATACACATTTATTTATTGGTAATATTGTATATCATAGTAGTCTGATCAGTAGCAGCATATTATAAAATACTACTGAAGAATCCTTGTCGTCTTCGGACGGAGATTTCGAACATTGGAATCTCGAGATTCAAGTTTTGTTGTTCCGCCAATGATGAATTCTTCCCGCGCGCCATCCACACACGGACTGAGATCGCGCATCTGTCGTCTCATTTTTAAAATGCGAAGGTTTCCCGCCAGCAACATTTTTGGCCAGAAACTCTCAACTCCGTCATACTCAAATTTCGTGCATCATCCTCCAAAGCGATCATCTATCAATATCATCTCCGACGAAAAACAATTGACATTACCTTTTTACAACTCAAAATTGCAGCAACAACAACAACAAAAAGCCACCATGGTGACTTGTCCGGTTGTTGATCGTATTGATCAATCTACGACACTGCAGATCATCGATCCATTCAATCCATTGCAAGATTGGAATGAGGTATCAGGAACTGCCATTTCACCAACCCAAAAAGGACCCAGTGGATACCCTGTCATCTTTGGTCACAACGACGGGCCGGATAGCTCCAAGGCTTTTGCGGCATGGGATTCGGGGACTGGAAAACTGTTGAAAATAATCAATTTGGTGTCCAACAATAACGCAATGCCCCTGTTTCATGAAGATTGGGAAGACATGACCATTGGAAGATGTGCCCCCGAGTCCAGCGAATCTTGCATTTACCTAGCCGACACTGGCGACAATAGAGCACAAGGATCTGGTCTCAGGACACAACGATCGAGTAGTCGACCATATACAATCTACAAGATTCGAGAGCCGATACTGAACAACATATTCGACAATGCTGTTTTATCAGCTGAAGAACATGTTTCGATTCTTCAGTTTGATTACAGTCATGTTTCGTCACCAACTGCCTATGCCAATTGTGAGGCCATTTTTGTTGACCATGCTGGCTGGGGAGATGATGGCGATATCGGGGATTTATATTTGGTAACCAAATGGAATGCCGAACGAAGCAAACGCCTGAATCGATTGTTCAAGATTCCAGCCTCGGTCTGGCCAGACGGATTTGGCAAGGTGGCAACTTATTCTCCTTTTACAGTGGGCGAATACGCTGATAATAACAACTCTCCGGGATCCTTTTACAACTTTACATGGACGGGTGCAGACATGGCTTTGGATGGTACCAAGATTGCCTTGACATGGACCAATGAGACACATGTCTTTAAACGATGTCCAGGAGAAAGTGTAGCATCGGCTCTGGCCAAGAGGGAATTGTTTTCTTGTACCAAATATGAGAATCCACCCGGAGCTGCAAATCCTGGTAATCAGTTTGAATCTGTTTCCTTTTCACCCGATGGCATGCGCCTGTTCAATTTGGCAGAATCCTTGGACCCGCCCAAGATTGTTCATGTGGATTTGAACTATGATACGAGTCAATCCCAAAACTTGGACGAATGTCCGGCCTATGCTACTCCCACACGAGGTCCCACACCTCCACCTACTAGTAGACCAACACCTCGGCCTACCAATAGACCAACACCTCAGCCTACTAATAGACCAACACCCCAGCCAACACCAGAGCCAACCACAGGAGAACCGACAGTTCTGGATTCCATGCAACCTTCTTTGCAAGCCTCCCTTCCACCCTCCTTTGCCTCTCTTTCACCAACTATGGATCCAACCATCATGCCGACTACGATGCCACCAACGACAGAAGAACCGACTGCCACAGCGTTGGAGATTGACCCCGACGACCCAGACGAATTTAGTCGAGACGACGACGAATTCATTGGAACATCGAATTCCTATGGTGGTTTGGGGAACATTGGTATTCAAGGCGGGGGGAGAGAACAACTGTCGAGGGGATTTGGCAGTGGACCGGGAGCAGAGGCTTTCTTGTTGGTCGTTCTGCTTGCACTCGTGATGGCAAGATAATCTGAACAGACAAATGGGGGAAAATAGCAAAAAGCCAGATTGCGTTATGTTTTATTGTATTAATAGCTCTAGTCGTATTAATTTAAAATTTTCAAAACATTTGTGTAGAATTGTACTTTTTGTTTCTACTCTGATATATCTACCTTGGACAAGCTTAGACTGGGGATGCAGGAACTCACACGTGCGAGTCCGAGTCAACCTCCCCGAGCATGTGAAGGCAGCGCAATGCCAAGTTCACATGAAGTTCTGCTCCTTGAGGCAAGATGGTTTCGTCCAACGCAAAACGGGGATGGTGCAATCCAAAGTCTGTTGGTGGCTCCGTTCCGCTGCCGGATCCGATCATAAAGTAGGTTGATGGGATTTCCTCTGCGATAAAGCCAAAGTCTTCGGCTCCCATTCCTGGGTCCAATTCCAACACCTCACCGGATTTTGACACCATGGCTCCAATTTCCTTTGAAAATTCCTCATAAAGTTGCTCGTCGTTTCTGGTTGGAGGGTACCAGTCGGCAGAATATAGAATACCGACTTCGCAACCATGCATTTCAGCTGTCCGAGTGACAATCTGTTCGACCTTGTCCTTCAAATCCATGAGAATTTCAGTGGTCAAGGCACGGATCGTTCCACGAAGGATGGCGTTTGCTGGAATAACATTGAAAGCGCTTCCAGCATCAAACTTGGTGATACTGCAGACGCCACTCTCCAGTGGACTCAAGCTTCTTGATACCAAGGTCTGCAAGTTCATTACAATCGACGCGGAAGTCACGATTGGGTCCACTGTCAAGTGAGGCATGGCAGCATGGCCTCCTACACCTGTAATCGTAATCTCAAAGCGCTCGGCTGCTGCCTTGACGGTTCCAGGTCGAGAAGCAACAATACCAGTTGGGACCCTGTAGGTACAGTAGAAAACATGTAAAATTAGTGATTGAATCCGCAGTGTACATTCACGTATACCAACGTCAACTTACTTTGGGTTGACATGCATAGCAAATGCATGTTGTGGTCTCGGTTCCTCTTCCAAGAGTCCTTCTTCAAGCATTCTCTTGGCACCAGCACCACCCTCTTCGGCAGGTTGGAAAATCAAACGGACGGTTCCCTTGATACTTCGCTCCATTCCTTTCAGGATGGATGCTGCACCAAGAAGCATAGCCGTATGACCATCATGGCCACAGGCATGCATCACTCCAGGATTCTTGGATTTGAAATCATCAATGTTAGTCGTCTCCTCGAAAATGGGAAGAGCATCCATGTCAGCACGAAGCAGCACGCAAGGCTCCTTTCGTGTTCCGATATCCGCAACGATTCCATATCCTCCCTCTCCCGGTATCCTGTCGGGATTGGTATTGACGCCCCACCCTGTGGTGAAGGCAATCTTCAGCTTCTTGAGAGCTTTCTGAATATAGGCAGACGTCTCTTTCTCATTGTACATGAGTTCTGGATTTCGGTGAAGATCTCGTCTAGTAGTCACCATGAACTCGTGCTTGGTAGCTGCAAGTGAATGGATTTCACTCAGCAATTCTTCCGATGTTTTACTGCCGTTGAAGAAACCATCGATAACCTTGTTGCGAGGCTTGACCTTTGCTACCTTGTCGATTTTGCCACCAGCCTTCAAGGCGGTGGTAACGGCTGGGACCGAGGATCCAAGAGGAGGTGTCATTGCGCTGAGGAAGAAAATGTAAATGTAATCAAGCAGTTGCTGTTTGATTGTTGTGTGCAGAGGATGACGACAACTGAAAAAGGGAAGGAAATTTGAAATCCTACTTACGATCGGAAGTGTACGTACAAGAAGTACCGACATTATCGTAGCAGATGATTCTCCAACTTTTAGGTCCCACCCCAACCATATTCCTAGTCTTTCACCCTTCGATACCTCTCTACATTTCAACGCATATATATTTATAACACGGACAAACTTTCCGTCTGGTCAGAGGTGCTCTAGTCCCGGCGGAACCACGTGGAGTGTGTTGTGTTGTGTGGGCCATTCGTTTTTCTCGTGTGTTTTTTATCCTCTTCTGTCTATTTGTCCAGATATCGTGTAGGTTTTCCTACGGTTTTGTTCCCGAGCAAATTGAGATCGTGTCTGTCTCAATTTGGTGTTCTTCACCGAACATTTGAATTCGCGGTATTTCATCACAGCAGATAACTATTTCTACTGTGAATACTACGTGGATTCAAATCAATGACACAAAATCTTAATCACCGACAATAAAATACTGGTTGTTTTTATATACGGAGCACCAATTCGCCGCTCAAAATCCGTCTGATCAAAGGAAGAGGTCGTTGCTTTATTTCGTGCGTGTCTTGTCTAGTTGTCCATCGGTCGCCACTCTGTAGCAATCGTGTTTTGAGACTTCTTTAGTTTTTTATTTAGAAATTTGTGGTGTCTCAAAACACTCTGAAATCAAACGCAGGGTTTTTTCTCGCGGACTGCTCAACATTTTGTAGACAGTCCAACTGGTCGACGAGACACCAAGGTCCCGTATTTCTCAATCACTCAATGATGGCTCCCGCTTTTTAGTCCAAATGGTCCAGACAATATAACTCTGACATACTTTCATTAAAATAGTTACTGTATGTAATACTCCTCCGATGACCTCACGGTACAAGTATTTGGCAACATATTGTCTTAGTCCACCTCGCTTCATTAAGCTTCAAGAGATAGATGATGAAGCATTTGGTAGAGGTTACTTGAGACAGGCTAACACAGCTCTCATGAATAATACATGGCGGCTGACAGTACCTCCGGATGCAACCAACGACCCGGACACCAGCGATCCTTTGAGTGGTCTGTGTCGCTTGGGTATGCTGGACCTTCTCGGCCATAATGAAGAAGAGGAAATAGTGCTTGTCATCACGATGACTAGGAACCTCAAGATGGCCAGACCATTTATTAATGGTGGGAGAAAAATGAACAGGATGAAAACAGAATATTTAGTCGTCAAGACAGCCAAAGTAAAACAAATTTCGGAGGAAGCCGCAAAGTCATGCGAAGGATTTTTAGAAATAAAGCTACCTGAAAAGAATGTAACTGTCAAGGTCCCTCTCAATTCCTTTTGCGAAGGTCGTAAAGAAGGGAAGAAAGCGATGGTCGAAATTTGGAAATCGATTCCCGACAAACCAAAACAAGTTACGTCTTTTCTTGACAAAGGCCTGAGGGATCAAACGAACCCTCGAATAAAATGGAGTATGGCACTATATATATTGAAAGTCGAAAACCGATCATTTGGACTAAAAAGCGGGAGACAATGCTGGAGGGAAATACGGGAGCTTCCAAAAAGCCTGTCTTGTCGACCACTTGGACCATCAACAAAATGTTGAGCAGTCCACGAGAAAAAACCCTGCGTTTGATTTCAGAGTGTTATGGAGCATAACAGATGTGACTGAGGAACGAAGTACAGACGGCGTCTGTCATGCGACATCAAACACGATTGCTACAGAGTGCATCGGTCGCGTAGTTTTGCTTAGGTTTTTGTTCCCCACGCAGACAGAGGTAATCTGTCAGTCTCCGAGGTTCAAGTGAAGATTCGGTCCAGTAGTTTAAAAAGCGTACAAATTCTACGCCTTCCACATTTCCTGTCTGTGCCGAAAACCAAAAATATAGAAATGATATGGGCTAATTGACAAACAAACACACAAACAAGGCATCTTCAGTCCGGATGGCGCTGTTCTACGGCAATGCTAGTATCAACCAGTAGACAACAATCAACAGTGAACAAAAAAAAGAGGGCAAATCCAAAACGCAGACAAAGACTCACAAACCCACACTCACAGGAACTTGTTTCCTATTTCTTTTCGAGCTTTCATCCAACAGTAAATCGATCAACCTTTACACTAAACATGACTCCTCGACCTGTACCACACGAACCCCTTGTCACAACTGCTGAAGGATATGTTGCTCCTTTGGCCATGGGAATTGACTTTGAAATCCCATCTCCTGCTGCAGTTCTCGACTCATCGTTGGAACAAGTGGTTGTCCTGGTGGACCCAATGTCTACCGGTGTCATTCTTCAAGACAAGGTCTTTGAGGCTGGCATCTACAACGTTGTCATTGTCTGGAGCGACCGATCGCAGCTCGTTGCTCGTGAAAAGCATTTCAAGAACTCTGGCCGATCTCGCGAAGACTTTGCCGCCGTCATCACACACGAAGATGGAGAGCTTGAGAACACTCTTCTTTCCATCTTGGCCGCTACTACCAACATGACTATCGCTGCAGTCATGTGCGGCAGCGAGTTTGGTGTTCTTTTGGAAGATCAAATTGCCAATGGCCTCAACCAAAAGTTGGGCACTACTCACCTTCGCGGAAGTGGAATTCCCGTTCTCAGCACCAAGGTTGACAAGCACTTGCAAGCTAACACTATCCGTTCCAATGGACTCGACGCTGTCCGAGAAAAGCTTGCCAAATGCGAAGACGATGTCAAGGCTTTTCTAGAGGAGAACAACGAGCCAGGAACATCCTTTGTTGTCAAGCCACAAACAGGTGCTGGATCTGTTGGAGTCACCTTTTGCGACTCACCCAAGGCCGTCTGGGAAGCCTATTACAAGATTCTTGCAGGAGAACACAAGGCTCATTGTCGAAACAAGTACCGCCACTACGAACAAGCTGGCGTCCTGTTGCAAGAATACTTGAAGGGAACTGAATACATTGTCAACTCGGTGGTTAACAACGGAAAGATCAAGACCACCGCCATGTGGAAGTACGACAAGCGTCCCTACAATGGCGCCGCCTTTGTTTGCTTCAGCAAGGAGCTCCAAGTCATTTCCGACCCCAACTGCGAAGAAATCCTCGAATACACCGAAGAGGTTCTCAAGGCTGTCGGGTTTGAGAGTGGAGCCATTCACGCCGAAGTCATGTACACTGCTCGAGGACCTGTTTTGGTCGAACTCAACTGCCGCTTGCACGGTGGAAACGGTGCTTGGGTACGACCAGCTGAAATCTGCATGGGATACGACCAATTGACCATGTTGGTGGATTGCTACCTCAACGGAGGAAAGGTCTTTGACAACATTCCATCCCGACCAATCACTGCCAACAGCTACTGCCAGCAAGTCAAGATGCGTTCTCACATTGAGGGAGTCTTGAAGACTGTGATTCCTTCTCAATTCGAAAGAATCGAGGCATTGCCATCTTACTACAGCCACCTGTTTGGAGTATCCGAAGGTGATCGTCTCTTGAAGACGGTTGACATGCCTTCTGTTCCAGGAGAGGTGACTCTTGTACACAATGACAAGGATCAACTTGCCGTTGACTACGAGAAGCTGAACGAGATTTTGGCAGAAGGCATCTTTGAAGTGGAAGCCTAAGAAGTGGAAGCTTACAAGGACGAATGTCAACCTCTGACCGTTCTGCTGTGATTGAAAATGGAGTGTACACTACAATGCTGTGAATAAAATCTTGAACCAATAATATACCGATAATAAAAATACATGATTTGTATGAAACCGTGAACTCTATTTTTAATAAAATAATCACTCTGGTGCAATGTAATCAAGTTGAGCCGGAGACCTACTTATTCTCAGTTGTCTTCTCCCTCCAGCAAAGGAAAACTATTTCAAAAGAGCTGCGGTAGTACTATCAATCGTACGAACCTGATGTAATCCATGTGGTCAAACTTATTTGCACCTCTCACATCGCCAACTTTTTCAACTGTCATTGAACGTATCATCACCATCATCACCATCATCACCATCATCACCACCAAGAAGATCTAATCAGCATAGCAGCAAGGCAAGGCAATGCAAAGATAGAAACACAATGGTAGAACGGGGATCATCAATACGGAACATTGAGTATCAGTCAGGTCGGCTCTATGAAGTTGAAACCAACAGTCTGAGTGGACATCCCCTCTCGGTCTACGTCCTCATGTCCATCTTCATGTTGTTTTGTCTGGTTGTCGTTACCGAACCACAGCATACCTTTGTCTTTACGGCAGGAGAAAATCTCAGAATACCCGTTCGGTATTCCATTCTGACACAAGACCACTATGAAATTAGGATACCAAAGGGCAAAGAAGGTGCTGTCGATGCCTTTTCTCTGGAAACCTGTCCAACCTTTTCAGGGCAGGTCATCAATCTCAACTACGAGCAAGATCTGCTGCTGAATGGACAAGATTATCAGTATGATTACTTCATTTTGCATCCCGGATCGATCGTCTATGCCAAAATCACTGTAAGCCAGGGATCGGCATACTTTTATTTATTGCAAGGTGACGTCTTTCAATTGGAATCCTTGCGCCATGGCAAAAGCTTTGACGTCAATTCCTTTCGTGCCGTGAACATGGTTTATGTCTCGGACAGCATCGAAGAAGGCGTCGTGGTGACCCATACGGTCAAGAACGAATTTGCCGGACGTGGTCAAGTCTGGGTGCTGTATTACGAGAACCCAATGTCGTCAGGAACAACCATGCACACTCGATATGCCATGAAGGCCACCTCGTACAACTTGAATTCCTTCCGTCCGACATGTTCTACTGGTTCTTCCACTAGTTCCTCCTCCTCCTCATCATCATCATCAAGTTCATCAAGTAGCAGTTCGGGATCACATTGCGTGGTAGAAGCCAATCCTTGTACCATCGTCCAAGCTTCCAATTACTATTACGATGATGACGATGATGACCAAGACGATGCGAGAGACGAAAATGGGGATGACGATTATTATAATCAGCAACAACAGCAACAAAATGATGATGTGTACGCCAATGCCGACGATCAATACGCTGGCAATTACCGTGGCGACGAGCGGTACTATTACAACCGAGCCAAGATTCGAGAAGTTGAAGTGCAGGTCACCTTGAATCGCGATTGGACCGTCATTGGTGGCCTGACGAGTCTTCCTACCATATTTGGTCTCTTTGTCATGATATCCTTTCGACGAAAAAAGAAAAAGAGCGACCTTGAGAAATCCATCCAACATGCCGAACAAACGGAGGATGATGATGGATACGAGAATTGGAAAGATGGAGTCAAGCCGGCAGCAGCAGCAGCAGCAGGAGCCATACAAACGCCATCTCCCACCAAGCGAGATTTTCTCAAATCCCTCTATGTTCCATCGTCCCAATGGCATAGTCCTACCAAAACCAGCAATTCATCATTGTTGATACCACCCTGCAATATGCCTCTTCCTCTTCCGCCTCCTACGACTACGACTACTACTACTACTCCTACTGCTTGCACTGAAATGAGTACATTGGGATCGCAGGAACGACGGCCCTCGTCGTTGACTGCCATCCAATCCATACAACAACAACAACAACAAGGTGCTGAACAACAAGGGAGATTGCCAGCCGCATCAGTAGTAGTAGTAGCAGCAGGGAAAAAAAAAGACCAAGGACGAAACAGTCGAAATGAGGATGATTCCACATATGCTGCGTGAACTTGATGGCTGTCGCTGCGAGTATATGGACACATGTAGGATTGAATCATTCATTCTGATAGGGGCGCCGCACAAATTTCTTTCTTTTTTTCTTCCTTTCTTCCCTGCCAAACATGCAGCACATTTTTTTCAAATCCAATGCCATTTTCCGGAGGATTGTTTTAAAAAAATTTAAATTCAAAAAGGCGCAATGTAACTGTACGGTGTGCATGTGTCTCTGTTGTGTGTGTGTCTCTCGGTCTCTCTATCTTCTGTGTTTTTGAGTGAAGAATATGCCTGCCAGACATGTATACAATATATACCGTATATATGAGAGGAATGATGGATCGAGTCTATCTGCTGTTGGAGTGAATGCTAATAAGACTGCTGAATTCTGCAGTGCTACTCGTACCAAATGGTAGCAAACGATTATAATAAAAGGTAGAGGTTTCAATGAATTACACACAGATATACAGACACATCATAATATATTTATAATACAACAATACTATTCCTATTCCTAATGCTAAGTGATTTTCTATAAATTGTATTTTGCCCTAATGGCTTCTTGTTGTTGCTGCTGCTGCATGGCTGCTTCTATGATGTGTGATGTGTGTGTATCTGTATGAATTCTAGGTAGTTGCAACTGAAACTGAAACTGAACGAATGATTGAATGATTGAATGATTGAATGAATGCAAGATGATGACTGTCATCATCTCAATCGATTTTCCAAGATTTCATCGACAATCACGGAATAGCACAGCATCATGGCCACATCGTGTTTGGGTGCAATTTGTACCGCCCGTCCCGTATTGGGCAGGGCAATCAATTTGGCACATTCCTTTTTATCTTCATCTAACACAACGTGTCCCCTTGTCTTTTTCAATCGAAAGACGGATCCAAACATTTTGGTGCAAAAGGTGTGATCCTTGGGAATGATTTCATCCTTGACGTGTTTGAGAGAAATGGTGCCTCCCATACCTCCAGCATTTTGAACGTCGGCCCATTTGTAATAGCCCAGACCGACTTGATCAAATTTGATGGACTGTTTGTAAACAATCGGCGACGAACCGCAGATGCTATAGGTAATGGGACCGTACTTTTCTTGGTGCTGCAAGATCATGGCACAGACCTTGCCATCGGCTGTTTTCAATAAACGCCTTCCATAATGCGTCTCTTCCACCACGGCCACAATGGTACCATGCTGATTCTCAATGGTGGCCATTTCGCCCTTGGCCACCGGCCTTCGAATCAAATAGCGTTCGGTCCTCAAGGACGGTGGAAAGCAAGCAGAGAGTGGCGGAGGAGGTCCCGGATTCAATCGATCCGAAATGGTGGCAAGGCTTTCAAAGGTATCGTCAGTGCGGGAAGAACTTCCTCGAGACAAAAACCTTCGAAAGCCTGCCTTGCTGTTGTTGCTGCCCTTTATGGCTTCTTGGTGTATGTCTATTATTCGCTGCTTTTTGTTGTTGGCCTTGCTGCTGCTGCTGCTGCTTTGTCTGCTTGCATGTGATTTCTCATCGTCCATGTCCACTTTTAATGAAGGTACAGACTTCCATTGTTGCATGCTATCCGACATTCTTTGCCGAAAGGACTTTTGTCTCGCTGGAAGCTGTTTGCGACTGCCTTTTTTATGTTTCTTGCTATTCTTGCTATTACTACCATTGCTCCTGCTCCTGCTGCTACTACTATTGCTACTGCTATTACTATTGCTGTTTTTGGTACTGCGTTGTGGCGTGGGAACCCTTCGAGATACCAACAGGCCTTTGGAAACATCCGGAGTGTTTGCATTGGACCTTCCAGATCGATGATGATTCCTATTGCGAGATGAAGCTGCTGCTGCGGACGACATCTTTGCTTGTTTGTTCTTTTGTCAGTTTGCTTGCTGTTGTTTGCTGTTGCACAAGTACTGGATAAGCTACTACAGTACTTTGATCGACAAGGGTTGTCGAACTCAATACCAGTTACACAAGCCTTTTGCCTTTGATTCCGCAAGGTCCGTTTCGCAAACTTTCGTACTTTTCGCCGTACGTCTACTGTAGAGTGTAGGTGCGAGAAGGTGAGGAAGTTTTGCCGAGGGGAGCATGCCAGCAATCCCGTCGTTATCACCTACAAACTTGACCAATAAGTTTTCTCTAGCGTCATCCAATTGGTCGTAATGACCACGAACACAGTTGTTAAGTAAATCTCGGTTTGATCTTGCCAACTTTCTTTGCCGGCGCTTTTATTTTCGATCCCAAATGCCGCACAAGCATCCGCAACATTCTCGAACGAAGGATTCTTTGGAGCGCCAGCCATACAATAACGGCTACCTGCCCTCGAGATTCGAAAACAATTATCTAACGACCAGCCGCACAGACCACGTCCCATGAAACAGTCGAAATACTGTACCGGTATATACTGTACCGTTCTGCTCCTGGTTTCAAGAGTACCAGGGTACCAGGTACCATAAACTCTTGCTGGTTGTACCAGTACATGTAGCAAGTGGTTGTAGAATCTAATGAATGAATGATTGGATGGATGGATCCATAAAAACCAATCAATCAATCAATCAATCCATTATTCTAATGCGCTGCTCGTGAAGATGATTTCTTCAACAATGGCTCCTCATGTTTTAATTTTTGTCTTTTGGAGCTCTCACTCACCACGGCACCACGAATAAATGACAAGGCTACGGTATCAAATATCCTCGGACAAATCATTGTCCTTTGTTCCATCCCTTTCATCCATGTGATGCACCCTACCAGGTACGTACCGGGTACCAAATGTGAAGACCCCAAACTGGACAAGAGCCAAAGATGTACTTGTGGTCATGCTGATTCCTTGGTGTTTTTCGCACTTTCGTGTCAAACACACTTATATGATTGTATTTTTACTAGAGGCTTTCTGACACTTTTTGATAACGTTTGCACATCTCACAAGAACCGAGCATCTGATCTTGATAGAAACGCATTATATATGTTATATCAGCTTATATCTATTCTTTTTAACATAAACTGGTCCGTGATTGAGACAAAATGACCCATCAACTTATGCAAAATCCAGCTGGCGTTAAGTACCGTCCAAATGACTGACAAGATAATAAATGAGGTAGTCTTGATATATTGATCCTCCGAATTCTGCCATCAACATCTTGAGATTCTCTCTTCACAAAACTCGAAAATACAATCATTCAACGGTGTTTGTTTCACCGTACATGAACCGCTCTTGCTTTCCTGCTCCCTTTTTTCTGTCACATCACACTTTTTGAATTGAATTGTTGCAACCTTCATCATCATCATTATCATCATCATCCACAAATTGTGAAGCAGTGCATCAAAAGCATACATATAATATCATTATTAGTCGTGGGATCCGATTTCGTTTGTCATCAAATCCGAAGCTGACGAATACATCGAGTCGAACCCTGTCCAAAATTCTTTTCATAAAAACAAACATCCAGCCACTTTCACCCTTCTATTTGTTACGAGAAGAAGTATTATACAATAAGAAACGGCGGGTTCAATCCAAAGGACACCCACGGTTTTATCAGATCCAATCTATTACATAATATATTCACATACACATACACATATATTACTAACAACATGACATCGGTATCGATCGTGAATGGCACGAATGCAAACAACAACAACAACAACAACAGCCACAATACGGTAGCGTCCAAACGAACCCACTGCAAGAAGCGAGTTGTTCGGTTCGATGAACGATGTCGGGTACGACCCATTCGCAAACTTCATACCTTGGAACCTGCCGTGCGGGAACAGCTATGGTACAATCGAGAGGAACTCAAGGCCATTCGAAAGGATTGTCGAAACATTATGAAGGAAGCTCTGCGTCAGTTGCAAAAGGCACATTTGCAAGAGAAAGAAAAGATGACGATGAACAACAAGAATAACAACAACAACAAGTCTACCAAGAAACAACAACAACAACAGAGTAAGGCAAAGCACTTGTTTCCACCTTCGGCCTTTCGAGGATTGGAAATGTTTCATCCCAAAATGTCCTTCAAGAGAGAGGGACGCCGGCAAGATCAATGGGAAATTGTTCTCACGGAACAAGCGCAGCAAGACATGGCTCGAACAACCAATACAAACAGAACAATGACAAGTCTCCAAGATCAAAATGATACTGCTGCTGCTGCTGCTGCTGTTAGTGATGATTCGTCGTCGTCCTCTGACGCTCCACCACCATCATCATCGTCATCATCACCACAGAGCAACCAACAACTTCCAAGAGACGAAGACCTCCTGAAATTGGCAGAGATATCTGTCAAGACCTCACAGGTTGCCATCAAGGAAGCCCACAAACGTGCTCTTCGAGATCAACAAGACTTGCTTCATCCTCCCAAGAAATGGATGCTCCCATGGCTATTACTCGAAGAAGAAACACACCAGGCAGCATTATTGGTAGAGCAGCAGCAGCAACAACAGCAGCAACCAATATTGTCTTCGCCAGCATCACCAATGGCTGCCATTACCAAGCGCATCGTCGAGGGTACCAAACTGGAAAAGCTCTTGTCGCGGAAATCACAACCATCACAACAACAACAACAAGAAGAAGACAACACCACCTACATTAGTAGTAGCCCCACCAAAAGTCCCAAACAACAAGGGCGGTCGCGGACCGTATCCTCCGCCACGATTTCCACATTAAATCTGAGAACCATGGAATGAGGAGGCGATCCAAACATGTTACAAAATGGTTCAATGCCAAGTATTCTATATTACTACTATATTTTAGAAAATATCATAATTTTAGAAATAATAACAATGATAATAACAATTCCTAGGTTTATTTTTTGAAACATATTATTACTGCAAATAGTAGAAGGGCACAACAAAAGTGATCCAATAGTGCTACAGTGTTGGCTGCACCGTCACCAGATTGCAAACATATATGATGTATGAAGTTATGTCTGTATGATGATGGCAATGCTTTAGGTTTGAAAAAGGATCCGTATCGTCGCAGTCAAGGCAACCAGCAGCAAGAGGAGTTGCTGAGAGCTTGGCGGCGGCATAGTGGACCATCCTGCTTCTGATGAGAATTCTCGGTCCTCCTTCAAATTGGTCTCGTCGTCGCCTCCTCCTTCCAAGACAATGGGATCGTCGAGTCCTAATAATGGTGGATTATTATAATAGCCTCCTGAACAATACTGTTGGTGCTGCTTGTTGCTATTGCGAGTGCTATGACTGGAGCCTTGTTGTTGCTGTTGTTGCTGCTGCTGTTGTTGCTGTTGTTGCAACAACAACAAGTCCACAGTCACAATCTTGGGGGGATCCCAAGATTCGGCCAAATTGAAAAGTCTCGCACCATCCGGCGAAAAGGAAACTGCCTCGTATTGATTGCCAGGATTGGCACCTGTAGGTGGATTTTGGTAATGGACGCACGAATGCGTATCAAACATGGCCAATGTTGAGGCTACCGTTCGATTGGGACATCTTGGAAAGATATGGGTTTCATTGGTCCACGTCAAGGCAATCATGGTCCCATCCAAGGACATGTCGGCGCCCGTCCAAGTATAGTCGTAAAAGGTTCCTTGAGAACTGCTGTTAGTGTCACTGTATTCACCGACGGCAAAGGGGGAATAGGTTGCCACTTGGCCTGGAAGAGGCCAGGCGGAGGCTGGAATCTGAAACAATCGATTCAGTATCCGACTCTTGTCTTGATTCCACTTTGTCACCAGGTACAAATCACCCACACTATTACTAGTACTGCCATCATCTCCGCCCCATCCAACATGGTCCAAGAACATAGCTTCGCAATTGGCAAAGGTGGTGGGAGACGTAACATGACTGTAATCAAACTGAAGAATCGAAACATCCTCTTCCACGGACAGAGTCGCATTGTCGGATATATTGTTTAGTATTGGTTCTCGAATCTTGTAGATTGTATATGGTCGATTCTTTGGGCGTTGCGTCTCTTGACCAGATCCTTGTGCTCGGTTGTCTCCCGTGTCAGCCAGATATATACAAGATGATTCAGTTGCATGATTTGGTGGTGGTCCTCCTCCACAGCTTCCAATGGTCATGTCTTCCCAATCTTGATGAAATATTGGTAAACGAGAGGAGGACGCGTCCAAATGAATGGTCTTGAGTCGCTTACCGGTCCCTGAATCCCAGGCCGCAAAGGCGTTTCCAGTAGAAGGCCCATCGTTGTGACCAAAGATGACAGGGTATCCACTAGGTCCAACTTGGGTCGGTGACATGGCAGTTCCCGACACCTCATTCCAATCTTGCAGTGGATGGAAGGGATCCGTGATCTGCAACGTCGTCTCCAAGTCTACATTGGCAATCATGGGACAGATTGCCATGACGACTGTATTCTTTGCTTTATAAGGGAGTGTTATTAATATATATGTTACAAACTTGTTGCATTGTCATCTTCAAATCTGCATCTATCTAATATAATCTGTGGCATCATGTCATTTGTTGACTCATTCGATCCCATATTTGATCAGACAAAGAACCCGGAGGCGCGGGAGGAGTCGAAGATTCTTCTCGCAGTATTTTATGCGAACAGACACTGACACACACATTCAGACAGACACGAACTAGTTAGTTTGGGAACCCAAGGCCTACGACAGCCTACGACCAAGATGGACAACAAGACAGGAAAGAAGAAGAATCAATGATTTGACACCACCGGCCTCCTTGGCACACTCGTCAATCATTTTTTTTTCTTGGGTGGTTGAGAAGACCAATATAATAGTATAGAGTTATTATTGATTGATTCAATGGTACCTGCACTTGTGGTTACTCCTCCTGTTGACCCCGAGCCGACTCCTCCTGCCGCTTCTCCCACTGCTGATCAGTTTGGCCCCATGAAGGTTGTCAAATCGACGGACAAGGCGACCAAGGTCAAACCTCGCAACAAGGTGGTCGATGCCTTTTTCAATGGCGGTGGTACCTCCGAAGACCTGATGCAAGAAATCAAGACGTTGACCGCCAGGCAGCAAGATTTTTTGTTGACCACCCGACGGGATCTTCACAAATGTCCCGAACTCATGTACAATGAAAAAAAGACATCGGATTATATTCAAAAGGCGCTCAAGAAGAACAAGATTGCCTTTACCACCGGATGGGGCGTCAATACATCCCCTGACCGGATTCCGGGAGACGGAGGATATGGAATTGTCGCGGACATTGGAACACGGAAGGAACCCTGCGTGTTGCTTCGTGCGGACATGGACGGTCTCCCCATTATGGAAAAGACGGTCGGCATTGATGATTTCATGTCGACCAATCCTGGAGTCATGCATGCCTGTGGAAACGATGGACACACGGCCATGCTACTGGCGGCCGCATCGATCCTGAAGGGTATGGAGCGTAGCATCAAGGGAACGGTTCGACTTGTCTTTCAGCCTGCCGCCCAAGGAGGTGCTGGTGCCAAGAGAATGGTCGAAGAAGGCTTGTTGACGGACGACCCCCAACCACAGCATGCCTTTGCGATGAATGTCAACCCAAAGTAAGTTTTTTCAAGACATTTTCAGTGAGTGGTCTTGTGACCTGACGAATGTCGACCTCACCTTTTTCAATTTTTTAGGGTGGCTACTGGTATTATCGCGTCTCGACCTGGAACCGTCAAGGCGGCAGCCGAGCGCTTTGAGATTACGATCCACGGTGTAGGAGGCCATGCGGCCATGCCTCACTTGACGGTGGACCCCATTGTGACTGCCTCCTCCATTGTCATGAACTTGCAAACACTAATTTCCAGAAGCTTGAGTCCACTGGAATCTGGCGTCTGCAGTGTCACCAAGTTTGATGCCGGCAGCGCGTTCAATGTGATTCCAGCATCAGCGGTCCTTCGTGGGACGATCCGTGCCTTGACTACAGAGATTCTAATGGATCTCAAGGGCAAGGTAGAACAGGTTGTCACCAGTACGGCCGAAATGCACGGTTGCGAAGCTGGAGTTACCTATTCTGTAGACTATTATCCTCCAACAGTGAACGACGAAGTACTGTATGAAGAATTTTCCAAAGAAATTGGAGCCATGTTGTCCGTGACTGGAGAAGTGGTCGAAATTGAGCCAGGAATGGGAGCGGAAGACTTTGGCTTTATTTCGGAGGAAATCCCATCCAGCTACTTTACCATCGGACAAGGCAGTGGAACCAATCCACCGACAAACGTTGGAGTGCATCACCCTCATTTTGCGTTGGATGAATCCATCTTGCCTCAAGGAGTAGAGCTTCATGTCAACTTGGCATTGCGCTGCCTTCACATGCTTGGAGAGGTGGACTCGGACACCAACTGTTCGATCCCGCATGTAATCGGAGTAAAATAGACGGAACCAATGCGTCTCGTTTCTCATCCCTTTCGCTCCTACATACATACAGTATAATGTATATCCATATTAGATATTATATCTCTCTTTTCGTTTTTCAAATTGTAGGGGATGCAGCGATATTTTGTTGCTCATCTCAACAATTATTATTGATTGATGTCATGTGGAAATACTTTTCTGTCGCTTCTCATATTGATGGCGCAGAGATACTTCTATTCTATTCCTGAGTGCCGTTTGGATTGTTCCTTTCATTGTGAATGCTATTAATAAGATAGGCTACTATTTATAATAGAAATTGCCTACCTATAATACAGTACCAGCAAATACATATTCTTTGGAAAGGCATCGCTTCTCATCAGGAACAACCAACGTCCACCTAGTGAAGACTTCAACAGTGCGGTGTCAAGCCTGATGGCTTCTTGTTGATCGTTTCCGAAATCTTGTGCATGGCACCCCTTTCTTTGTGGGTTGCATCGATGTTTTTATAGTGCCGTTTTGATTCTTCCTTTCATTGTGAGTAGATAGTATTTTTTTAAAGATTACGCTAGTATTTAGAAGTGACATATCAATAGTACTACCATGATGTCAAACCGTAGCTAGTCATAACGCTTCGTGTCAGCCAGAAACATCCACTTGAGGCTAAAAGCTGCAGAGGATTTGAAGGGCCGGATGTCACGTTGGCTTCTTGACCACTTCTGAGATCTTGTGCAAGCAACCCCTCAGTCTCTTTCTGGATTGCATCGATTGGGTCATGGTCTTGCTATGTGACCTCTTGAGTCCCATCTTTCTATCCCACAGATGGATGTCTTGCTGACTTTGTGCGCTCTTTTCCAAAGCGTCGGCTAGCTTTTGGACTTCGCTGCTTATCTTTCTATTAGTGTTGATATTTGGTTGGTATGTTGTATTTTCTTCTTTTCTTTTCGTTTCCTTAGAGTCTTTGCTGTCTCCAGGATGATGATTCTTTTTCCTCCGCTTGTTTTGTCTCCTGTCATTCCGCCCTTCCTTCTTCTTTCTCACACTACTAGTAGTAGTGTTATCATTATCCTTGTCTTTTGGAGACGAGTGTCGTGGCTTTAGCTCATCAAATAGATGTGAAAAACTGCTATCGCCAGGAGAATCGCTGTCCGTGTCGAAAAGACCTTGGGATGCTTGTATTCGTGAAAGATCATCGTGCATGGTGTGATGATCGTGCGTATTTTGATTGGCGCCAGTCAACTTCACTGAGCCCCTTCTTGACTCCGATCCTCTCAGAAAGGACGATTCTTCCAAGAAATCATTGAGGTCATCTGACGAAGAGAATCCCAGGGAAAGTGAAAGTCTCTTCATTCGAAGTGGAGTAGGTTCCAACATGTAGTCTTGTAACAAATCGTTTGTAAATGACCTAGACGATATCGATGTTGATGATGGCTGCGGCCGACTCGTTGCCATTTGGGATGGTGGCAAGGGGGGCGGCAGTGATTGTGATTGTGATGGCATTGGTGAGGATACTGATGAACTCAGGCTGTCCTGCTGTTGATAGTGAGGTGGCAGATGAGGCCGTTGAGAATTCACAATGCGGAAGGCTGATTCACTACCAGGGCGATAATGTGATATCATTGACGACACAGGATGCATTGCAGTGCTTTGGCTGGAGGCCCCTGACATCGTACTTGTGATGAAGTTGCTGAGAGTCGCCCTTTGCATCTCCTGTTCGTAGGGGTGTCGTGCTTCTGAAGGTCGTGCTCCTGCGACATTTATTTCTTGCTGTATTTGCATCAACAGCTTTCGCTGATTGGAAAGGAGAGATGTAAATGTATCATCATTGTCCCTGTTCATTGTTGTTATCTCCGAGTTGATGACGATTGGCCGGATGATATTCATCTAGCATTCGTGGTTGGTCGTAGAAAGTATTTTGTGAACTAGTTTTGAAATTATGACAATAACGGAGGAAATGTACTCGAAAGACTCGAAGAACAAATGTCGCAATCCAAAAATGCCAATAGATAAACGATGAAATATAGTGTCTTTATGTAGCAGTCATTAATGAGTTCTCTTTTGGAATTTATCGGGAAGTCTATAAATCTGATGCTGGTTTTGGGCAAGATTGATCCATTTATTGCTGGTATCCACAAAGACCGACAAAAATGATCAACATCGCAGCCCCCCAGAATTTGGACCGGCAGAAATGTGCAAAGGAAAACAGGTGACGTTGGCTTATGTCCGACAATTGCAACCCTTTGTCGAATGCGCTTAAACACCAGCAGACTTTTTCGGTTGACAATTGTGACTCTGGTAGTCTCTAAAACAACTGGCTTCAATGTACAGCCAGTGGCATCTAGTCGTCGACAACAGAGGTTTCCATTACCATTCGAAATTCTGAGCGCTACCACATCGCCAGAATTCGACATTGGACTGGAAAACATCCCGGGAGTAGACTGGAAACGACCTGCAAAAGTGAATCAGGATGCTTGGATTCAAGATGAGACTGATGACTTTGTAATTGTCGGAGTTTTGGATGGGCATGGAAAGTTGGGTCATGAAGTGAGCTCATATTTCGCGTCAACTTTGCCTTCAGAGATTAAGCAGCGGCTTCAAGAAGCATACCCCAATCGGATACCAGTGTTTGAGCTCGAAGAGAGACTGAAGAGTGTCCCGGAATTACCGCAGGAATCAGATCTTTCTGATGATGTGCTGTCGCTTGCTCTGACGGATTCGTTTCATGCAGTCCACTGGAAAGCAATGTTGGATCCAGATCAGAAACCAGGAAGAAGTGGTGCTACCTGCATCACTTGTCTGATCAACAAGAAGACCAAGGAGTGCCATGTTGCCTATGTTGGGGATTCAAAAGCCATACTCATAGGTAGCGGGAAAGAAGGTTCTATTCAAATTGTTGCTGAACGGACCACTGTCAACGTTCCTGAGGAACGAAAGAGGATTGAGTCTGGTGAAGGATCCATTAGAGGAAGCAATGTATTCTATGGACCTGTTGGGATTGCAATGACGAGAGCACTTGGGGACACAGTCATGCTGCGAGCTGGCGTAATCCCAACACCCATTGTAGAAACATTTAAGCTCCAAGACTGCGACACCCTGGTGCTAGCGACAGATGGCATATGGGATGTCTTGCAAGATCAAGAGGTTTCGGATACAATAAATGATAGTTTCAGTGGTGGTGCACAGGGCATGGCAGCAACACTTGCCACCATAGCAAGGAAGAAATGGGCTGGAGATCTTCCAATCATGGACGAGGTCAAAGCAGATGACATCACAGTGCTGGTGTTAACTTGTACGGACCATCAGTAGTCAGCATGAGCTTTAATCAAGTTTCCAATCACCTTTAAACCCATAGGTATCGTCCGAAGTAATAGAGTGAACATGAGATGACACGTGCTTGATGAGTGTCTACAGTAACAACAATTGTAGGGTAGAATGAATGAATGAATCATCGCATCATCATATCCGCTGGGAAGACAGTCTTTCCCATGTGGATAGACACCGTTGATGCCTTATTGTCAATCTTGAAGCCGATGCTACCCTATATAAAGTGTTGTTGCGAAGATCATCTGCTGATCTCTAATATTGGTATGACGATGACGATATCAAGGGTTTCTGGGGTTGAATCGGGTCTTATGAGTCGTTTTGTGGAAGATTCAGATTGATTTGATTTGAGCCTGTCCTTTCATCAGTTTTCTTTGGCAGTCTCGTCTCATCGCTCAATAAAGCAAGCTTTTTTGTTGTGTCTGCACTGACGGTTGACATTAGCATTATTGCTTATTGCACGACGAAGCAGTGAGACCCTCGTCATGACGTAATGAAGCATCGGAAGTGACAAAGTGCAGCTCTGAACCTATTTTTATCATTAATTATCTGAGGCATTATTGAGTACTTTGGTCCGTGTTGTATTACGAGACTATTATAATAATAATTGATCGAGTGACATAATGGAGCTGAACAACCTCAATGTTGAATTGCAACGCTTGGGTGAGAATACATCCGCTTTAGATGAGGGCACCATTCAGAACATAGTTCAAGCTCTGCAGAAGTGCGAATCAACACTACTTGATACTCTGAAGACCAAGCGCTTGGCTGAAACAGAAGATCAAGTGGGCATCAAGCAAGCATCCGGCAAAGATACAGCCATCATCATACCTTCCAAGGTACTCGATTCGGTATGTCTCTCTAGATTTTTGACGGTTCAGGAATGTGGCCGTGTATTATTGTTGGTCTCGAAATCCATGCTGCATTGCTATGGAGAAAATCATGCCTGGGAAGTTCTGTGCTCGCAACAGTGGAGGAATACATTCAGCATACCAGACTCAATTGTAATACAACGAGGATACAATTGGATCTTTCGCCAACTTTCTGGGCCGCATAGCTTTGCGTGGCCTATCTCAGAACCTTCCCTAACATTCGAGACAAGCACTCTGTTGGTATCCATTCAAAATTCCGATGAGAACGAAGTTGTATCCGTTGCACTACAGAACCAGCAGCTGAAAAAGTTCCTCACAAAAGGCGAGCTGAATATTACGCTGGACGACAAAGTCACCGTGGGCAAGTTTCCAATATCAGACGACGGGGAACTAGACTTTGTAGTCCAACGAGTGGCCAACTGGAAAGCATCTCTCGTGCTGTTTCGAACGGACAAGGCCGAATGCGCTCACATACATCACACGCAGTCATGCTGCTGGGGAGAATACGACTACATGGACGATCCAAACATTGAAGATGAATATCAAGAGGAAAAGGTTACGATGGAAAAGGTTGGATTTAGCAACACTGTCACGACTGTACCACGTCCAAAGGTTGACACTAAATTACCTCCATTGGAAGTTGATATGGGGTATTTGGAATTTTCTTCCAGCACTGGCCTTAATATGACACGAAGAGGAACGATACTGGAGGATCGCATACGAGCTTGCAGTGTAGACGACCCGTACGTTTGCATCAAGATAGAACCTACATTGATATGCCACACACAAGACTATTGCGAATCATCCAAATCTATCGACCTAACATCTACCGAGCTACGCCTTGACATTTGGAAGCAGTATGCAAGCGGGGCAGCAGAGTTGTATCATAGTGCCAATGAATCGAAGAAACATGGCGTTACCCTGTTGCACTTATTGGATGCGATGCAAGATTGGCAATGATCCAGCGCTCCTGCATATTCTCTTCGAGCTATCGTCGGCTTGGGCTCATGTCTGTAGAGTAAAGTGCCCATCTGACGTTGTCGAATACATATTTAGCTGCTACCAGCTGGGATCACTCATATTCCTAGATTATCTGGGAAGTTGCCTGTTTCCTCAAGCGATTCATCCAAACAAAACATCGGGTTCTTCATTTCATGGTGATCATTCGATCAGAATACTGCATTTTCTGGTGGCGCTAAAATATAGAGCATCTTCAACCTGGCTTATCGGTGCCTTGAAAATCCTTACATCGAGCTTTTTCTCCTCCTCTAAATGAAGCGAAATGCTGTTTTATCCAGCGAACATTCGAACTGATTCTCATTTGAAACCTGGTAAATTGCAGTAGGGACTTCCGGTAGAACAAAGAACATTTAAAAAATTCGCTTTGTGGTAGGACTTCCTAACATTTTATACCGGCACTTCGAACCAAAATCAGATTCTCAATCACACTGCAGCACGACCTGAAATACATCCATTGCTACAAGAATTCACAAGAATGGAGCTATACAGCGAGTCAATCGAGAATGCTGTCGCCTCCTGGAAGGTATGTTGTCCCGTGTATGACCTCGAGCTACAGTATGGAAGTCATGTGAGATCATATCTCACCATTTTGTTCTCGTCTCCTCATCAACCAACTCATCACAGACCGTTCAAGGGCTGCCAGACTACAAGACCCTTGTAGGCGAATTGCTATTCCGAGCGTAAGTCCGCATATGGAACAATGTTATTTGTCTACAGCAACATCATGATCTAATCTTTTCTTTGCTTTGCTACGATTCTCAGGATATTCACTATATCACCAGGTGCCATCAATATGTTCGGATTCGGAGAAGGTGTAGACTGCTATCATCTTCCCGAAACACTGTTCAAGCTTCCAGCTTTTCAAAATCATACCAATGCCGTTGTTACAATGTTAGAAAAAGCGCTCGAGATGATGCTGGGAAAGAATATGGAGTCTTTGGCCGAAGCACTGAGTACTCTTGGTGAACAGCATGTTACCTATGGGATTCAACCACCTCACTACATAATTGTTGAGTCGGCGTTGGTTAGAACTCTAGAGCTAGGGTTGGGGACGAGCTTCACGAACTCTTTAAGAAAAGATTGGGAAGCTGTGTTTAGATTCATATCCAGAACCATGATGATGGGTGCCGAAAGTCGTGTTCAGATTGTGAAATCAACACGAAGAAGTGCAGAGAACAAGAAGGTTGCAACAATACGACTCAATGCTATATCACCGGGAAGACGAAGCAAGGTCCTCACGCGGAACAGTCGGACTAGTTGTGCTCGATTTGAAGGAGAACCCAAGCGTCGATATGCTCGAAGAGGAAGTGACCCTCCACAACAGCCATCTAGGGAAGGCACCTTCCCCCGTTCACATAGTTTATCTGAACTGCCGGCCTATGAGCATTTCGCTTTGGATGACGTGACTATAGATGCAACGGCGGAAACAAGAACCATGACTCTCCCAGAACACGATGAGCCTCTGGATACAAGAGGAATGACTCTCCCAGAGCACGACGAGCCTCTTGATCCCGAGGCTTACTGGGCATGGGGGACCGACTCCAATGTGCTGCCGCCGAAGATGCCACCTCGTGCAGTATCTCCACCCAGATCGTCGTCCAAAAGGCCAGTGCTGATTCGGTACAACTCTTTCGATTCTGTGAGCACATTGGGATCCGGCGACTCTGCACCCGCTATCACACCTGCGCAAGTGCCACGCAGAAAGCCGCAGCGATCGCCGTCCACAAAGGCGCTTCTTCGGAACACCTCGTTCGACTCGTTGAGCACGATGGCAGCCGTAGATTTCGCACCAGTTTTCCCAAAGCGAGCAAGCTCACCACCAAGAACCTCAAGGCGAATGTGGTCTTCATAGCACGTTCTTGCTTCTACTTTCAGTTGATGTAACACAATTTTCTGCGCTCTCACATAAAGCGCCATATACCGGGATGTCTGAAGACTCACATATTTTGGTTTATCACCATCTTTGAAAAACTAGAATGAATGTAAACTAAAGAATAATGCTATTGTATTATTATTACTACAATACTACTTTTGTGAACGATGGAGTATCAGAAAGAGGCCAAAAACGTACTCAAACAGCCTTCGTCATCGGATTCATTCTCGAGCCGACCAGCTATTGCGGATAAATAGACCAGGACTGCGACCACGAATGGGAGTACCGGATGTAATTAAAGAGATGGTGTAAAATTGAGTTTCGCCTGCCAGAAAAAATCGATCAACGTACAGTATTGCGACCGCCAACACAAAGGACAGCGGTATTGAATCCTATACCAATGGCATGGCAAAGGAAACAGAGGATACAGATGACCTTGTGAAGCCATCAAAGCAAGACGATAAAATGCCTTCTGAGCAGATCGAGGTTCTTGTGATTCCCGCGGACTCTGAATATGGGTCGGATGACCTTTCTCTGGGGTCTCAAAATTCAACTGCCGACCTTAAGTTGGTTGAATCACCATCATCTGAGCATCCTCAGTTGTTGGTGGATATTGTTCCGCCCAATTATGATACCCTTGCATCAATTAAGTCATCCGCATCCAATTCAGTGGGTACTCTAGAATCCAATCCCTCCGTAACGCAAAATCCGGACTATGACTACGACGATGACGTACCTTTTTCATATTACGCACCTCTGAAGACAAAAGAACGCACAGCTCCTCTCATCGACCATCACAAGTCCAAGAAGCAAAAGAAACAAGAAAAGAAGGAGCGAAAAAAGGAAATAAAAAAGGTACGGCAGGAAGTGCAGCAGAATCGCAAGAGTGAACAACAGGAAACATCAGATTTGGAGTCAACAGTCGAGGCGGATGAATCGATTGCTACTCTTCCTCATTTCAGCCTGGCCACATCGATGGCTGGACTTATGTTCTCCAGTGGGGATCCATATGTGATTCCATATTCTAGTCCAACCTTTCTATGGGACGATGGTGAGGTGGTTGTAGTAGGAGAAATTGATGACGACGATGACGATGAAGACTTTTCAATTGAAGGACTTGAGTCCTTTAAGATGGTTAAGTCGAAGCGAAAAAGCACAAGCCAAAATCAAAACAGCAACCCTCCAAAGAAAAAAGGCAGTAGTAGCAGCAGCAGCAGCAGCAGCAGCAGCGGCAGTAAACACAACAGCAGCAGCAGCAACAACAATAATGACAAAAAGAAAAAGAAGAAGCGAGGCAGGAGAGCAGATTATGAAGAACCAGAGGAAGAAGACGAGCATGAAACCGCTGAAGATGAAATTGCAAAAACTCCTGCTCATCCCACGAAAGATGTAGCAGCGAGGGTGGAAGCCATTTTCACGAACAAGGACATGATCTTGGACGAGTTCGACGAATATATTGAGAGAGTGGGAGAAGAACAGAAAGAACTCGAAGAAATGTTGGAAGAGCAGCGAGGCCGCAATCGGAGCAATTCCGTGTCGAGCAAAAAAAGTAGCCACCGAGGTAGGAGTTCGAGCAAGCCGAAACACAGTGCACGGAGCCAATCGAAGGGGCCAAAAGCGAGAAGTGTTAGTAAATCAGCAACGCAAAGGCGAAAGGTGAAGGACGAAGTCGCCAAACACTCTCTCGACAATACACTCAAGATTATGCTAGGAGAAACACCGAAATCTCCTGAGAATCGCAGATCCTCACTCGCAAGTGGAAGAAGTAAATCAGAATTTCTGGTCGATTACATACGTAACGCAAGCAACGAGAGAGGCGACGGCGAGAAGAGTGCACCCTCAAGCCCAAGAAGAAAGAATGGGAAATCAGAAGGTCTCACATTAGACGAATCGATAGAAAGACTACCTTCAGTCACGAGGATGCTTCCGAGACGAAGCTCCAGTTTCTCGAAATTAGAATGCGTTCGCAACAAGGAATCTTCCAAGCATGCTAAAAACGAAACGGAGCAAGTGCGGCAGCCATTGTCCGAAGAGGTAGGTGAAAAGACCAAGACGAAAGCGAAAGACCAGGACTCTTCCAAACATGCTAAAAACAAAACGGAGCAAGTGCGGCAGCCAATGTCCGAAGAGGTAGGTGAAAAGACCAAGACGAAAGCGAAAGGGAAAGATCAGGATTCTTCCAAACATGCTAAAAAAGAAACAGAGGAAGAGGTAATTGAAAAGATCAAGACGAAAGAGAAAGCGAAAGATAAAGAAAAAGATAAAGACAAAGCCTCTTCAAAGAAAGACAAGGGGAAGAAAGGAAAGGCTGATGCCCTCACTCTCGACGATTCAGTTGAGAGACCCCAGTCAATATCAAAGGATTTGCGGAGGCAAAGCAACAGTTATCCAGATATTGATAGACTAAAATCTGCAAAGCCTGATGCGCCTACCCAACCGATGGAAGGCAACAAATTGAAGCTCTCATTAAAAACGTTACAATCGTTATCAGAAGATATGCTTGGAAAGGTTAGCAGCAAGACAAAGAAAATTCAAGGCAAAGGAAAGAAAGAAGAACAAGAAGCTCTCACACTGGACGACTCGGTGGAGAGACCCCGGTCAATATCAAAGAATTTGCGGAGAGAAAGCAACAGTTATCCAGATATTGATAGACTAAAATCTGCAAAGCCTGATGCACCTACCCAACCGACGGAAGGCAACAAATTGAAGCTTTCCTTTAAAACATTACAATCATTGTCAGAAGATGTGCTTGGAAAGGTTACCAGCAAGACAAAGAGTGCGCAAAAGGGAAAGAAAGAAAAGGCTGACACCCTCACGCTTGACGATTCCGTTGAGAGACCGTTGCCCTTTTCGCTCGGTCATCGAAGGACAAGCAGTAGCTATTCAGATCTAGAAGGTAGGAAACCGGGAGAAAACGAATCTTCGTTGAAGCGTGATTCCAAGAATGGAAACATGAAGGATTCTTCGAAAGCAGCCCTCTCAGCACACTCAGAACATATTGGCGCAAAGCCGTCACGTTCGAAAAAGAAAGCCCAAGGTAAAGGAAAGAAAGAAGAGCAAGGAGCTCTCACGCTGGACGATTCCGTGAAGCGACCACCGTCCGTTTCGAAAGGTATGCGCAGACAAAGCAACAGCTATCCAAAGTTGGAAGGGGCAAAACACAACAGCTCTTCTAGCGGTACGTCAAGTCGGAACTCAGATTTCGATACAAAGAAGGCGAAGACGTCCAGTGCTAAAGGGCATCGGCAAAAAAATGCTAAGTTGCTCTCTTCATCAGAACATGGGGTTGCTCAGAATACCGTCAAAAGAAAGGGCGACGAGAAGGCACTGGAACCGACTTTTGAAGATTTTGTAGTGCCTTTGGCTCCTCCATCGGATCTCAAACAGTCGTGGTCATCCGAGAGGCAGCTTAAAAGCGCAGATAATAGTCCGAACCAGATGGAATTCAAAGCTGCTGCTTTGCCCACTGATCTGAAAAGAGGAGGTTCGTTTGGATCCGATAACGTGTTGAAACCGCCACATAATAAGAAACATGGCAAAGCTGAATCGCCATCCATCAAAGGTCACAAGAAAAGTTCCAAAAAGAATCAGCACAGTCGCAGTAAAAGTCCAGGAGCTAAGATGAAAAAGAGCAGTAAGGAAGAACAGGCAGGTAGTAGTATTGATGGTTCTGAGCATGTCAAGGAGAAAAAGAAACTGTCCAGGACTCGGAGTAAGAGTTTGACGAAGGTGAAGCAAAACTCGGAGAGTGGCAAGAACAAAGGCGACACTACGGAGGAACAAAAAAAGAAGGAGAGCAACGATAAAGAGGTACCAGAAAAGACGGAAGATCCGGGAAGTGAACATCATCCAAAAACAACCGATGAGTCTCGGACACTTGGCTTACTTGGAGATTCCGACCTTGATTCCGACCTTGATTCGTTGGAAGAATTTGCTTCCATGGCTGACACAACAACAGCTCTCGGATCCAAGCCATCAAAGCCAAAACAGAGTGAAAGCACTGCCGCTGTGAAAAAATCATCAGATTCATCAGACAATGGTGATACGAAAACCACAAAGAAGAACAAGGCCCAGAGCACAATCATGATGGAATCTGTTTCCACCCTCGAAGAGTTGGCTGGCGCAGTCGCGGATGCTCGAGTAGATGGCTCGGAGGCTCCAAAAATGAGAAAAAGCACGGGCATTCCCAACCCCGACTTGCCGAACAAACCAAAGAAAGGGAAGAAATCTGATCGGAAGCATGGTTTGTCGGCAACTATGCACTAATGATCAATTTTGCAAGACGTGTAATATAGATTATAGATTTTTCATGTGGAAGAATTTCAATAGACAAAGGTCCTCCAGGGTTTGGAATAGAAGCAATATATTTGCAACTGAAGCTGCTACACATATGCAGATGCGCAGATTTCTGGAGCAATGGCCTTGAAGTAACCGCCCGAGCAGCCACCGGATGTATCAGGGCACGAGGAACAATGTGCCTGGCGGAATTCACCCAGTCTTAAAATGGTCTTGCCTTCAATTTCCCGAATTCGCTGATTGTCCAATTGCCGGCTCACATGGTGGACAATCTCTCCTTGACGGGAGATGAACTTTCTCGTTCCAATCGGAGCATACTCCCACGTTTTCGTCGTATGCCCCGTCGTGCTACAAGACTTGGATGTTTGACACTCATCTTTTTGCAGATCCTCCATGAGGGAAGTCATCTTGGGAGAATCCCTGGACGATGGTGGGAAAAATGGGATCATGTCCAAATGATTCTCATAGGCCGTTTGTAGGACGTGTTCTTGATAGTACGAGCCAAACTCGGCGTCGCCCACCCGAGGGGCTCCAAAGGTGCATACATATTCAGGATTTGGCAAGTCGGGACTTTGCAAGAGCTCGAGCGCGAAGAGACTTGCCAAGCATCCTCCTTTGCTGTGCCCTGTCAAATATAGTTTGCACCTCCTCGTCGATTTGTATTTCGATTTCGTGTCGCAAGTTGACAAAACTTCTTGTAGAGCCTTGCGAACTTCCCGAGCCAAGCCCTTGTTGTTGTTGTTGTAGAGAGCGTCCCTGTGGAATCCTCCCGCTGGGCGGTGAAATCAGCTTGGCCGAGGTGTTTTGAAGCCAATCCCAGGCTTCCGACGTCGTACCGCGAAAGGCAATGACAATGCCATCTCGGGTGCGTCCAATCAAACACGAATTGACACCTTTGGTGATTTGTAACGGCGGTGAAAGAAATCCAGCACCCGAAAGGTATGGCTCTCGGATTCCATAGGCCAAGGAAGAAGCGCATAGCAGTCTTCCATCCAAGGTCTTGGCGGCGGCAGCGGCGACCTTATTGGTCGATACTGATGTCTTATATGATGACATGTTTTGTTACAGTGTTTTGAGTATTGTGACAGCACCAGCTTCCATCCATCATGGAAAATTCTATACCTACAGGAACCAATATTCAATATAATAATTGCCACGTTGCGATTCATTCTTCCATGTTTCATCATCTCTAGTAGAGTTGTTGAGTCGTGCAATCGCACTGTGCCAATTAAGACATGTTTCAGATCACAAAATGCTGAAGCATGTCTTTCATTTCCATACTCTATCAGTATACTATAGGTGATATGTCAATCATCGGTTTGTACTGTATGCTGCCATATTGCAAAGCATCAGCACTACTGCATTGTCCACCATCATCGCCATGAATAGTTTTTTTTTTTAAATTTTAAAAATGATAGCGCTTTGAGGATGTGTGAGCGCCGGCCATGCGCGCATTCCTCACTACCATATCATTGGTCGAAATGAGAACACTGACTGGCGAGCCAAAAATTGACACCACGGGTTCGGTTCTTCACATTTTCTTCACCCTACAAACCATCAACACGAATCATCGGAAGATCGAAAGCACTGTTCCTATTCCTGTGCATAAAAAGAAACCAAAATCGAGGATACCCAAACCTATCAAACTACAAAGCATGTTGCGACAAAACAATAGTAATGCATCGACATCATCGCAAAGCACTGGTGGGGACATTACAAAGAATAATCATCAACAACGGGAGCAAGAAGAACACCAAAAGAAGAAGGGGTCTCGTGGCATCAGTCCATTTTCTCTAAGATCTCGAGGTACTAGTCCCAGCGATGGAAAACCACGAGGAATCAGTCCATTCGGAAAGAAGAATCGAAATCAGGTTGTCCGCAAACAGTCCTCATCGGATTCCTCCTCCTCCTTAGGTTCCTCCAGCCATCATCATCATCATCATCATCAGGAATCCAAAGAAGACATTGTCGTGTGTCATGGAAGTGCTCGTAGCATTGTCTTTCGAGACCAACTTCGTTTGGCGGCCAAAATTATTCAGGAAGAAACTGATCAAGACATGTTGATGATGAGTGATGATGATGATGATAATGGCAGCAACCATAGTGGAAACGAAGCTGATGCTGGATTTGAAAGCATGCAGGCGGCAATGCGAGATAGCATTCGAGTATCCATTCGGGAGAGTGATGGCGGCAATAAAGTGACGAATGAAATCAATTCGTTGGCGCACAACATGGTTCCCGAACTGAAGGATGTGACCCTTCGGGTTCAGGATGTCAGCGAGCGAAACGTTGAAATTGAAGGACAACAAGTGCACTTGAAACCATTGCCCAAGCTGGAATTGGGCCCGACGCAAACATTTGACGCATTGGAAAATGATAAAACGACCGACATGGACAAGTCGGATTGGAACATGGCGGAACAAGATGTCTATCAACTTTTGAAGAAACAGCAAGCTTGTGTCAAGACAATCAAGAACTCGGAATGGCCATCCTTTTTGCAACGCTTTCAAGTTGCCAAAAACAAGGAACAGAAGTGTCGATTTCCCACACAACATGAGGACATACCACCCAACCACCAAGAAGGGTATCCATTCAATAGCTTTGTCACATCGACAACCTTACTGCCCGAACTTGGCAAGAAAATGCGATGCTACGGATCCCTTTATTCGTATCCAGTGGGTGTGGTCTTTGCCTTGCCAAACTCGGATTCTCCAAACGAGGAAGACGATGCTGCAGCACAAGCCAAGACATGGTCCTGGCCAGCTGGGTATGCGGCCAAGACAGAATTTAACATTGAGCGTGGAAAGCTCATCAACGGGCGCCAGGAGGCATTGGTCTCACTGACCCAACTGCGTCAATACAACAAGGAATATGTCTACGAAAAGGATCACTACATTGGCGGTCGTCTTGTCAAGGGTGGCTTTCAAGTTGTTCCGTATAATGAAGTATTTCTGAGAGTTGGTGGAAGAGGACGCATCGTCCAAGGTATGGATACGGTAACACGAGAAGCAAGAAACGATGTCAAGGGAACAGGTAGATCCTTTGGTACCGGCATGGGATTACCAGTTGCGTTGTTCATCCGATCTTGTACGATCGGGGATATTCTTACATTGTTACGGACCAAGGCACGTGTGGAACATGTGCTGGGGGATCAATACATTCATGGTATTCCATTGCTAGTCATCACACCAGACTGTGGCGTTCGGGTCTTTTCGGAGCGTCTCCAGGTAATTTTTGTCTGTTACGAGTGCTTGCTTTTTATTCACTGCTGATACGGGTACTGACTTGAATTTTCGTTTTTCGATACCAATCCATCAGCATGCATTTTGGAAACTAGCTGCCCACAGGGTCAATCCATTTCAAAATCCAATATTGGAGCCAAGTCTCAAGGTGGACGACCCAAATCAAAATTATCTCCATCAAAAGGCATTGGAACAAATCTCTTTTCTAGACGACGACTATGAAGATGATGGTAATGCAGAATGGGTTTCATCCTACTTGACTATCGAAGAATGTGCTCGACTGGCTGGAGGCTTTGGGGCTACGGACGAGTTTCTGGCGAAGCTCCTGGAAAAGGCAAGGGAGCAAGACCTATTGGAAGATAGCGATGAAGAGAACCTAAAGAGCCCTCGCTCATCGCATCGTCGTCGCAATCGTCATGATTCACTGAATAACGTTATGTCCACTGCGCTGAATGCTGCTCTGCGGTCGAATGACTACTACACTGCGCGGCAGCTATTGATTGTCTATTCCATTGTATCGACTGGTCACTACCACGATCGATTCGAACACAACCACCAAGGAAGTAAGCAAAAGGGCCCAAACAATGAGATTAGTGATCAGGGTGGAAATGACACGGGTGCCGAAGATCCGACATCCCTCGAGTTTGCTTATCGCGTTTCTGAGACCGCTACCAATTCCGCTCTACCCGTGTCGAAGCAGCACGAAAAAGTGCCCGATGAAGCGGCGGAACAAAAGGAGGAAAAATCATTCAGTCCTCAATTTACTCCAGTACTACCATCTTTGGATACATGGCGACTTCGCAACGCAACCAATTCACAAGGTATTCTATTCGTTCTTGGAGCTGTCGAAATACTGAGTGCCGCTCGTAGCGGAAGCGCGCAAAGCCGAGCAAAAGAATCCATTGTCGCGCTTGACGAGTGGGTTCAATACGGCGAAGAATCCGTAGCCTTTCGAATAGCCTCTTGGAGCAAACAAAGGGCAACCGAACACGATACCCACGTTGCACTGGAAGGTTCTTCACAGTTCATGGCATTCGTAAGCAACAAAGCGATCACCAATCGTAAAGGCTTTGCAAAAAAGCTTCAGTCAGCCTTGGAAGCTGAAAAAGGCGCGGATGCCGTTGCATCATCGGAAGAGTCACATTTGTGTTTCCTAAAGCGTATCCAAGAGATTGTGAACAGTCTTCATGCTCCTTGTCTGCGATTGGAAATTTTGCAATACATCTTGGGGTTAGATAACCGCTTTTCTGTGGATCATATTCGGCATTCGATGGAGCTGGCAGTAACTTGCATGGTTCTTGGTCTCTCCTAATAAGCGAAGTCATGCTGATAATTCATTAAACAATACCATATCGAGGCTTCCATAATGTTGAACGTGCCGAGTAGCAGAAGACTTGGCAATGCGTAGACGAAGCTAAACAACCTAGTCTGTCCTTTAGAATGAGCCCAATTACGGCACATGGATCATAAATGACTACAATGTGTCAACTAAAGAGGTATGAAGTATGAATTCCAAATAATATATGAAAAGCTAATCAATGCACAGAGCATCTTGTAATGTTTAGTAGGCCCCCACCATATCCAAATCCTGAGTCGCCAAGATGTCGTACACGCAATCCTTGATACTCAATGGATCCTTCAAAGTGGCACAAGCCTTTTCTGCCTCTTCCTCAGCAATTGCACTCTCGTCCATTCGACGGCGACGCTCTCCGCGTGGGTCTTCAGGAAGTAGACAAGGCTTGGGGAACTGTGGATAGGAGATATCATGGAACAACATCATGTCGTCATCTGGGCGCACTTGCCATTCGAGACCCAATTCATTAAAGTCATGAATGACAGTGGACTGGTCACGGGCATACGTCATCCCACTTCTGAAGTCACCCAGCATCCCCATCGTATTTCCCACCGCTTCTGCAGAAGCTTGAATGAAGTCAACCTTGACGAACTCCTTGTAGGTTGCAATCACAAGCTTCTGGCCAGGGAACTTCGAGTCGAAGTCGATCTCAAATCTGCGCTTGGGGAAAGGGCGTGCGTTGTCATCGTAAATGGCTAAAGGGAAACCTCCAATGGTCTTAGACTTTGCTTGGTGATCAAAGTTGATCCAATAGTTGGCCAAATCAGTTTCAACATCGGTAGACCCCTCCACTTCAAGAATATCGTCGCCGATTCGAACAGCCGCGGTTTTGATGTAACTCCAGTACCGCACAAGTTTCGTACGAATCTGAACATCCAATCCAATCCCACCCGCGAACTCAGCATCTTTAGCCAAGACCAAGTCACACTGTCCGTGGAACTCAAAGTGTTCACCCTTCCACGATGTAACTGTGATCACGGAAGATAAAACAGAAAAATTAGCAATAAGCATTGGAAATTCACAAAGCATTCGTTTCCAAAACACTTACAATGAGGATCACCTCTGCTTCCAGCATCGGATTGCAAGGTAACAACATCTTCCAAATCTAGATGATGTGCTTCGGTAGCACTAAATGAAGAGGCGATTTGATCCAATCCGGAATCCGAGAGGAAGGTGGGGCTCTGAAGGAAGCCTGTAATCTCAGCCTCAAGGTCTTCATCGGAGGCGGGTCCCTTGACAAATACAGTGGCTGTAGCGGTACAAGTCAAGCAAGTTGCGTCGACTGGACAATTGTCCGTTGTTTCGACACAATTTTGAACATCAAATAGTAAATTGCCAATAACCAGGGGGTCCAATGCCAATCTTCGTTCATGCTTGTGGTGTCTGTGGTGCCTATGGTGTCGGTGCTTGTGATGAACTCTGCCTCTCTTTAGTAGCCTTCGTCTGGATCCTTTACTTCCTTTGGAGGAAGAACCACAATTCACGATGCCTTGAGCAACCAAAGCTTGAAGTGCGCCTTTTGCTGTCGCGATGACAGTTGCCATGTTGCTCACACCATTATTCAACTGTAGGTCGAAGGAAAAAGTAAAGGTTGAACTATCCATGCCGTTTTGGCCTTGAACGAGCCCTCCACTTGAAATTGCCTGACAGTCTTCTGCTGTCGCTTCCACGTAAATTGATCCAGAAGAAGCAATAGGAGCCAAGGAACCAGAAGCGGAAGGAGTTCCAAAAGAAGCGATGGGAGCGGAGCTTGAAGCTGCCGGGCTTGAAGCAATAGAGACTGGGGCCGACGACGTTACTGCCGTTGGCGCAGTAACTGGGACAGGAGCTCCCTTGGAGGAACCTTTGGAGGAACCTTTGGAGGAACCTTTGGAGGAACCTTTGGATCCTCCTCCACTGCCAGACCCTTTCACAGACGAAAAAGAAATAGTTACAGCGACTGGTGATGCAATTGGTGGAGATGCTGGTGCTGTGATTGGAACGGTGAATGGCACAGTGACGGGTGCAGCCACAGGCGCAGCAACTGGGGCAAGGGGGGCGATGCCAACAGGCTGGACTACAGGAGCGGAAGCAACTGCTACACAACCTCCACCCTTGGATGACTTGACACTAGAATCCTTTTTGGTCCGACGTCTAGCGGCGGTGAAACCTGGCGGGCATCCCTCGGATTCCTTGGCCGAACCCTTCGACGATTTGGAGCCCTTGGATTCCGAATCCTTTTTGGCCCGACGACGCCTTTCAATAGAAAGCCGACGTTGCCGTTTCGACAGTTTCGATTCTGGTTGGATTTGACCATAGTCCTCTTCCATGGAATCGTACTCTAGGTCTCCCTCCTGGGATTGAAAGATAGCCTTGTCCCCTTCGAGCTCAGCATTTTCTGCGGCAAAAAATTGCTGGTAGCCAAATGCTGTTCCCAAAAGGACCGCCAACAACAATGGAAGAAACGATTTCATCATGACTGGCTACAAAGGATAGTTGTGAGCTCGGCTTTTCCACGAAAAATCTGAACGAACGTTCATTCATTGTCAGAAGACAAACATGCAACTTACGCAAGATTAAACAAATTTGTGAGCAATGGGTATCGAGTTGCCGATTTTCTAAGCCTTTTAGTCTACGATTAAAGGGACTTTCCCCATATTGGGAAGTCATTGGAACATTTTATATATTTATGGATTGCAATGAAGGAGAAAGGTCATATTATCATGTGACCGCGTATCTGGTGTGTTTGTGACTTCGACACCGTCCAAAATCAGGTAGCGCACGTGCAATGCGGCGTGGAATCTAATTTCAGCACGTGCTTCATCGACATTGACCACGTGTGAACAAAAAGTCTTTATGTAAGAAAAGCGAATTCGGCAGCAATTGTTTCTCCAGACATGCTTCGACGAAGTTCCTCACATTCTCACCCAAGATCTGACCACGTGCTAAAGATGGAAAACAGAACTCAGGTACGTACCTGGTACCTGGGAAACCAGAGATATATGCTTTTAGCATGTCCCTTTGTTGACTGCTCTGAACCCAAACGAGAGCTTCTTTCCGCCGCCACCTCGACGATCACCTAGATGAGGGAATATTTCTTGAACAACATATTATAAGTACTGTAGAAGCAACGAGGAAGAAGGAGACACCATTTTATTTGTTGCCACATAAAGAATGCTAAACAATGTTGGGCAGCTCACCATGCTAGGTTTGCACTTCGTGGCTTGGCTGGAGTTTTCAAAATATTAGTCTTCAAAATATAAGTTGTCTCGTACTACCATTACTGCTCATCCTCTATCTTGAGTACTTTGTCCTTTTACTTGAATGGCGCCTGCTGGATGATAACGGGTTACGATAGCTTATATCACTATAATACTACTGTATCTGCATAGGGCGAATTTATCCATTTCCTCAATTTTGTTGTAATGAAACATGCAACCCCCAAAAATCAAGGAAGCCAGAGATATCGCAATGTCATAAACGCTACTGTACATATATACTACTTCATAAACGCTATATAAACTTCATAAAAACGCTTTGGCCCTCCTTCTCTCACTATTTTTACAATCGATCTCTTCGCAAGAAGGACAAGATTGAAGATGGCCGAAGCTGCAAAAAACGTTATACTGAGTTTAAAACAGCAACTCAAGGAGAGCAAGCTTGATTTCAGTCTGCTTCCAGCAGTCCCAACGAAGCCTGCATCGTAAGGAGTAACCATGAAAAACAAACTTCGGATGAGGCGGAGGCCTTCAATGCCTTCCAGTCTTCTGCCAAAATGCGTGTTCAGTCAAGGTGCAATTGCACATGGACTCGTCCCCCGCCCAAAGAAGCCAGAAGGATATAATTGCGATCTGAAATCCTCCAAGCTCTCCTGGCTGTCCACCATGACCCAAGACTCCTCAGACCTTTCTATCACTGGGCGGTGCTATTCAAGGAGGGGTCTGCAAAGTTTTGCATCAGTTCAATTCAGTGCTAGTCTTGGTGAAAGCTTGAAACTGGAACAATTGGTTGAGGAGAGAAATGAAACTTCTAACACAGAAGGAAACCAGAACAGCCAGCAAAATGACTATATGAAATGGCTCGAGGGCAATGGTTTGTCCCCAGCAGCCAATCATTAGAAAAAAGTGCAAAAAGGGGGCTTAATGGGCCAAAGATCTCTCATCCGCGTTCATCATCCAATATGAGTATTGATTTTTCTGTATCATCTTTGAAGGGCAAAACTGCCAAGTGAGAATCTTTTTGTTCTACAAAATTGAACCAAGTTAGTGGCACGAAATCATCGACGAAGACATTGCAGAGCTTTTTCTTTCACAGAAGTATTTCATCCTTTGATGGACAAGGAGAATGCACCCATGATAACTACACGCAAAAATTTGGTACCATTAGGGAAAGAAACGATGTTTTTTGAATTGGATTTTTGAAGGAAGCTTTCATGTTGAAAGTGACAACAGTCATGCTTGTTTGAATTTTCCATTTGGTTTGAAAACCAACATTCACAATGCTCACAAACACAAAATCATTACAAACACAAGTACACCAGAGAGAGTGGTTGTATCCTCTGAAGCTAGAATGCAGAGCAATTTCCTTCCGGTGCGGCACTGCCTTAGACAGCCATCAGTAGATATCCCCCCAACAGCTTCTCGCTCTACTAAGCGGGAACACAAGTCAACGCTCGTCTACATAGATGGACATACCGTTCTGAAAGAGAATAATCATGCTGTCAAAGGAATGCAATATGTGAAAGGCACTGAAGCCTTGAGTGAAAATCCAAAGAAAAAGAAACGACGAGTTCTTGAAGACAAAATGAATGCCAATCTTGTCACATCAAAGACTGTTGTGCAAAAACATGTTCCCGTTTACAAAGTAAAACGGAAACAACACAACGAAAGGGTTCAGTCTATGATAAAACAAAACCAAGGCTGTCCGTGGGAAGTTCTTGGCCAAACATATGGACATAGTAATCATCTCAAACTCAACTATCAGCCATTGGAAGTGTCCCAAGCACCTAATACAGTGCAGGCCAGATTACAAGACTACCAGCTGTAAGGTTTGACGACGTTCATGGCGAATATGCACAATCAAAATCTTTCCATGATCCTGGGCGACGAAATGGGATTGGTAAGTGATGGTTTCAATCGAGAATGCTGAAAGAAGCCTGTAACTCATGCTGATTCCTCTTCCCACAACCCTATGGGGCAAGACGCTTCAAACCATTTCCTTTCTCTGTTGGTTGAAGGAGACCGATGGCGTCCGAGGCCCTAGTTTGGTGATTTGTCCTCTCAGCGTCTTGTCGAGTTGGTGCAACGAAATGACCAACTGGGCGCCTTCGCTCCGTTTCTTTTGTCTTCATGCTTCCAACGCTGTGGAACAAATCCTCCAAAAGAAAGAGCTGAGCACCAATACGACGATGATGTCATTCTCACAACGTATGAAATGTCCAAGTTACCCGCGCTGAAATCTTTTTACAGTCGGATGCAATTCCATTACATCATTTTGGATGAAGGCCACAAGATCAATGGCCATCAAACACAAATTGCCCAGCAAGCGGTTTGGAGTATCCATGCTGACAACAAGCTACTTTTGACGGGAACACCCTTGCAGAACAACATGGTGGAATTGTGGTCTCTTTTGCAGTTCCTCTATCCGGAGATCTTTACCATCAGCAAGCCTTTCACCAAAGCTTTTGATCTCAAGGAGAACATCATTGACAAGACATTTTTGCAGCATGCCCACGAATTGTTCGACTTGTTCATGCTGCGTCGTCTCAAGCACAAGGTGGAAACCTTTATTCCACCAAAGCTCTAGACCAAGATGTACTGCCCATTGTCCAAGACCCAAACCTTTTGGTATTGTTTGTTGCTCATGAAGAACTTGGGCCGATTGGCGAGTTGCAAAGGCCAACGCCACGCCGACCAACCAAAGCACAAAGTACTCAGATCACTGTCTATGCAGCAGTTGCGAAAGTGCTGCAACCATCCCTTTGCTTTTGAAGGTGCCAAGGTGGATCCCAGCAAGACCAGCTTGGAAGAATTGGTTGCTGCTTCGGGAAAGCTGTCAGTATTGGATTTGCTTCTTCAGCGACTCTTCAAGAACAATCATTGAGCTGTGATCTTTTCTCAGCTTACGTCCATTTTGGACATTATCGAAGATTAACTGTGAAATGCGTGGATGGAAATTCTGCCGTTTGGACGGGTCCACCGAACCAGCCTGTCGCCGCTACTACATTTGCCGATTCAATGAGCCCAATGCTCCCTTCTTTCTGTTCTTGGTCTCCACTCGCAGTGGTGGAATGGGACTGAATCTTCAAACCGCCGACACTTGCATTCTGTTTGCCAGTCGGATATTCAAGCCATGGGACGGGTTCATTGCATTGGACAAAACAAGACGGTGCATGTGTATCAATTGGTCAGTTCGGGTACCGTGGAAGAACGCATGTTGCTACGAGCCGAGAAGAAACTGTTGTTGGAAATGGTCAACCAAGAGTCCAAGGATGGCAAAAATTATGATGAGAAGGCCCGTGGGTTGTCAGCAGCAGAGCTTCTGGAAGATATCAAGTTTGGTTCCCAGCAGGCTGCCTTTGGTGGTGGCAATTCCTCCACAACAATGAAATGCCTACTTGGGAAGGCAATGACATGATTACTGACCGAACCAGGAAGGAATCAGACTCGGTCGGTAAACTATATGGAAATGCTCAACATTCTGCCAGAAACCTTGACGCCAGTCAAGCGCTTGGAGAGACCCACCACTTTGAAGGAATTGACTTTCGAACAATTCGAAAGCAGCAGGCAGCATTAGTGAAATCCAAGATTCCGCAGAGTCTACTAGGCATTGGGCATCTCTGGCAAGAAATCTGCAAGCTCAAGACTAAGCGCGAGCGCAAGAATCGTATCATGTTGGTGGAAAGCAAGGAATCGGGATATGGAAAGCCGGTTCCTGTCCTGAAATCAAACGATTACAACTTGAAAGATGGCGAATCCTCTGTCTTTGATCGTGAATTGAAGGATGATTCAAAGACCAAGTTTCAGGTTGCAAAGCAGAAGTGTCGAGCATTTGGTCACCAAGACTTTTGTCAGGTATGTTACATGTGAAGATCATTTTGACGCCTTCTTTGCTGCTCCCGGATTCTAAACATTTCATTGCTTTGGCAGGTCTGTCGTCAAGGTGGAAGCAGCAGCGGCTTCTTGTCTTGCCCTTGGTGCCCCTGTTTTGTTTATGTCCAATGCGTTGTTGGTGGTTTGACACGAGCCAAGGACTTTCAGGCAGTGCAACAAATAGAAGGCTGTCGTGGCGTCTTCTTCTTCTTCTCGACTGGTGACGGTTGCACCACAACTTGTGGACGAACTGCCTTGGCACGGATCTTTCTCGAGGCCTTGTCAAGCGCAGTACCTTCTTCTGCTTCTTGTTGCAGCTCGGATAGCTCTTCTTCCAAACTCTTTGTAACCCCGAATCCAAAGGAGACGTCAATTGGATTGGGATAGCAGCTTTTATTGTCAACAACAACAGCATTTGCTGTAGCAATGAACTGATATTGCCCAGCATCTTGCTCGGCCACTCGACAACACTTTTCACTACACGCAATGTAGATCGTGGTGCACTTGGTACTGTCAAAGTTCAATGCGTCCACCCGTGGTACATTTTCCAGATGAGTTGACCGAGCCATCCTTGGGTACACAGTCCTCACAGTAGGCATTGGAACACGATTGACATGGGAACAGCATACCATCAGCACTGGCCCGATTCTTTCCACATCCGGTGCAACTGTGATGTGGGCAACTGTTGGTCTGAACGGGCGTTGGAGAAAATTTTGTCTCGCCACTGGTAAGGTTGTAGCAGTATACGTCAGCGTATCGGAAGCTTCGCAAACCATTCATCAAGATCTAAAACACCATCTTCAAAAAATGTCCCTGTGGAAATTGACGGCTTTCAGTGGAATTTGACCAGCAAATTGAAGGCTCGTAATCAGACGATTGATCAGTCCAGCAAGGTTGGCGATTCTTCTTCTGGTCCAAATCTCACCATGCCACGTGTACATGTACTGGACAAGTCATCTGCTGAAGTTATCAAGCCGATTGGTCAGTCCAGAACTGTTAAGGAACTAGTCAACGCCTTCCGCCAAAGCCCCTCAAATCACAATGGAACCGTCCAATATTATTACGAATGGAAGCATCGTCAAAGTAATCAATAATGATTCATCCTTTACAGAGACAGCCTCCCTGTTCCAGTATTAGTGGATCCAATAATGTTGCGAACATCATGGACCCGTCCTTATGATTGGCACCAATTACACAGAGAATGATAACAGTGTCTATCATCCTCAAGATTGCTGAACGGCAATGATGACCCAAACACCATCCGAGACCGTAGCTTTTCAATAGCGGGTCTTATTTATTTGAATACCAGACCCAGCACCAAAAAAGGTGTATTGATCATAGGTATGATACGAATATTTGGAATTGTAGCGGCGCACCTACTATTAGGACTATTAGTATTGTTATGACTGTGTTACCGTTTTATTAGCGATATGTATATCTATACCGGTACTGCTATCCATTCCAGAAGAATAGAAAACCTTCAATGCGATGTTCGACTCCATCGACCACATTGGAGTCACTTTTGCGAAATTCAAAATGACCCATTTCAGTAGGGGCGTGTACACGAGACCACGCACCAAAGACAGATACCAAAAGTTGCATCCAAACCACAAACATTATTAGTTGGCATTGACGGTTCATCATCTGGACAGTGCAGTCAGCCACCCTCAGTTTGAAATAAACATCTGTTTACTACCGTTCATTCCTCACTCTTACTTGCCAGAACCATGATGCGAGAAGAGAGCAACAACGAGGGGGGAACTAGTCCAACGGCAAGTCCAACCAAAGGTGGTGGTGCTAATGCTAATGCTAATGCTAATGCTAATGCTAATGCTATTGCTGATGGAGTCATGAAGGATGATGTCGAAGCAGCCGCCTTCATTGGTGATGACAGTGAAAGCAAAGGCAAAACGCCTGGTGGCAGTGGTGAAGAAATCACATTGGAAAAGCTCAAGGTTCGATTTCTGGCAATGGCCGAATATTTGAAGCAAGAGCTTTCCACCATGGACGCCCAAAAAGCCAAACATTTGAGTTGGGCGGCCAAAGAAAAGGCAGTCATCATGGCCCTTGCCTTCAAGGCTCTCATGATTCAGTATCTGCAAGAACTCAAACAATTGGACAAGGAAAAGGCGAAGGCACTTGGCCTCAAGTATCAAGGAAAGGCCAAGGAACTAAGCGCTACCTACGCTGCCAAGACGGTAGAAGTGGCCGGTGTCGCTCGTCGCAAGGCCATGGAAGTGGCAAATGAATTGAAAACCATTGACAAAACCCAAGCCAAACAACGAAGTATCGACATGGTCCGCAAGGGGAAGGTGGTGGTCAAGGACATGCCACAGGGCACCAAAATCAAATATGGCATTATGTTTTTGATATTGTTCGTCATGATGAGCGGTGTCGGCAGCGGCGGCGGTGGTGGTGGTAGTCATGAGAACGTAAAACACAAACATCTCTGTTACATTCACGAAACGGGAAATGCCAAGACGGCTGCTTGCGAAAAAATGTTGACGGGTGTCACGAAAGGATATACCAATTGGATCTTTATTGGCAACGAACCCATCTTTGCCCTCTTTCGACCCTTCCATGACCACTTTGGATTGAACGAGGACCAGGTATTGCAAAAGGCAAGGGGAGATCGAGGCAAGAGACGAAAAGTCCAATTCTATTACCACTACGACCTGCCCGACGAGGAAGAATGGAATAAAAAATATAAGGATCAAAAGAATCCCACCGAAATTTTCGCTGCGGAAGGCATCGGACGGTCGGATTGTGGACATTGTCCCATGGTCAAGTTGGAAGGAAAACACAAGGATGTGGTGGTGGAAAATCTCTTGGTGGAAACCAGTCGAGATGTCAGTCAGGTGACCACCGAAACTTCCACGACCCAAGAAACGGTCGCCCGATACTTGGGCCAGCACTATGCCAATCAACAAAAAAAGACGGCGTGCGTGGTCCAACAGGGTACCTACGAAATGACCAAGGCTCCTTGGAGGACTACTCAAGAATTCACCGACTTTACCAAGGACTTTCACGACAAGTTGGAACAACATTGTGGAATTCTCATTCGGATTGGTAATTTTGGTGGTAGCGACAAAGAACTCAAACAAAAGGTCAAAGACTGGAATGCGGGTGCCAGGGACGTGACTCTAAATCGCAGCAAGAATGGTTACTTTATCGATGTCAGTCAAGTGGGAACTCCGTCCATGGATGGATACATTACGCCAGTCTGGGAAATGTTCAAGCGACTGTCCAAAGTATTGGAGAGATAAATAATATCCTATTGAATAATAAATGAATTGAATTGATGCATATTGCAACGTATCATCGTTAATTCATTCACACCTATTACTCATAGGAACATTGGAGGTTTTCTACACATTCGCATCATCTAGTCTGAGTGAGTCAGTCAGTCAGTCAGTCAGTCATTTAATCAATTGTCAGAGATCAAATCTTAATAATTCAACCATGTCATTGACCAGATCTTCGGTTGGCAAGCGCAACGGAAGCCACCCATGCCACAACAGTCACAGATGCGCCCAAAATTGCCGAAGGAGCATTTACAGTTGCTGCTTGTGCATGTATCGTCGAGGAGGTCTCGGTATACAAAATTCCAACTTTTTCTTTCCAGGTTGACGCTGCTGGTACCTTGCGCTTAATCCTGTCAATCAGTCCAGAAGTGGTGTCTTCTGCTGCTGAGACCACTTCAGCTCCTTGATGACTCTCGTCTTCCACTCCAGATGGTTCCAAAATTGCCCGCGGCGTTCCATTAGCATAATCCTTCTGGTTTGGGGCCTGTCCAAACGTCTTATTTTGATGTTCTTGATGCTTTTCCTGTTGCTCTTTCATTGCTTGCAAAGTAGAAGAATTTGTCGATAAGGATTCCTCCAGCAACGATTGGATATCCTTCATCCTTCGTGACTCTCGCAATTGATTCATGTACTGAGACCCTAAAAACACGATCGAGTTCAGTACAATCAATCCCCATGTTCCGAATGTCGATAGAACTCTCCATTTGTCTTGCCAGATCTGCTCTTCGTGATATCTTTTTCGAAGATCGTTCATGTACTCCATTTGAGCACTGGCTTGTTGGGATTCCCGCTTGCTAAGATTCTTCTTTGCCTCTTCCAAGTCGCCTCGTACAGTCACTTCAGCCTGGACCAAGCTGGCAAATTTTTGGGCATGTTCTGGTGTCCATTTGTCGCGAGTTTGCAACAGCTGAGTATGCTGACCCTGAGACTCCTCCCAAGCTTGGAGAGCGGCACTCAATTCGTTTCGAGCTTGGACGACTTGTCGTTGTATCTCATCAAATTCAATCGATGATTTGTCCACCTTCTCCTTGAGCTGATAAATCTCACGCATCCCTGACCTTTCGTACCAAACCTTGTAGACCCGGTCCAGCCATTTTGAAAGTACACCACCAGATGACGAAGAAGGAGAAGTCAATTCGTTTGATCCCTGCGAGCTTGATTGAGTGGAAAATCTCCTCAAGGAGAGAGCAGCGCGCCTAGTTGCCATGGTCATTCCCGAGCGAAAGATGAAGTAGTCGGATCGAATGAAGACTGAAGAAATGAATGGTGCAGTCGATTCAATCTTATTGATTTCTGAAAAAGACTGCAGCTGCTCGTCAATAAGAGAAAAAGGAAGCTCCAAGTAAACGTTGAAGCGTCTTTTTTAGATTGTGCGAGTGGGTGTGTTCAGTGTATGCAAAGACGATCGTATGGAAAGCAAACTGCTCACATATTTAACATTCAATATCGGCACTGTAAATTGCTTGCGGGCCTTGCGAATTTGGTTGAGAATCCATGATTCAGCTCCCATTCGTGAATGAATGAAGGATATTCTTTAGTTCTATTATTTTCGAGAGAAAAATCAAAAGTGGGCTAGAACAAGGAGGTGCAAGAATGAATGGAACTGTTGATGATGGGGGTTCATTCACTGTTGCTCTTTGATTTCGCTATCAGTCTTTCCTTCGGCGGAATGAACATGACCGTTAGCGGGTCCACAAGCATTGATTATTTCTCAACAGCATGCATCATAAGGCAAGAAGAAGTAGTAGCTGTAGTAGGAGCCAGGCGGCATCAGGACAACGATACTACTCTAGGAGCATGCCGACCACAGGAATGATCATACTAGCCACAACCCAGGCCAGATGTTTCTTCATCCGAATTTCCGGGTGTCGCGTAAGGTCTCGAGAACAACAGGAAAACGACGAATCACCAACCGCCGGCTTGGAGTGCTACCAGTACCAGGGTACTGGTACTGAAGTGATACTGTAAGTTCTTGAAGCAAAGATCTTGGTGGATAGCGGCTGCGGCAACAACTTCCAGCTGGTCGTGGCTCATTCAGAGTTGCTTCGCTTCGCCACAAGTCTTACCTTCAGCAGACTGATCATGAGCGTGGCGGGTTGAAGAAGAACAGATACTCCTGTAGAATTTGCACCGGCGGTACACGTGTACCTATCCGGATGTTAGTAATCAATCCGAATTCTCAGGAACTTCCTCCCGGTATTGTAGTTGAGTAAAGCTTTGACAAAAACATAAAGAATGTGAAGAATGTCATCAACATGTGTGGCTGCGAACGGTTGGAATAGGTTGAAGCAAATATCTAGATTCAAGTATCTGGATACAGTACGCTAATAGCATTTGTGCGAAGACTTCGCATTATTTAAAAATTTTATTAGCATCTGTTTCCAAAAAATACAAGCATTTCATTGGATGTATTTTGACAACCGGTCGCTTCTTGACCCTGACGTGTTAAGATTTGACACACAAAAAATGTCATTTCAAGGTATGGATTGATCAATGCAATCACCCTCTGCTGCAGCAACGAAGAGGGAGCAAGATAGAAGCTCGTTAGTAGTGTCAGAAAATCCATACGAACATGAGCAAGGCAGGCGTTTGCTGTACGGTACAGTGGTACGCACGTTTGATGCACAAAGTGAAAACCAAACCAGATGTTTTATCATCCAAATTCTAAATCGGTTCCAGTCGAATGTGGTACCTTTGACACCACACCTAAATGAAATAGGCGCAACGTCATCGCATTGCTGAGGTGGTAGCAATACTGTGGGTTCACTCGAAGATCGCCATCGGTGAAAGGAGTACAAATGGTTCTCGCGTTCTTCTGGAACAGATGGAAGGCCTTCGATTCGAAAGAGTATTTAACATTTGGACTCTTCTTTTCAGGGAATGTTTATCTTTTGTGGATTTGAAGTTCGTGCACAAATCAATTATGGTTTTCGGGTTCGTAAAATCTGTTTCGATGAAATGATTGGAGATTGAATGACAACCTGTTCGCTTTTCGTACCTGACGTGGTGAACTTTTCTCTCGACAGGACCCGCATTACTTATTGATTGTCAAAGTGAAAAAACCACTATTCGAAGTCTCCTCTAATCAAATTAGCTCAACACTGCCTCTTTTTTCCTTTCCTCTTTTAATCACAAAAGATACTTTCCAAGTAGCAAAGCTCATAAAACTCTGAAAGCTGAATATCAAACATCGTGTCAAATTTTAACAAGAAAGATTGAATGATGAGTATCCCCTCCATCATAGAAGCAACTGACAACGTCATTTCCAAATCTGTTTCTCTCATCACTTTGGAAAGCGTCCTGAGTGATTCCTCCATTCGATTCCAACACAAAGAGGAAAAATTTGGAAGGAGAATGTCGCAAGGTCCAGTTGTGAAGCCTACACGAAAGCGATCCTCGCACGAGCTACTCGTCGTGTTCGAACTTCATGACACCGTCCCCGTTACCAACAACGGGAACTTGCGCAATGCCACCTTCCCTGACGATGACACCAGAAAGTCAGCGCGTCTAGCGCGTCTTGAAAGTGTCCTTAGCTCTGATGCTTCCTACAGCTCTTCCATCACTCCCCGAGCCAAGTCACCTCCCTGCAAAGACCCTCTTCTTGAAAGATACATGAAGCTCGTGGAAGAAGCCAAGTCTAAGGCGCCTCAAAAGCCAAGGCGAAAATCGTCTTCAAGCCGCATTACAGCCTCTACGATGCCACTGGCCATGCCTGTACGAAAGGCATCCATGGCTGATGGTCTACACGGCTTGTTCCCAAATCATCGACGACGAGAGTCGGTTTGAAGCACCATCGTACATCAACGAACTCCAAGAACGATCGTGATTTCAACCGAAGGAATACATAAGAATACACCACAAGGCCAAAGTCAGCAAACACGCCATGACAGTCTGTGGAATTCGAAAACTTTATTGGGGCTAAAAGTCCCAAAGAAGCACCATCACTCCTAGCTTGCGCCAAAGAGATTGCGACGAGCTATGCTATGCTATGCTATATTGTACAGTACTACACAATACAACTATCGAAAGAAAACAGGCTAAACAATCAAATATAATCATTGCAGTATCCTTCTTAAAATTTCTCACAAAACTACTTGACACAATAGAATTCAATATCCAAAAGAATTGGATGTTCTTTGCAGTCAGACATCATGGGCACTGGTAGGAAGTCGCTCCTCGTATCTACTAACATATATCGCCGCAAGTAAGTTCACAGGAAGGCCAAAGCCTACCTTTTCGTGGTTCTCCGGCGTCGTATTTCGTAATGGTATCACTCCTACGATCCTCTCTGAACAGAACTACATTGGACATCCAAGGGTACCTTTTTGTTGGTCTTGAGTTTCTTTAGGGTATTAGTTCTTGAGCGGAATTTTTTGGATTGTGTCAGTGCGTCACAGGGTAAGACAAATCCATCTGGTTTCAGTGGTGGATGTGCTTCAAGGTCTATATGATCGAGAAGGTGTGGGTTTGGATATGGCAGGAGTCGCATGTACGATAAGTGTTGAGCCTGATGTCTCTCTTATGGAAATGTCAGGACACGACTACAAGCAGATGTGGGTATGAAGTTTTCAAAACCGAGAGGTTCCCATTGGCCAAACAATTGACACCATAAAATTCGGCTGAACGTCGTGCTATTTTCCACGAATTCCACGAATTCCCCAGAATGTGTCGAGAACGTGAGGAACGTTCGAAATAATTCCAAACAACATTTAAGGACGAGCGAATCCTTAAGTGAGCACTTGGGTTTGGCGTCAAAATCCAACACTTTGCACCCCAGATCCCATTCAACCTGGATCGATACGACTGTGAAAAGAAACCTCTTTCTCACTATTTCTCGATCCACATTTATTACAAGCCCACAGTGAAACAATCGAAAATGATCATTCCACAAACAATTGAAGCCAATGGCCCACCTGCTGTCATCAGCTCTGTCTCCCTCGTCGGATTGGAAAGTGTAGCAAGTATCTCTTCGATAAATTTCTCTAACGACCGTCCACAACGGTTTGGAAATAGTTCGCCTTCCACCGAACGGCCCATTGTCAAGCCAGCGAGAAAGAGATCCACAGACGCTCTTAGTCTATTGGATGCCTACGTCAATGAAGGTATGCAGAATGCAACCTTCGAAGATGACCGAAGAAGCGAATTGAAGGCACCCAAGTCTGCGAGACTTGAGAGAGTCGTGAGCTCAGATGGTTCTTCCCTCTGCTCTTCTACCTCTTACCGATCTTCGCAATCTTCCCCACAAGACCAGTTGACGGATCATTCCTCACAACAGGACATCTTGATGGAGCGATATCTCATGCTGGTGAAAGATGCCAAGCTCAAATCCAAAACCAACGCACCTCAGATGCCACAACGAAAGGCCTCTATTGTGCGAAGAGTCTCCTCCGTTATGCCGCTCTCAATGCCTGTACGAAAATCCTCAATGGCAAACTTCACTGCTTCGACGTCTCGACGACGATCTGTATATTGAAGCATCTGATAAAAACATCCTGTACATATTGGGAAAACCCCCACCGCTGCTCGTGCTTATGTCAAGCCATACTCCAAGGACCTCAGCCAGCCAATTTTGCGTAGTACTACAACCTGTGAATTAACACTTCTAAATCCATATTCCAAACCCCTACACAACTGCAATACAAAGTCTCTTTCCTAGCCTTTTCCCGAGCTGTCATCTCATTTCCAGGGTCACGAAAGCTGAGAGGTACAGTACACAGCTGACACTTTTTCCGGTTCTCAAGAATTTTACAGATGTTTACTGTAGCACTGGCACGACCACTTTTCGGGGTGATTTTCAATTACATTTTCCCCTTACATCAAAATCCCCCGAAACTTCAATTTCACCCAAAAGATACCATATCGTACTGTATGTAATACTGCTAATGCCTACTGGAACAGTGCAGTACCTGGTACTTTGCAGAAGTCTGCCACCATGTTCTTGAAGCATTTTGGTCAGATGAAATCCATTAGAGCTGAAATCGTTTGCGTTCATAGAGAGCGAATTGTTGATTTGAGCGAGGTCGTGTCGTAGGAGTGCTGGAGGAGGAGAGAAGAATCGTTCGAAAGATCAAACAGTGTCTTGACGGTCACGAAAAGGACGAAAGCCAATGGTGGCTGCTGGTGCTGCTGAAAGGAGCTGCATGGCGGCAGTGGCAAAGGAATCATCGGTGCGTCCATCACTCACCGAACTTGGCCGTTTCGAATGTTTTTCAGAAGTAGACCCGATGATATGCGCAAGGATAGTCTTGGGATATGATCATGAATGACATTCTTGAAAACGAGAACCTACAGAATGGGAAGCAACGCTTGGTTGGATACTATCCGCCTTGCACTATAGTGGACATTCACATGAGGAGTCGTCACTAGGCTATCATCCATACGACAGCAGCAGACTGGTGCTTCCCAAGAATCCATCAACAAAGCTTGCTTTGCAGTTGTTCAAAGACGATACCCTTGATTTTAAGTTCCTGAGCCAAAAAATGTGGAAATGTGCGATTGTGTGATGTTTGAATCGCAACAAGGTTTTTCAATGAATTATTGGGCTCTGTTCTTTCCATCTGGCAGGGACAGAAGTTCCCTTTTTTTGGTGCCAAAGAGTATCTTTGACTGGAACGACTAACTCTTACAGAAATCCGGACCGAACGACGACACACATACCTGTACTCTTCGTACCTGACCACTAATGGGGGAATATGCAAGCAGATGCTTCTACAGATGGTCTAAGTTAATGGGGTTCCTTTCTCCAAGAATGCCAACTGGAATCATCCATTGTTTGTACATGCACCACTACGGATAGTATATATATCGGGATGGAAGCAGATGGCTCTACAGACGGTGTACGTTGAGTCGGTTTCGTTCTTCAAGAATTTCAATTGCAATCATCTGTTCATCCCACTCCTGGGGCAGTGTTGGTACTGTACTGGTAGCCAAATAGATCAAAGTCAGATTTGTATTCCTCGACTACGTGCTGTACAACTTGATTATCATTGTAGGCTGCGTGAAATCCATTATTGGTGGTACTCCCACCATTCGTCCTCTCTTTTCTTCGTTTGCCGTAAGCAGTTCCTTTTCCGACTTGAATCTTGCCATTGGCGCTGGGTCCAACCATCACTTTGTGGTAGTAATCTAAAAGAAAGGTAGTACTTCTCTGCTGTAGCTTTGCTTCTGAAATAGTATTATTCATTTGCGCTGTTGGACTTGTACGATGGTGTCGATCGCGTCGTTTCTCTTCGACAAAATGAATCACTCGCAACAAGTCGGCTTCGTACGATTCCAATCGACCCACGTAATTCACGAGGGGACATCCATTGACGTCGGCCAAAAAGTGAGACTGTGGCACATAATGACTGATGCTGGTCGGACTCATGTGTTCTCGCTTCCTGTTGGTCGCCAGAGCAAAGTCCTTGAAGGATGGAAAGGAAGAAGCATTTGGATTCTTTTTCAAAAACATGCCTTCGGCCATGGCATAGCCACTATAGAGTCTGGCAAAGGGGTTTCTCACAAAGGACCAAATAAGATAGGATTTTGCCTTGGCTTCTTGTAAACCTCGCTTGCATCCAATAATTTGAAGCATCCATTCACCTCGACTACAGTGAAAGTGAGCCTTCCTTCGCTGGGACTTGGTTTGGTTGTGATCCGTGATATCATTAATCTTCGTCACGTTCGAAGGACACAATGCTTCTTTCAAAAAGGTTTTGGTATTCGTTCCTCCCACTTTTAGATTGTGAACAAACAAGAATCCGTATTCTCGTGACATGGCACAGCCACTCCCGGATCGGGCCTCTCCAGCAACTCGCATGGACAAGTGATTTTTGGACAGTGCAAAGTTGTTTGGATAGCGAATGGCAAAACCACGTTGTTGGAATCGGCGGTCGTCTTCGTTGTCCTTAGTTGCCGTTTGGCTTATTGGCTTGACTGCTGCCTCTTCTTGACAAGGGTGTAATCGACATTCCATCTTGGTGACCTTGTCCCGATTGTTGTTGTGGTCGTCCCACGGAAGCTTGGCCTCCAGACACATGTCAGATTCTGGACTGTAAAGAGGATCAGTATTATTATTATTGTTATTATCAGTGGCCGGTTTGAAATCAGCAACCACAGTTTTGGATTTGGTGCCTGTCCGATCAATAACCATACGACTATCATCATCAATTGTCGCATTGGAATGAGCAACAACACCCTTGGATTTGGTTCCTGACAGACCATCATATGTCAAAGTGGTGGTGGCGGCAATGGTACCAATAATAATAATAATAATAATCCAAACAGTGACTATTAGGACTACGCTGCTGCTTCTGCTGCTTCGTCCAATAATACCACCAATCCTATGGTCAAATAGCAGCATTGCAAGATCGATGGACGCTGCACCTGCATGAGAGAAAATTCAATGATGGAACAACAGAAACATGTACGTATTTATCCAACGAGATCTGAATGCAACGACGCGGAATATAAAAAGTCGAGGTATATGCATAGGTACCGGTATATTTATTGCGTGTGCTGGATGATGTTTGTGGTTTCCTTTCCGCGGAATCTCCATTTCCCGCAATCGGCTTCCAAAATTTCATGGATGCACCAAGCAATGTATGGCTGTGCTAGAAAGCAGAGAAACGTTCAAGCATTGCCATGAGTATCATTGGCTACAATCAGATCAAATTGTATCATATTGTATCTTCTTGTAGTTTGTGTATCATGTTTTTGTTTACAAAATTCCCAGCATATTCCGTATCCTTGACCTCAATCGACCATTCCCCACATCTTGCGCCAAGGATAGGTAGGCTTCCGCTGACCGATTTCCATAGGCCAGAATCGGCTGGGCCATTTTCTCCTTGTAATACGTTTCATTCTGTTGGAGATATTCCAATTCTTCCATGGCCTTTTTGCCGTCATGTTCATAATCGTAAAAGACAAAGGCATCCTTGGAAAAGAGGAAAAAGACATCTGGTGTTCCCCAATAGATGGGCAAGCATCCTCCCATGAACGCCAAAAACAACTTTTCGGTAATATAATTGTCCGTGGCAGTATTCTCCATGACCAAACAATATTTGTATTTGGAATACAATTGATAATTTTCCCTGTAGGAGTTGCGAGGTTTCCAATCGTTTGGCGGAATGGCTTGGAAATTAGCAGTGGAATGAGTTTGTGGTGCTGGGCGCCCACCAACAATCTTATTTTGACACTTTGGATTTTGATGAATGGGCAAGAGTTTGCTAATTTCCAGGGCGGCTTCTTTGCGAAAGGTCCCACATCGATTCACCACAAAGACGACTGCCTCTCTTCTTCTTTTGTCATTATTTTGTTGCGATGGCGCTCCTTGCCTCTTCTTTGGGTCCAAAATCCATTGTCGTTGTTCGCGAGTCGTACTGGATACCCAAAAAATGGCTCCAAAGGTCACCATGGGTAAGGCCCTTGTTGACATGATACTCGTAGCAGCAGCAGCACCACCACCAGTAGTAGCAGTAGACAAGGAGGACAGGGCATTTCCAAAGGGTTCGGCATGTTCGCTACTAGTAGGACCCAATTGATAGAATCGTTCGTTGATCAGATGTTTTTCGGCTGTGCGTGCTTCGCTGTGAACAAACAAGACCTTTCCTGGGAATTCCTCATCGGGCGATTGGCTACAGGGTCCATTCAATCCTCCTTGCAAGAGAATGTCTTGAGATGTTGGCTTTGCAGTAGTCGTAGTCTCGCCAAATCGACCAACCTCTTCCAATAAGTCCCCGAAGAGTTCCTGTCCAAAATTCCACAAATCAAAACCACAGGTGAATAATCTTGGTTTTGCTGTACTACCAGACGTTGTTATTGTTGCATGTTTCGATGTTGCTACTACCGATGATGATGAATCATCATGGGTGATGGCAGTAGTGGAAGCTGCTGTATTCTCTGTGTTCCTTTCATATTTGGTTTTCTTCTGGTTGCTACTATCGCCATTGTTCTTGCTGTTGTTGCTATGGGGATGACTGGTATGATTAATGTTCTCGCCCGAGGAGGACGAGTGGAATAATAGACTAAGCGCAATGATTGATGATAGAGCCAATACAATCTTGATGGTGGAAGGAATTCTTGCAGCATGTTTTTTCATTCACAGTTGAGTGATCTACCACCTACAGGAGTAGCATCCAGAATGGAATGGAATGGAATCTATGATACCTATACAGTATTGCAATCAATCTGCTGGTGCCGTCGAGGTGATGTTGTGTCTGACTGTCACCCACGGACGATGACTGACGTTGTTCATGTGATCATTGGCAATCCCTCCGTCCATCTGGGACTCACTCACTCCGACCGGTGCGCGCCAGCAGCATCAAGAAAGTTCGGTTCGACGGTTGTTCTGTTTGATTTTTGGTCGTTCCGTCGGGTCCCACAAATGAGGCGGATGACTTCATGGAGCGAACTTCGCCTCTCTGCGAATCCAACATTTATATGTTTTTCGGGTCACAACGGTACTGGTATCAATAATTGATTTTCCGACCAAGATAATTCCAAGTTTAGACCACGATCCACATTAATTAAATTTGTCGAGCAAAATACAACCGGTCGAGCTAACCGTACAGCGAGTTCCACCCGCGCGTATGTTGCTAGGCGCATGCGATGTTGATGTGACAGTGAAGGACAATATCTAACCGGAGAAGTAAGGTAGAAAGACTGAACAAACGAGACGAGACATTGTTCGAACCAAATATTTATTACAACAAAAGTAGTAGAAAAAACCAAAGAGGACACCATGAGTACGGCTGTTGCCACATTTGGAGTCGACAGAGCACCGTCGATGAAGTTGCATGCCAGTAACTCCTCCATCGAATATAGAAGAAAGACTTCGTACCGTAGAGCCAGGAGGACCTTGAACGAAAAGAAGGAAGTTCGATCGTCCATTTTAGCGTCTTTGGATAGACAAATCTCCTATCTAGAGCCCGAAGAACCGGAACAGGATATCCAACCAATCCCTTTGGTAACGGAAGTGCCCATTGAAGAAGCCACCAATACAGATATTCATACAACAAATACAACAAACACAGTAGTGCCATTCGAATCCGTTCTATCGCAACAAGTGTTTACACCACAGTCGCACCGGCAAACTCCACCAAGGCAAAAGCAAAACAAACGCATTTCCGAAAGATCAAGTCGTATCTTGGAGTCCTTGGACAAGCACATTGGAAGGGACCACGAAGAGGAGGAGGAAGAAGTGGAAGAAGTATTGCAAGTCAAATCAGCACCCTCTACACCCAAACGCCCCGCATCCTCTCCAAAGCCGTCTCCATCGACGCTACCAAAGAGAAAACCAAAGCGGATTTCTCCCAAATCCAAAAAGCTATCAAGAAATCCAAGGAAATCTAGCAGAATGGACGATTCTTCTTCCAGAAGAAGCAGCATGGACTCCTCCAAGCAAAGTCTGGGATCCAGAAGGAGTAGCATGGACAATACAATTGACACGAGAAGAAGTAGCATGGACACTAGCATGGACACGAGAAGGAGCAGTATGGACTCTACCAAACAATCCTATTCCACTACTACCACTTCTACTACTATTCCACAACATTTGCAGCCATCTTCCGAAGATGCGCTTGCTTCGGTTTGGGATGGAGACGATGATGATGTGGCCATTGGTAATCTTACTCCCATGAAGAAAGCAAGCAAGAACAAGAACAATGGTGATTCTTCACCTGATGTATCTCCCTCTTCTTCCATGGAAAACGATGATGAAGATAACGAGGATCCTACGGCTACTCCCAATACTCGCAAACAAAAGCGCAAGAAAAAGAAAAAGGGAACCAAACGCCGAGGTTCCAATGGAGGATCCTCCAAACGATCTTTGGGCAGCAGCTCCACCACCTTTAGTACCATTGCTAGTACTACTACCAATGGTACCAGATCTCAAATGGAAAGTTCTTTTGACAAGTCCTTGGCCAGTACTTCGATTGAAATGACCATTGAAGAAGAACCAGCCACTGCTTCGGCTAGAGCACTAGTTGAAGATAGCAGCAAGCATCGGGATGGATTGACTCGTATCTTGAGTAAAAACAAGGATGTGGCCATTGGCAATTTAATGCCAGGTGGCGGGGGTGGAAGCAAGGCACGCCACCACCACCACCATGCGGCACCACCATCTCCAACCTCTCCCGATCCATCCAAGCGGACTTCGGACAATTCCTTGGATTCCGAGGATCAATTTGAACATTTTTATCAAGAGCCAATCCAACGCAGCTCGATTGTATCCACCATGGATGCTGCCAATGCTGCTGCGGCTGCCGCGGCGAATATTTCCTTTGACGAGGAAGAAGAGGAGGAAGAAGAGGAACACACCGACATTGATGTGGATCTTCTCGAAGCCTCCATGAGTCTCTCCGACATTTTTGGAAATCTGGGTGATTCCAGTGATGTGGCCATTGCGAACCTTACACCCGCAAAGCCTCCAGCCAAAAAGGAGGAATTGACGGCAAGACCGAGAGCTTCGTCCGTGCCAAAACAACGATCGCAACGCATGGACGAAGATGATAACGAGCCAACAAGTAGTACCGGTACACCAAAGTCCTCCAAGAAGAAGTCTCGATGGTCGCTCCGATCGCAACGATCGGTTGATGTGGACATTGAAAAGGAAGACCAAGAGTCTTCCAAAAAGACGTCTCGTTGGTCCATACGATCTGGACGAACTGTCGATGTGGACGTGGACACCAAGGCGGACGATGCTTCCAAAAAGACTTCTCGCTGGTCCATACGATCTGGAAGAACCGTTGATGCGGACATTGACAAGCGGGGCTCCACAAGATCTCATCGTACCGTGGATTCGTGGTTCAACCGAGGAGGAGGAAAGGAGCAACAACCACAAGATGACGAGAATAGTTTGAACAGTCAAGACTTGGCCTCGGAACAGAGATTGGCTGCCATCTTTGGTAGCCAAGGGCCAAACAGCAGCATTCATAACACACCAGCAGCATCGCCCATTGCCATTCGAGCCAAACTTCCACCACCGCCCCCTCCTCATAGGCAACCTCATCGCCACGAAGAATGGACGGATGTGTCCTCGCCCCAAGCACCTAATGATGATGATAGTGATGAACACTTGGATCAAGATATCAAGTCCAAACTTCGTCTACAGGCAATCTTTGGAGAAGATCACGAATTGGCCAAGTCTCCCGAGCCCCAAATTCGCAAGCAACCAAGAGTGGAACGCAGAGGATCCTTCATGTCCAACAGATCTACTCGATCTGGCAGGTCGGCCGATTCCAAGCGCAAGCAATCTTCCTTTGGTTCCTTGCACACTCGTTTCACCAACAGATCAGGTCGATCCAAAGAACGATCCATTGATAATAACTCTTCTGTTGGATCCTTGCACCGATCGGGACGATCCAAAGAACGGTCCATTGATGCTTCTCTTGAGAGACAAGAACGTCGATCTTCCATTGGTTCCGTGTTTTCCGCCAGATCGGGTCGATCTCGGGAATCTTCCGTGGATGCTTCCTTTGAAAGACAAGAACGTCGAACCTCTCTTGGTTCCTTGCACAGTCGCATGTCAATGAAGTCGGCAGACTCTTCCGTCAAGAAATCCAAAACGACGAATCGGTCCAAATCTCCATTGAGACGATTCTCTCCCAAGAGGAATCGGACTCCAGAAAAGCAGCGACGAGTGCCAGAAGGTACTCCCAACTCCTCAGGGGGTCGTCCGTTGGATGATGATGATCTCATTGTAGAAGGTGTATTGAAGCGATACAATACCGAACAATGCCGTACCTTTGAAGACCACCAAGAAATGGCCGAAGCCGCGCTCATCTCGAGCATTACCAACACTTCTCCAAGAGAGCTGCGCCGCTTGAAGACCAAGCTGGTCGAACGCCTGCGCGCCCAATTGGAATCCAGAGGTTATCGCAACGGCGAAGAAGACGAATCTGTGAATGATTCTGATCACTTGATTGAAGTTTATGATAATCCTCAAGATGATCCAAGTGATGTCACAAGTCTTACCAGTCTGACATCCTTTACCAACTTTCAAGGTGGAGCATCTGTCAAGAGTGGATCGATAGGAGCCCTTACCAAGTCCAGTCGCACGTTGGACCGACCTTCCAATTCGGCACTCAACTACCAACATGGCAACCAGGATACGGAATTGGTCTTTGTCACCAAGGTGCCCATCTCTGGTGGCAAGTATACTGGTACTGTCTGTCCCATTACTTCTCAGCCAGAAGGCAATGGACGCATGGTCTACCGCGGATCCAAGGGTGTCTACAATGGCGAATGGAAGCAAGGCCAATGGAATGGAAGTGGCAAGCACATCAAAGCCAATGGTGACTACTATGATGGAAACTTTCTCGATAATCTGTACCATGGGGAAGGTGTCTTTAGCTACAAGGAAAGCGGCCGCTTCTTTGAAGGAAAATACGTCATGGGCGAACGCACCAAGGGAACCATGCGGTATGCCGACGGCAGTGTCTACAAGGGACAATTCTACCACGGCCGCCGCCATGGCCGTGGTTCCTATACCTTTAAGGATGGTTCTCGCTACAAGGGCGACTTTTACAAGGACCTTATGCAAGGGATTGGTGAATTGCGTTTCCGGGATGGTAGCAGTTATGTCGGAGAATGGAAACGAGGCAAACACGAAGGTCAAGGAAGCATGTACTCTCCAGATGGCGTGCTCTGCTGGGCCGGCATGTGGCAGGACGGAAGACAAGTTCTGGATGGCTAAAAATCAGAAGAAGGGAACTCACGATGCTAGTATTGTTAACAATAAATCTACTAGTAGCCTTGAAAATAAAACAAAAACATTTTGACTAGTATTCACGATAGCAAATGCACTTTCTGTATTCGAATACATACATACATACATACATACATACATACATACATACATACATACATACATACATACATACATACATACATACATCTCGTGTCTCCGCACCTCTGACTGACACGCTCTCAGGAGAAGACAAGCCATTGCCAAAGTACAGATGAACACACGCAGTGATATGTGTACTAGCTAGATATGTGTATTAGCTAATAGTAGCTAGCCTTGAGAGAGAGAAAAGAACAAAACCATGTTGATATTTTCAGTTGGATTATGTAGTATTGGCAATAGCAGATAGGTAGATATCCTCTGCCTTTAAAATTAAAATACATACACACATCTCATGTCTCATATCTCGTGCCCAGTGCTTCCCCATCCCGATCGTCATTTGCCTGATCTGTCCCAGACCAGACAAAACTATGCGTTGACGACACTACACATCTTCCCGCCCCTGGCCCCTAAAAAGACTCACAACTATTTCTCTTCCTCTTCTTCTTCTTCTTCCCCATCTTCTTCTTCCGTTTCCGAATCACTTTCACTCTTAATCACCTGAAGTCCCAATTCCGATTTCAAATGATCGTTGATAATCCCTCTCAAGCGCTTGGAAAGGACTGCGGAAAGCTCTATGATTTCGGAATGTGGTTTCTTGAAAGTCTTTGGTTCTAGACACGCCAACGGCAAAACACTGCTAGGTGAACCAATATCCTTGGTGGTCATTTGGTCCATGGTTTCCAGTTGTGGTGGATTTTCCAAGACAGTCGCGACAAACCAAAAGCGGCGCTTTTTGGGTGGGTTGGCCACGTCGGGCATGCACGAGTTTAGGTTTCTCCAAACGCCGTCCTCGTCCGTAAAGCCAGATTGCCGTATTTGATCGTAGTGGGATTGTTCGGCTTCTTTGTAGCCTACTACGACACGAGGTTCGTTCAGTTCCTTGGCTCTTTGTATGAAACCGTTGGAAAGAGAAATCAAGTCCTTTCGTGGCAAGATTCGTAAATCCAACGAGGTCCCCAGCATGATGGTGTACTCCATTTCTCGAATCATGGGATCGACGGGTGGACCACTTTTAGCAGCAGCAACCTTTTGTTTCTTTGCCTTGCCTTGGGTTTCGGCCGAGGCATCACCACGTTTACCAGCCATACTGTTCCTGAAGTGATGTTTTGTGTACGAGAGTGTGCGTATTACGCTGCTGCTGCTGCTGCTGCTGCTGCTGGCAGTGAAGAGTACTCGTATTGTACCTACGAACGAGTTTGTGTCAAAGAGGGCGAGCTATTTGTTGTTGTGTTTGTAAAGTCCGCAGGGTCGTTGGATGGCAGGCAGGACCGGCGTTGCTTGATGCGAGAGAAGCGTCCAAAAACAGCGAGGTCTCGTTTTCCGTTTTCAAAGTGTTCAATCGATTTGGCGAAGGTTTATTAGAGGGTACGAAATAGTCCTTCTGATGATGATGACCAACTCGCATGTCGTGGGAGTCGGCTTGGATTTGAAAAAAATAGCCTAACCAAAATGATAATTGCGGGTGACAAAATCAACACTGCATTGGGAAAACAACAACCAACTCCGAGAACAATACTTTAGTGTAGAGTACAGAGAATAGTAACTTGAAACTTTCTTCATCAAAATCTCCAAGGAGATTATTACCATGGCGACGCTTCACTTGCGAAAAGGATCCAAAGAGAGATTTGACCTTCTGTCCAAGGAATCGACCGAGAGCACCTCGTCTTCAATGACGATATCAACCACACGATCCTCCACAACCACGACAAGACGACCACTGCCACCACGTTCATCCCCTCGTAGTCGATCCTCACCACATTCCATTGCTTGGGTCGCCTTGACCGTCTCGGCCGCCCTGTTGGTTCTATCGCCTGGGTTGACACTTTCCAACAACAGTCGGTCTTTACTGGAACAACAACAAAGTAAGAAGAAGAAGAAAAATTCTACTTTGCGGACAGCCCCACAAAGCGTTGCATCCGTGGTCCATAAAAAACTACTGAATCCGTCACAGGCGATAGTATCGAATGCAGCAAATGCTGCAGCTACTACTGCTGCTACTATAAGACGAACCACAAAACCGACCATGTTGATTCACATTGGACCACCCAAGACGGGAACCACGACGCTCCAATGCCATTTGGGACTGCACTTTGCTAAAATGGTCGAGGAGGACAACTTTTATTACTTGGGTACTTGGTATGCGCCGCTTTGTGGACTGCCCCTGGAACACCAAATTCCTGGTTTTCAAAATGTCCCGCGACCCATGTTGCTGGATTGCTACGCACCTCACGTGCAAAAAGAATGCAACCAAGACGAGCAATGGAGCCAATTTGGAGCCTTGATCCAACAACACTATGATATGGGACACAATTTGATTCTTTCCGATGAAATGTTTCATCATCATTTCCAACTAGAAGATGTTCAACGACTGAAGTCACTGTTGTCCAAGAAGTGGAAGGTCAAAATCATGTATACCTACCGACACTTTTACTCCAGTGTTCCAAGCATGTATCATCAACTGAACGATCCATACGCAACCGAAAAGGGTATGGCCAATGCTGTGGAAAAGACACTTTGGCCCAGTACCGATGGGGGGTATAGAATACGATCCTTCCGAGAATCCAATTCCTTTGACATTCAAAGCGACATGCTTCGATTCTCGTATTGGGTGCAAGAATTTGGCTCGGTTCAAGTATTCAACATGGAATCCACCAAGGGAGGCGGTGGTGGTGGATACCTTGCGTCCTTTCTTTGCACCATGATGCCAGAATTGAAGACTTCCTCTTCCTTTTACTGCCATGAGAATGACATCGCCATGGCGGCAGTGGAAGAATCTACTCCTACTTTGGATGATTCGTCACGAAATGACAATGGCTCGGCCAAAAAGTTCTTGCACTATGACATGATGGCAGTGGCGGCCAAAGATGCTGGACTATTGGACAGTCATACATATTTACAACGTACAGAGGTGCGGGATGCAATCCAACAATTTTGTGAAGACAATGGTTGGAATGATATTTCCAATTTTGCCTTGGATTGTCTTTCCCAACAGGAAATGGAATCCTTTCTTCAGGCATCCTTGGAGCAAGCCAAAATGATGCAAGAATACTTTGTTGTTTCTGCTCCTGGTAAGGAATGGCCACTGCTCGAACAAGAAATCAAGACTGGATTTTGGAAGCATGCGGAACGAAAACAGTTTTGTTCCATTGACACGGTGGCATCCCTTCAAGAGGAGCGATGGCAAACATTCTTTCGTACCAGATACCATAATGACGGAGGTGGTGAAGGTGATGTAACGTCAGCCGAAACAGCAAGCTAGATCAAGCTTCAACATACAGTAATGTACCATACTCCATACTGGATTAATGTAGTCATTTAAAGTCACACTGTACAAGTATCTTCTGTTACTTCAAAATCATTCCGTAGATGCATAGTAGTAGGTAGTCATGATAGAGTCGAAGTGCAGCGAACCCCCGCCCTTGTTGATTGTTCCAAATGGTGTCAAGCAATCTCGTCATATATATTCTGCAACATTGATGAATAATAATCATATTGAAAACCTTCACGGTGCGTCAGGAGTAGCGAAGCTACTGAGTCAAACGGTTGCATCATTCTAAAAGGGAACATCATTCTTCGTAACGGCTACCTACCAAAATGTAAGGGCTTTTTGTCTTTTTGGTCAGGTGCTAAACTTAAAAACGGGGTCGACTGACTGTACATTCAATGTGCAATCAGAACTCAAAAGAACTCTTGTGACGCAGCTATGGCGTCATCTGAAACGATCATTAATTGTTCTTCCTGCGTCATTGGAAGCAAAAAACCCTTCAGATAGAGCACCAAAACACTTTTTGGCCGTCCATTTGAGGCTTTTCGATTTTAGTGTACTCGTATAGTGTAGATAAGCCGACACGAACAGGAAACAATTATCGCTCGCCAACAAAGGGCCGAAAGGTTTTAGGTCACTCGCGGAGACGTGCGTTCCAAAAATTCAAGTTGCGTGTTCAAAGGCGGCTGCAAAACTTCTTACTACGTCAAAGTTTGCTCAGATTCACGTTCCGAGGGCAACGGAAGGCTTAGGAATTACAAACAATTAATGACCCACAGCTTCTTTTCAAGAACTTTTGTGTCAGAACGTGTTTTTGAATTATACAACCGACAGTAGCGTCCCGGGCGTTTTGGCATGCAAAGGAACAACCAAACCCGCGAGGACGCGATGATTCAGTACGAAACGCGGCATACAATCTTAGTAGTTCGTGTTGAGGTGACACGAGACATGACCAGTGAGGTTTTTGAAAGAAACAGTTGTCATGTCTCATAATTCAAAACTTTCACAAAACGAAAAGCATATCAATCAAACAAACAAACAATATGACACTTTCCAGAGACGAACTTATTGAAAAGATTGGTGGGGAAAACCAATACAACTTCCTCGTCACATCTTTCTGCGAGAACATCCAACAAGACATTGGATTGAAAGACATCTTCATGAGCTTTGATCTTGAGCTTCTTGCGGATCGCATGACAGCACTACTGGACATTGTCTTGTCACAAACTTCTGACTCTGAGACTCTTGATGACAAGGATAGCAACAAGGTTATCTTGGCCAACTTCAGTCTCTTTGAAGCTGGCATGAACGCAACACATTTCAAGTTGCTACAAGCAAACTTTGAATCTGCTCTTCATGACGCATGGGTCGATGAAGACGTGATCCAGCAGTGCACCCAAAGGTTCGCAAAGCTACGAACGGTATTTGAAGAAGAGGGTGCTGCTATGGAAAAGAGCGATATGGCAGGACGTGTCATGGAAGTCCGCATGATGGTTGCCAAGTCTGCCTAAGACTGCACCACATCAAGCCGCTATCTCAACTGTTTCAATAGACATACAATCTTTATACAATCCAATACAAATAAAATTATACTACCTATAACAACAACACAACATTCTATCAAATTCATTTAGCTATTGTATCCCGTGTCTATCATAGAAATGCATCATAACGTGACTGGACTTCCCGAGTCCCGTTCAGATGGCGAATGAAGATACCTTTTACACTGATTGCACTTCTGATTTCTGGTCAAGACCATCCCTTTCTGTTCCACGCCACAACTCCTCTTTCTACTGGTAACCCCATGGTACCGGTACGTTACCAGTTTTGTTCATCCATCATCGTTCATCACGGTTCCGTATTACAGTACAGTATTACACGAATCCTGTCCAGCAGCTGGTGAAACGTGAAACGTAACCCGATACCGGTAGGCTGTAGGCTGACTCTTACCCTATCAATGCCCTGAGCAACCAATCAAAATTCGATCCCTACACTATGACAAGATTTGAACAAGGTCCCCGTACTACTTGTAGATTTGAAGCCTTGCGTAGAAAATGGGATTGGGTGCCCTCCTCGTAACTGCCTGAACAGTACCAGGTACAAAAGTACCAGGTACTGGCACTTTCTCGGTCTTTTCTCAGTTCCGTTTTAAGATTCTTCTGATTCTCCAATAAGTGTGAAGCAAAAATTGGACATTTCCGTGTTTGGGATATATGGATATATATATAAGCCATCCACAGGATACAGAAAACCTCTTTATCATGCCGTGATTTGTCGTAAATTGAAACACTAAGTAAATAAAAGGGATCGCTTGGCGTCGTCAAGCAAATGTGTCCGAAACTACTTGCGGGATCGCGAAACTATTTATGGGATGACATGTATCTGGTGGTAAAATGGATGTCTCCAGAGAGCACTTGAACACAACCGCGGAGAAACTTGCACATTCCCATTTTTGATTTTTTGCGGAGCAGACAAATCTCACTTTATCTTCCCCTCACAAAACAGAAAATCACATCGTTTGCACACACATATACCTACACAAAACACATTCCAAAGATGAGAGAATCACTCCAACGCCAAAACTCCAAGGAAGAACTCCTTCAACAAATCGGAGGGGAGTCCCAGTTCGACTTTATCATCATGACATTTTGTGAGAGCATCCAAGAAGATACCACACTGAACGAAGTCTTCAAGGGAATGCATGTCGACACAATGGTCGACTTGATGAATGGCCTCCTTGACGCGGCACTTGAAATGTATTCAAGCCGCACAGTTGAAAACGAGGATAATCGCAACCGCATCGTCCTCAAGAACTACGCCCTCTTTGAGATGGGCTTGAACAAGGGCCACCTTGAAAAGATGAAGGTCCACTACGAAGCTGCCCTTCGTGACTCCTGGGTGGAAGATAAAGTGTTTGATGAATGCATGCAACGCTTTGAATATCTGGAAGCAGTCTTTGACCATGAAGGAAAAGAATTTGAACAGACCGCTGTTGCGGACAAGAAAGCTGTCTCTCGCTTTTTGAATGCCAGATGCGCTTGAGTCGCGATGGTTGACGTCGAGTGCATGTGTGTTCACAGGTGGCAAGAAGCAACAAAAATTAAGCACACACATACACACAAGTTGAGCGAATTCTTGCAGTTATCACGCTGTGCTCACATCGTGGAACGTGCTCTAGAAGAGGAGAACACCATCCTTTTCACACCAAGAACAGTAGCACGATGATCCAGTTTTGATGATGCAATGCATTGCACCAGCTTTATCTGGCTTCATATCTGGAGATAGGTTTTCACATAGAGCCATAATTATAATCGATCGATTACAAGAAGCAAGTGGAATCAGTACATTAGCTGAAACATGAATGTAGCAGCCCATTGATTTGTTCCATTCAGAAAAGAAAATCTTGCAGCATTTTCATTTTCGATTTGTCCGATTGCTTCAGTCTGTACCTGATACGTCTCAAATCTGCCACATCCATCCGACAACCAAAATCCGAAAACAATCTCCCAAAGCAATAATGAAGCATGGAGCCAGATATCAAGAAGCCAAAGAAGCTATGGCGTGTCTGGAAGGCGGCTGATGAGTTGGAAGAAAGGCAGAAAGAATTCTATCCTTCTGTCACTCCCAAAATTGTGTCTATCCTTCGCCAATGGGGGACAAAATGGGAGGGGAAAGATGGATGGAAATCTCTGCTGGACAAACACAGTCTAGTGCACGAAGCGGAGGAGTCCATCGTTGCGATTTACCATTTGATGAAAGGGGTCTCTTCCAGGACTAATCCGTACATTGCAGCTGATGTTTGCGGTGGAAAAGGTCTGTTATCCTTTCTGCTATCTTACTACGAAGCACCAAATCTGCATTCCATCATTTTACTCGACAAGGCAGACATTGACTGGAATCATATTCACGAAGCCAACAGCACAGCTGGCCAAGAAAAGAGGCCACCCATTCATATTTGGAGCGAAACAAACCTACATGACTACGATTCTATTTTGGATCGGTTTCAAGAATTGCCGTATCCTCTTGCAATGACAGGAATACATCTATGCAAACAATTGAGTCCTTCCTTCTGTGGACTGGTGAATGGATTGGGACGTGATCGGTGCATCTATGCCTGCCTGAGTCCCTGTTGTATGCCCCGAGCAATCACTGCACAAAAGAAGAATCCCAACACATCGTACTCAGTGCCCATTCAACAGCTGGAGAATACAGTGGACCGGAATGCCAGGAGAGATTACATGGAACGACGAGAACGACTGAAAAGAAAACCAAAAACAGGCCCATGTTTTCACTGCAAAGCCCCTGATCATAACCTGATCGATTGCCAACTTCTTCCGACACTGCCAAAGGAAGAACAGACACAGATTCGGCAGGCTTGGCACGTTGCCACCATTCCCTGTTGGAACTGTCTTGAACTTGGCCACTACAAATCGGAATGCCCTCGGAACAATGATAGTTCAATTCGCAACTCAAAACAGCCACCAATGGTGGATGTGGATGTCACGAACGTGCTCAAGGGTCCAAAGCCTTATGAGACCTATTGCAATTTGCTGACGAACGGACTACCGAGTTGGCAATGTCAAGTCATTGAAACGGAACTGGAAAACCAGGAGAAACATCAAGAGGGAAATTGGAATAGTGGAAGGAAATCAATCTACATTGTCATGAAGTAGAACTTTTGATCATGCGATGATAGCGATTCCAACTGCGGCTCTGAACCAAAATGCAAAAAGACTCCGTTGTACACCTTGATACAAATAACATGGCTTCGTATTTGGTTAACTTCGATGCTGAAAAATTCCGACTGAATAAGGCACATCAACATTCCGATTGGTTCCATCTCTCGCTAGATGCCTTGGTTTCTCGGATGAATCTATGGATCAATGAATGAATCAGTCGGAGTCTACTTCAAAGATTTTGGATGTATAATAAACAGAATAGAATTTAATGCATTACACAATCACCTATATTCGATGGTCGATGGTTGTATCAAATAGGAACCGCTGTGGATCTACTGATAAAAATTGGCGTTTACTGGCACCTGATCTCGGGAGTCGTTGAAGACTGGATGAGTATGATAGATATTGAATTCCCTTTTTGACTGGGCTGGTTGGGTGGTTATTCGTCTTCGCATTTTCGTCATCCTCGAAAAAGCAGCGGAGGTCACTGATGCTACAAATGTCGTCGTCCATCTCCATCTCCTCCAACGGTCTGGTTTCCATGGCAGCAGAAAGGGGCTGATGCGGCATAGCACTATTGCTATCATTGCTATCCCCATACATGCTCTGGATGTCGTCGTCCATTTCAAATGACGCTGCTTCCAAAAGCCGGTTCTTTTGGGCCCAGTTATTGCTATCCTTGTGGTTGGTGGGCATATCGATCATTACATCATATGACCTGCTTCTTAATGTAGAAGATGTGTGGAGTGACATCGATCTAAAATGAAGGGATGTCAAGGAAGAACAAGATGATATTGAGTCACCAAGTGATGCAGATACCATCGCAGGCGTCGAGGATGTCTTCATGTGAAATTTTTCCGATTTCATTTTTATGCTGTGCGCAGAAGTGAAGTTGCTTCTGATTATGTGAGATACTTCCGATTTTGAGATATTTTCCAGGCATAGATGTTCTGATCAGACCCTGAATTGACAGATGTATTGATGTGTTTGGATACCGGTACGACAGCAGATGACATGAAAGATCCCACGTATTCTCATTCTTTCGTGTCAAAATCACTGTTTCAGGTTCTTTTTTATATTTAATAACACCTTTTATATTTAAAATAAAAAGCTTATTTCCACGCGAAGCTGATAAAACTGCTGGCCGGTACCGGTACCTGGTACCGATGCGACGTGAAATGACGATCTTGACATTCTCATCCAAGGAAGAAGAATTGCTGTCTACAATACCGCCAGACATATCACAAGCCCTGGAACCGAAACGGAGATTGGAAAATGGTATCTACTGATTTGTGTTCGTATCAAGTAGAGACAAATGTTACTGTCGGTATGCCATGTGATCCCTACAACTCAAGACAAGACAGAAATGAATCATCTAGTAGTACCTCTAGTAGTAATAGTAATAGTAATAGTAATAGTGGTGGTGGTGGTAGTTGTAGGAGTACACCAGCAGTCCAAGTAGTACTACCATGCATGAAAAGGAGCCCAATTCGTGTATGGTCTCTATGTAGGCATTTAGCAAAGACTTTCATTCTACGGTACGCATTAGCAAGAAAGATATAATACGTGGTGGCGCCTTGGTCTAGATGATGCAGGGAAGCTGCGGGCAAGCAAGAGAGCTGACCCATATGATCCTGCGTTTACCGATGTGCATTCCGTGTCATCATGGTCAGTTTTTCCTTTCGTTGTTTTTCCAAAGCTTGCTTTTCCATTTTCAGTTTGTCATGTTCTCTTTTTGTTTTTTGAAGCCAAGTCAGCTTTTCCTTTTTCAGCATTTCATTTTCTTGCTTGGTTTTCTGAAGCAATCGTCCAACTCCTTGGATTTCTAGATTCAGTTTTCCCTTCTTCAGTTTCTCGGTTTCCCTTTTGTTCCTCTTAAGCAATGTTATCTTTTCCTTTTTCAGTTTTTCCTTTTCTTGCTGTGTTTTCTGAAGTAATTGTACCACGCTTTGAATCTTCTGCACCATTGCTTGTTGGCTGATGGCCATTTCATGAATCACAGTTTCCAACTTAGTCAGACGCGCCCCCGATTCCAGATACTTTGACTTCGACTCGGAGAGTTCCTTTTCTAGTTTGTCAATAGCCTCATTCGCTTCGTTGGATGCGTTGTCGGACTGACGCATGCTTTCGGCACCAGCATTTTGTGCCGTGCTTTCTTCCCAGCTCACATCGTGAGTGTCCTCCCGTTTGACAGATATCCCTTGCTCTTCCCCATGCTGCTCTTCCTGTACTGTTTCCAATGACTGGCTCGGGAGTCCTTCATCTTGCTTCGATTTTTTGACTTGTTCCCCAGTCAACACATTGTCATTGTCATCATCGACGCGGTCCCCTTGTACTTGCAACTGATGTTCGCCTTGTTCTGTCTGCAAGGCTCCCCCTTCATCTTGCAATTGTTTTTGCGCTTCTTCGAACTGTTGTTTCCAGAACTGCACTTGGGAATCCCATTCCTCTTCATCTTCTTTGGCTCTCATTTGTTGGAGCTCCAGCTGAAGTTTGTGGACATTCATGACGTCCTCCCTTTTCCGCCGTTCAGCTTCGAGTTGGTCTTCAGCTACGTTCAATTGATCTTGGAATATTTCTCGGATTGTAAAATGCTCAGATTTCAACCTTTCTTTATCGTTTCGAACTTCTATCAGTTCCTCTTGCAAGTCATGCACTTGCTTCTTGATCTCTTCGAGCATGGACTGTGATTCCTCAAGCTGTATCGCAACCTCATCTTCAGGGAAACAATTTAAGTTTCGTCGCAAGATTTCATCAATGTTCAGACTGTGAACGTAATGTCCATTAGGATCTTCAGGTCCACCTTGCGAGTGTCCTTGTTGGCGTTGATATACTTTCAACTTTGTTTCAAGTTCGTCTTGTTGTTGCTGTTGCTTTGTGACTACTTTGCGCAGTTTCAGCAACTCTTGGCGTTCCCGTTTCCAATTTTTAATCTCTTGTTTCATCCGGATCATTGTGGACTGGTCAAACTCTAATGCATCAGTTTCTTCAAAGAGGTCACTCTGGGGAACGTGGAAACCCAAATAACTCTCATCTTCCATATTCTGATCATATTCTTCGTGCATATCATAGTCACTGAAACAGCTAAGAGTTGCCGTAGGTGAATCTACTGGTGGATCTATGGATTGAATCTTTTCCCTCTTTCGCATAGAGTTATTAGGATTGTCCAACATGATTTCAATGGAGATCTCGTCTTTCATGATGAAAGAGCTGATTTTGACTGTTGAAGAGACTATTCTCCTTGTTGGTAAGCAGAATGCAACGAAATTTGTTTACGACGGATCAGAAAAGATTCAACCCTGTTAGCTTGAAGTGCTGGATGTGTCTTCGTCCTCCTTGCATATACGGTAGTGCGAGGTTCAAGGTTATTCAAAGCGATGACAACACTTTCACGATTTTGAAATGCTTGCGGGCTTCGAATAAACACACGTTGCAGAACGAAAACAAGTGGGGATAACGCTCAAAATAGTTATCGGCTGTATACAGCTCTGAATATTTTATATACAATGAGAACCTTGCTTTACGGGCGATATAATTAGCCAAAACGAGATTTGAATTTTTTCTCGAGTTCACAATTTGACCAATCTGATACAAACATACCCCACCAATTGTGACGAGAGTTGATGACGATGATTGACTTGTTCTTTCAAAATATTATGCATTATGTTATCTACAGTATTTCATGTCTTCGGTATTCATCCTTCTCGAATAGCCATTGCTATCCGTGCGATCATATGCAAGGATTTCGAAAGGGTTCAATCTTCTCCTTGTAGAGCTTCTCTGCTTCCGCAGCTTTTCCCTGTTCAAATGCTATGTCCACCATCTTCTGGTAGGTTGATAATATCATTGGATGGTCTTCTCTAAGATCTTTCTGCCATATTTGCAGGGCTCGCTTGAACATCCTTCCAGCATCCAAATAGCTACCTTGATTTGCCATTGCATGCCCCATGTGATTGAACAGTAATGTCGTATCGGGATGATTGTAGCCAATCTTCTTCAATCGGATGTCTAGTGAATCCTGATACATGTCCATTGCATCTCTATATCGGCCTTGGTTGCAGAGAATGTTGCCGATTCTGTGATATCTGGATGCAATCAATAGATGATCATGGACATGGGCTTGCAAGCCGATCCCCAGGATATTGTGATATGCCTCTATGGCTTCATGTTCATTGTCTTTGTGCTTTGAGATTTTCTCGACAATGCCACACGCCGCTGCTCCATCTGGATGGTTGGCTCCAAGGCAAATCTTTTCGAGCGCGCGGGACTCTTGATACACCGCGGTGGCCTCCTCGCATTTGTGCTGGCTGAAATACAGATCTCCAAGAGCATTGTGCATTCGTCCAGCATCTGGATACTCCGGTGCCAGAGCCATTGCCCGCATCTCAAGAGCATTCTTGTACAGTTTTGTCGTGAAATCTTCGGCGTCATTTGTTCCCCAGAACAATTTCGATGTGGCAATGTACCTGGTTTCTCGCAATTCATATCGGAAGACTTCCTTGTGCATTATCAATGCCTCGTCGTGCTTGTCTTGGTCAACGAAAATGTTCTCCAACTTTTGAAATGTTGTTCTTACCCATGGATCGTATGGTCCAAGGGCGGCCGAAAAAGTCTCAAGTGACTTTTTGTAGTACTTGACTGCTTCATTCCACCTACCGAGTTTGGTCAAAACATCTGCCATGGTGTTGCTTAGAATTGCAGTATCCAAAGTGTCTTGTCCAACGAATTGCAATCGAATATCAAAACCTTTCTTATACATCTGGATTGCTTCCGTGTACTTGCTTTCGGCATTCTTAAGATGTCCTATTTTGATGCAAACCATAGCTACCGATGGGTGCCACCGACCATTGGCTTTCGTCGTGAAAGAAAGGTATTCTTCATACATTTTTAACTTTGTCTTGCGTCTGGATTTATAGTCTTGCTTTTGAATTTTCATCTTGATTTGAAGTGCTTCCTCGAACATTTTCATGGCAAAATCATGATTGCCGTGTTTGCGCAAAACGGTTCCAATCCTCTTGAATATCGACGCTGCAACTTGCAACTCTTCGCAACCTCCGTGTCTCGCTCGATGCAATTCTGACCGGAGCGCCCCCTGATACATTGTCAGTGCTTCATCATGATTGCCTTGAATATCCAATGCATCTCCCAGCTGTCGGTATATTGTACCAAGCCATCGGTCATTCGGTTTCAAAATACGAGTAAATATTCGCAGCGCCCGTCGATAGGTGGATACTGCTTCCTCCAATTTGTCTGCAGTCATTAACAAATCACCCATATAACTATACAATATTCCTACACATGCATCGAGGTATTCCTTTCCAAGAGTTTTCAATCGAATCATCAGAGCCTGCTGAAACATTTGCGTCGCTTCTGAAAGTTTTCCGTGATGATGAAGTATGTTCGCCATTCGATGATACCTGGTGGCAACGAGCGGATGATCTTTCCCGTGAGTCTTTAAAGCAGCATCCAAAGCTTCTTGGTGAGTCTGGAGTGTTCCAGATGGAGATTCGAATTGCTGAGCGTCAGCATCCAAATGCGTTGGGTCGGTAGTATCACCGCAATTATGGTCATGATCATGTCCTCCAATTCTCGATCGTATCTCTAATGCTTCTTGGTATAATTCAATCGCTTGGTGGTGCCTTTTTACATCGCCAAGGACAGCACTCGTTCTTGAATACGTTGTCGCTATTTCTGAATAATAATACAATCCGCGACTTGTCAAGGATGATTCTTGTTGTGAGGACAAAACCAACACGGTTTGATATTTCCTAATGACTTGTTCCAATTGCTCCTTTGCTTCCATGACGATCTTGGCGGCATCCAAATCGCAGGGTCTACAAAATGAATTACGACTCGAGTCCTGGGATTGAGGCGTGCTGAAGCTGAAGCTGGTGCTGGAAGAAACGGGGCTATAATCCTCGTCGCCATCGGATGATGAGAACGACGACGATGTCATCATGGCAGAATCCAGAGTCCAGGGTGTAATTTTGGAAAGGCTGGAAATTTCACCCGACCAATCCACATAGCGCGCCCGAGGTGACATGCTGAATTTGGAAACCACGTCTGTGGGTGCAAAGGGAGAGAAATAGTCGATGAGAATGGAATGAAGAATCAATGAATGAATGAACCATGCTACAGGTATTTTAATAGTATCGCCTGGTTTTACGAAAATTCAGCGGGTGGAAACAAAGGCAAAGCCTTACCTATTTCAAGCTCTGGAACCATTGTTTGCAATTCAATGTTTGGAATAGATCAACATTCACGGTACAGCGACAACAGAATCTTTCTATTATAATATATCGCTCTCAGTGTTACGGTACCGGTACTATCTGGTGAAAAATTTCATCAATATTCGAAAATATTGCGCTGTGTCACGCCGCGTCATTGGTTTTCGTCGAAGATTTGATTTTTACAAGAACTCTGAACTCTGGACAAGAGTAACGCGATCAAAACGTATCCGACGAAGGACGAGCGGCGTTTTGGAATACTGGAGAACGGAGCGGCTTTGAGTGAGGGACCCCCTGCTTATTGCTTGGGACCACTTCCAATTTTCCAGACCTTTTTTCCTTCGCAGAACGTGTAATTACGTTCGTTGGTGCGATTCTTTCTATTCCATTCATCCGCGGTCATCCGTCCAATTATCAACCATACTGTTCCGTGTGTCAGTGGAGACTTCCAAAGCGGAAGAAAGCCATTTTCAAGCTACCGTATTAGTAGAGCAGAGTTTTCTCCACACTTTTTACCTTTTACATTCCCGAAAACGCCAATTTGCTACGATCCGCGCAGGGCTCATAATTTTACAATCATGACCTTTTACAAACAACAACAACAGCAGCTAGCTATCATCGAGCTCAACAACCTTACTGTTGATGCTCTTCGCCAACAACACTTCTACAATGCCATTACATCATCGTCATCGGCATTGAAGTGCTACAAAGCTATACAGCAAAGTACTACTAACGAGCTTCTATCTTGCTCCTTCTTTGCTGCACCAGAGGATTATTGCATTGATCAATCCATGCTCCTTTCGGAACCAAATCCAAACGCAACGGGCCATAGTACTAATAGTAGTACATTCATCTACGACCTTGGTATCCCAGTACCTCCTGGTGCGGATGCCACCATTGTGGCGACCATTCTCATTTTCAATCTGGCCCTCGCATATCAGCTGTGCGGAAACCAGCAGCAGTATGACACCAAGATGCTTCTCAAGGCAAAGCAATTGTACGAGCTCGCACACAAGGGATTGGACGTTGACCAGAATGTGCACTTTCACTTTGCCATTATCAATAACATTGCTGTGATCGAACACCAGATCGGTAACACTGCAGCATCCAAGGATAACTTTGAATACTTGATGTCCTTATTCATGCTTTTGGTGGACCGAGGAACCAACAGTGTGGGACTCCGTCACATGAATGGTTTTTTGGTGAATCTTCCATCCACTAGTGTCAACGCGGCTCATGCCGCATAGACCCAAGCAAATCCGCTTACTGCTGCTACTAAGAATCTTGCTCCAGACAACAACAACAAAAACAAAAACAACAAAAACAACACATTTTAGAAATCATAATACAATAATACAATAATAATTCTGCTATTTGCGAAACAACGACACATCGATTTAGTCTTTTATATCTCAGAGTAGGGACTGTGCGAGAGGAAAGGAAATGGCTTTACACAAACAAGAGGAGTGCTGAGGTGTATGGAACTGATGGAAGGCCATGGTGTCAGCGATGTGGCTGTCTATTATTTTGTTCTATTTTAAGTCCTAGTACTTGTCATTGAATTGCTGGTTTGTATGCTGTGAGATGCCGTCGGGGATATCAGGAAATGCTTGGTGCAGTGCGGTGAAGCCTTCTCCTAATTGAGCCAAAGTGTCAGTGGGGACATTCAGAGCGGCAGAAAAGCCATTTTCACGCGAAGAACAAATTGAGCAGAATTTTCTATACCGCACTTTATATACTGGTGTTTATTTTAAATATATATACTTTGACTACAGCACCGTACAGTGTGGTAATACCGGTAGTCCCAGTATATTTTATTATATTTTTACTGTCCACATTCCCGAAAACGCCAATTTGAAACGATCCACGCAGGGCTCATCATTTTACAATCATGACCTTTTACCAACAACAACATCAACAACATCAACAACAGAAGCAGCAAGCTATCATCGAGCTCAACAACCTTACTGTTGATGCTCTTCGCCAACAACAATTCTATAATGCCATTACATCATCGTCATCGGCATTGAAGTGCTACAAAGCTATACAGCAAAGTACTACTAACGAGCTTCTATCTTGCTCCTTCTTTGCTGCACCAGAGGATTATTGCATTGATCAATCCATGCTCCTTTCGGAACCAAATCCAAACGCAACGGGCCATAGTACTAATAGTAGTACATTCATCTACGACCTTGGTATCCCAGTACCTCCTGGTGCGGATGCCACCATTGTGGCGACCATTCTCATTTTCAATCTGGCCCTCGCATATCAGCTGTGCGGAAACCAGCAGCAGTATGACACCAAGATGCTTCTCAAGGCAAAGCAATTGTACGAGCTCGCACACAAGGGATTGGACGTTGACCAGAATGTGCACTTTCACTTTGCCATTATCAATAACATTGCTGTGATCGAACACCAGATCGGTAACACTGCAGCATCCAAGGATAACTTTGAATACTTGATGTCCTTATTCATGCTTTTGGTGGACCGAGGAACCAACAGTGTGGGACTCCGTCACATGAATGGTTTTTTGGTGAATCTTCCATCCACTAGTGTCAACGCGGCTCATGCCGCATAGACCCAAGCAAATCCGCTTACTGCTGCTACTAAGAATCTTGCTCCAGACAACAACAACAAAAACAAAAACAACAAAAACAACACATTTTAGAAATCATAATACAATAATACAATAATAATTCTGCTATTTGCGAAACAACGACACATCGATTTAGTCTTTTATATCTCAGAGTAGGGACTGTGCGAGAGGAAAGGAAATGGCTTTACACAAACAAGAGGAGTGCTGAGGTGTATGGAACTGATGGAAGGCCATGGTGTCAGCGATGTGGCTGTCTATTATTTTGTTCTATTTTAAGTCCTAGTACTTGTCATTGAATTGCTGGTTTGTATGCTGTGAGATGCCGTCGGGGATATCAGGAAATGCTTGGTGCAGTGCGGTGAAGCCTTCTCCTAATTGAGCCAAAGTGTCAGTGGGGACATTCAGAGCGGCAGAAAAGCCATTTTCACGCGAAGAACAAATTGAGCAGAATTTTCTATACCGCACTTTATATACTGGTGTTTATTTTAAATATATATACTTTGACTACAGCACCGTACAGTGTGGTAATACCGGTAGTCCCAGTATATTTTATTATATTTTTACTGTCCACATTCCCGAAAACGCCAATTTGAAACGATCCACGCAGGGCTCATCATTTTACAATCATGACCTTTTACCAACAACAACATCAACAACATCAACAACAGAAGCAGCAAGCTATCATCGAGCTCAACAACCTTACTGTTGATGCTCTTCGCCAACAACAATTCTATAATGCCATTACATCATCGTCATCGGCATTGAAGTGCTACAAAGCTATACAGCAAAGTACTACTAACGAGCTTCTATCTTGCTCCTTCTTTGCTGCACCAGAGGATTATTGCATTGATCAATCCATGCTCCTTTCGGAACCAAATCCAAACGCAACGGGCCATAGTACTAATAGTAGTACATTCATCTACGACCTTGGTATCCCAGTACCTCCTGGTGCGGATGCCACCATTGTGGCGACCATTCTCATTTTCAATCTGGCCCTCGCATATCAGCTGTGCGGAAACCAGCAGCAGTATGACACCAAGATGCTTCTCAAGGCAAAGCAATTGTACGAGCTCGCACACAAGGGATTGGACGTTGACCAGAATGTGCACTTTCACTTTGCCATTATCAATAACATTGCTGTGATCGAACACCAGATCGGTAACACTGCAGCATCCAAGGATAACTTTGAATACTTGATGTCCTTATTCATGCTTTTGGTGGACCGAGGAACCAACAGTGTGGGACTCCGTCATATGAATGGTTTTTTGGTGAATCTTCCATCCACTAGTGTCAACGCGGCTCATGCCGCATAGACCCACCAAGCACATCCGCTTATTGCTGTTGCTTAGAATCTTGCTCCAGACAACGACAACAAAAACAACAACACATTTTAGAAATCATAATACAATAATACAATAATACTTCTGCTATTTGCGAAACAACGACAATAGCACATCGATTTAGTCTTTTATATCTCAGAGCTGGGAGCGATTGTGCTGTCAACGATGTAGCCATCCATTATTTTGTTCTATTAGGTTCTAGTTGCCATTGAATTGCTGGTATATGATGTGAGATGCCGTTGGGGATATCAGGAAAGTTTGCTTGGTCCAGTGGTGAAGCCTTCCCCTTATGAATACTCCTCAGTCATTTTTTGCTGGAGGTCCCAAATTTTTCAACCTGATCTACAAGGCTGCTTCATACATGCTCATGCTGGCTTTCAGGTCATTGCCTCCTCCTCCTCCTTTTTTCCGTTCGAGAATCTCGTCCATTTGGTGATAGGTCGCAGCGATCGCCAAATGATTATGTTCACCCCCCGATTGTGGTTGCAAAAGAATATCCAAAATCTCTTCGCAAACGTCCAAGGCTTCGTCATATTTTCCAATATCCACCAAGAGACTGGCAATGTCCTGATACGTGTGTGCCGTATCCAAGTTATCATGGCCAAAGGTCTTGGAAATTTCATGTTCGTGTTGGTCGTCGTCGTTATTGTCGTCGTCGTTATTGGAATGATGATGCTTTTTCAACGATGGACAGCAGAGACCAGACGAGGATCCAACAAGAACGTCTAAATTCATTATCGTTTTGTTAGAAGCGGAGGATGGTACCACCACGTTCAATGACGAGATCGTTCTCAAACTCCACTCGTCATCTTCTTCTGTCGATGGTAGTAGTTCTTGATTGATCATGGTAGTGGTGTGACGATGGACAATGGTGTTAAAATTTGGATTCATGATGATAATGATGATGTTCACCACTGTAGGACTTCAACAATAATGTAGTTCTGATAGATACACGTATACCGGTACCCGGTAGACAGGAAGAAAATGGATGAAACATGGCCTCACTGAGATTGGCCCGGATGGGTCGTGGTTGTGTTTTGGTATGATTGCGAGGCCCAGACGCGCGTGTCCAGTGAGTGGAGTCTTGCTTGCCAAACAACAGATTTCAGATTGCTGGGGTGTTGCTGTTCACAATGTTCCCTTATGTCCTGCATTATCACTTTAATCTGTTCATTTTTCGGGCATGGTGGTGATATTGTTGGTGTTTTATTGTCTACCCTTGTCGGAGGTACGGTAGATATGTGATGATAGCTCCCTCCAAACCCATAATAATATCCTGTCGAACATCGCCTTGGACCACGACTATCGTATTTATTGACTGGTATTTATCAAATGACGAGAGGTGCTTCCGTCAGGAACGTAATTGATAGCGCATTTGTATGCGCTTTCGGCACGAGTGAAAACCTCGCTGGTACACGGCGGCACACGTGTACTTTGAACTTGGGTCATCCAAAATGACTTGCGGAAAGATCCAGTCCAGTACCGTTTCTACCAGCGTTATGTAGACGAAACGTCACCTGGTAGATTTACCTCCGTGTGATTGGAGTCGGAGAAAAAGGAAATGAAAACCGTTGATTTGAGGTTGACATCGAAATCAACCAACACAAAAAATAAAAGGTCACGACCATAATAAGCAATCCTAAGGAAGACTTAACCGGTTCAACAAACAAGGAAAACAGCAACAACAACAACAACAAATCAACAAAATGGCCAATTACAGCATGATCCAGGAAGTGATATTGGTGGACGCCCGTAGCGATTCCATGACCATTTCGTGGACCAAAGTGGAAGAGGCGGTCTGTTACATTTTGGAATTCCGCACCGTCAATCCTTTGGAGCCGGATTGGCAACGCTTGGCCGAAGACATTCAAGGAACTTCCTCTCGCAAGCGAAACCTGATGCCCGAAAGCCAATACTTCTTTCGCATCAGTCCTGTGTACGAAGATGATACCGTCGGACCTTGGATTACTCATCCAGAATCTTTTGAAACTCTCACTCAGGAACAAGATGAGGATTATGCCATGGCGGCTCCCATTGTTACCATTCCCGCCGAACCTAACGCTCTGATCATTACTTGGGAGGAAGTTGATGAAGATGTCCACGGCTTTGAAATGCAAATGCGGGAAAACAAGGGTGGTGCCAAGTGGTTTGGCTTTCAGGTGTCAAGTGTGTCGTCTGAAGTCAAGAAGAAGAATTTGACGTCGCCTTGGGGATACCAATTCCGAGTTAGACCCGTGACGGACTTTGATGAACCCTTTTCACCACCTTCCAATCCAGTGCAACCACGAAGAGGCGAAAAGTACAACCGCAATCGTGCGCAACCAGCAGCCGCACCACGTTCGGCTCGACAAGCTTCGCAACAATACGAAGAACAGGGGTATGCTGAGGAAGAGTATTATGATCCAGATGCTACTCCTCAACGTCAATATGGTGATTTCAAAGAATATTGCATGCCAGCACCCTGGTTCAAGACTGCTGGAGAAGGTGCTGTCCTCATTTGCTGGCAGCGACAACAAGGTGCCACTGGCTACGAACTGCAAATGAAGGAGATTGTGCCTGGCTATTCTCAAGAAGAAGGTTGGGAAACCATCGCCGCTCGCCTCTCGGGTACAGAAGTCAAAAAGAAGAACTTGTGGTCGGCCAATGGCTATCAATTTCGGGTGCGACCCGTCGATGGCCCCATGTCCGGCCGTGGCTTTTCCAATCACTCCAATCCCGTCGTCTTGCCGCAAACTTCCAAAATGAGACAGGCCCGCACAACCGCTGGCGCCAAATTGAGCCACGATGTCATCCACGCCATGCCTGCCCCCTGGTTCAAGGGTGCCAATGAGAAGAATGCCATTATGGTGGTCTGGCAACCTCAAGCCAGAGTGACTGCCTATACTCTACAAATGAAGGAATGCGCTCAAGGAGAACAATGGCAAACAATTGCAGAGCGTCTGACCAACACTGAGGTGAAGAAAAAGAATTTGTATTCTCAAAATGGATATCAATTCCGTGTCAAGCCACTGGATGGACCAAACAAACACAAGGAGTTTTCCAAACCATCTTCGATTGCCTTTGCCCATTAAAAAAAGTACATTCAAATGGAATAGGGCCAATGATTGTGATTGATGTTCTATATTTTTTTAAATTGAAAATTAGAGTAAAGAGTTATAATACATCTTATTATTTCAAGTGTCGTTGGTTGAATGAAGAAGATTACCTTCAAAGACCAGCTGTCGAAAATGATAATGACGATGACATTGCAGTATATTACGTATTCCGGATTGACAATATGTCGACCACTACGATTCCAAACCCCCCAGCTAGTGAAGTAAGAGTCAAGAGGACAATGAATCAATCAAATTGAGGTTGTGGTCCACAATAAATCATGACAACAATATGAGTTCTCTGTCATCAATGAACACTTGCATTCGCGGTTCCATGAAATGCCCAAACAAATCCAATGGCTGTTGCAATATGCCGCAACCATTGGTGGTGGTACAGTCCCAATAAGATAAGAGTATCTACCTTGGAGATGATTTGGCAACATGCGGCCGAGTCCAGGCTAGAAGATGGATCATCACATTATGAGATTGATTGCACCGCTGTTGGCTTGTTGTGAACAGGAATGATGTTGATTGAAAAGTGCAATGATGTTGATGACTATTACCGATGGTTGGATGGGGTCCAAGAAATGGTCATGATGATGACACTCCGGGAATCCCCCGCCAGGACATTGAAGTCCTTTCAATTTCGTAGCGGAATGGGACTATATTTTTGCACTTGTCGTCGTCGTCACTAATCAACAACAACAAAGAGGACGACGACGAATTGGAAGAGAAGATTTTCCAGATGGCGGACCTCATCAATGCTGGCGCAAAAAAGTCAGAAGACTTTGCGTCGCTCAACTTGAAAGCGGCAAGGAAAGCCAAACATTACAATGACGATTTGAAATTGGCCTCTCAATATTGCAAAAAGGGAACCAGTTTGCTGCCTACCGGTAAGAGGCTGTCGGATACTACATTGGCCTTGGGGAACTGTACACACTTGGTTCGCAGATTGAAATGATGTTGGGAAATCCCGAGCAAGTGGGAATAACTGATGCCAAGGCATTCCTCAATGTGAGCAATTATGAATGGATACTGATGGAAGCCATGCCCGTGAGAATTGTCAGAATCATAGCCAAACTGACTGTGGAATTGAACTATGAGGAATGTATTGCCGATAGCCTACTGCTTTTAAAGCAGATGGGATATCGATTTTGCTTTCTCAGGCCCGTTGGACTCTTGTCAAGACCATTCAGGCCGTGAAGAAAAAGAACCGGTCCTTCTTTGAGAGTGATATGTCACCGATAACAGACGAACGGCACAAGGCTATAGCTATCCTTCTTTGTCTAATCCACAATACAGCATGCTGCATGGTTGTCATTGCCGTTTGCCAGAGCGTCCAGCTTACTCTTACACATGGCGTACACGCCTTTTCTGGGTCTTCTCTCGTGGCGCTTGTGCACCTGGATGATAATGATACAACATGCACCGAGTTTTATGATACTGGGCTCGTCTTGAAAGGAAATGCCGACAGTTCAACAGACATTACCTACCGTACGGCTTGGACTGGAGGAGACCAACGACTGGGCCAGAAAAACACTAGACCAAGGTCCTCCAGGAGATAGTTGTGTACTGCGTCTTGAAAGGAAATGCCGACAGTTCAACAGACATTACCTACTGTACGGCTTGGACTGGAGGAGACCAACGACTGGGCCAGAAAAACACAAGACCAAGATCCTCCAGGAGATAGTTGTGTACTGTAGCATTTTGACACAAAGTGTATGAAATATTAAAATACATTATGTTTGTACAAGACATTCAGAGTAACAATATTTTCTTCCCAGTCGCGCGTGATGAGTAAAATATGTTCTTCCTATACATCATAGAAGCGCGACTGCTGATACTATGCTCTTAATCGAGAGCACATAATATTCTGATTTACATTGATTTGTAACTTTCATCGTTGTCGTTATCATCATCATGAAGAAATATCTAAAAGCTCCGCCTCCAGCATGTGCTTGCCGCCACAAGCTAGGTGCAAAGAAGCATCGTCCAGGGTCGTTGGCAATCACAAAAGATGCAGCGATTGCTCGCCCTCAGTCGCGCCGTCCCCATACTAAAGAAACCAGAGTCAATCCAGCACCCACTGGCGTCACAGCAACAAACCGTGGCAGTATTATCCCCAACCGCGCAAACCGGCACTTTCTGCAGAACTTTCTTTCTCGCCACTATACGGAAGAGTATAGTCGACAAGTCGCCAAAGCCAAGCAACGGAAATTGGAACGCCGGGCTCGAGCACAACAAAAGAAGTCTAGAAATAAGTTCTCAAGTAAGTAAATAATAGCTTCATCCTAAACAACAACAGATTGTAGTAGAATGCCATTCTTGTCAAGATTGTCTCATTTCGAGCCATAGGAGTGGGACGTGGGACAGGGAGTTTCATCGTCTTTTTGTGGATATTCGCCCTTCATCGCCCATCATCTACGTATTGGTGCCTCCTATTCTTCGTTGTGGCATTCCCATTCATCATGCTTTGTAGATATCACATATCACTCATATCGTATCAGTATTGTGGGCCATCGTATTGTCGTCTTCTTGCGCTTCTTGTTTTTGTTCCCCCAAATTAAGGAACCGAAGTCCACCCCAAAGTCAATGTCACGACCCAAAAACAAAAAAAAGCAGACACAATAGTCCTGCCTACACCTGAACTTATTACACAAATATAAAACACACAATGAGCAGTAATAACAGCAACAAAGTAGAACCCAAAGTGATTGGAAAAGAGACGGTTGCCAGCACGCGTTGGATCAAGTTGGAAGCTTTGACGTACACCGATGAAACCGGACAAGCACGGCCATGGAATTCAGTGTCGCGGACCACCACCCAACCCAATGTGGCCGATGCCGTGGTCATTATTCCTTTGTTGAAAAGCGGCGAAAAAATGGAAACCATCTTGGTGGAACAGTTCCGTCCACCCGTCGGTAAAAATACCATGGAATTTCCAGCCGGTTTGATTGACAAATCGGAAACACCCGAACAAGCCGCACTGAGAGAGTTGAAGGAAGAGACTGGGTTCATTGGAAGTTCGACTTCCACTGTACCGACCCAAGTGAGCCGGGCGGTTTGCATGTCTCCTGGATTGACGGACGAATCTGTACATACAGTGGTAGTGACTGTTGGTAAGGCTATATATACACACTGGTGGTTTTTGAGATCAGATGGAGTACACGTATTGCACAGTTCAAAGAGCCCCATTCTCACTGTTATTATTCTCTACTTTGCTACTTCTCTCTTTCTCTCTCTCTCTCTCTAGATTTGGAAGACCCACAAAACCAAAATCCAAAAGCACAACTGGATGATGGAGAGTTTATTACTATTCACAGAGTACCACTGGATGAGGGACTACAGACTGTTCTGGATCAAGGATCATCCATGCCGATTATGGGATTGTATTTGTTCAGCGTGGGACTCAAACTAGGGAAAGAAATGGCGGGTAGGTAACTCGAAGTGAACTCAAATTTACATGACACAAACTTTAGATAATATATCAAGTTGAAGGTGTATGGGCCGAACCATTCCTCGACTGCTTCAACACATGATTGCCATATTGTACTGGAGAAGATGATGGCAGAGATTGCGCACACCTTTCTAAATGAAACGACTCTGCAATCGTGATTGGAATCTATTTTATGATTACTGTTTTATTTAGGCTGTGCCTTCTTACATGACCAGGTAGTGGATCATCATCATCCATACAACTATTTTATTATTACAATTGTGCCAGTTGATCCAAAAATGTCTTGCTTGGAATTCAACTTGATCCTTTCTTCTTTTGGTCAGATGGCATTGTCTCTTATTGCCTTGTTAAGTGTTCATTTGCCAAGCTCAATTTGACGCAACTTCTGGACCAGCTCTTGCTTCATTGTGAATCTGGTGTCGGCGGCGCACTTGCGTCCAACATAGTAGATTCAAAAGCCAGATTGGTGGCTTGTAGTTGTTGTGGTTGTTGGGGTGTGGACGACATTGCCATTGCCATTCTCTTTTCTAAAATTTGAACAATCTGTAGCGTTCTGTTCGCTTCCGCACGCAGCACATCGATGCTGCCAGTATTCTCCTGGCACTGAAGTCTCCATGCAGCAATGGGATTGTTGTCTTCGATGAGCTTGGTTTGAATTGCAAGAGCCTTTATGACCGTTTGCCATGCGGCCATTGTATTGGATTGGCTTTCGTAGGCCAATCCGATATTTCGATATGTGAGAGCCACGGCAGGAGAACACTGACCCAAGACTTGGACTTGATGTGTGAGCACACGCTCGTAGATCTCCATAGCCTTTCCAAATCTCTTTTGATGGACTAGAATCTTGGCCATGGTGGTGTATACAGCAGCGATTCCATGTGTGTCATTGCTGCCAGCATTTTGTTGTACAATCAATACCTGATTTAGCATGTTGAGTGCTTGGGAATGACTACCCAAGTCAAAGTGACAGATCGCGACATTGTGTAAGGCGAGAGCTGTTTTGGGATGCGTCTCTCCCAGTATCTTGGCCCGAATCCCTAGTTGACATATGGACTTTTCCAGTGCCTTGTCATATTGCTTTGTCATCCGGTAGAGTTTTGTGATGCAAGCGTATACGAAATCGGCATCGGGGTGAACACTTCCATGGGCTGATGCCTCATTGTACGAGTTCAGTGCGCATTCGTAGTGCTGAATGGCTTCTTCATATTTGCCTTGCCTGTCCAAGACATAGCCGAGCATTTTATATGCGGATGCTGTCTCGACATCACAGTCGCCAAATACATTCAAACGGCACTGAAGCAAGATCCTCAACAAAGACTCGGCTTGTTCATATTGACCTTGAGCAATCAGTTGGGATGCGAGATTTTCACTGGTGCCTTGTCTGCTTTCCTTAGACATGGTGAATGATGATGATGATGATGATACTGATAACTGGATTGGTGAATATGAATAGCACCAACTGCAGAAACTATGAGATTGGTTTTGACGGAAACCTGGGTGGTCGTTGGGAAACGGTTTCTTCCGTGACCGTTTCCACACGCTCGTTCGTGTTTCTCTCGAGAGAAAGCAGTCAGTACAGTCCATGCTGTACAAAACACCGAAACATATCAGCGAAATGGTTTTTCGTGGTTTGTTTTGCTGATGGGGGGCCCATCGTGGTTCCGCACGTACTGGATGTGTTTGCAACGTCCCATGTTTGCGGTGTGGTTCTCGATCGGTTTGCATGTTCATCGTATCGGATCGATTCCTTCGACACAAAAATGTCAGTTCTGAAGTCAAACCAACCAATGCACCGGTACACGTGTACGAGAGTCCAAAGAGTGTCAACTATGATTCATTCATGCAACGTTAATTTGTATATGTAATGTGGATTATTTGATTCCTATGCACATTATTCATACCTAATTCGTAACCAATAATTTACAGTCCATTTGTTCAATCATAAAATAGCCAGACATCTGATCTCCCTTACGCGACCACAACATCAAAGATGCCCTCTGCCAAAATCTCGTTCAGCTTCTCGTAGTCAGCAGCGAGTTGATCCTTGTCACTGTGCACAAGAGTTACTTCTCCTGGAACAGAAGGCATGTCTACCGTCTTCAAGAGACGATCGCCTTCCTGAACTCCAAGCACGAGGCTGTGGTACGACAGCAGTCGTATGATCCTTCCGAATTGAGAACCGTTCACACCCTTAAAGACTCCCTCAATGTGAGAGCGCATCTTGACTTGGTGACAGTAGCTGTTGGAAGTGATTGGTCGAGATGGAATGCTATCAAAGATCTTTCCTCCATTGAGGTAGACATCTATCAGTATGGACAACTGGTCGTAGCCCATGCAGATTTCAGCTGGTTGCACCCAAGCACCGTTTCCACCGTGCAAGCGACAATTGAGCTCGACCAAAACAGGTCCTCGAGCAGTGTACATGACTTCGGCGTGAATGGCTCCACTCTCAAACCCGACAGCCTTGAGAACCTTTTCGGTATATTCGAGGATTTCTTCGCAGTTGGGATCAGAAATGACTTGGAGCTCCTTGCTGAAGCACACAAAGGCGGCACCATTGTAGGGACGCTTGTCGTACTTCCACATGGCGGTGGTCTTGATCTTGCCATTGCTAACAACCGAGTTGACAATGTATTCGGTTCCCTTCAAGTATTCTTGGAGAAGGACGCCAGCTTGTTCGTAGTGGCGGTACTTGTTTCGGCAATGAGCCTTGTGTTCCCCTGCAAGAATCTTGTAGTAGGCTTGCCAAACAGCCTTCTTTGACTCGCAAAAGGTGACTCCGACAGATCCAGCACCGGTTTGTGGCTTGACGACAAAGCATGCTCCCTCTTCGTTGTTCTCCTCTAGGAAAGCTTGGACGTCATCTTCATTACGAGCAAGCTTTTCTCGAACGGCATTGAGACCATTGGCACGGATGGTGTTGGCTTGCAAGTGCTTGTCCACCTTGGTGTTGAGAACGGGAATTCCACTTCCGCGAAGGTGAGTGGTACCCAATTTTTGGTTGAGGCCATTGGCAATTTGATCTTCCAAAAGGACGCCAAATTCGCTACCGCACATGACGGCCGCAATAGTCATGTTGGTAGTAGCCTCCAAAATGGCAAGGAGAGTAGTCTCGATTGCTCCATCTTCGTGGGTGATCACGGCCGCAAAGTCATCGCGAGATCGGCCAGAGGTCTTGAAGTGCTTCTCACGAGCCACAAGCTGTGATCTGTCGCTCCAGACAATAACGACACTGTACATGCCAGCTTCAAAGACCTTGTCTTGAAGGAGGACACCGGTAGACATTGGGTCTACAAGGATAACTGCTTGAGGCAAAGGTGAGGAGCTGAGAACTGAAGGAGGAGATTGCATGTCCATATTGATTCCCATTGCCAAAGGAGCGGCTTCTTCCTTGACAAGGATCTCGAGTCTGGGAGCCATGATTGGCAAAAATTTGATCGATTTACTGTTGAAAGAAAACTGGAACGGAGAGGTGATTGCAAGTTTGTGAGAGAGCAGTGTCAAGTTTTCAGTTGGATCTCGATTGTGATCACTGTTGATTGTTGTGTACTAGTTGATACCAGCATTGCCGTAGAATCGCGTTGCCCGGGCTGACGATGCCTTGTTTGTTGTGTTTCGTTGTCAGTCAACCCATAAGTTTTGTTGCAATTTGGATTTCAGCACAGACAGGAGATTCTTAACGGCGTAGGATTTGAACGGTGTCAAAGTACCGTACTGAAATGAAGAACCTCAAGATCTCCGTGTGACAAAGAACTTTGACTTTGACATTATTATGGACAGACACGATCCATCAACTGTTGGGAACAAAAACATAAGAAAGTCTACGGCGACGATGGGCAACCAGACAATACACGCAGTACGACGGAACAAGAGTTGGCATAGGATTTCGTTTAGATGAACGAATGGTTCAGATCAGACCAATAATGTTCCCGCACTTTGATCGGACGCTGACGGAGTCTACCTCCATCGCTTTTTTTTTGGAATCGGCTCACATCAGTTGAGCATTCAACTTTTCCTTGCCGGTGGTGAGAAAGCGAAATGGCACCACCCTTTTTAATTTCACCTTACTCAGCTGATGCAGCAGTTGAAAGCACCATTCCGGTTACCAAACCGGAAAAGGTAGCAAAAGTCAAACTTATCAACAATGTTGTTGAAGGCTTCTTTGATGGGAGCCAAACATCGGAAGAATTGCTCAAGGAAATACATGCACTTGCAGCCACTAAGTATGACTTTTTGGTGACTACAAGACGGGATCTTCACCGAAACCCAGAGCTGATGTACAATGAGAGAGAGACGTCTGCTTATATTCAGAAGGCGCTCGCAACGATGAAGATTGCCTTCACCACAGGATGGGGTGTTAATACAGTTCCAGACAGGATACCTGGAGAGGGAGGATATGGAATCGTGGCGGACATTGGAACACGAAAGGATCCTTGTGTGCTGCTTCGTGCGGACATGGATGCCCTTCCCATTTTCGAAGAGACGTCTAACATTGATGATTTCAAATCAATCAATCCAGGAGTTATGCATGCTTGTGGCCATGATGGGCATACTGCTATGCTTCTCGGTGCAGCATCCATCCTGAAAGGAATGGAGCGAAGTATCAAGGGAACCGTTCGAATAATATTCCAGCCTGCCGAAGAGGGCGGTGCTGGGGCTAAGCGAATGATTGAAGAAGGAGTCTTGCGAGACTTTCCGAAACCAAAACATGCATTTGCCATGCATGTCAACCCAAAGTAAGTTGACATTGTCTGTCTTCGTGAATGGGTAAATGCGGTTCAATCACTTACCTCGTGTCCTCGTGTGCTTTCTACCGTTATTAGGGTCCCAAGTGGTATTGTTGCTTCTCGACCTGGAACCGTGAAAGCGGCAGCAGAGCGATTTGAGATAAAAATCAAAGGCGTAGGTGGACATGCTGGCTATCCCCACTTGACGGTGAACCCTATCATGACTGCAGCATCAATCGTAACGAACTTGCAGACATTAGTTTCAAGAAACGTTAGTCCACTGGTGAGTGGGCGAGTGTGCAGCGTTACCAAGTTCAGCGCTGGTAGGGCTTTCAATGTCATTCCAGAATCTGCAGTTCTTCGTGGGACATTCCGTGCCTTGACTACGGATAGTCTATTGGATCTCAAGAACAATATCGAACATATTGTTAACAGCACAGCCACCATGCATGGCTGTCAGGTGGGAATTACGTATTCTGCAGACTGGTACCCTCCAACCAAAAACGACGAGCAACTGTACGAAGAGTTTTCAAAGGAAATTGGTGCGATGCTGTCAAAGTCCGGCGAAGTATTGGAGTTGGATCCAAGCATGGGAGCCGAAGACTTTGGTTTTTTCGCAGAGGCAATTCCATCAAGTTACTTTATGATCGGATCCGGCAGTGGAATCGAGCCACCAACAGACTTTGGATTGCACCATCCATGTTTTGCCTTGGACGAATCGATATTGCCTCAAGGAGTAGAACTTCATCTGAACTTGGCATTGCGAGCCCTTCACATGCTTGGGGAGACTGACTCGTACTCACACGCATAATCCCATCCCCAATGAAATGAAAGCCTAGACGTAATACCTAAAAATCAGATTTGAATAGAGTACGATTGATTCGTCAACATATTTGTGTTTTGAAATAGACTATGTTTCGTTGCGTCGATCTCACTTACAAAATTGATTATTCCATCGACTTTCGTTCGTCACTTGATTATATTTCCATCGACCTTCGTCCATCAGAATTTTAAAAAGCCATGAGCCGCTCATCGATTCTATCATCATGGTCACCGCAAGACTTTCAAAGAGTGATGCTAATAGTATTTATGTATTATTGATTTTATACACATGATATATGATTCGTTCATCCCTACGATGGCAGTTGAAGAGGTGAAATGTCTTCTGCTAAGCTTTTGACTAGCACAAGTAGTGACTGCAAAAGTTTTTAGTGTCATGTGCAAGTCATATTTTTTTATATTATCAGTATGTATTCTTATTGTTCAAATTTGTATTCACATCATTTGTAGTCCTATTGTACAGTCCATCCCAATCACAGCATAGTCAGAGGTTGACATTCTTTTTTAGGCTTCCACTTCAAAGATGCCCTCTGCCAAAATCTCGTTGAGCTTTTCGTAGTCGACAGCAAGCTGATCCTTGTCACTGTGCACAAGAGTTACTTCTCCTGGAACAGAAGGCATGTCAACCGTCTTCAAGAGACGATCACCTTCGGATACTCCAAACAAGTGGCTGTAGTAGGATGGCAATGCCTCGATTCTTTCAAATTGGGAAGGAATCACAGTCTTCAAGACTCCCTCAATGTGAGAACGCATCTTGACTTGCTGGCAGTAGCTGTTGGCAGTGATTGGTCGGGATGGAATGTTATCAAAGATCTTTCCTCCATTGAGGTAGCAATCCATCAACATGGTCAATTGGTCGTATCCCATGCAAATTTCAGCTGGTCGTACCCAGGCACCGTTTCCACCGTGCAAGCGGCAGTTGAGTTCGACCAAAACAGGTCCTCGAGCAGTGTACATGACTTCGGCGTGAATGGCTCCACTCTCAAACCCGACAGCCTTGAGAACCTTTTCGGTATATTCGAGGATTTCTTCGCAGTTGGGATCAGAAATGACTTGGAGCTCCTTGCTGAAGCACACAAAGGCGGCACCATTGTAGGGACGCTTGTCGTACTTCCACATGGCGGTGGTCTTGATCTTTCCGTTGTTAACCACCGAGTTGACAATGTATTCAGTTCCCTTCAAGTATTCTTGCAGCAGGACGCCAGCTTGTTCGTAGTGGCGGTACTTGTTTCGGCAATGAGCCTTGTGTTCTCCTGCAAGAATCTTGTAATAGGCTTCCCAGACAGCCTTGCGAGAGTCACAAAAGGTGACTCCGACAGATCCAGCACCGGTTTGTGGCTTGACGACAAAGCATGCTCCCTCTTCGTTGTTCTCCTCTAGAAAGGCTTGGACGTCGTCTTCGCATTTGGCAAGCTTTTCTCGAACGGCATTGAGACCATTGGCACGGATGGTGTTGGCTTGCAAGTGCTTGTCCACCTTGGTGTTGAGGACCGGAATTCCGCTTCCGCGAAGGTGAGTGGTACCCAACTTTTGGTTGAGGCCATTGGCAATTTGATCTTCCAAAAGGACGCCAAATTCGCTGCCGCACATGACTGCAGCGATAGTCATGTTGGTAGTAGCGGCCAAAATGGCAAGCAGTGTATCCTCAAGCTCTCCATCTTCATGGGTAATGACGGCCGCAAAGTCTTCACGAGAACGACCAGAGTTCTTGAAATGCTTGTCACGAGCCGCGGGCTGTGATCGGTCGCTCCAGACAATGACAACGTCGTAGATGCCAGCGTCAAAGACCTTGTCTTGAAGAATGACACCGGTAGACATGGGGTCCACCAGGACCACCACTTGTTGCAAAGGCGATGAGGTAAGAACAGAGGAAGCAATTTCCAAATCAATTCCCATGTTGGTCAAAGGAGCAGCAGGTTGTCCTTCAACAACCATGGTTTGGAAGGGTTCAGGTCGAGGAGCCATGATGGTTGGTTTTTTCGATTGACTGACTGTTTCCGAAAAAAAAAGAAGGCTCGAACGGAAACTGTTAAAGTTTTCCTGAGATTGCAAGATTGTGAGATAATGTCAGTGTTTTGATTTGCCTCTGGTCGTTGATCACTGTTGATTGTTGTCTACTGGATGATACCAGCATTGCCGTAGAAAAACGCCATCCGGACTGAAGATGCCTTGTTTGTTGTGTCTGTTTGTCAATGTGCCCTTATCTTTGGGATGGTTTTTGGTGTTCGGCGCAGACAGGAAATTGTGAACCACGTAGGATTTGAACGATTTTCAAAGTACCGAACCGAATCGTCAGTTGAACCGCGGAGAATGACACTAGAGGTTCTCAAAAGGCGTACTGTACCGTAGTATTGAAAAAGTACTGGTACGAATCGCTGCATATTCTTCAACATCGGATTTGAAAAAAAGAGCGACACAGACACGAATCATCACGGTATTGGGAACGATGGACTAGCCAAATCTACTCGATGGAAAGACAGTCACACAATCCAGGTACGATTCGCCAGCAGTTTTTTCTCTAAAAAAAACGCCAGTTGGCATTGATGACGTCCGACTTGTTCTTTGCATTCCCGGAAGTTGAGCACGACACAGACACGCGAGAGTGTCTGATCTTGTCTGTTCGGGAACAGTACCTAACAAACGGACAATCAGACAGCAGGAGACAGTCCTGTGGTTCTTCCCACTTATGGACACAGACAAGATTTAGTGTCTGTTCGGGTACAATTCGTATCAATGGACAAACCGACAACGCACACACGACTTCCGCGCTTAACGGGAAAAATTCTGTGCTTCTGCTCAACCGAAAAAAGAAGAATGACGGAGCGGGAGCTCGTTGCAGAAAATGGCGGTTTTGGAGCTCGCAAGGTACCAAACAACATGCCTCCTCTACACAAAGGTGATGAATTCTAACTTTTGTGTGTGCGAGAGCCGATATTCCAACTGAAAACACAACACAACTCTTTTGAACTTTGGAACATCACAACACAATTTGCAATAAAATATCTGATCAAAGAGAAAGAACAACCGACAACAAAACTACAAGCATACAAGCAAACAAAACAAAACAACAATCATGTCACCATCCCTCGCCAAGCCAGTTGCAGTGTCAGGCCGTGACCCTCGCCACCTCAAGCACAAACGCCGCTACTGCCGGATGCAAGGTTGCGAACGCATTGTCAAATCCCAAGGAGTCTGCCAACGCCATGGCGCCAAACCAAGACTCTGCAAGGTGGAAGGCTGCGGAAAGCAAGCCCAAGGCAATTTCGATCGCATGTGCAAGTCTCATTTCAAGGCCATGAAGCGAATCACTACGCCCATTCCGAAGGTCAATGCAAGTGCACCTCCTCCTGCTCCTGAAGGAAGCAGCGTCTACGATAGTGTCTTGCCCTTTAGCATTTCCTACATTCCCTCCACAGAGACTGTCAATCCATTGGTGGCCCATCTCAAGGCTGGATTCGATGGACTCAAGCCACCCGCATGGCACCGGAACGAGGAACGAAGGGCCCGGGGACTCCTTCCCATTGATAACACTGCCGCCCAACTGGAAGGGTGGGAACGAGAACTAGTCTGGATGGAGATTTTGGTCCTCACGGGTGCTCCCAGAGCCTCCTTTCGGCATTTGGCACGAGCCTGGGGGCGTGACAAGGGATTCCACATGGTCCTGGCACAGTTCATTTGCGAACGTCAAGGAGACGTTCGCCGCAAGCAACGGCAACAGGCAATGAAACCCAAGGCCTCTATCAAGAAGCAGCAACGACCCAAAGGAAAGAGTAAGGTTTCAATGTCTTCCGAGATTTCGGATGATTTCGGTGATGATGACAATGCCTTTGCCGACGATATCTTCAACTTTACCGTGGAAGAATTTGAAGTCATTACCTCCAAATGGAACGATACCTTTACAGAGGTATCCTCAGGTTCCTCCTCCATTGGTGCCCCACCAGAATCATCCTCATCATCATCCAACGCCTTTGTTCAACAACAACCACAACAACAACAGCAGAACCTGAATCATCCCTATTCTACCGAGCAACAGCAGTTGATGGGAGATCAATTACATCTCATTCCTCCCAATCCTACTCCCGATGATTCCAAACGTAGTGCTTCCCAATAGAATAAAACCCTGGAAGAGTTTTATTTTAATTTGTTTTTAAACGACAACCTTTTTTTGAAACACAAACTCATTCAAGCTCATACCGTAGCAAGAGTGCTCATCGCAGTACGGGTATTGTGCACCGGATACCTGGTACCACCGGTACAGTGTACCATAATATGTAAGGTACAGTATTTTAATATTGGTTGACCTTATTTACGGACAGATCGCGAACAGAATGCGAACACTCATGCAACAAGTTGATGGTTTCATCATATATCATATATATCGTGCGGACAATAAAATATGATGACAACAACAACAACAACAACAACAATATAATACTCTGAAACGGCGGATTACTATGAGTTTTGATAGGCCATTGCTTCAAGCGGTGAGGGATGACAAAAACCTGATTCTATATATACGGTAGTAAAAAAACCTACTGGATGCATGATGGAGAAGAAAGAAGATCCGGATCAAGTGGACGATTGATTGATTGATTGATTGATGATTCCAATACACACACACACACACACACACACACACATACACACACACACACACACATACACACATGTAACAAATCCGTCTTGCACATATATTGCCTGCAAAGAGGGTATTTCTGATATCGTTGAGACTCATGCTATATCGAGGTGCTGATCGTAGAAGCAAGGGACATTGCTGGAAAATCGCCGTTGCATGTTGTAATGTTTTTGCAACTGGTGATGAGCGAAGGAGCATGTGGTTGGAATGTTTTTTGCAACTGGGGATGAGCCAAGGAGCTGACGTTGAGGCAAGGGATGAAAAAGGCAATACACCGTTACACTTGGTTTGTAACAGCTTTATTTATTTTGATGAGAATGCTCGTCTACTACTGGACGGAGGTGCCATTGTGGAAGCAAGGAACAATGATGGTCGTACACCTTCTTTGTATTTGGCAGATCGAGGGGGTGCCATTTTGGAAGCAAAAGACAGCGGGGACAATAAACCTTTGCATATTGTGTGTTCCCGAGACAATGTGGATGTTGTTTCTCTGCTATTGGGCGAGGAGGGAGCTGATTTGGAAGCGAAGGAGACCAATTGGGGATGTCGGCCGTTGCATCTAGCAGCTCTCAAGTCTTTTATAACACCGATCATGTTGCCCGTGTACTCCTGGACCGGGGTGCCACAGTAGATTCCACTACTCTTGCGAGAACATAACGCCACTGTCCTTTGCATGCCAAAAGGGCCGTGTGAGGACTGTTTGGCTTCTGGTGAGTGGTGAGGAAATATTCAATATCCGTTGCTTGTCGATGGGCAGATACTAAAATATGATTGATTGATTGATTGATTGATTGATTGATTGATTGATTCATTCATTCTTCCAATCACACGATCGGTACAAGACTCCAAACGTACCGGTAGTAGTGCTTCCCAATAACATTCGATTTCGAGTACCAATAAATCTGAAATAGCATCTTTTGAAAAGAAATGGACTGGCTGATTACTCATAATTACTTCCTAGTTGCATTGTATACTGCTGCTAGTGACGAAGCAAATGTACTACTACCTGCTAAGTGCTATCCAACGTACATTCTTTGATTGATTGATGGATTCCTTTGGCTGAATGAAAATCAGCAGTATACCAGAAGAAGTACTCTGGTACTACTACCTACTACTATAATGTCGAGTAAATATTTTGATCAGTCGAGACGGACAGTAGTGGATAATTTTTGTCGAAAAATCATTATCGGACACACCATTTCTTGCATGGCTGCTCACATATATCTCTTATCGCACAGTAATACCTACAGTACTGTATGTGCTCATAATAACTGAGACATCACTATAATGTTTCAACATCAACAATTTCATAATCCATGTAGACAAAGACAATAGAAGCCATGGGTCTGATTCACGCGGCGAGGGTTGGAAGCTTGAGCCTTGTAAATAAGCTACTGGACGAAGGAGAAGATGCGAATCAACTAGATGAAGATGGCGACCACAAGTCAGCCTTACACATTGCCTGCAACATGGATAATGCGACTAATATGGTTGAATTATTGATCCAATATGGCGCAGATGTGAATGTCAGAGATGATCGTGATGCGACGCCATTGCATGATACATGTTTCCGGTCAAATCTTCAGGTTGCTGAGCTGCTGCTGGACAACGGTGCTGCTATAGACGCAACGGACGAAGATGGATGGACTCCTCTGTTCTACGCCTGCTGCACAAGGGGCCTTGTGCTTGTTCAACTTTTATTGAGCCATGGTGCGAACCTGGAGGCAAGGTGTATCAGAGGGTATACCCCTTTGCATTTGGCAGTTTACTATGAGAAGATTGAAAATGCTGAGCTCTTGCTAGTTCGAGGTGCTGATATCGAAGCAAGGGACGCTCAGAACAGTACACTCCTGCATTTTGCATCCGCCCAAAGCTGTATCGAGTTTGTGGAACTGTTGATAGACCAAGGCGCTGACGTTGAGGCAAGGGATGGCGAGGGCGACACACCTTTGCACTTGGTTGTTTGTAAAAGCGATAATTATGCTCACGAGAAAACTCGTCTACTGCTAGACCGGGGTGCCAATGTGGAAGCAAGGAACAATGATGGTCGTACTCCTTTGCATATGGCAACTCTCGATGCTGCCAGAATTCTTTTGGATCGAGGTGCCAGTTTGGAAGTAAGGGACAACAAGGGCAACACACCTTTGCATATCGCATGTTCCTCCGGCAGTATGATGAATGTTGTTCGTCTGCTATTGGGCGAAGCAGCTGATTTGGAAGCGACGAGTAATATGGGATGCCGGCCATTGCATTTTGCAGCTCTCCACGATAATACCAATGCTGCTCTGTTACTCTTGGATCGAGGGGCCGTGATTGATTCCAAGACTCTTGCGGGAACGACACCGGCGTCCTTGGCATGTCAAAAGGGCCATGTGGAGACGATTTGGCTGCTGCTGAGGCGATGCCCGTGGCTTCTTCTTGTTGATGGACAGGCATAATGTGATGAACCAAAAAAAATAGATGCGACTTTCACTATTTTGTAATTTGACGAACGTGGAACTTTTTCTTCATTCAAGCGGTTGAATGGCGACGTGCTACTAGTGGATGCTGGAGAAGATGCGAGTCTATGCGATTCAGATGATAAGGCTGACCAAGGGGTCAACGGTAACGTGACTGCGACAGGAGTGACTATGATATTATTGAACTACTCCATGAAACCAATTGTCTGCAGGTGTGAATGACATATGTGTTGCGGGGTTTCTAGTAGTGCTGTAGGATGTTTCGTCTAAATAATTTTATAACGTCACGATGGCGGCGCCAACGATTTAGAAAGAAGGGTATATTGGTATGGGTACAAGTGTAGTATCATAGAATACAGAATTTGCGAGGCATTCAATCATGCTTGAAAAGACTCGTTGGTCAAAATCTAAGCAAGCATGCCATCGGCAGCACCACTTGCTTGCTTCTTCTTGCGCCACCACATGACGTATCCGACAACGCCGACAATCAAAAGGACAAACAGCAACCATCCAAAGAACTTGCCAGCTCCTCCTCCACCGACTCGGGCAGCACGTGGAAGGATTTCATCAATAGCCTCACACGACGAGGTATCTTGTCCATAGTAGCTAAAGTATTCCATCTTCGCTTCGCACTTCATGGGTGCGTTTTGGTAAAGCTCGGTACACATGTCACGAAGTCCGTAGGCAGCTTCGTCTTCGTTGTATTCGAGACAGTCCGAGCAGTACTTGGAGACCAAGCCACCGCTGGAATAAGGGAGAGTCCATCCGTTGGAGACATCTCCGAACGAGACAGAGGATTCGGTCTGACAAGTGTCATCAGAGAAGAAGCCAAGTCTGATATCTTCACCGTCCTCAGTACAGGCGGCTCCAATGAAGAATTCATAGTTTTCATAAGGGTTGTCATCACCCTCAACTTCAGGCTCGTATTGCTCACACTTGGCGTACTTGTCCCCATCAAAGTTGTCATCCCATTGCATGTTGTCTTGTTGGTCTTCAAAGTAAGCATCAACAAAGTCTTCAATGGCGACGGCAAAGTCTCCGTATCCTTCCTTGCACCCACCAACAGTGCTCGAGTCGCAACCGCTATCGGAAGGACACAAACGCAAAAAGGCAGCTCCGTACGAGTAGCCGCCCTCGTCGTTCAGCATTTGTTGAGAGGCATCACAGCCAACAAACTTGAGGTTGTACTTGGTCAAGAACGCATATTCATCCTCTTCGTTGTTATTGTTGTTTCCATTGTTGTTGTTGTTGTTGTTGTTGTTCTCTCCGTTGTTGTTTTCGCCATTGTTTTCACCTTCACCGCCTTGGTCCAAACGACGGGCAGCACGGAGAACCTTGGCAGCAGCTTGTGGGCTCAAAGAGCGAGCAGAGGCTGAAGCAGCAAAGAGGGTAAGAAAGGCAAAAGAGAGCTTCATGGTTATGGTAAACAATAAAACAGACTGTTTGTTGATTGTGAGCAATGATCCTTCTCTGTTTGGCTCCAAAAATCTTCTTCCTCCCACGCTCGCTGATTTGAAGTGAGGCATTGGCTTGGCTCGTAGCCGTTGAGCGCAAAAACGCGTATACACTTACGAGCTTTGGTAGGCTTCGAAAATATTGGCGAATTATTTTCTTTATTCAGATATGAATAGAAACATTTCCATACAAAACTTGTTCCCACCCTTCTCAATTTCTACAATTTTTGGTAGACTCCTACGGGAAGTACACAGAACATTTTGAATCAAAGACGGACTACGCGGCAATCTTGCCAAGCGGGATTTTTCATGTGGACACGTGCGACTGGCGATCGCAGGACGGGAATGGGCTGGAGCGCATTTTCACTCGGTCTAATAAGGGGAACAATAAAAGATTTGAAAAGAGTAGCCGCCACTGAACCTCATTTTGGTATCTTACTTCTCGTACAACCTTTTGCAACCCTTTTGTTGCATCATCCCATTGCTCATTATTGACTGCCGTATATCTTGTTACCGTGCGTATGCATGAATACCATGTCAGATTGCATGTCGTCGGCATGGCAACATAAAAATCTTGGGTCCGTTAGTTTGCTGTGTCTCGATCAATGATTGCATCTCGTACGGTTGGTTGGTTGGCTCTAACAACGACAGTGAAATGCAATGGGATAGGACATCATGATATGAAATGAAGAAACAAAAAAACGCAACAATCAATCGCAGTGATGAATGATGAATGAGGAGTAGCTATGATCTTTTTCTCCCTCTCGTTATCATGCCTTGTATGATAGTAGTAGTAGTAGTAGTAGTAGTAGTAGTAGTAGTACCACGAAAGATTTGGATGACTCCTCACTCGGTCTCGATCAATCGATGATTGTGTGCTAGTTCCATGACATTCCATGACAACGACCACCTACAGTAACTTGAAATTGAAAAGAGACACTGGCAACAATCGACTGCAGTATCAATGAATGATCACGAACCACTGGTGCTACAGCTATGATCTGCTTCCTCCCACTTCTCGTTCGCATCATGTCATGATGTATCAAAAAATAATGACAATGACAAGGATGTCATCTTCCCCAGTATTTCACTATATGGCATGCATGCATGCATGCGCCATTGATCAATGTCACTGTTACCAGGCAAATGATCTGTGCTGCTGGATTGGATCACCTGGCTGCCTGTCAGTGAATGTAAGTGATGTTCATAAACGTAGGTAGGCCTAAAACATAGGTCACAATATTCTTGTAATGCAAAACTAAGTGTTTATCATCCCATGTGTTACCATGAATGAATGGAATTTTCTTTGTGTGTAACCACCGACTCTCCAAGAATGTTCGATGGCTCTTTGGTCTTGCTGCTTCCAGCAAGACTATTTGATTGTAGGTATGTAGAAGTAGTATGATGTTTGTTCGCTCATCTTCCCACACGTCGTTAACCGTAGAAATAAATGAGAGACAGCTATACTTCTTTATGCCATAGTTCCACCAGAGGGTGAAGTTGCTTTCTCGCCTTCATCATCGTGTGCATGGTAGTTGTCATAGGCATCACCATCTTCATCATCGTCGTCATCATCCTTATCATCCCCAAGATCTTCCGTATTGATGCGTTCCAGACTTTGCACCTCTGGAAATAAAGAACAATAATTGAGTGGAATTGAAAGAGATGGAACGAATAGGTGAGAATTGCATCACAATATTACATCACAATATTACATCACAACATCACATGACATCACAATATTACATGACATTCAACTTACTCTCATCCCACCACTGGCGGTAATAGAGGTATCCAGCAATGGCTATTCCCATCAATACAAAGACAAAGAAGAGTTCTCCAATGACATTGGCCTTTGGCCTAGAGTAGTTGAATCGATCGATGGTTTTGCAACCAGTGGTATCTCTTCCGTACTTGTTGACTTCCGTAATCGCATTCCAGTAAAAGTGATTGATATCCCAGTCGGTTTCGCAACGGTAAGCAGAATAATCATACAAGTTGGTGCACATTTCCGAGGGACCACCTTGATCTTGGTCGTAACACGAAATGCATTTGGAGGGAACCATACCGCCAGTGGAATACGGCAAAGACCATCCGTTGCTGATGGAAGAAAAGGAAGTGGAGGATTCCTCCTGACAAGTGTACTCGTCAAAGACCGCCAGTCGAATATTCTTTTTGTCGCTGGTACAAGTGGGTCCCACATAGTATTGACCCCCATTTTCTTGATCGTACTGAGTACATTCCGCATAGTTGGCCCAATCCCCGTATTGATCATCCCAATTCATGTTGCCTTCTTGATCGTTCATCATGGCTGTGACGTAGGTACCAATGTCCACGGCAAAGTCAGCGTGTCCGGACTTGCAAGCTTGCTTGGAATCCGCATTGCAGGAATTGCCAGGGCACATTCGAAAGACCACGGCTCCGTAGATGGGGTAATCTTCATTGGGGTACAACGTGATTTCAGAATGACACTCGTGCAGAACAACGGAATAGTTGTCCAAAAATGCATGAACATTTTCATTGTCATCGCCTCCTCCATTGTTGTTGTTGTTATTATTGTTGTTGTTGTTATTATTATTATTGTTGTTTCCATTGTCATTGCCGCCATCATCCAACCTTCTGGCTTTGCTGAGCAGCATTTTTAGGTTGTCCCTTGAAGGTTGTGCAGCATTTGCCATGCTAGAAGCAGCCAGGAGACCTGTGGTCAAGGTAATTGCAGCCTTCATTTTGATGATCAGTGATGGATGGATGAATGAATGAATTAGAGACAGGGGCCTTCTTTTCTATCGCCTTTCTTCTTCAGCACCTCGACTTTGGTTTCAGGCAAAAAAATCTCATCCGTTTTTCTCAGATCTCCACCTGCGAGGCCTGGAGGTCCGAAAATGCTGGGGCGGGCTCGACAGACTCGCAAGGTCATCGCCATCCAATGCTTCTAACGGGTCTTTGTGTACGTAAGACTGGTACTGAAGGATCAATCTGCGATTGCCAGATAACTGGCAAGGAAGACATACATACAAAACTACCGATGAACGGCTTGCGCGCGGAGGAAGAATGGTGCGAACGCGAGAACTTGGGTGCCACTTTCAGTCCCATTCGGGGGATTCCACCTGACGGCGAAACCTCTAAAAGTACAAAAAGTTTGGTGGAGGATGACTGCGACTCCCTGTTGTGGATGAGGAGAAGCACGAGAGCGCATTCAGTATATTGAATGAATCATACACACACAAATGAATGTGTGGAGTACAGTATTACAATAGAGGCATTACAAAGGCTATTTCAATTCTTGTGTATAGGACTTATAGTACGATGCAGAATATGTGTATGTATGTTTGTTTGTCTAGTATTATTGCAAGATTATAAAATAGTAGCAGTATTTATTTTATTAATACATTCTCAAAATTAATACACTTGAAACATCATGTTACCCTTTGTCCCTCGTTCCAAACGAGGCTGAAATATAGACATGCCCATGCGTGCTGACTTGCTTGGGTGGCTTTTTCCGATCATGCATCTAGGCACCATCTTGTTGGGAAATCATCATGGCGTGAATGAATCGTGCACCCCCCACGAGACTGTCCCTGCGAATGGGGAATCGAAAGTTTGGGTTCGTGCTGCCCGAAAAGTACATTTCCATCAATCGACGCGCATTGTCCTCTTGGAGTGCCCGAATCTGTTCGGAACTCAGCAAGGCGGGCGAAGGAAGGCCAGCTGTGGCGGGAATGGGAGGGACAAAGGCAATGGTAGATCTTGGAGAGACATTTTCAGAGTCTTGCTTCGTTGGTGGTTGCTGCTGTTGCGGCAGTGCAGGATGGGATGGTGGAATACTGCTGCTGCTGCTGCTGCTAGTTTCCGCCATGGATGGATTGTACACCTTGTTGGCTTCCAGTTCATCCAAAGCAGCCAATTCTTGAGCTCGTTTCTGAGCTTGTTCCGATTGAGACAGAACCATGGTACGAAATCGATCAGCATCCTTGATATGCGTCAGATTCTGTCGGGCTTGTTCGAGCATGACGGTCGATTTGTGGAGTTTCCGACAGCCTTGCAATTCCCGATGACCCTGGGGCGTCCAAAATGGCTCGAGTCCTCGCACACATTGACTGTCTGCGAGTTGAGCAGTATCGCAACTCGAGGCCCGAAAGCGCTTGATGGTCTCGAAACGATCTTGATGGAACTCGGTGTACTCTTCGCGTGTGTACCAAATCTCGTGGCGACGATGATACAGGTCGGCTTCGCAGCAGTTGGCGGCAAGAGCATCTGGCTCTTCTAACGAGAATCGAAGTTGTTTCTTCCCTTTGTTATTGCTTTTGCCTCGGCATTTCTTGGCTACAGGTGCCTTGTTGCGCTTTTGCTTGGAGGAGCATGTGGAGGGTTTCTGAATTGCCATGATGCTGGTGGTATTGTGTGGTGCTCTTCGCTATGGTGAAAGTCAGAACGTGAACCCGTGAAAACTTGAAGTACTTTGTTCCTTGTTGGTAACAGTTAGTTTTGTGTGTGTCCGTACCGTAGAAGAAAATTCCACGGAAAAAAAGTGATCATGGGTGTTTTGTTCTCAGCAGGTCATATGGGTCACTCAATGCCTCGCGTAGAATGTTACGTAAATTCCTACGATGGACGTCATATGACCTATTATTCCATTCGCAGAAAACACAGATCTCCCAAAATGTCTTTCTTTACCTTAAGTGGGTTTGCCTTTTCCCTGTGTGAGCATGTCTTTCCGAACGGCAAAAAACCAGGGTCATAGAACGATTGCGTCGTAGCGTGTAGACTAGCCGGTGTTCCGCGTGATTGAAACTAACAGAATCCATATGATCAATAAATGACAGAGGATTCAAAAACTGAATAATGACGCCCTTCCCGATTAAGGTTTCACTATTTTATCCATCCCCCAATTGAAAAAACGTCGCTCACGAATCATTGACAATAGTACCATTGTAGGGAAGCAGTAGGAGTTTTCCAACAGTACCGGAATGGCTCATCTTTCATCAACTCACCGGAAAAGAAAACCCGGAATGAACAATGCACAATGCTCATCTCCAGTCTCCCAATTCAAACTTCTTGCATTTGCTGCATACAGTGCCCAGGAGATATTAATATTATTATCTATAATAGAACCAGAAACTTCCCCGCCAATTCTTCCTCTGGAACATTTTCTTTCAGATGGCGGCATATTCTCATTCCTAATTTTCATAATGCGTTATAGTGGAACAGTTTCAGCGCTCGTCAGTTTTAAATAGGGATTCAATGATGCACATTCCGGTGGTTGCCGAAAGGAACGTCGTCAGTGAGAGAAACGCCTGGCGGTGGAGTCTCTTTCTTTGGCTATATCGGAAATGGAAACGAGACATTACAGTATTATTATGACGGATCTGCAGTACCTTGTACAGTACAGTATGGAGAATACTGTGCTAATGATCGAGATAAGGCAGGAGGGGGTGCTCTGATGGGAGTTTTCAAGATGTTGGGGGCTTCGAGGGTCTAGCCAGACAAGTTTCACATTTGTATGGAATGCTGGTGCTAAAGATATGGGGTAGTACGTGTACATACGAAACCAGGCAAACAGCATCCATGAAATCCTGGAATTTGGTTTCTGGTATCCAGATGTGAATGTACATTTCTTTCCCAGAAAAAAAATGTTTAGAAGTACACGTCTTTTCTTCATGGAAAGCAATTTGACAACCAACCATGCGAGATGCGACTTGCTAACTACTTTGATGGTAACGATGAATGGTCCATGCTGATGATAGTATTCACATCCTTTTGCAGCCGGGTGAAGAACGGGAACTATTGCCGATGACAGCAAGTCTGAAATGTCAATTCGAACCTATCACTAGACTTGGACAGTGGCCATGCAAAACAATGACAGTGGTCGCAGATTTGATGCAACGTATCTAGTAGTTACTATTGTTCAATTGCGTATCATGATCGTTGTTTGAAACAACAACTCGGTACTGTCTGCTTGGATCAAGCATGGATCGGGAAGATTATTAGGCATCCTTTGCGATGACACATGTCCCATCGTCGTGCTTTCATGTTTGTCGTATAAATGGTACAGGCAAATACTTGCTATGGTTACACTATTACCGTTTCATTCAATCATGGATGGTTTTCTTCTCTTCCTAAATTGTGAGTGGTTGTATGGTTGGTTCATACACTCTATATTATTCCTCTCTTCGAAACTGCCATAAGACTCGGCCATACTTGAATCCTTTCGAAGCTGGTGCATCCGGGTTAGGATGAAAGACCGAGTCGCAGATTAAGATGTTTGGATCTTCTTTGGAAAGATACCGAGCTGTTTCAAACGCTCCCCCCAACACCCGTGGCTTGTTGCGTAACCATGATTTGTGGACTTTTCCATCATCTTCCCACCAGGCTTCCACCTCGACTCTATCACCATCCGGATCTTGCATAGTGACATTCCTTGGATCTTGAGCGGAGGATGCCACCAAGGTCCGATTCCAATTTCCGGCGGGATTCGACGCCACAATTTGCAAATTCGCTCCATTCTCCAATTGACTAATGGTTTCTTTTTGCAAGGAAATTCCATTGACAACGACCTTTCGAAACATGAACGATTGACTGCAATTTTGGAGATATTGATCGTATTGCGCTTTGAAATGAGGAGTAACAATGGGACGCCAGATGCCGGACAAGTCAACGTGACTTGCTGCAGTGACACTTCGACCATCCGATTCTTCTTCCTCATCATCTTCCTCAACATCTTCCTCAATATCTTCCATAATATTTTCGTCACCAAGACCTTTCTCTCCCTCCGGGGCAGCGTCGGAGGATGATTCCAACTCTTCTATCGACCTCATGCGTGCCATGAAGGCTGGCAGCCGTATTCGCAGTCTCGGTGCGACGTCCCTCATGCGTTGCAACAATCGTTTCAACTTGGAGCTGGCATAGCGTTCGCCGTCTTCTTCTGTAGTTTGCACAGCATTGTCGTCGTTGTTGTCGTCGTCGCCATGTTGCGTGGATACCGCCGTGTTTACCGAACCATCTGCTTCTTGTTCGGTTGACGAATACAGTATCGTGATTCGTCTGGCATCAAAGACCCCACTGCTACTCTTGGTTCCGTGTCGGCACAATAGGGATGGCTTTGTTCCATGACTTGTATGGTGCCCCGAAAAAGTACAAGTGTAGGCGGATACTACCGAATTGCTGAACAGTTGTAGGAGTAGTAACAAAACCAATGAATGATGGTAATGATGATTCCAAGCTGGTATCCTTCTTCGGGATTGAACGCAGGAGCTCTTCATTGCAGGGTTCATTCTGAATAGGCTGAATAAAAGAGCAATGGTTGTTCTTATAGACAAACTATATTGAATGGTCTGGACTATCAATCACCAAACACGAGTGATTCAATATTATAGACAGATCCAAGGTGTCAACGCTGAGTGAAGCACAAGAACTGTTGCGCCGGGAATGTCAGCAATCTAAGTAGGAACGATTGAGTCAGTCAGCCAGTCACTTGAAAAAGATCCAGAATCCAGAACACACAAACAACAAGATACCTGATACGTGTCGGTATATCAGGGAATATGATGGTGGAGAGGATGTCAATCCGTTGCAGTCACATGGGTCGATTTGGACAGACCACAGGACCTGGTACCTGGTACTGTGCAGTATGTGTAGGACGTACGTACCAAGATCTGACCAAAGAATAATCGAAATATAGATCAGACATTTTGCGTACCAGTAGTACCGGTAGGTGAGGTAAAAGTCGAATGGATCGACTTTCGGCTCGGTGGCTGACTTGGCGGCACTAACTTTGGCAAACTTACGTAGCCCACCCTTCTACATTTTACTTAGGGGGTGGACCGCTCGTTAAAACAGCTATGTCCAACTGTCATAACAAAATATAAATATTCATCTCAAAGGCATTTGATGGAATTTCTTCTCTAGGATCGTCATAATTGGACAAGGCCATTTTGGCGGGACGGGCTCGGTTGGCCTTCGTCAAACGTAGAATCCTACATCATCTCCTGCCATCCTCGGGCCGGTAGAAACTGCACAGAGTCATTTTACGACAAGTCACATGCACCTTCCAGCCAAGCCTTTTTGAGAGGAAAAAAAAAGAGAGGAGAAACAGCAGCAACTAGGCTGAGCGGTAAATCTGCGTGGAGGATCATCGAAGATTGTCTTCTTGTGACTCTTGTGTCTATTACAACAACTGCAAAAGCACACTACCACAAGATTATCGCTATTCAGTTGATCCTTCATTCCTTTGAGGACGCTGTATAATAGGCAGAATAGAACAGAAAAAGACAGAGCTCGACCTGAAAATATTTTCTGAAACTATTTTTGGTACAGACGCGCTTCGGTCTTTTTGTTGGTCTCAAGGAAGGAAAGGTCTTTTTGGTTCCGAGACTTGGCTCTTGGCACGTCTAGTCTAGACGTCTTAATCGTAAAGAGGACGAGCGGTTCGTTGGAAACTTTAATTGCTACGTTGCAACTCAAAGCATCAGAGGTATAACAAACCTCATCAGCAGCCGCAGTTGAATAGCAACAAGCAAGCGAGCGCGTACGTTCAACGCAAACAAAGCAAAACAAGGCGTATCAATTGATTCCTAGCCAACGCACGGTTATTAACGTACTTAGCAGCAATGGCCGAATCATCTTCGCAAGCAAACATGGAAAACCCTCCAGCCAACAGCCAGAATGCTTCTCAGGCTGCTTCCAATAGCACACCGCTTCCGAAATGCTTTTGCAATTGGAAACACTGCCGGACATATCAAAAGGCTTTTCGGGAGTACAAGCACCCTTTCTTCAATGGTGTAATCAAGCTCAAGTTTACACAGAACGATTCCCGCAGTATGGGTCTCAAATCCACTGTGGATCGAGTGCTTCATGTAGATTCGGCTAGACGCAACGATTGGAAGGATGGAGAGAATGGAGAACCATTTTGTCGCTACTATGTAGCTAGGCATCATTTCACCGAAGCCTTGATTAATGAATATTTTCAAGATCGGCGAGGTTGGGACTGGAATAAGCCTCTCTCCATGAGGGAGGCCAAGAAACTCCTCTGGTCTCTTGATAGAGATGATGTCTATCTTTCGGATGATGAGGAGTCGAATGAGGAGGACGATCGATATGTCCAAGCACCGAATGTGCCCAAAGATAAGGTCCGCGAAATGCTCAAGGAATTCAAGGACCAACACAAGAAGGCCTTGGCAGCGGAATCTACTCCAAATGAGCAAGAGACTGTGGATACGGCTCGATCTACTTTGAGCAACTCAGTGGCAGACACTTTGAAGGTGTTTGAAGACTCGGTTGGCCAAGAGGATCCCGATACCAAGGATGTGATCTTGGCTGAAAAGGAGGAAGAGAATCGTCGATTAAGAGATGAGATCCAGGAATGCCAACAGCAACTCAACTCGCTGAGGGATATGGTCAAGAAGTTGGTGGACATGGACCGAAGTCGGTCCTCGGAACCCACCAAAAAGAAAAAATCCAAATCAAAGTCCAAATCAAGGCGTCGGCAAGAGTCGTCTTCCGAAGATGAAGACGAAGATTCATCTTCGGAAGAAGAATGGTCTCAAGAGCGAGAACGAAATCAACAATCTGATGATGATGATGAAACCATTTCGACCTTGCACGTGAACGGTGAAGTGGGAGGGCAACAAGCACGTGTACCAGTTACCAAGCCACGAAGGCCCGCGCAACCGGTTCGAAAAACTTCCATTCACTCTCGAAGAAGCGTCCGAAGAACTTCGGTTCACTCAAGACGCGAATCCATCCATTCGCGAAAGTCCCTCCGAAGGGAATCCTACCACTCCCGTCGCAGTATGCGCGGAGGCGCTAGCGATGATGCGTCTGTGGTCAGCCGACAGTCCCTGGCGTCGGTCAGTCCAAGTATCAAGTCTCTCCCACGTGAGATTGAACTCAACGATGAAGAAGAGGAAGATTCTTTCTTCGATGACTCCTACCGCAAGCCCGACGATGATGCTCGATCGGTTGGATCTCGATCCGCTGCCTCCAAGGCATCTCGACGCTCTTTTGTCTCTGGACAGCGGTCGCGAGGTCGCAACTCTCGAAGACCGACAACCGCATCGACTGGCAGCAGCCGGAAGAAAGGAGCCCCAGGACCTCCAAATGCCAATGCCAGCACAAGCGATTCCCGATCCAAGGGTAGCGATGGTGGTTCAGGCAATGGCCGTAACGTTCCTCGTGAAATTGACTTGTCTGGAGATGAATTGGAGGATGTTACTTACTCCAATGTCTCCAACGATACCTCCTTTGTCAAAGACAGGCAAATCGTGGATCCATATGGAGAAAAGGGTGTTTACACGGGCGAGCTATCCAAGAGTACATGCATGCCCAATGGTCGTGGTCGATTGGAGTACGAAAAGGAAGGAAGATGGTACGAGGGAGACTGGATTCACGGTCGATGGACTGGAACAGGTTGCCTCAGCAATGGAGATGGCGACTTTTACGAGGGTGGCCTCAAAAATGATCACAAGCATGGTGAAGGTATCATGAAGTTTGCGGATGGACGAATCTTTGAAGGTGAATACATTCGCGGACAAATGATTCAGGGACAAATGACCTATCAAGATGGTTCTGTCTACGGCGGATCCTGGGTCGATGGCATGCGCCACGGAAAGGGCAAATGTGTCTTTGTGGACGGCTCCGAGTATGACGGCGAATTCCGCGAAGGTAACTTTCATGGTCACGGCAAGATGACTTGGAACGATGGTGGGTGGTATGTGGGCGAATGGTGCGACGGTGAGATGCACGGTCGCGGAAAAGAGATTAGGCCCGATGGCAGTTTGAGGCACGATGGCGAATGGGCCCGCGGACAACCCATTCGATCGGCAGCGGATTCACGAAGGAGACGCCAGCAAATGCCGGATAGCTAAGGAGCAGTGGTAGCATGGTTTCTACCAGCACTAGCATTGTTCGTTCGCTTGTAGTTTTTAAAAGCTAGAAGGGAAGAGATTTCCATGTACTTACATTTTCTTAATATTGCAATGGTTGTAGTGTTGTTGGTTGTTGCCTGGTGCGTGCCGAAGTGATAATCTTGCTAAGCCGACTAGGAGAGGAATCTGAATCTTCATGCTTTTGTTATTCTAGAAATTACATGAATCATCCAAACTATGACGCTGAACACATCCCGAAAAGCTTTTTCTCCTTACAAAACAGCATGATTCCCCGAACTTTAAACATGCGCAAATTCCTACACCAAAGGGGATTGAAAAGCCGTTCTAAATTCTGGCGGTACCGGTAGCAGGATAACAGGATCCCACGCTTATTTTATTGCGACCATCTTTATTGCAACCATCAGTGACAAATTAAAGACGCAAGTGTATGGAACGAGCTGCTCCTGTCATATTATGACAGCTTAGGGTAGTCAACAAATAATTCTGGCTCCTTGTGAATTGATTTCTGGTGCTAAGAAACGACAATTTGCCTTTTGGGGGGAGCTGTGTCTCTGCCATCGTGCATGGCAACGATGAGGTTCTTGAGTACCGGTGATTGGAGATTGTGGCCTCGATTCTTCATGCCAGGAGACGATCGATACAACTGAGACTGGCTGATCTACCAAAACAAAAGTCTTCAACTATCTCTTTTGCTGAAAAGTATATGTCACGAGGAGGAAAGAACTCAGCCAAAGGATACCAATAATCAATATGAGCGACAAAAGCTGCTTGGACGACGCAAGTGGGGGGACTTTAAAGTCGTCGTCGCTCGTCGGTAAGGCAATCAGCAGGAAGCTAGGGTCGAGACGAATTCGAAAAGAAATCATTTAGAGTAGGATACTCTGATCCTGTACTACATTATGAATAGAGAAGGAGGTACAAAGAAACGGAGCCATGCCTGCTGCTTGTGAGGTTATCATCTGTAAGTCTTGGCGAACTTATTGATCATGGACTGGCATAGTTCAGTTCATTATTCCAGATGCTAGACATAATATATAAATGGCGATACTAGCTGGTCAAATTGAGTGATATTATTCCTACAGTAACGACACAGCCAGAAAACAATGGTTTCGTTTCACTTTTCCTACTGGCTCACAGTAACTCCAAGCGAAATGTGCACTTTCTGAAGCCGAGAAGTTGAGTAAATATGAAGAGCAGTAGTCTTCACCATCGTGTTAGCTCACTTATTCGGCGATGCGCCAGTACAAGAGGTACATCAAAGAGAAACGGGACGCAACGAGGCCAGTGCCGTTATGGCCCTTCCTTGCGTAAGACTCGCATTGGAGCGTATCGCAAGAGAAGAGCGAACTCCTCCATTCAAATGTTCAAGTGTTGTGGGAACTACACAGAAAGGTAGGAATTCTTTACGATTCGTCATGTTTCGCATGAGAAGTATAGGTGCTTTACGTGTTCCCGGCACAGAAGTACGTGGTATCGAATAGCCGTGCATGTATGTGCGAGGAGCCCCAACGGACGTTGATGAAGAATTCGTCGGTGGGACCTTTCTGAAACGTCGCAACCACAGGTATGTAATCTGAACGCAGAAGACGACAGGACGTAGAGCGCGTCCATATTTGTATTTCTCCTCACTATTGCTCTAAAACAACGCAAATACCCAGTACGATGCGATGACAGATGATAGGAAAACAAATACTAATATGTCGATCAACGATAGGGAGATCATCGGAGATACTCCTGACTTTAGCGCGCTTGCAGATGAAGATGGCAATGAGATAATAAAAGATTTAACTTCAAGAGTGAACTCCATCTCCGTTCAAGAGCGAGAGGCTGGTCTTCATGATATCCATGGTATCGGTGGCATCGACGATAAGAGCACCGGTGAAGAGCAAGTGCTGGTGAATAAGATGAGATTGCTTCTTTCAGAAAGACTTCACTGGAGATCATCATCGGCGTTTCGAATGGCTGATGCCGAATCTTCAGCGTATACAACGGACAGTAGCTTCCTTCTGATGTTCCTTCGTTGTGAGAACTACAATATTGACGCCGCTACCAACCGCCTTTTTGTGTTCTTCAAACAAAAGCTGCGGCTATTCGGGCCAAATAAGATTGGTAAGAAAATGATCACTTTGGCCGATCTGTCCCCAGATGACATGAAGTCGTATTCTGCTGGTTTCTTCCAGCTCCTTCCCCATCGGGATCATGTGGGGAGAGCGCAATTCGTAAATCTGCCTCATTATACTACCTGGGATCAAAGGGAGAACGTGGTAAGTCGGTTTGTGGTCGAATGGACTGGTTCTGGAAGAACGGCTGATTCTTACAGTATTGTTGGTGCGCATTCGAAGCTGAGAATGATATTTCATCTATGTATGGCGGCCCTGATGGACGAAGAGACCCAGAAAAAGGGAGCCATCACCGTAGTACACTCGCTCTTAAGTGAGTCTTCAGAGCCGAGAAATCCAAAGGGTTACGACCCAGTCCTCATTTGGGAGAGTATTCATATGCTGCAAAAAGCCATTCCGCTGAGATTTGTAGGGACCCACATTTGTACCGATCCTTCCTCATTTAGTGGGAAGTTTTTCTCGTCCATGGCACGCTTTGTGGGAGATGCAGGTATCGTCCGCATTCGCTTTCACCAAGGTAAGCAACAAAGCCGGTCCAAAGTGCGAGAATTGGATGAATTTGTGGACGCCAGCAATGTTCTAACTTTTGCACTTCGAAAGTATCATTCCACGAAGTCAACGAACGTCTCTCCACTTTCGGGATCAACAGTATCCTGCTTGCAGTGTCACAGTCTGGTGAAAAGAAGACGGAGAAACATCGAGAACTGATGAAAGTGATCAAAAGTATAGAGGTAGCTAAGTTGCTGACACCGGAGAAGTTGACTGTATTGGTGCCGTCAGCAACGGATGTCTTACTAGGGAGAGGCAAGCCCATTCAAAACCACGCAGGGGTAGGTGTTGCGACGTTTTGATATTGCAATGGCCCAGCTCTAGCAGTTCTCATTCTCAATGTACTTCGTACTCCTCTGGTATCTATAGAATATTCGGCTTGGATTGATTGCGGAATCGCAGTTGGAAGAATATGATGAGATTGCAAATCGTCTTGACAAGACAAAGCTAGCGGAGATAACAATGGCCAAAATGAAGAATGCCGGTGTTCGGTTCCTTTCAAGAGACGACAATGGGTTTTGGGAATTGGCAGCCGAACGACTAGCGAGGGAACGAGTGAGCAGCACTTTCCGCACTGTTCGTGACCGACTGAAGGTCAGCAGGCGAAGCACAGAGGAAAAGGCGGATAGTACTGTTGCCCGAAAACGATCACTTGAAAAGCTGGAAGAACAGTCTGATTAGCGCTAGGTTGTCTCGATATGCACGACGTTAGCTTTGTTGAATGCGGCTGTTTGTTGGTGGCCATGTCTTCATTACTGAGTCATTATCTGTTCCAGTACGCGATTGGCATTCCTCTTTGTCATCTTGGAGGTAGTAGGACGGTATAGGGATTGGATACCAGCCAGGTCCACAGCATCACGATGGCAGAACTGATCATCATCAACCAAACCAAAAGTTGCTTTCTAACTATCGCTTTTGCTGAAAAGTATATGTGTCACGAGGAGGAAAGAACTCAGCCAAAGGATACTAATAATATGACCGACAAAAGCTGTTTGGACGACAGAATGGGGGGATTTTTAAGCCTTCGTCGCTTGTCGTCAGTTAAGCAGTCAGCAGGAAGCCAGGGTCGAGACAAGACATCATTTAGAGTAGGATGCTCTGATCTTGTACTACATTATGAATAGTGAAGGAGGTACAAAGAAACGGAGCCAGGAAAAGGGTCCCAGGAGGGGGTGCCAGGAGATCAGTGACGGAATCTTCGATACCTGCTGCTTGTGAGGTTGTCATCTGTAAGTCTTGGCGAACTCATTGATCATGGACTAGCATAGTTCTTCAATTCATTGTGCCAGATGCTCTAGAATAGACAAAATGTAGATGACGATACTAGCTGTTCTAGTAGCTATTCTTTTACGTCTAGTTCTTGCTAAAGATGAACGTCCCTTGGAGGGGACGAAACACACCTCGTGACTCTGCCACAGGCTCAAATTGAGCGATATTATTCCTACGGCGACGACACGGCCAGAAGCCAATGGGATGGTTTCGTTTCACTTATCCTACTGGCTCACAGTAACTCCAAGCGGAATGTGCACTTTCTACAGCCGAGAAGTTGAGTAAATATGAAGAGCAGTCCGTGCAGAAAAACACAACGCTGCAAACAAATGCAGTCTGGCCCTTCCTTGGGAAAGACTCGCATTGGAGTTCTATTGAAGTAATCTTCTAGGTATTGAAGTATCGCGGGAAAAGAAATCCTCGAAGTGTTGCGGGAGAACAAATCCTCCATTGAAGTATTGCGGGAGAAGAAATCCACCACTCAAGTCTTGCGGGAACTACAGAAAGATATTTCAGCAAGATTGTGAGGAGCTCCTCGGAATTCTTCACGATTCGTCACGTATTGCACAAAAGCGGTGCACTCGACGAATAAGCGTCGAGCCCGAGCGGTGACCCTGACGAATATTTCAAGATCCACCGAGACCTTTCTGAAAAATCGAAACTACTACAGTAGTTGCTTCAGCTCAAAACATCTGGAAATATATAACTTCCGGAGCATACTGCAATGCGCGTACAACGAAGGGCTATTCGTATATTTCTCCTCACTATTGTCAAAATAAAACACCACAAATACCCAGTACGATGCGATGACAGATGATAGGAAAACAAATACTAATATGTCGATCAACGATAGGGAGATCATCGGAGATACTCCTGACTTTAGCGCGCTTGCAGATGAAGATGGCAATGAGATAATAAAAGATTTGACTTCAAGAGTGAACTCCATCTCCGTTCAAGAGCGAGAGGCTGGTCTTCATGATATCCATGGTATTGGTGGCATCGACGATAAGAGCACCGGTGAAGAGCAAGTGCTGGTGAATAAGATGAGATTGCTTCTTTCAGAAAGGCTTCACTGGAGATCATCATCGGCCTTTCGAATGGCCGATGCCGAATCTTCAGCGTATACAACGGACAGTAGCTTCCTTCTGATGTTCCTTCGTTGTGAGAACTACAATATTGACGCCGCTACCAACCGCCTTTTTGTGTTCTTCAAACAAAAGCTGCGGCTATTCGGGCCAGATAAGATTGGTAAGAAAATGATCACTTTGGCCGATCTGTCCCCAGATGACATGAAGTCGTATTCTGCTGGTTTCTTCCAGCTCCTTCCCCATCGGGATCATGTGGGGAGGGCGCAATTCGTAAATCTGCCTCATTATACTACCTGGGACCAAAGGGAGAACGTGGTAAGTCGGTTTGTGGTCGAATGGACTGGTTCTGGAAGAACGGCTGATTCTTACAGTATTGTTGATGCGCATTCGAAGCTGAGAATGATATTTCATCTGTGTATGGCGGCCCTGATGGACGAAGAGACCCAGAAAAAGGGAGCCATCACCGTAGTACACTCGCTCTTCAGTGAATCTTCAGAGCCGAGAAATCCAAAGGGTTACGACCCAGTCCTCATTTGGGAGAGTATTCATATGCTGCAAAAAGCCATTCCGCTGAGATTTGTAGGGACCCACATTTGTACCGATCCTTCCTCATTTAGTGGGAAGTTTTTCTCGTCCATGGCACGCTTTGTGGGAGATGCAGGTATCGTCCGCATTCGCTTTCACCAAGGTAAGCAACAAAGCCGGTCCAAAGTGCGAGAATTGGATGAATTTTTGGAGGCCAATGTTCTAACTTTTTGCACTTCGAAAGTATCATTCAACGAAGTCAACGAACGTCTCTCCACTTTCGGGATCAACAGTATCCTGCTTGCAGTGTCACAGTCTGGTGAAAAGAAGACGGAGAAACATCGAGAACTGATGAAAGTGATCAAAAGTATAGAGGTAGCTCAGTTGCTGACACCGGAGAAGTTGACTGTATTGGTGCCGTCAGCAACGGATGTCTTACTAGGGAGAGGCAAGCCCATTCAAAACCACGCAGGGGTAAGTGTTGCGACGTTTTGATATTGCAATGGCCCAGCTCTAGCAGTTCTCATTCTCAATGTACTTTGTACTCCTCTGGTATCTATAGAATATTCGGCTTGGATTGATTGCGGAATCGCAGTTGGAAGAATATGATGAGATTGCAAATCGTCTTGACAAGACAAAGCTAGCGGAGATAACAATGGCCAAAATGAAGAATGCCGGTGTTCGATTCCTTTCAAGAGACGACAATGGGTTTTGGGAATTGGCAGCCGAACGACTAGCGAGGGAACGAGTGAGCAGCACCTTCCGCACTGTTCGTGACCGACTGAAGGTCAGCAGGCGAAGCACAGAGGAAAAGGCGGATAGTACTGTTGCCCGAAAACGATCACTTGAAACGCTGGAAGAATAGTCTGATTGGCTTTCGGTTGTCTCGATATGCACGTTGTTAGCTGTCTCCTCCCCACCACAATAGTTGTAGGCGGCTGTTTGTTGGTGGCCATGTCTTCATTACTGATTCATTATCTGTTCCAGTACGCGATTGTTATGCCTCTTTGTCATCTTGCAAGGTAAAGGACGGGTTTGCAAAGAGTTTCGATTGAACTATAAAGTGCTACTAGATACTATCACACCCATGAGTGGTTTTTCCACTGTAGAAATTTATTTCTAGAAGTACATTATGTATGATTGTTTCCTGGTACTAGAAGCACCCCGACTTAGTGATGTGGTCACTTTCAACCGCAATCGCCCCAAACCAATTAGTTACAAGGTGATTACGGCGTCATTCGGACGACACCAATAGTGCGAAAGGAGGTTACTGATCTTCCGATCAAACAGGTTATGCCCCTGCAGTCTTCACTGCCATTTCAATCATTTCATCTGGAACAGCATGGGCCGCCGTTGCTTCATCGTAATGGGCATACACAGTTTGGTCACCGGAGAACAAAAAGGTTCCACCCTGATAGAATGCTTGTTCTTGCTTGGGTGGGATGTAAAAGGCATCCTTCCATTTCGATAAGACTTCTGAGAGCTCCTCCGAAAGCATCGACTTGCCTGCCAAAACCCGGCGTCCAAATGCCAGAGGTGTCGCAGGGTTGAAGAAGGTAGCACCCACTCCTCGGTTCAAATCAAGATTGTCATAGGCTTCGTTGGAGGGATCCACAAAAAGCAAATCTTCACCATCGGGAATGCCCAAGTGTTTGACCAGATCCTTTCCGACTTCTGGCTTGCCAATGGAGACAATAACAAGGTTGACACCTGCAGCCAAGAGCTCCGTCCTCCGTCTGCCATACTGGAGGATCTGCTCTTGGCATATGGGTCACCCAAGGGATCGTAAGAAAACGACCATCGAGGTCTGACTTGCACCAAGGATATCGCCGACAGTTGTTTTCTCTCCATTCAATTTGTATACAGGACTTTTGTCCATTACTTTTCTTGAGTTCATTGACTTTGCAGCTTCACTTGGATTCCCAGCAAAGGTAGTTGGTCCACATCCACAGTCATTGTCTGCAAGTGCTTCGTCGTTCGATGAGGCGAGCCTCGTGGTGGTGGGAATGCAATTATTGTTGTGATTTACGAGTCCACTTCGGCGATAATTTGCCTCTGGGTTTGCTACAAAGGCTTCTGCAGCCATGGGGGCCAACAGAACCGGGAGAAGCTTTATAGATAGTCTCATATTTGCTTTATTGAGTGTTTCATTAGAGACGACGAGACTAATATTGACGATGATGAGTGTGTCGATCGTGTGTTATATACTATATGTGACGTCAATGTGATTGAATCAGCCGATGATCTAACTTAGTGTCAAAATTGAATTGATGCATACCGGGATACAGTATATACTGTGGGTTTAAAGCGTCAGTACAGCACGTTACAAAAAGGAAAATGCATCATTTGGCATGGCAACGTCTCTAGCTATAGAAAGAGCTGCTTAAATTTGTGCGTTGCGACGAAGGACTTCCAGAATATTAATTGGTGGGAGCTTATATTTTTTTAGCACCAGTCCACGAAAGACTGCAGTCAGGAAGTCTGGATCGAGACGCAATCCGGCGGAAAGACATCATTTAGAGTATCATACTCGAATGCTGAACTACATTGAGAGGAGAGTGCGAGGAGGTACAAAGAAACGAGGACAATGGAGAGAGGAGGGTGGGACTCCAGTGACGAAATCTTCGATGGCTGTTGTTGTCAGGTTGTCATCGAAAAAGCATAGTTTAAAATTCATTGGCCAGATACAAGGACAACTAAACGAGAATAAATATGGTAGACGGTCTACTACTAGCTTACTACTAGCTAAAGATGAACGCCACTTGAAGAGAAATCACAAAACTTGAATCTTCTGCAAGTTCAAATGCAGCGATATTATTCCGGAGGACACATCCAGAAGCCAATGTCGCACAGGCAGTCCAAGCTGCAGCCGAGAGGTTCCGTGCATTTTCACAGCAGCAGTCTCAACGTTGACTTTATTCGGTAACGAGGCCATCAACTACTCTATGGCCCCACGCACATTGAAGTTCTGTTGTGGGAACTGCAGGAGAACCCCCCTCCTTTTCCACAAAAAAATCGCATAATTCTAGGAAAGTAATTGAGATTCGCTCTACGACCCTGAATGAGCGGCAGGCAAACGTGTACGAACGTGACCACTATGAGTGCAATGATGACTATGGTTTCGAACTTGTGGCCTATTTGCTGGAACACGCAATGAGTGTCCATGTAAAATAGAACAGAGGGCTATTCGTATATCTCGTCACTATATTGCTCTAAAATGACGCAAATAACCGCATTACGATGCGATGACAGATGATGGGAAAACAAATACTAATATGTCGATCAACGATAGGGAGATCATCGGAGATACTCCTGACTTTAGCGTGGTCGCAGCCGAAGATGGCAATGCGATAATAAAGGATTTGACTTCAAGAGTGAGCTCCATCTCCGTTCAAGAGCGAGAGGCTGGTCTTCATGACATTCGTGGTATCGGTGGCCTTGGCGATAAGAACATCGTAGAAGAGCAAGTACTGGTGAATAAGACGAGATTGCTTCATCATCAGCCTTTCGAATGTCTGATGCCGAATCGTCAGCGTATAGCCTACAACCGACAGTAGCTTCCTTCTAATGTTTCTTTGTTACAATAGCTGCGGCTCTTTTGGCCGATAAGATTGGTAAGAAAATGATCACATTAGCCGATCTGTCCAGATGACATGCTCCTTTCCCATCGGGATCATGTAGGGAGGGGGGCGCAATTCGTAAGTCTACCTTATTATACTACCTGTAATCAAAGGGAGAACGTGGTAAGTCGGCCTGGCTCTCGGAGAACGACTGATTGATTCTTACGTTGTTGGTGCGCATTCGAAGCTGAGAATGATATTTCATCTGTGTATGGCGGCTCTGATGGACGAGCGAAGAGACCCAGATAAAAGGGAGCCGTCTCTGTGGGACACTCGCTCGATAGCGAGACTGATGCTCCCTTCTAGCAAGCTTGTCATCCATAATTTTTGACAAGCCCGCCGACCGTGGGTGAGAGAGCATACTTTAAAATTCATGGGCTAGATGCTAGGACAGCTATAAACGAGAACAAGAAATGTCATAGATGAACGGTGATACTACTAGCCGGTCTATTGGTACTAGCTGAAGATGAAAGGCGCTTGGAGGGGAGTCACACCTCTAGACCTTATTTTGGTTTTAAAATGAGCGATATTATTTCTAGAAGCCAGAGATTTGGATTCATTTTTAGAATCCAACAGGCACAGTATGTCAAACTGAAATATGCAGCCGAGAAGAAGAAGAAATTGCGCGGATTTTCACAGCATTTGACTTCAAAGTATTTTAATAGCTTCAGTTCCCTTATTTATGCGTTATTGAGGAAGACATCGAAGGCGAGAAGCAATGAGGCCATGAAGTATAAGACTCGCATTGAAGTTCAAAAAGTACTCCATTTTCAATCATTCAATCGCGGGAACTCAGAAAGATGAATTTTAGTACGTGTACCCTACGCGGGCGGTGTACGTACTTGACAAACCATTCATGGCACTTCCGCTTCTCAACCTTTGATAATCCATGGAAAGAACCTGTACCGGTACAGTACGTACCATACGTGCAGAACCTGTGTGGTCTGCAAGACGATTGCCACTGACAAATGAACATCCCACTCTGTAATGACCGTGACTGAAGCCCTTCCATTGTTCCTCACGTACTGTACAGTAGGTACGTAATTTCTAAAAAAAAGTCTCAAAACACGATCCCTACAGATTGATTATAGCCATCGAGGCCTTTTATCCTGGCACGTCGAAACCATCTGTAACCGCGAAAAAAATTGTGTGTTTTACTGGAACATCATGTTCATGCCCTTCGTATTCCTCACTATTGATAAAAAACAACGCAGATAACCAGTATCATGCGATGACAGATGATAGGAAAACAAATCACATGTCGATAAACGATTTGGAGATCGAAGATACTCCTGACTTTAGCGCGCTTGCGGATGAAGATATCGATACGATTATAAAGGATTTGACTTCAAGAGTGAACTCCATCTCCTTTCAAGAGCGAGAGGTTGGTCTTCATGACATCCATGGTGTTGCTGGCATTGACGATAAGAGCAATCATGAAGAGCAAGTACTAGTGAATACGATGAGATTGCTTCTTTCAGAAAGGCTTCACTGCAGATCATCATCAGCCTTTCGAATGGCCGATGCCGAATCGTCGGCGTATACAAGGGACAATAGCTTCCTTCTCATGTTTCTTCGTTGTGAGAATTACAATATTGACACCGCTACCAACCGCCTTTTTGAGTTCTTCAAACATAAGCTGCGGCTCTTTATTGGGCCAGATAAGATTGGTAAGAAAATGATCACTTTGGCCGATCTGTCCCCAAATGACATGAAGTCGTATTCTGCTGGTTTCTTCCAGCTCCTTCCCCATCGAGATCATGTGGGGAGGGCGCAATTCGTAAATCTGCCTAATTATACTACCTGGGATCAAAGGGAGAACGTGGTAAGTCGCTCGGTCTGTGTGATCATGTTGTGGTCGAATGGACTGGTTCTGGACGAACGACTGATTCTTACAGTAATGTTGGTGCTCATTCGAAGCTGAGAATGATATTTCACCTATGTATGGCGGCCCTGATGGACGAAGAGACCCAGAAAAAGGGAGCCATCACCGTAGTACACTCGCTCGTTAGCGAGACTTCAGAGCTGAGAAATCCAAAGGGTTACGACCCAGTCCTCACTTGGCAGAGCACTCATTTGTTGCAAAAAGCCATTCCGCTGAGATTTGTAGGGACTCACATTTGTACCAATCCTTCCTCATTTAGTGGGAAGTTTTTCTCGTCCATGGCACGTTTTGTGGGAGACGCAGGTATCGTCCGCATTCGCTTTCACCAAGGTAAGCAACAGCAGCAAGGACCGAGTATTGGATGAATTTGTGGACGCCAATGTTCTAACTTTTGCACTTCGAAAGTATCATTCAACGAAGTCAACGAACGTCTCTCCACTTTCGGGATCAACAGTATCCTGCTTGCAGTGTCACAGTCTGGTGAAAAGAAGACGGAGAAACATCGAGAACTGATGAAAGTGATCAAAAGTATAGAGGTAGCTAAGTTGCTGACACCGGAGAAGTTGACTGTATTGGTGCCGTCAGCAACGGATGTCTTACTAGGGAGAGGCAAGCCTATTCAAAACCACGTAGGGGTAAGTGTTGCGACGTTTTGATATTGCAATGGCCCAGCTCTACTAGTTCTCATTTTCAATGCACTTTGTACTCCTTTGCAATCTCCAGAATATTCGGCTTGGATTGATTGTGGAGTCGCAGTTGGAAGAATATGATGAGATTGCAAATCGTCTTGACAAGACAAGGCTAGCGGAGATAACGATGGCCAAAATGAAGGATGCCGGTGTTAGATTCCTTTCAAGAGACGACAATGGATTCTGGGAATTGGCAACGGAACAACTAGCGAGGGAACGAGTAAGCAGCACCTTCCGCACTGTTCGTGACCGACTGAAGGGCAGCCAACGATGCACAAATGTACCAAAGAGATCACTTGAAAATGCCCACTAGGCAGACTGCCTCGATTTGCGAATCGTTGTGCCTACACAAATTTGATTTCAGTGTGTCTTGGTGATGATGTCCTCTGTACGTGTTTGCCATCGAATCGAGTAACGTTCTTGTTCGTGACTGTTGTGCCTCTTTGCCATCATGGAAGATATATTTTAATAATTTGCTTCTATTTGTAAGTTTCTTCGCGATGATCCAACTTAGCCTCAAATATGTTTTTGCAATGTATCTCGGCATCTGTACCGATACTGCTCGTCGCATACCAATAGCTATTGTAGGAAAGCTATAATACAGTAGTCAAAAGCGAAAACGAAGATGTTCAATGGGCATAGCAACGTTTTTATCTAAATATCTCGAGCTTACATTACCCCCAAGATTAGTGTGTCTGTACGAGCTACTTCCGAATAGAAGTTCGCAGCAACGGTCGTCCACCAGCTTACCATCTTCTTCCAACATGACATCGCCGCACTGCGACCATAGCAGAATTACTTCAGAATCCATGGGGCAGAAGAGAAATTTTGAATCGCGAGATGCAAATCCTTGACAGTTGTCAATGCTAGTAATGAGTGCAACTGGCAATGCTTCTGGTGTCCCACCAGGGTTCAATTGTTGTTAATGTCACATCGGAAATTCAGTTTCTCGTGATTTGATTTACACCATTGTTTTTGCATTCGCCACCCATTTCCACTACCGTAATACTAAACCACCCGCTTGTATTCTCCAGTATCTATTGTAAACAAGTGTTGTCCCTTTTTAGGCGTTTTGTCCACATAGTCACTATTGGCTTTGGCAACTTCTTGAATCTTGTCCACTCCCATTTGTTTGGCGACAGACTCGTGGACCCAGAGGGTCTCTCCCCAATAGATGAGCATCATGACAAATTGATAACCATTTGACTTGAGAATCGTCTGAAGTTCAGGTTTGGGTCGCTCCACTGTCAAAAAGTGGATTGTGTAAGACTCGTAAGGAAAGTCTCTCATAATTAATTCTTCCGCCCCCTCCACATCCAATGACAGATAATCAATGGATTTCGGAACCCCAAAGTCGTCAAAGATGGATTTCAGACTAATGGTATATCGTTGTTCCGTTTCAACTTTGGAATGGTCTTTATTGTCCATGCCATCTCCTACAATCCCCCCAAATTCTTTATTTGTCAAAGATACTGTGACTTTGTTTTGATCTTGCCTCGAGCCCACAAAGGCAGCCGCCACATCGCACTGTCTGTGGGCCAATCGGTACCAATACATGGGATTGGGTTCGACACACAAGCCGTGCCATCCCTTTTTTTCCAACAACAAAGTATTGCTGAGTTGAATGGGATCATTTGCTGCCAAGTCGACAAAGTAAAAGGAAGGTTCCTCCTCTGCTGCTGCTGCTACTTGAGATGCCAAGGCCAGGGCTAGTGCGGCCACGATGCGATCCTGATCCACTTGACTTCCTCTGCCGTATTGTTTATATACCATACCCTCTGAATTGTTGGGCAACGAGTTAATAGAGTCCTCTGGTCCATGATAAACATGAATGGCGTGAAAACCAGCAGCCTTGTCTCGCAGAAAGGATGGGCGTTCCTGTGATTTCAATGTGACAGCATTTGTATTTTTGGTTGTCGTTTTTGCTGGATTGGAAGAAGACGACTCATGATATTTTGATGTATCAGTGGTATCGTTAATGGTGGACAGAGATCGAGCAACATCAAACTCTACATCGGATGCAGAATTGGCACTGTATGCAACAAGGAAGAACATCACAACAACTATCAGCACAAGCATGCCTTGCATCGAGCATCCTTCACCACAAGCAAAGCAACGATTGGACCTTCTTCGACGCTTGCGAGAACGAATCATTCCAATCGACTATTGATGGAATTGAATTGAATTGATTCTTCCCTCCAACTTTTTTGAATGGGTGGTCGTCCAACCTTGCAGTTTCGAAGTTGTGCTTGGTACGACTACGTACAGTATTTGATATTTGATTGAATGGATTTGCAATTTGGAGGCAGCTTCCCAAGATTTGTTTCAAAACTCTCCTGTTGATTGATTGATTCACACGAATTGAGTTGCCGCGCAGAAGTAATTTTGAAAGCACTGCCCGCGTTTCCCTGGAACGCCATCCAACGCAGAATGCCTCTTACGTGACGCGCGAATGGTTTGAACTGGAGATGCCGAGCGTTAGATCTCGTTCAAACTCAGTCGAAGCAGTCTAGCAGATTTAAACATCGGCGCGATGTATTTAGGGAAACATGCTTGCATTCAAATTTACTTATGGCCAGTGTTTGAAAGCCGCGCGCATCAATTTTTTCACCATTTTTTGAACAGATCCTTTTTGAGTGGAAGCCTTATTTTTGACAGGAGGTTCTTTCAGGCACATCAATCACCATTCTCATTGTTGATTGCAGGCATACTTTACCAAACTTATGTCCCAACCACTTCACCACTCCTTCATTTTACGTCCTGCCAATACAGGAAGCTCCATGATGCAGAGCTTGGGGAATAAGAACAATGATAATAATACCCAAGTCATTCCTCCCGATCGCCCCCATTTGACTTTGTTGAGAAATAAAACACTCACAAGTCCTCCACGATGGAGTCGACGGCGGTGTCCCAGACCTACGCAGCTCCTTCACAAATTCGATACTTATAATTCCAACAACGAATTGAGGGCTGAATTCGAACCACCCTCTTCCCCAGCGTATTGGAAGGAACGCTGTCATCGATTCCAAGACTTGTGCCAATCTTCTCGCAAGCGCATACGAGAAATGGAAGAAGATCAACGGCAATTGCGTCGGAGAATACACTACTTGGAAGAACGGTTGACTTCCTCCTCCTCTTCTTCCAATGCACAACCAAAGAAGGTACGGAGTGTCACACCTTGTCAGGGAGAAGACGACAAGGCTGGTGATACCTGTGGTGTACCTTCCATGATTGTGGCAGACACAAACAAGAGGGAATGCTTCTACATGGCTGATTGCGAGGGCATGTCCGATTCGGAATATGGGGAACACTACTGTGCATTTGATGACGAAGAGGACGACGATGATGCTGAAGAAGACGAGGAAGAAGAAAAGCAAAATGAAACTAAGAAAGATGGAGTCAAGAAGGAGGAGGAAGAAACACAAGTCGTCATCAAGAAGGAAGCAAAGGATATTCCAGAGGTAAAGGAAACGAAGGTGGAAGAGAAACAACCAATTGAAGACGAACAACGGGATGACAAAGAATAAACATTCAAACAGGGAAGCTATAATCAATGTCAAACAAAGAATTTGACTGTAATTTTGAGAAGCATTAGTAGAAATAGAAACTTATGAACACTGCATTCTGCACTTATTTAGTAGTAATGTACCGTAGTACATGGGAATAATCAGACTATTATATGTATTGTCAAGCGTATTGTAGGATGCCCGTTGTTATTCGCAGGTTAGTAAATGCAGAACTGGTGCTATATGGAAGCAAAGGGACAATTCCTCCTTTTTGGCCTAGCACAAAGCAATGAAAAAATCGGCACTTGCTTGATGTGAATAGCTTTTCCATCAATAATATAGAACTCCTGTTGGACAATGCTAATTGTACGCTTTGATGATCGCAATCGAGATGAAGATGAAACAGACCAAAACTAGTTCTCGCTATGTTCATTACGTTGCATTGTCACTCTCCACCAGACGCTCTATCAGCTCTTCTCGAGTAGTCCCACCAACATCGAGTCCACGGTATCGTAAGAGTCCCTTCAATTCAATTACTCCCAATGGTGCATAGTACGCAGTTTTGTCTACTTTCTTCTGGTCAGATGAAGCACCATCAGTAGCGTTTTCGTCAGTTTCGGCTTCTTCTTCATAAGAGTAGGCTTGCCACAACCACTCGGTATCTTCGCCACTGATTTCGGCATCATTGTTATCATCATCGTCATCATCATCATCATCATCATTAATGGTACCCAAAAAGTGTCCCACTGGAAACCATTCTCCCCGCTTGGAGGATTCCAAAATCTCTGGAGAAATCTGGAGCTTCCCTTCGTCCTGGGCTTCAATCAACATGAGTGGCTCGTGAGTCTTGTATTTGCGGTATGCTTCCGACAACAGATCGGGAGAGCATTGCAAGACAAAGAGCGGTTCGTAACATTCAATCTCGCTGGCAGGATCCTTGAGCCATTTGTGAATGCGCACTTGGGTCAGGGTTGGACTCAATTGCGGAATTACAATTCTGGCTCGTTTCAGTTGGAGGAGCGTGCGATGGACCATGATATGAATCGGTGAATGAAGCAGATGCAAGTAGATGTAAGTGGAGTAGAGGATTGAGTTATGGTAACTGTATAATTGTGTCGAGTGTTGCTTGCGATGATGATGAGGAATATGTATGCGAGTATGAAGATGAGTCAGTCCCTAATCGAATCAGTCGATCACAGCTAGAATAGTGAAGCGGAAGTATTATTATATTAACAGTCCAATGCAATGTCAGCCTGGAAATGAAAACTGACCGGAGTTCTTTATGAAAAATGTAATGTAAAATCATAGCTGGGCTTTCCCAAGAAAGAAGAGGACATTGGGAACAATGACGTTAGCCCCGCAAGTGTAGCGATGATCGAGCCTCTCCTCCGTACTGCTACTACTAGCAGTCGAGGCAATAGCGAGATCGTTATTCATGGATGCTTTCCATACGGCCAATTCCGCGGTGGAGGTGGCCTCCATCAACTCGTATTTTGAAAGTATAGAGTATATGTGGCCGAACTTATGCCGCCTTTTGGCGTGTCGGCGCAAGTCCTTGACCAAGGAGTTGACTTCTAGTTGCACCTCGTCTTTCCAGCGCGGAATGAGAGATACTTTGAGCCCACGATCTACGACCGTCTTGCGAAAGACATGATGGAGTGCCTTGGAAGCTCTGGTTGTGTAATTCCACTCCAAGTAGTCCAATGGGGTGAATCCCCAGGTATCCTTGCGCCAGGCAAACTTCAGTGGATAATGATCCAGAAGGGTGGAAAAGAGAGAAACATCGGGGTTTGTGGACAGAGCGAGGATATGGAATGGAGTCATTCCAAGCTTGTCGACTTGTGGGGCACGCTTCACTTCAATGGCAGCTGCCAGCAAGCGACGGGTGATGGAGGGGGCATAGTGGGCTTGGTAGTAGCAAATCCTATGGACGGGTAGAAAATCGAACCTTCCTCTCAGCATATCCAAAAGACCCGAGTCGGACTCATCCGAGCTTGGGAATTTTTCTTGGAGTGGATTCGGGGGTGCTTCCAAGCCAGGGTCAGAGGATACAAAGATATCCGAGTTTCGAACGGTGCGGACATGTGGTTCCACAAACATGTTGCGCAAAGATTCACAACCATGGAAGACAGCAGCTCCAATGAACTGACTCCCACTTGGAGGGAGTTCCACCGAAATCAAACTGTCGCACCAACAGAAGGCGTATGGGTCAATCATCCGAACAGTGGATGGAACCCGAAAGGTCGTTAAGCTGAAGCAACCGCGGAAGGCACAGTTCTCAATCATGGAGAGACCTTCAACTACAGCCACCGACCGCAAGGCAGAACAATCTTGGAAGGCCCGTTCGGCAATCTCTCGTACCGTTGATGGCACAGCAATAAAGAGCAAGTTGCTACAAGACGCAAAGGCAAGAACACCAATCCGCAACAGCCCTTCGCATAATTCCACCGTCGATAGAGCTCGACAGTTTGCGAAAGCTCCTTTTCGAATTTCTACTACAGTTGATGGGACCTTCACTCTCGTCAAATTAACACAGTGAGCGAAGGCTCTTGCTCCGATTACCTTGAGGCCGTTGGATAAGTTTACGTCAAGTAAATTCATGCATCGATAAAAGCTACCTCTTTTGATGTCGTCGACTGAAGGAGGAACGGAAATGTGCTGAAGGCATTCGCAAGAATTGAATGCATCTTGACCAATGACACGAAGTCCTTCATTCATTTCAACTGCTCGCAAGTTGAAGCGAAACTGAAAGGTTTTTCTCCGCAATGTTCGAACGGATGACTCAAAGCGCACATGGCTCACGTTATCTGGCACATCTAGATGATTCTCTCCATCATACGAAAAGCTGATCAAACTGCTGTGAGTTTCATCATCGTCCTCATCATGCTCGCTCTCACTGTCACTGAGTGACCCAACGGTACTCTCCTCTTCGAGAATGCTTTCCTCGTCGCTACTGCTGTCATCGAAAGATATCGACATGGTTGCGTTCGAACTGTCATCGTCGCTTTCCACTGCCGCCATCGTCTAGGTTTTGATACTTCTTCTTTTGGTCTTGTAATTGTTGTATGATGGCTAGGAACTGGTATCTTTTCTTTAACTGGCGGAAACGTGGCGGCAAACTGACGTTCCTGGCGTGCGATTTCTGGTCTTATTATTTTTTAGAGGCAATTGATTGGCCAAAATGAGGCTGACGTCAATTCTCCCATCACAAAAAAAAGGAGCCAATTTGAAATTCTCCCGAGCTGGGCTTCCAATGGCCAACAGTACCAAGTGCTGTAGAGCTCGTAAAAGCTGAGGATCGAAACTCTCTACTCCATGTAACATTTTCCTTCTGCAGTTGGAACTGTTCATCAGCATTACTGTACCCTATTATTTGCCAAAGTTGCTCACAGTAGGTTGTGTGATGTTTGTAACACCGCACTTTGAGAATTTCTTGAATGGCTCTACTACTCTCATGACACTGAGAGGTCCTAACGATGTTGCCAGTGAGAACGAATGGATTTTTCTGTTCATCAATCTTCACCATCTTGCCTTCGGAGATACAAATGACTCCGAAGAAAGGATAATATCATATTGTACTCGTACCGGTACGTGTACACGTGTACCTTGTCAAACGTGATGTAATTTCGATGAGGCAAAAAGATAAACCTTCGCGTTTGTGTCCAATCTAATTAAGAAGGTGGGTTTTCCCCTTGGGAAAATGCCAAAAATCTCTTTTAAGTCCAACCACTGCCAACGGTCATAAGCTCCAGAAACCTGAAGGAGGTGAGACATTTTCGTGTTGTTTTTGACACACACCACAAACAATCTCCGAACGAGGTAACATAAAAAAGCAACTGACCAGCAATCGACAATGGCGTTCCAAAAACTCAAGAAGAGACTCCTCAAGAAAAAGTCTCCAAGAACCAACAATGGTGTTGATCTGAAATCATCTGCTGACGACTCGCAACGTACATGTCGAACTATGGTTTCTGACTCGCCACCTTCCAGCAGAACAGTGCTGGAAAGCACACCCGAACTAGTACAGCCAGCTATGTATGGCTACGAAGATGCGGCACCAGATGCAGCTGCTAAGAGCCTATCCCTAGATCCCTATGGATACGAAGTGCACGATCCATCACCAGTGGCGGCTCGACCAAGACGATCCTCTATGAAGGGATTGGATCCTACCCGACCTCCACGAAGGCGCCACTCCATCTCCTTTGAGAAAGAGGTGAAAGTAAACAAAGTCGTTCCAATCGCGACCATGGTAAAAGACAAAGGAGACATGTGGTTGCAAGGCCAAGACTATTCCAGAATTGCCAACAAGGTCAACAGGATTGTAGAACGATCTGCTAGTGGAAAGGGTGACAAATTTTGTGTTCGTGGTTTGGAACACATGATTGAAAGAAGGGCAGGAAAGGAAGATGAGCCGCGAACTGAGGCGTGGGATACTGTCTTGGACGAACAACATACTCAGTGCGTAACAGGAAACTACAGCGAAGAAACTTTGTCTCAGAAATACATTTTGTGCTCGAAACAAAGCCGAATGGAAGCGAAGCTACGTGCCTTGCAAGATGAGCAAGAGGTATCTCGATACTTGGAGGAAACCAGACATTACTGTCGACGGATGTCAATGTGAGTGCAGCTCCACATCCCCCATCTCCCAATGCTCATTCAAAACCCACCAAAATAGGAATCAGGGTACTTTCACATAAAAGATAGAATATAACTACAATACATAATACGACATCGAGAACGGCAAAACAAATACCTGCGATCCATCCATCATCGGATATACCTCCTGTAATCCGATATTTCATTGGCTGAGTCAAGGAAACCTAGTACGATACCGCAATCTGCCACCTCCTTCTTGGTGTACTGGTACCGGTTTGGTTGCTGAGGTGAAATAAGGTTTTATAGGTCCTAAACACAATGTTGTACCCAGGTATTGGTACCGGTACTGGTACTCGAAGAGTTACGAGTAGAATTTTAAAAAGTAAGTAGGATGAAAGAATCCTATTATTAGAGATGGCGCGTGACGATTATGCCAAAGCGCCTTTCAATTTTTTTTACGATTAAAAATGCCTCTGTGGTGTTAAACATGAATCGATATATATGAAGTATGCATTAATTGGTGTCTGATAATTGTTAGACGAAGTGCAAGATCTACATCAAGAACCAAGAGCACATCTTCGTTGTGTCTTTCAGCAGTACTGCTCTGTAGCAACATGGTCCATAAGATTGACAAGTAAACGAAGATTTGGTTTCCGGCTTTCCAAGATGGCATTCCTTTCACCACATGCGCTAAGGAAGAGACTGCAGCTGAGGAAAAGAGGACGCACCAACAAAACTGCAGGCGATGATTCCAAACCGGCGGATGATTCCAAACCGGCGGATGATTCCAAACCGGCGGATGATTCCCAACGCACATCCATCGGTGATTCCGAAAACTCAATGCTTACCTCTGCAAATGCATTTGAAAGGAAGACAGAAATACAACCCGAGGTCTACGGATACGAGAATGCAATTCCTGACGCGGCTGCAAAGAACATGGCCAGAGCTTCTAGTAGAGATCCCTACGGATATGAATTGCATGATCCGTCCTCGCCAGGAGCGCAACCAAGACGATCCTCCTTGAAAGGATCTAACCCTGAACCTCGACTACGACGAAGGCGCCACTCCATCTGCTTTGAAAACGAAGTGAAAGTTAACAAAGTGGTTCCAATCGCAACAATGGTGAATGACAAGGGAGAAATGTGGCTTCAAGGCAAAGACTACTACAAAATTATCAACAAGGTCAACACGATTGTTGACCAAACTAACAGTGGCAAGGGGAAAAAATATTGTGTAAGAGGTTTGGAGCATATGGTTAAAAGAAGGGACGACCCAAGTGAGCCTCGATCTGAGGCGTGGGACACCGTTTTGTACGAACAACAAATTCAGCAGGCCACGGGAGACTACAATGAAGAAGCATTGTCTAGAAAATACAGATGTTGTTCGAACCAAAGTCGAATGAAAGCGAAGATTCGGGCCATTAAGGATGAACAAGACGTATCTACATACTTGGAGGATACTAGAAGGCATTGTCGCCGAATGTCTATGTGAGAAGTATATTGTACATGCTCCCCCTCTCCCTCCTTCCCCCCTTTTAACTACGATGCTAAGTCACTGTAGGGTACACAGATTGTACACGTGTACTGTACCTAGTAGCGGATAATTAGTTCGGAAATATCGGAGAAAGTGTAAGAACTTATTTCTCATTTTTATATATACGTAAGTTCGTGTTCTTTTCCCAACAATTATTAGACACTCCTCCTCGGAGAAATGCGAAGGAACCTTAGTCCTCCCTTGCATTGAAAGTTTAAGTTTCTTGCATTTTTTGCTTGCACAATTCGGAAAAATATCGCCCCACACAGCTAAAGTTATCCGCCAGGAGAAACAATTTGATTTAACGAAGAAGGTCACAGAGTTCGATGGCAATCTGTAATTTCGCACCCAGTTTCGCCGACACTTCAAGGCACAGATGTTTTAGCTGTTGTGAAAGATCGAGTCTTCTAATGTACTGTACCGCATCTTCACAAATCACAAGCGTTGAAGATTTCCAAACAAACTTCTCCATTCCGACATCAATTGAAGCGTTACAATGGCCCTCAAAAACCTGAAGTTAAGATTCAAGAAGAACAGCTCGTCGTCGTCGGATGAGTTCAGCAAGAATGAACAGAAGGAATCATCCTCCTCGTTGGACTCCGATGAAACCGAAATCACCATAGCTGAAGAAGATGAAGCCAAGTATGGATACAATACTTACAATGACGTGGAGCCAAAACATTCACTGAATCCTACTTCGTATAACGCTGTGGAAAGTGACTCTAACAGTCAGCACCAGCAGCCGCAGCATCATCATGAAAGAAGAATGGCCCCTCGCCGCTCTTCGCTCAGGGGCAGCAACGGCCCAAGACAACGTGCCCGTCGCCACTCTCTCACATTCTCAAGCGAAGTGGTTGTGCAAAAAATTACACCCACACAAGAAATGGCAAAGAAAAAGTCTCTCTGGTTTGGAGAAAAGGACTATGATAAAATGAAGGATAAGATCTTCATGATTGCTGAGCAGGCAAGGGAAGGCAACGGTCAAAAGCATTGTACACGGGGATTGGAGAGTATCATTCTAGATGGTTCCGAGGAGCGTAAATTTGCAGCGTGGGATGCTGTGCTGGACGAGCAGGAACATCAAATACAATCTGGTGCCGAGCACTTTGATGAGGATGCCCTCTCGCAATCTTATCGAGACGCATGCGAGGAGAGCCGTACCGTCGCCACTGCTCGAGCGCAACAAGATGAAAAGGCAGTAGCGGAGTACCTTGCCGAAACTCGACGATACTGCCGCCGAATGTCCCTGTAACGTGAAATGGACCAGATTGCTCCATACAAAATACTAGATAAAAAATGCAGCCAGCTACAATAATAGAACTATACGATACGACCACTACAATGCGCTGCAATAGTTTGCAATAGTAGCAGTGCATGTATGCCGAGTGTAGGGACGTCTTGATTGGTGAATTGATTGATTGATTCATGCTGCTAAGGTACTACTACAGTATCTACTATGGTGGTCAAACAGCCGACAGCCTGCCGCCCAGACGTATACTACTGTGTCCGTATTATATGTTGCAATGATATTATTCGCATACTTCGATACTATACGGTACCATAGCCATCGGTAGTAGGATCACGACTACCCCTCGAAATAGACATTATGATCAAGTGGCGCGCAAGATGCAATTGCAAATGGTGCGATCTACATGAGTACGGTAGATAGTAGAAGAGCACAAAGTGCGCTTTAGATGCAAACTGTTCGGATTGCCAGCCACTGCGTTGACTCACCAGAAACGGTGGTCCGAAGAATCAACAAATGACTACCTACATATTATAAGAAAGGCAAAAGGATCTCGACCGACCACAGTACCAGGTAGCTCGGGTCTGACGCACTTCTAAGTCCAGTGTGAGTGTCCAGTCAGCACTGTAGTGACCAGCTGAAACGTATATCGTCTGATATACGGTAACGTCTGTACGTCCCATCACCATATAAACATAGCTTATCGTGGATAGAAGCACAGGATATCGTTTGATGCTTCATGGCACAATTTTTTAAATATCATGGCATATTTCACTCCAAGAACACATCAAGGACACGCAAAGAGAGAAAAGAGGGAACGCCCCAGCCAGCTGGGGGGCATGCATTCTCTGGAGGAAACACGATGTGTCAGCTACTGTGAATCGTGGTGATTGGACCATGGGGCATATCTTCGACGCCCAGCACTGCCTAGTACTAGGCTAGTAGCTAGTACTACTCTATAGTAGTAGTACTTCAAGAAGAAGTGTTACCTTCCCAAAAGAGGTGATCAGTCTTGCAAGGGGGTCTACATCGTGCATCCTCTAACTCTTGCCCCGACAATGAGACGAAATTGAAAATACTCCAACCATTTTGGTCAAGGAGGAGATGAAGTAACAATTCCCTGTCATATCTTGGGGGGAAGACCTTAAAAAGTTTAGTAGAAATGATTGTTATATTTTTCTATACTTCGTTGTTTGGATGTGAGGTACTAGTGCATGTGCCCTTCTCAATTAATTGACACGTAGTATTCCAATAGATACCAAAATGGCCGCCGACCCGATACTTAGGAGAGAATATGTCTGGTTGATTCTAGGGGAAGAAGTGCCAAGAAAAAAAACATACAAATAAACGATTCACAGTCAACTAATATCTTATATTATACTGGGGTGTTATATTATACTATGGAGACCTTCGGCTATGAAGTCATGCGTTCTAGGAGCGAAACTTGAACAACGGTATCGCCACTCCACCACATCCCTGCTTTTCGTCGTGACAGAAGCCGCCACTAGTGTTCTGGGCTCAATCCAATTTTGGATTTAAACCAGAAGTTTTTTGTATCTCTGCTGGACCCAATGGTTCGCTGCAAAAGGCAAGGTTGCAAACAGACTGTCATCGGTTTGACAACGATATCGGCCATCTGGCAGTGATCTTCTCAGCAGAGAACACAGACATCCAAGCAAAACAACGACCGGTATCAAATCAAAGCATCGATAGCCTCATGGACCAGCCATCACAGAACAGTGTTGATTGTTGAGTCACGGGATGAAGAAGTGTTGTCGAAACTGGAGATGAAGAAGGAATGCCATACAGCATGTTCTTCACAAAAGAGAGCCAAAATAATGCTCCTGACGGTCCTTTGTCTTCATCATGGCCATGATAATATCAACAAGAACTCAACAGACGCCAACACAAAGAGGGCTTTGATTTCCACCACATTATTGGGGACACGATATCAAGTAGCAAGTTATCGTGTCCCCAATAATGTGGTGGAAATCAAAGCCCATTTCCGTCCACGGCTGATTGATATGTTTGGCAACAAAACAAGAGGATTTCAACCTTGCACAACGCCAGCAAAAGTGGGCAAATGTGCATGTGCTGGATGCGAAGCCGAGTCTTGTGCAAAAGAAGGACCTGGAGCGCACCGTTGCAAGTTTTGTTGCAAGTTTTGTGGTATCCCCGTCCATGCAGCGTGTTCCGTTGATAGATGATGGGTTGACAAAAGCGATGCCACCAACCCTTGCCTGGTACAGGTTTTGCAGTGAGCCATTATTGAGAAAATCCACAGCGAGGCCAGAGGTATTACATTTACATAAATATCTTGGTTTCTCGTGTCTCGTTTCGTTTCATTTGTTCGTTCCATCGATATTGATGTTTGATGTTTTCGTACATATTTGAATATATACCGTGCGGTATCTGAAACCAGACCAGTATTCTGGTCTACGTTCAAATTAGTACGATTTCTACGTAACAAAATGAGTCCCAACTTGAATTCGCATCGTGTATTCGTAACCCGGAGTGCCGATATACTTTTCCGCAATACCATGCGGGAACTAAAATTTCACTAGTAATCGTATGGTAGATGATTTCCAGGTATTGCGGAAAAGTATATGATTTTGATATACGTTTCGTGCGGAAATGCGCGGTAATGATATATCCTTCAGTAAGTCTGTACCATCACCGGTACAAAAGTCCGCTCCAAAGCCGCGAAGGCAAAAGGAGTCCAAGTTGATTGATACATTCGACTAAACGGGTACCAGGGTCATCATGAGTAGACTACAGAAGCTACCTCGGAAGCTACTGTACCGGTAGGCACGATCTGATGCTCGATTGCTCAAAGAATACTGTTTGTAGAGCAAGCAGCATTTTACAGGTAGTGTTTGTAGATTGGTAGCAATACCACAGTTACTGTAATACCTGCCTACTAACGTAGTCAGTCTACTTACAACATCGTTACCGTACCATACCAAAAAGTTTACACGGAAGAACTCGAGTACCGGAGACAACATCGACAGCTTTTCTAGACATCAACCTCAACTTCCAAAACCGCCACATCCTCCCGGATCTAATTTACCTGGTGGTCAAAACAAAGACGGTGCAGCTCAAAATTCGATCATGGATGTTCCATTGTGTTCAACCGTTCAAAAGTGGAGAGGCTCTTTATAAACACTTAACGAATCTCTGCGAATATCATGTGTCAATTGAATGGCCTTCTACTTTGCTGCTGCTTCCGTTCTTTAGATGTGAAGTGCAACCGCCCAAAAGGGCATCAGAACCGAATAGAACGGGACAGATTGCCTGATGAAACTTTTCAACTTTTGTTAAATCTATCTTCCTACGTGGCTTCGTGATGACTATTAAATGTCAAGAGGCAGTTCCGTTTCATTAAATGATTGTGGAACAGATCAGAACATACAACACCAAACTTGTCCATTCTGGAACTTGCAAGAACAATTGAATTTCGACCTTTGTTCCATCCGGAGTTGCACCGACCCCCTGCTGGTAGGGTATGCCAGTAGAAAGTCTACGCAAAACCCATTTGTTGTGATCACGCCTTCTCTGGTGCTGTTTTCTTTTTCACGTCTAAAATCTCCCCAACCAAGAAAAAACACAACGAAACAACGAAACAACAAACCACAAACAACATGGAGGAAGAGACACCCACGCTCCGCAGTATCGCCATTGGCGGACCAACCGCACTACCACCCCTCTCTAGATCCTTTGCCTTGCCTGGAAAGCTTCCAAGCCGCCCACTGCATCATCATGAGCAAGCAGCCGCAGCAGCACCCCAACAACCCATTTCCGTACAACACTGGACTGTGGATTCCATGCTCCCAGCCATCTCGGCAGATTACATGCTGGAACGCACCAATGTTTACGTGAATAATAGCTCGGCGCAACAAGTCGCAGACCGCATTGTTGAGTGTTTGAGCCGTCAATCGCTCTCCTACAAGGAATCGGATGAAAACAAGGTAAGCCATATCATGTTCAATCGGGTCTACGACTAGACAATGGAATCCAAGGATAATCCGCTAACCCCATTGGTTTTGTCTATTTCAGAACTCTTTACTTGGAGAACGTCACTGTGGATTAAGATTCTATCTGAATCTCTTTTTGGATTCTCAAGATTCTTCCACCATCATCCTAGAGGTGCAACGGCTCACTGGTTGCTCCTTTGCCTTCCAACAAGTTTGCCGTGAGGTCTGCCGTGCTGCCAAGGGATTGAGCAGCTCAGCACCTGCCATGCCACGCAAGTTTCCAATGCCCAGTGGTCTTCCTCGTGCCTCTTCTGGTGAAATTGCCATGCGATTCGAGGAGGAAGTTGCTCGCGCTTTGGATATGATTTCTAGCCCAATGGTGGATTCTCAACTCTTGGGAATGGAACTATTGGAAGGAGTCTCCAAGTCTCCTCTTGCTGCTCCTTTCATCCTCAAGGAGAATAGCCTTGGCATGTTGAAGGAACTTGTGGTTTCACCTGCGGAGGATGATGATCAAGTCCTCTCGGCACTTGTTACCAAGCGGGCACTGAGGAAAAAGAGACAAGCACTTTCCATTATCGCAAACTGCCTTGCCCACTCGGAATTGACTGCTACTACTGATAGCCTCCATTCGGAGATTTTTGTCGAAAAAGTCTTCCAATGCCTCAAGCAAATAGAAGATCCCCACTGTGCCACCCAAGCTGCACGCTGCCTACATTCCTTGGCAGCCTCCAGACAGAGCACGAAATCCTTTATATTGGGAACTTTGGAATTGTCACAAGTCTTGGACAACCTCCAAACGAGTCATCACTTGCTTTTGAAACAAGAATGCGCCAAGCTCCAAAGCGTGTGCTAAACAAACTTTTAAATGTAAACCAAAAAGAAATAGGTACAACATTTGATACCAATAAAACTTCTTATTCAAACGCTAGACAACATAGCTTATTAATATATGATAGACTCTACTGTAACATTGCGTGATAATGCTGCACCACTTTGTCGAACGCTATACAATACGCCTTACCGTTTTTCTTCCATTCCAGTACCAGTAGGATCCCATCAACACGGAACCGCACCAAATTGAAAACCAAGATTAGAAGTTGTGGAGTATATCGCGGCTATTTAAGGTGTAGCCGTTGAACTCTTTTTTTGAACATGCGCACTTTTTCACCCAAAACATCACTCTCCAAACGAATCAATCAATCAATCAATCAATCACGGACTACCGCATCTACTTCAAGAGCGCGGCGGTGCCGCTATGCAGGAAGAAGCCTCGTTCTTTGATGAGGCTTTTGATCATGTCAAATGCATCAATCTAACGCGTCGTCCAGATCGATGGCAGGCCTTTTTGCGTCAACATTTTGTGCCTCGTAAGCTAGAACGCTGGGAGGCAATTGATGGAAGTTTGTTGTTGACACATGTACCTCCTAGCGAGGAGCAGGAGGAATGTCAAATGGAATGGGATGCCTCCCAAAATGCCAAATATGATCCTCACATTCAACCCCCCATGATGAAAAGGTGTACCATGGGAGAAGTTGGATGTACTCTTTCACATGTGGCTGCTTGGAAGGAATTTTGTGTATTAGATGACAGTGCTGGTGGTGATGGTAATGGTGCTAGCACCATGCTCATTTTGGAGGACGATGCCATTTTTCATCCTACCTTTTTATCGTCCTTTTCCAAAATGTGGAAGCTCGTACCAGAGGATTGGGATATGTTCTATCTGGGCTTTTGCAATGTTGGCCCAACCACACCAGTGGTGACAGCAAGCAGTGTCAAGAAGAATGATCCAACGAACGAGGATCCACGGCGACAAGAAGAACAGGGACAGCAACCCGATTTCACAACCATATCCATTGTCCGACCATCGTATGGGTTTTATACCCACGCCTATGCCCTTCGAACAAGGGGTGCTCAAAAGCTACTGTCGCAACTTCCAGTGGTCGGACCCATTGATACTTGGTTGGCCGACAATTCTTGGTTTGGAATGAATGTCTATTTGGGGGTCATGGGAAGATCCACGTGTATCATTGGGCAACAACGAAAGGATCTAAAGAATGACATTGTGCATTCCGCACACTGTAGGGATTAACATTGTGCATTCCGCACACTGTAGGGATTGATAATAATGGTTGCCATGGGCCATTGTGGATTGCTTTATGAAAGTAGTATAGTAGCTACGACGAGGCAACAATTATCATGTCGAATGTCTTTGCGTTTCGTCAAGGAAGATACGAACGAAAGTATAGAATTGAAGGAAACTTCCGAGTCCACGAGGACATCTATCAAGTTGCGGAACGGGCACGACCCAGCCATGTCATGCTGCGTCCTCCAATACAACAAGCCACCATACCCGGAACAACACTTGGCCTGGTGGCTTCCGAACAATTTATTGGCGGATCATCGCAGCAGCAGACCGTCCGTAATGAATACTCTATCATTGTATCGATCATTGACCAGATGAAATACTTATTTTAAATTAGCTTCTGCAGTACTGTATATGTTGGATTTTACTTTTGAAGTGTAATACTGTACATGTTGGAGCATGTATCAACAATGTTAGTTGTACGGGTTGTACCTGGTACACTACGTACCTGCAGTATGGAATCTTCACTGGAGGATCCGGGTTCCCTTCTTCAAAGATTGTTCTCCGCGTGACCCAATCACCAGCCAACCCAATTTTGACGCGGAAAATAGTGTCAAGAATAATAAATACGAGAACACAGAAACAAGCATCTCAAGTGCCAACCAAATTGTCGTTTGTTTGATGGAATTGAATTGAATTCATCTTTTTTTCTTTCCAAGTCTCCATACTAAATCACTCATCCATAGACCTGAAAAAACAAACAAATAGACAAACAAACAAACAGACAAAGAGACAAACAAGCAGAATGTTTCAATCCATGGAAAGTTTTGCAGACACGGAAGTACAAAAAATTCAATTCAACTCGCAAGAATTGCTGGCCGTTTTGGTGGCTTCCGCATCCATTTTGTCACTCTCGGGAGAACATTACGACGTCGTTCCTCGTGATTTGGTCAATTTGACCTTTGGAGTTCCCTTGTTGTTTGCATCTGCCTACGAGTCCTCTCTGATACCAGGAGTTTTGGCCTATCAGCTGTATTCTTCTTTGACCTATGTCTTGGCCTTTCGTGCATCACCAGGATGGGTTTTCTTTTTGCATCTAATTGTTCTTTGCATGAGTGCTTCCAAATTTTGGGAGACTACAGAAGGTTTCAAAACACTTTTCTACAGTAGTACTACTAGTACCACTAGTAGTGACGACGAGGAGAAGGAGGAGGACGAACCTGTATCGAAAGCAACATCCAACTATGCTGGAGGTATTGTAATGTTTTGGGGAATTGCGGTATCATTACGATCATCCATCCGAATGGAACTATTTGCCTCATACTTTGGAAATGAAAGTCTTATGACAGAATCATCCGCTGTGGATGCCACACAACTCTTGTTGGGAGTTGTTTGGATGCTTGGCGGGATTCAACTCTGTCGACATGCCAATGCCCATTTGGGGTTGTGCCTCCTATTGCAGCTCTCGTCGTTTATCTATGGGTCGCTCTTGATCCTGCTCATTCAATACTGTGTCATGGAGAATGCAGCAACAACAGCAGTCGATGATGATTCCTCACAAGTGGAAGATGCGGCAACGCTTGGCATGATGGCACTCTCAGTCATTCTCCCCCTGGAACGATTCTTTTCTCAGGTTTCCTTGAGACAGACTACGCCATCAAAAGTATTGGAGAGCTGATGCTGATTGATTGGTGGTGACTTCTTGAGAGAGTTGCTTCCTCCTCAGCATGCATGGGTGGTCGTCGTGCTGTACTTGTATTAGCAGTACATACTAGTAGTAATAATACTTGCTTCTTGCATTTATAATGTTTTCAAAATGACTGTAGTCCTAATAGGTTGCTGCTTCTCTGATGGATTGCTCGTATTGAACAAGGACGGGGCATGAAATATTCCAACGTCTCATGTAATATTACAAATACCGCAATATATTCGGAAGACATGACCATGAAAAGGAACCAAGAAATTGTGTATTTTATATTTGTTCGAATGAGTCAGTCACGAGAATTCGAGAAAGAATTTGAATCACGGTCTATCGAATTCGAAACTCCTGAAATGACTTCCTCGACTCCCGAAAATCGCCAATATTCGCCAAAACAAAGATGAGGTGGAAGGCGGATCAACCACACGCACACACGGAACTTTTTTTGAAAAAACATCGTTCAGTACTGTAACAAACACGACACAGAACAGTAGCAACCACCCGAATTGGAACTCCTCGCGTACAAACAGTCATTTACACCAGTCACGACACCACGATGAGATTTCCAAGTCCAGCCTGTTGCACACTGTTCCTATTGCTTGTCTCTAATACAAACTTTGGTGATGCCTCGACAAGAGTTTCAACAACTTCTCCATCAACAACATCAACAACGTCATCGTTCCTCCACGAGAATTCTGAAATTCTGACGCCGTCTTCCGCACTGGCATTTGATGCTGCTGCTGCTGATGATGATGATGACAACGAAGTCGTCTCTTTGACGTCTTCTATATGCACGGATGCTGCAAGCCTGGCCTCTGATTTTCAAAAGGCGTTGGTGGTGATGAACCAACAAAAGGATGATATTCATGTGGGTCATTTGCTTTCCGCCTGCGAAGGCTTGGAAGCCACCATGAGACGAATTGGGTTTGCCCAAGGTGCCAGTGACATTGCCGCCAATCTATCCAAGATCCGGACGGTGTATCATCAGGTTTCTCCTGACAAGCGAGATTCCATGCCGGAAATACTCCAATACGAAAAAACGATGATGATGACAGACAGCAAGGCCATTAAGGATACCAGTGCGACTATGGGGCTTTTGTGGCTTGGCCGCTCCTTGAACTATCAATACGATATGTTCCAACAACTGTTGCTAGACGTGAACGTCCAACCATACGAGGCTGCCTATTGTGCCTATGAACGCAACATGAAACCACATTTGTCCTGGCCGTTGCAAAAGGTCTGTCAGGTGGCCTTGAAGAAGTTAAAGGTACTTCGTCGAGAACGTATGTTAGCTTGCATTGGTGGATTTTCAGAGGAATGTTACGGGGCTTGCGAGGACCAAGCTACTCGACACGACTTGCAACGAGTCGTTCGATGTTTGGAACCCATGCTGGGACGTTGGCGACAGGTGTTTTCGGATATGGGGCTTGGGGACATTTGAACCAACCACCTCACGTAAACAAAAACAAGAACAACAAGGTCCTGTCTGTATCCAAAAGAAATAAGGAATGTACATTACTGAAACAGAACGACGAAGCGCCAATTGCCGTAACAAGATTATACAAACGAAAAAGTTAGGTGGTATTATGATGCTGCTCCGCAAAGAGAAAAAACACTGTAACACTAAAGATTGCTATCCAATATGTGATACTACTATTGTACTTAACATTTATGCTGAAACAATGCAAATGAGTAAAAGCAAAAACTTGTTCATTTCATAGGATCTGTGTCTATAAAGATTCTCTATATTGAAATTAATTTTTTATTCTTTCTTGACATGGTTCGATCAATATGCGCCCACCATATCCAAGTCTTGAGTTGCAAGAATGTCGTAAATGCAACCCTTGCGACTGAACTCATCCTCAAGCCCCGCGCAGGCTGCTTCCGCTTGTTCCTCCGTGATGGAAGCCTCGTCCAATCGACGTCGGCGCTCGCCGTGCGGGTCTTCCGGAACATAGCACTTTTCAGGAAATTGTGGTTTCGAGGTTGAGTGAAAGTAGGAACCATCGGATGGCAATACTTGCCATTCACTTCCAAGTTCGTTAAAGTCGTTGAGCACAGTGCTGCCATCACGAGCATAGGTGTTGCCAGAGCGGAAATCGCCGGTAATACCAACCGAGTTCCCAAAGGACGCTTCGGAAGCACCGTTGATCTTTACTCCAACAAATTCCTTGAAGATTTTGATTTCGATCTTCTCTCCTGGATAGAGGCTGTCCAGATCAATGGTATATCGGTCCGTGTTATCATTTAACGATACAGGAAAGCCCGATAGATCTGTCAACTCGCCCATGTGTTCGTAGTTGACCCAATAGCTAGCGGAAAAGTCGGGGGACCCTTCCACTTCCAAAATGTCAGTTCCAATACGAATGACGGCCCTCTCGATGTAACTCCAGAATCGAACCACCTTGGTACGGATGTGAATGTCAATGCCGAGACCATCGGCAAAGTCCTTGTTCGAAACCATGACAATATCGCACTGTCCATGATACTCAAAGTGTTCATTCTTCCATGTCTTGACTGATGTATGAAAGAGATTGGAAACCGTATGTGTCAGTGCATATTGTTCGTTGCGATATAACGTGTTTCTTTCAACCAGAAAAAGTAGTACTTACAGTGAGGATCACCGTTGCCTTCAGCATTCTCAGTAGTCTCCTCGGTAGTCTCGGCATTCTCAGTAGTCTCGGCATTCTCAGTGGTAAGCTCTAGTTGTACAGCAGAACTATCCCCCTCTTCGTTATGAGACTGCTTCTCTTGTGTTTGGAGAAGAGCTTCCTCTTGTGTTTGGAGAAGTTCGTTAGGACGAGGTGTTGGGCCTGAGGTGGGCCCCTCCGTGGGACCAGATGTGGGGCCTGAAGTAGGACCTGGAGTTGGGCCTGACGTTGGTGCAACAGTAGGAGCTGACGTGGGGCCTGACGTTGGAAATGATGTTGGAGGGACAGTGGGTCCAGAGGTAGGACCGACTGTTGGAACCGCTGTTGGACCCGACGTTGCACCGGCCGTAGGTCCCGATGTTGGACCGACGGTTGGACCCACTGTTGGACGGGTGGTGGGTCCAGAGGTAGGACCCGATGTTGGACCCACTGTTGGACCCACTGTTGGAAGGGTTGTAGGTCGAGAGGTGGGACCAGATGTAGGACCCACTGTTGGAGGGGTTGTAGGTCCAGAGGTAGGACCAGATGTAGGACCCACGGTTGGAGGAGCAGTTGGTCCGGTTGTAGGACCAGATGTTGGGCCCGAGGTTGGACCGGCAGTAGGTACAGATGATGGGCCCGAGGTAGGACCGGCAGTGGGTCCAGAGGTTGGGCCCGACGTTGGACCGGCAGTGGGTACGGATGTTGGACCTAATGTTGGCGCCGATGTTGGACCTGCTGTAGGGCCAGATGTTGGCACCGATGTTGGACCTGCTGTCGGGCCAGATGTTGGGCCAGATGTTGGCGCTGGTGTTGGACCGGCAGTGGGTGTAGATGTAGGACCAGATGTTGGCACTGGTGTTGGACCTGCTGTAGGGATAGATGTCGGCCCAGAAGTGGGGCCAGAGGTAGGCGGCGATGCCAACTGAGATGGAGAAACCTTTTCGATGTTTTCGAAAGTCGCTGGTGAACTTTTCTTGAGTTCTTGTACAAAAGTTTCTAAGTCGCTTTCTTCTTGTAGTGCATCTGACGCCAGCTCACTGGCAGTGACATTGACACCATTCTGGCGATAGTATTGAATCGTTTCGTTGTACGAGATGACAACTCCAGACACTTCTTCAAGGCGGCGGGCTGACGTATCCGTGAACCCAATATTATCAATGACAATGGTGATGCCCAAAACGGTGAAGTTTGTTGCATGAGAGGCAAAAAAGTTCAAAGTGTGATGCTCCATCGTTTCAATCCAAGCAATTTGACACTGTGTATCACAGGATGTCAGGCCAGTGAGTTTTTGGGTGAGACCTGAAACTGTTTCCGTCTCTTGAGATTCCTGGGTTGGACCAGATGTAGGCCCACTTGTTGGAACAGGCGTTGGTGCATCAGTAGGGCTCAACGTTGGTGCATCAGTGGGACCAGTTGTAGGCCCGGCGGTTGCTGCAAGAGCTGCTGCTGCTACTTGTGCTTGTGCAATTTCAGCTTGTGCTCTTGCGATTTCAGGACTGTCGGTAATGTCCCCTTCAAAGATCTCGATTTGCGCACTTCCTGTTGCACTTTGATCGAGGGCAAAAACGTGGACAGTTACAGAATTTCCCGTCCCTCGAAAGTTTGTGATGGTAAAGTATTGGTCTTTGGTCAGCTTAGCCTCCAAATAAGTAAAAGCTGAAAAGTCATCAACTCTTGAGGTGACGGTGACTTGGTTTTGTGCCTCGATTGTTCCAGCGTTGGCGCCAACTGCATGATTGTACATCACATAATAGTCGTTGCTGCTGTCGGAAAATTTTACCACGACATTTTCACCAGATTCGAGATTTGGGAGTTTGGCGACCCCGGCTAAGGATCCAGTGTATGTCTCTGTCAATGGATCGATTTCAACGTTGTGTTGATCATACCACCCAAGCTGCCAAGAGTGAGCACCATTGAAGCAGTACTTGCCTCCAAAAATCTCTTCGTCTATGTTTCCATAAGTTCCTCCCATGACACCAGTCAAATCACCGTATTCTCTGTTCCATGAGTCAAAGCGATCACTGGAGTGCTGCAAACCCCAGTTATGACCGACTGTTACCAATGGACATGGTCGATTAGAGCGTGTGCTACAAATGGAAACAAGCAGCAAGCCAAGTCAACTTACTTTCATGGGCATGTGCTGCGGGGTTACGGCAATTCTCATCTCCATTGTAAACACTGATCCACCCTCCAACGTACGCGTAGGCACGCCACCTACGGGAATTGTCGGAAGGACGATAGGATCCGCTTGGGACGCACATCATAACCAAGTCAAAAAGCAAGCTGAGATTCGTGGTGAGAAACATATCCAAGAGTTGTTGCTCCGCGGCTTCTTCCATGTCATGGCGATCGGCTCCAATAGAGGCGAGGTCTAGCTCCACATCAATAACACCATCTACGATTTCCTTTTCGTAGCTTGCTTGTTCACCTCCATTACAAGCACAGCAAGCACTGTTTGCCGTTTCGGGACCGCCGCCAATGTCTGCCCAGTCCCCGATCCAAGGGCAATACACACCCGGTTTGTATATTTCCATGGCGGTGAACCAGTCGCAGTTGACATCTCTTCCACTTCGGGTCTTTGCAGAGCCCTGGAAATTGTCCAAATCTTTGCACCCCATTCCAGTTGTGGTTGCAGGCTCGATGGTCACTGCATGATTGGAACACTCTTCCGTGTTCTTCTTGATGTTGACTTGATCACCATCAGTTCCAAAGATATTGTCACTTATTTCTGCAGCGTCAGCTCCAAGCCTGGCGTCAGTAGTTGTCACTCGAACTACAAGCACACTTTGATCACCCATCCCAGTAACTAATCCTCTTCGTTGTCTTCGTGCATCACCAAATGAATCATCTCCAAACAAAAGATTGTTGCTGGAAGAAATGTACAGGGTGTGATTTCCTAATGTGGCCCCGTCCGCGAATAACGTTGTCACACCACTCGTAATATCTGGTTTCGCAGCTAAGACAAGATCAATTCCATCGATATCCACCATCGCATGCTTGGATTCAGCAACGGCCCCAGCGGTTTGGGCATCGGGGCCAAAGACTCTGCATTCCCAAGTTTCCCCGTCTGTCCCATCCGCATAGTCTGTCTCTCGTATATACAGAATACAAGGAAGTGATTGCTCATCCAGCGAAGTCAATGTTATTTGCTAGAGATGTCAGTTGTAAAGAAGAAGATGGAGGATGCATTGAGGATTAGCTAAGTCGAACACCAGTAGTCAGCATTCAGGATTCAAACAAGAACGAAAGCTACGTACATCTGTGCTATTGTAAAAAGCAAAAGGATCTTCCTCGGCCAAAGTATTTGCTGCACATAAGACGAGAAGGATAGATATTATTCTCATCATTTTCATTGCAATGCAGTTTTTGGTTGGTTCGAATTTGGTGGGATGATTTTTTTTCAATTTTGTGATGGTCATTCCGCGGGAAAATTCATCGGCGAATCTGTTTCTCTTGATATTTTCCCATAACTGACCAAAGGGGGGCGGACCATAGTATGGCAATCATATCAACTGGAATAAGCAAGGATCAAATTGTCTCCAGCCAAAATTTGAGGGGTTGACTGATTGATCATTTGTGCTTCATTGCATAAAAATGTTGGATGACAAAAATTTTAAGCTGACGAGAGATGGATTACAAGAATTGGCAAAAGTGTAGTATCAACAACGAAAGGGGGTTACGATTTCTGGGGGAGTGGTGACTATGGTGGGTGAGCCTCATTTGCCACCAACGAACAGAATTGAGTCATTTCACATTTATCATCGGCTGCTTTTAGTTGCCTTTCCCATATTGCCACCTCACAAAACCTCGGCTTTCTATTAGAGTGAAGGAGTTTCGCCGAAGTATGACTTTGAGAAATTATTACGTGAAGGTGAAAAAGTGCATGGGTGAAGCTTTACGTGAAGTCTTTGCGACACTGAAAATTGCACAAATGGATGACCAATCTGACTCAAGAGTCATCGAACAACGTCTGTCTTTTGTCTGTTGACAAATACTGGTGGACGACCGCCAGACGACATCCATGATCGCCAACACGCACTATTATTGCACTCCTTCATCCTGCGCTTGCGACTACAACTCTCTCCATCATCATTGAGTTGCAGTGAATCGAATCCCAGCTGGGTACTTGCTTGGAACAAATTCTCCCCCTATCGTTACGACTGATAAGCAAGCACGGCAATCAAAGTATCGTTAGTGCCGCAAATTATACAGTAAAAGTAGTAAGCTGGAACGCTGTGTCTTTCAGCTGTGTTCAACTTGAAGAGACTGCCCATGAAAGGTCCCTTCCAAATTCAGAGGTCCAGGGCAGTCTGGCTTCCATTACTACTCGCACACTTTTCTACACAATCAGCGCATGCTTTTGATTCTGTCCTGTTGGACACTGCCGCATCCGTCCGACGAAAAGTACCTGAATTTCCAAAATATGAAGACTTGCATTATGAATCAGATTACCTCCGACCAGACAATATGGGAATGCGAGGCATGTGCAATTGGATCATCCCCAACAAACTGATGGTAGGACAATATCCTGGGCAATCACCGGAACCCTTTGCCCCAAATGCTCGCGATGTTGATAACCATATCAAATCCGTTGTCACACAAGCTGGCGTCAACCTATTTTGCAGTTTGCAATCAGAAATTCCACCCCAAGACGATTACGCATGGGTGTTCAATGGCGGTGAAATATACTTTCCAGATCCATATGTACGACGAGAGTTTCCACGGCCCTTTAAACATTATGCTCCCATGGTGAAATCCTACAATCCAGATTGTCTCTTCTTGCATGCTCCGATTGACGACTGCGATGTTCCCAAAACCGAATCTGCATTGACCGATCTGCTGCTAGAGTTATTAGAAGCTATTGATAAAGATGATCGATGTGTTTATGTACACTGTTGGGGTGGTCGAGGTCGAGCTGGTTTGGTCGGAGCCTGCATGTTATCGCTGATTTTCCCTGAAAGGGACGCCAACGACATATTGGAATTGGTTCAATTTGGCTATAGCACCAGGGCTGGTGCCAAGAATATGCCACCGGGTCTGCAGCAAAGTCCTCAAACCGAATCACAGCGAGAATTTGTCCGCATGTTTGTCGATCAACGGCAGCGGCACCACTTTTTCTTCACCAAGCCAACGAAACTGTCCATGGCAATAGAAACTGGTGAATTCTGAACCGTGTCTAACGAGGATGAACAAGCTACCGGATGATTGGGGAGTCCAGCCAATCAGTAAAGAGAGTGGGTGCCTTTTGCTGTTAGAATACATGTATAAATGGATGATGGATTGGCTCAGTACATGACCGATAGAAAACGTATGTTACATTAGAAAATGCTAATAGTCTGCTTGTTTTGGGGGAATCAATCACTTGAAAATGTTCGTCGTTTCCACTTTCTCATAGCTATTGTTTGCCACTCATGCAGACTTTTTGGTGTCTCAGAAAGAACAATCAATCCATCATAGTCTACTTTTCTGACCATTATTATTGATTGAGATTGGCTTGAACCCGCAAAAAGGTTTCCCTGACAAATTGATTGTGTTGCAGAATCAATGGCAATCGAGGATGAACATTCAAATCCCGTCCTTGCGCCTTGGCCGATAGCTCGTCCAACTGCATCAAAAACCCATCAACGTGATTCCGAAGGGCCGTCAAGGTTTCCCCATAATGTTCGTCATGAATGGCCTGCTTGGTTTGTTCATCGCCACTCACGTGGGCTTGATACAGAGCCTGGAGTTGTTGAACATTGTTCGAGGCCTCCAAGATTTGATAAAGTAAAACATCCCAAACTTCTTGGGAAACATCTCCCGTCTCCTTGTAAAAGAGCATTCGCGAAGGATTGTATCCCATTTCAATCAATTGGGGGGATGGATTGGGAACCAAAATTTTGCAAAAGGTGGCCGGCGATGAGTGATCCAGGAAACCATAGCGGGCAAAAAGGAAGGAAGGGTTGGAGTTGTCTCCAGCCGTGTATGACATGCGCAAAGGTGTTCCGGCAGGGACGTCGTAAAGGGTGGTGGCATAAAAGTTGCCGTCGTCGTCGTATCGGCCTTGAATTTCATATGTCGAATCATGATTGAACTAACAATATTGATGATGAGAAATGGTGCCAGGATGACAAGGATGATTTCGATGGATGGATAGTCCAACAGAAAGAGAGCAGAAGGAGAACAGAAAGAAAATGATGGATGGATTAGAATCGTAGCCTGCATCACATGGTCTTGCAATACACTATCAGAACGTACCATGTCTGCCATGGGAGCTACCTTGTAGTCCCCGTGTCCATCCTGAAAGGACCTCGTTAAGCAAACATTGTATGCCCATTTGGCAATTTCCTTATTTCCTCTAGTTTCTGGTGACAAGAAGTAGCAAAAATCTAAAGCCTTGAAGAATTGCTTGAATCGGGTCTTTTCCTTGAGAGCCAAGCTTCCAACCAACGGTGGAAGACATTCCGTACAGCAATAATGCGTCATGGAGGCCCCAGTAGAAAAGTATCGTGGCAAGGAATTCAACCATGGATACCATGGAGATTGATCACCAAGTTCATATTCCTTCAAAATCTTGAGAAACAAATAAAATCGTTGGACTTGATCGTAGGCATTTAGCTGGACAAACAAATCTTCTGCATCTGTGATTGTCCCAAACTCTTCCTTGGCACGATTGGCCGACAGTGTCACTTCATTTGGAACAAACAAGACGGGCGTATCCTTTGGCAGATCCATAGACGTGTAAACGCCCACATCCAAAGATGGGTCTTGGGAGGTCACCATCAATTGGAATCCATCTGCCACTTGTACGCCACAAGCAACGGCCCATTCTTCAAAGCTACCAATTTCGCGGTTTGCGTTCTCATCAACAGCAATGATAGGAGTCGAAACTGACATGGCCAAGGCTGTTGGCACGTGGCACTTCTGGTTACTAAAACGAATATCATCATTCAAGTTATCTCTTCGCCTCCATGGTTGATTTGAAATAGAAAAGGCTGTTTTATGGTCAAGAGTAGGAATTCTCGGTGAGACTGAAGGCTCTGACAGAAAAGCTGAGGCCCCACATCCCCAAAAGAGCAAAAGACACCCTCTCAGCATCATCATCATCATTGTCAGTTTCGATTTTTTTGAAATTCTTGATGATGTATTTATTTTGATGGATGCGCGCATATGATCGCTGCGGCGCGTGGCAACAGTTTGAAAGGACTTGATAATGCCCATGTACTGATATAGTTACAATACAAAGCTATTGGCTATCGGTATCCAGCATAGAGAAATCACACCAAGTGGTGATATCAAAGACAGTACAACTGTTGTTACTCTGCCGAAGTTACGGTGACTAGGAGTCACAAATAGTTATTGCGACAGTAGAACGAATGAATGTCATCTCAAAATTCTTGGCAGCAGATTGATTTTAGGTTCTATTTTTCAAAGCTGTTTAGTAGTATAGTATACCAGTAGGTATACACCATTCGTCTAGTGAGTCGCACGTGTCCAGCAGAAATCATCGTTGCTCAGGGCATGCACCAATGGAATGCCGAAATTATATCCATCCCCCCGATAAGTTCATGGAATAACCTAAATTGTCGTAAGCGGGTTTTGCCACAATAATGTCGGCTCCAACTTGTACCCAATCCGACCCATAAATGACTGCCATCTGCCATTGCTCTTATTTCCCCACGGTGATGAACTGCGGACGAGAGGTAGACTCAGACCGCACCTCCATCTCTTATTTTGTGGTGATTCCCTGCGTCGCTTTGAGCTGCAGTCATAATCATCATATTGTTGTAGTAGCAGTACCGTTGGGAAATTGGATTAAATTGGTGTGGTTCTTGTCTGGCTGGATGATTGCAATGCTGCTGCTTCTCGTCCTCGTACACTTTCACCAACCATCCGTGTGACATCGTTCCATCGTGCACTCCCCATTTGGAGAACTCGATGTGTGGCAGCCAAAATGTCAGGTCGCGTGTTGGTGTTCTCTTGAATGGGATGATCATCCATGGTGCTAATTGCGCCAGCTGGTATCATCCCCAGCACCACTATTGTCGTCACCAGCACCACGTCTGGCATTTCCATTCTGTTCTATTCGAACCATCATATTCACGAATTGATCACTGAGTCCCTCACGAATTCGTTCCATTCGTTGTTGTATTATGGAAGATGATCCCGTGGCGTATGGACTACTTTCGTCATATTGAGTTGCGGTGTCATTTCTAGTCGTTCGTCTCTGCTGGTGATGATTGGCATTGGGTGGATCAATGGTTTCATTTTGGTGTTGCTGCTCCAGTCTTAAAATGATTGGCTCCAATTGATTTTCAATGTCTTGCCGCATCCGTCCCACTTGCTGTTGAAAGGTTGTTGCCAACAAGGCGAATCGTGAAGCAATGAGCGGGCTGATGGTATCAATTTCATTATCATCCGCTCCCTCGTCATTGTCACCAAACTCCAAAAAGCCCTTTCGACAACATGGGCATTCAGAATTGGAAACGAGCCATTTCTGGTCCAAGGAAAACGCATGTGTCAGCTGATGACTGGCGGCATACATGTATATTACAGCACTATTCAGCTGAGCAACTTACCTTCATACAGTCTCGGTGAAATGCATGTAAACAGTTGAGATTGTGACTAGAAGTAAGTTTCTCTCCATCCTCATATTCCATCAAACAGATGGAGCATTCTTGTTGGTGCAACCGTAAGGATAATGATCTGTGTTCTTTATCAAATCCATCGTAGAGACTATAGGAACGACGAGTCATAGTCTCATCGTTGTCGTCGTCATCCTTCTGTTCCGTTCGATGATAATATAGTATACAGGGCAACAGATTTTCCAAGTCTTCCAATCGTTCCTTTTCTTCTTCCGTCATGGGTGGTGATGGTAACGGAGATTCTTGTGGATGTCGTCTTTGCCAATAGTTCCGGTAGCAGCAACAACAATACCGGCCCATGAATCGACTCCAGCATCCAGATGTCAGGATTGAATGATTCATCCTTCTCCAACTCATGATGTTCGCTATAATATTATAACAATGGACCTGTTTGGGTTTCGAGGATGTAGTCTCAAACGATACTGTAGCACAAGGTACGTGTACGTGTACCAGTCTTAGTGAGTATTGTGTATGTGATGTATGTCGTCTCCGTCCAGAACGTTGCTGAGTATCATGTAATGCATATGAATATATGCGTGCTGACTTGTATTTCGAGGATACAATAATTTGCCTTGATGCCTCTACTATATTATGTGCGTGGCGACGCAGCTCTATCCTGAAAATATGTTGTTGTCACACAGTGCTTCACTTTCTCCCGTCCCGGACCAGCAGCATGTTAAACGCTGTGTTTCTAGTGTGTCTGTGTGTAAATAGTCACCATGTGTTGCACATGCAATATAGGCATTACGATAGGCACTTATTATTATTATTCGAGTTGCAATAATCTGGGAGAATTTTTGGATATGATTCATGCGAATGTTTATTATTTATTACCCCCGAATAGAGAATACTCCCTCAAATCTTGTGATGAGAACAAAAACTTTCATAGATCGCATATCCTATACATTGCAGAGTCATCGTGATCATCATCATCATCATCATCATCATCATCATCGCAGATATCTCATAGACTTCACCGTCGTTTTCACACTCTTGCTCCTCTTCTTCCTAATCTTCATATGATGATTATGCTCAACTTGTCCTTGCGCCCAGCTTTTTCGTTCTGGGTAATATTATTGATGATGATGACATTATTCAGCATGACAATGACTGGAGTGTCATCCTTATTACTGTCCGATGAGGAGAGTCAACTATTTGGTCTGGTCAGTACCAACGATGGTGATGCCTTGAAAGGATTCATCGACGAAAATACTCCGGCAGTAAATATCAATGCCATTGGCAAGGGGGGACAAACACCACTCATGTTTGCAGTCCTGTCCGGAAAAGACAATGCCGTCAAGGTTTTGTTGGAGGCGGGTGCCGATACGACCATTGGGGAACAGGATGGATACACGCGTGAGTGAATGGAATGAATGTCAAAAAATATGTATGGATTGAGTTTGGAAACAATCTATACCTTGTTGTTGGATCTGCTGGTGATCTAGTGTACCGGTATCAAAAGACTGTACAATATATGTTGATCAATTTTCACTTGTTTCTTCGTCGTTCTCACTGTAGCTTTCTTTTTTTTTTCGTTTTTCCATACACATCATCATCCTGTGGTTATATGGATGATATTCCATTGTTGCTGCTTTCCGACATCATTCCTATTTGGTGATATCATTGTTGTGATCATTGCTGCTTTTGGGCTATACTATCTACTACATCTATATTGCTACAACAATTATTACATGTCTGCACGCAGCCATGCACGGAGCCGGATATCAAGGACGGACTGCCATTGTCAAGCTTTTGGTCGATCATGGATTGGATCCCCTTGACACCCACAAGGATGGATTCATCGGCATGCATCGTGCTTGTTGGGGACCCGATACCCGACATACGGAGACGGTTCGAGCCTTTCTCGAAGCGGGGGTACCTCCGGATTATCCGAGCGAAATCGACCATGGTGGGGGTAAAACTTGCATGGCCATGACACCGAATCCCCACACCAAGGAGATCCTTGGGAAGGCCATGGCGGCGAAGGATGAACTCTGATACAGTAGTCGGTAAGACGGAATTGAACTGTGATTGTATAGGTGGAGGAGTGTCAAATGGACGAGGAAACGACTTCAACTTGAGAAAAATGGATCTACATTATCAGAACCATTGACGACTGCGTCTTTGTCTGTTTATATGACTGATAGTAACGACCATGATAACTACAGTTGCAATCTTCTGACTAGTGCAATGATTATACTTTTCAAATTGTGAGGTAGGGCGTACGGTGGCAGCTGCGAACATTCATATGCGCAGTGCAGTGAATGAAATGTTCATTCGGATTGGTCGATTATACGATTCGAATTGAAATGAAGTGTGATGATATGAGAGACAATAATAAAATAACCACAACAGTAGCACATAACTGTAGTGAAGCAAACAGCATGTCATCAAGGCTAATTATCCTTCCAAAGAAGTCGTATTGTCCATGGAGCGAGGAGAATGTTCAAAAAGTATTGAGAGATGAAGAGAAACATGCGCGTGAAGTGAAAGCATCATCAGCCAATAATAATAATGACCAAACAAAGACACAAAATCACAACAAGCATCAAGATGATGATGAGAAAGACGATACCAAGAACCTAGCACCCAGTGGGAATTTTAGTCTATTTGCCAAAGAGGAAAAACAAGCGCATATTGAACAAGAGAAACAAATAATGAGCGAGAAGGATACCACCAGACGACGGAATCATCGTCATCAGCCACAGCATAATTATTTACGGCCGTTTGATCGATCCACAAGTGCTGCCATGGATTCTGCTGTTGGACTCAACTCTCGAAAATACAAGCACTCACGAAAGGATGCGGCGCTAAAGAATAGATTGGATCCAATGGGTGGATTCTGTATCAGTGATAAAGAAATCAAGAGTGACAACAAACGAGTTGACGTTGACGATGATCATCAACCAATCGACAGAAAACATTCAAGATCATCTGAACGTAGAAGAGACCGAAACCAAAGTCATAGGAGAAAAAGCAGACGACCGTCTTCCTCGTCATCCTCTGAGGATTCTTCATCTTGCTCATCATCGAAAAAGAGACGGCGAAATAAGAGGCGACGGGAATATTCAAGGTCCAGAGAAAGTGGGAGTAAGTCATCATCGTCCTCATCAACAGCTTCTCATGTCGACGACTCGTCCCAGGACAGACGAAAACGTCGACGTAAAAGGCGCAGTACAAAGCCACGGAGCGATCGGAGACGTAAAAAAAGCAGGCGAGCCAACGATGGTGATGGTGATGATGATGCTAGAAGCAAAACAATGTCAAAAGAAGAAAAGGCCAAACGTGAGCTACTGATGCGTTGTGCCCAGCGGGAAGAGGAGGAACGATGGAGGCAAAGAAATCTTCGGCGGTAATGAACGAGCATGTGCCACATAGAGGGAGCTAATCACACTTTATAATACAAACAATGTTCCGTTATCGTGTCCCACCGCATTGCCGATTTGGACTATGATTGATCATGTGACAGTATAAGTAATAGTCTCAATAAGTTCATCTGAGCGTCAATAATCCAAACGGCAATTATGCCAGAGGGATAATTCAAATATATGGGTATAGTTATCCTTATACTGTAGCTTTTGTCTATACCTTCTCGGAGCTTGATCACTCTGGTCGTGCCCTCACTCATTCGTCTAGACTTTGATGGCACAATGTAAGTGGCGATTGGCCATCATAATACCCCGTATACCAACCCGTTTTGATAACACGAGGAGAGGCACCGCATATAGTCCCCATGCGCTCTTGCTTCATTCGTTCCAAGAAATGCAAAAGTATTCAATTATGCCTTTGCATCTCCACCTTCCATTTGTTCCATTAGTAATTCTGCCACCGCTTCGACTTTTCGGATGGCACCCCACTCCTTGTAATATCTAATCGATTCGGTCAATCGGAATTCGGCTTCCTTCTTGTCGCGACGATGGTGCATTAACAGATCGGCATATCGTTCATTGAACAAGGCGGCATGGTGCAAATGACCGGTCCGAGCCGCCAAGGCGATTGCCTCCACATATAGCTTTTCAGCTTTGTCGTACGATTTGCCCAAGGCTTTTTCTTCTGCGTCCAACAACTTGATGTAGTGTTTGACATTTGGATTTCCGGCATCCCACCATGATTGTACCAACTTTCGTATCTTGCCCGCCGGGTTTCTGTATTTTCGTTGACCCGTTCGCCTTGCCATGCTATACAAACTGACACCACGGTGAAAGGTTTCAATCATAATCAGGCAAGTCCCCATATTGTGCTTGGCAAAATTGTTTCCCACTTTTAGAGCTCTCTTTGCCGCGGCCTCTGGGTCAAAGAAAAGCAGCATCTCTCCTCTGGCAAAGTGGGCCTTGTTGGAAATTTCCGGTGGCCCATCTACGTCAACACCAGAAATCACCAAGTTCAGAAATAGATCTCGGAACGATTTCAGCGAAATTAACTGTTTCCCTTGCGACAATTCTTCCATCTGAGATTGAAGAAGGGGAAACTCCCTCAGTAAAGGCTCCAGAGGTTTCCCCATGAGGTACGGAACCCACACATGCCTTGAGACCAACGCCCACATTGCATATGCTACAAGGAGGGAAGGAATGAAGAGATTGGTCAGCTGTGTCATTATTGGTGATATGGGCGTGACTCCATTGACAAGAAAAAGAATGCTTACCAGTATCCCCCATTTTCATCGATGAAGCATATCCGTCTGCTAGTGGTTTTAGACACTCATGAAATGGCAATTTCCATGAAAGTACAAATGCATGGGAATTGAACAAACATGCACCTTCTCGTGCTGGTGGGGAGCCCTTTTGTATAGCAAGGCCAATATCAGCGAATTTAGCAGCAGTTTGGTAGTCGGATTTGAGGGATATCGTGAAGTTGCCCAACCAAACAAAGGAATTGCCAGATTCCTTTGCAATGCCACGCTCCAGTGTCATCTGAACCATCATACATATCCCAACAACCGAAAGCAAGCTGCCTCTAATGTGATAGGCGGCAAAACCCATGGTCGACAGCAAATCCATAACCAATTGATCCCTTTTGTCAGTCATCAACTCCATTTCTTTGAAGATATTCGCTGGATGTGGGGCTTCTTTGTTGGCCTTGCTAATGGTTCGCATTAGAATGGTGAGCGCTTGAATGGACACTGGAACACGTCGCCACAAGACTTGGACCCCCAATTTGGACAATATGTCGATGCAAACTTCCACTGCTTTGGGATAGTCCAAGTCGACAAACGAAAGCTTGCGAACATAGGCGCATTGCAATGGTAGTGTGTCAACGAGCGAATACTCGCTTCGACTGACCAATGCATTCCGATATGCTTCCGCAGCATCGCCGTGACCCAATGCAAGCTCCATCTCGGCCCCAATGATATACAGCCGAAGGGCTAGTCCAGGTCTTTCTTCATAGGTGACTTCTGGCAACATGCCAATTCCAATCGCTGCATACTCGCTTGCACTGTGGAGTGCAAAAATCCCCCTTGCCTTTTCTGCGGCTTGTAAATTTAGTTCGGCATATTCGTAATGATTCCTGGTGTTGTAGCTGTTGATCAAGTCGGTGACTTCAAAAAGTTCGTTTTCTAACTCTTCTTTGCTCAGCCAGTGATACAATGAGGCCCCAACACTGAACTGGAAAGACTCTCGTTCCCCTCCCGTTAGAGCCAAAGCCGCCTCCTGCACTTTGTCGTGCACCCATCTATACCGTCCTTGACCGGCATGGTCCACAATGTGATGCGATGTCACGTTTTCGAGCAAAGGCTGTATCGATTCTTCACCTTCGCCTTCCACCCGCTTGTCCCATATCAGTTGAAGTGTTGACTCACTGAAGGATGACCCAAGGCAGGCAGCATACTGGAGAAAAAGCTGTATCTTTTTCGGCAACTGCTTCATTCGGACTTCCAGAAGGTTAGCAACATTGGTGGTGGACATCGTAGCGTCTTCAATCTTGGAAACGTCATACACCCATTTCAAAAGTCCAAGATTAAACTCGATCAGAGTCTCGGAATGTAGCATCATCATGAATTCAATCAAAAAGAAGGGGTTCCCAAGAGTCCTTTGATGGCACAGTCGCGCCAGCTCCAAAGTCAAATTTGGATCATCAATGGACATCATGGCCATGATGATTCGATTCACATCATCTACGTCAAATGCATTGACTTCAATTTCCGTGATGGCAAACAGGAAATAAGCCGCCTTCTTTTTCAGCCGTTGAATATCTTTCGCCAAAAGGCTGTCTTCCTCGAATTCGTCCGATCGGTAACACCCCAAGATCATGAGAGGCCGAGGATTGTGAATGTCTGTTATTATGTAGTCAATGACTTCCAAAGAGGAAGGGTCCGCCCACTGTAGGTCATCTAACATCATGACGAGTACTGATATATGCGACGATAGTACCCGCATTAGCACTCGGAATGCATATTTCAACGATTGTTTTCCATTGGCAAAGTTGTATTCCTCGTTCTCCTTGGTGGTGTTTGGTTGCACCTTGTATTTGGACCCCACAATTTCTTTCAGGTCGGGTATCATGGCCACCAAGACTCCAATTTCATCGTGCAGGGCGTCGTAAATCTCCGTGGCGATCTCTATCGTGATTTCTTGCCGGGTTTCCAAAATGATGCGGCAAATGGACCCCAATGCCTTGGCAATTCCAGAGTATGGTTCATTGGATGTGTTGAAATCAAATTTCCCTTCTACATAGATTGCATCGTCCATCTTTTCCATATCTCTTTTCAATGTCCGCGCCACGGAAGACTTGCCAACCCCACTCAAGCCTGAAACAAAACAAAAAATGGAAGGGGAGAAAGTTAGCACACTTATTGGTCACCCAACAGACCATAACAGTCTCCAAGTTCACTACCAGTGTATCTAGCCTAGTATTGCCTCACCTGAAATATACACCAATTCTTTTTTCGGTTGATCCAATATCAACGGTGTTGAACATTCGGTGGAAGTAAATGACCTCGTGCTCATCATGGAAGACATGGGAGCATCATGAAAATCTTTGCTCATTAATCGTTCAAAGCAAGTTGCTAAGGAAGCGACTTCCTTTTCCCTTCCTATCAAACCAATGGAATCTACTTTGAGTTTATCAATCGTAAATTCGGAGATCGTTTGATGATGCTGGGGCTTCCGTCTGGATCCGTCAATGATATTCAATTCATCTTCTCGAGTATTCTTGGAACGTAACGACGCCGCTGAACCCACCGAGAAGGCAGCCGAGAGATCGCCACTTCCTCCTTCGAGGCGCCATGAGAATTCTCTGGAGTTGTTCAGCGTATCCCTGCTGGATACACTAAAATCAGAAGATTTGAAGGTGAAACCTGCATCATCCTCGGACGTTCCGGATTTGGAAAGAACTTCATCTTCGGAAATGACAGTGTTGGCAAGCGCTGAGCCTCTTCGAAGAGAGTAAGACTGAGGTTTTCCTGAAGAAGAACGAACGCTCATTCTTGACTTTATTTCGTCGTCTTTTCGAGAATCACTTTTTATTGATTTATCTCCTTTGTTGTTGTTGTTGTTGCTTCTATTGCTATTTTGTGCTGCGTACCAGGTACTATGTTATTGCGTATTGGATGCATGACCTCAGCGTACTATGGTACGAAAACTGCACAGACGCCGAATTCTCTCGGTATGTAGTTTTTCAACCTTGCTGGAACTTCTTGGGTGCGTGAAAGGCGAACCGTAAATGTCTGATGGGAGGAATTACTTAATATTAGAAATTCAAATTGTACTTATGGTAACTGTTTCCCATTAAATGAAATGAGCCGCACTTCCATGGAACACGTGCGTGGCTCTTCCAAGCGACTATGACTGACGTGTTTTAATTATTCTTTCGATCCAAATATTTTAAAAGTAGCACTGTATTTTATACAATTTAAAACATCGTAGTTCAGTATTGCACTACTGCTTTTTACAACAGTTGCAATGTAGTCATATCAAATACCTCTTCACTGCTGGATCTCACATGACCGAGAGTTTTTTTCAGTGGGCGAAGATGCGCTTGAGTTTGGATTGGAGAGAGCCGCGTTTCGATGAATGAGAAGAAGTTGGTGTCTTATTATTGGACGAGGATTCTTTTTTCTCAATTTTGTTTTGCGACGATGGCTTGGAGGAGGATGCCCTGGTAGCAATCGGCGATAGGATATTGCTGGCCTTGGATCCTGCTGTTGTCGATGACGACGTTCCACCCGGCGACTGCTTCTGCTTTCGCTTTGGTCGGCTTTGTTTCTTGAGGACCACCAAATTGATTTCCAAGCTTTCTTGAATGACCTTTTGGATTTCGGAAAAGTCGTCATAGGCAGCAATGTCTTTTCCTTGGAGCTGCAAAACTCGCTGTCCGCCGTGGACCCCAGTCGACTCTTGAAAGTAGCTTTCCACCTGCACTATTCGTATGGCACCGGAAGGGTATTGTGTCAATCGGAATGGTGTGGTATGTCGGACGGATGGTCTGGTGCTGCACGCCCAAAGCAGATCACGACTCTTGTATTTCGTTCGAATCTCGGCAACATTTGGGTCTTGAATTTTCTTGTCTTCTTTCTTCGGCATGGAACGAAGCTCGACACAATGGTTGGCTGCTGTGGATCTTTGTTTGCAGCATTTCACCAGATCCTCCTCGTTATTGGTGACGGTGGTTTTGGTGCTGCTTGGGGTTTTTGTCGTCGTTGCGACGTCTTCAGTGCCACTGGATGGCTTTAGCGCAATCACTTGAATCGAAAGATTTTCTTGGACTATGTTACGAAGTTCATCGACTCCACCTGGATAGTCCGAGACATCCTTTCCTTGGAGCTGCAAAAGCTGGAAACCTTCTTGGATGCCAGTGTTCTGTCGGAAGTTGGTGGTGACTTTGCAAACGCGTATGGTTCCGTCAACCTCTTGTTCCAGTTGGAATGGCAAAGGGTTTCCTTTCAGACTACCTCTGGTGCTGGATGCCCAACTTAGATTGTTAGCGTTGTATCGTTTGGTATAAATGGCGAAAGGATCGACTGGATTTGTTCTTGTGGTGGTAGATGCCATGATGATGATTGTGGTTTTGTATGTATTTGTTGAATTATGGTAGCTGGGTTTGTGTGTGTTTGGAAATTTGTGAGGCCAAAGCAAATATCCGCGTTTGGAAACAGCGGCACGTTACTGTACAGTAGCACTTTTATATATTGGGTACTGGTACACGTGTACGCACATTATCGAATGGAACTGCGCGCGCGCGCCCCCCACACATAGGTTTGAAGGTTTTGACCAATACGACTAGGTACTGCTTAAGCTCAGACTTATTTTCGTATACTCATCGTACTGTAATAAAGAGAAAAATTGAATTACCACGACACAAGTGGGTGAATTCAATCTCAGTCGATAAACTGGGCATCATTGCCTCGGCGCATCGACAACAACTTTTGACGGTCGAAGGCCGTTCGGCCTTTGTCCGTCTGTAACACAATGTAGTCAAAGAAATCGAACAGTGTGCCTGCGGTCTACGTTGGAATATATTATATTATGCCGCGGTAGATATATTTTGAATATTGAATATATTGGGATGATTCATCGCAATGAATGAAAACCTGAATGTCCATTCAAGGGCACGCACATCTTTCGTCATCTCACAATCAATCACCACACATTGATAGCAGTAAATGCTAGGTGGTTATCATGGGGAACTGCATGACAAGCACCCCTTCCCTTGATCCAAACGTTCAAGCTATCTTGGACGAAATCAACAAACAGCATCCATCATCATCCACAACTACGACGACCCAGAAGGAACTTCGAGCAGAAACCAAACAGTTTCTTCACACTGCACAGGAGTATTTGGAATGTCGAAAACAAATGGATGCTAAATATGCCGAGATTGATCCCGATTCTACAATTGCCAACCTGGACATTCAGACCGATTCAGGCGGAATTATTTCTGATCAGACTGGTACTGACAACCAAATGGCCTATAAGAAGGAATACCAACAACAATCTTTAAATGGAGCACCAGTGACCAAACTTACCGAATTGTATGACGCAGCAACAGCAGCTCAGCAAGTTTATCAAGAAGTTGTTCAACAGTTGGTCGACAAGGTCACTGAATCCTGTGCTCATGTCGCTGGCGTTAGTGAAGGTAAAATAGGGGCCGATACTGCTGGTGCAAAGCTACAATTTGCTCCACTAAAAGGCCGCGAACGAGCCCAAGAAAAGGCTGACGATGACTATTCCGACCGTGTTCCTGGTCCTGGTACCTCTTGGTTGTACGATGTTGTCAGAGGGAGTGTCAAATTCTCGACGGCGGAACAAATTGCCAAATGTCTGGAATTGATCCAAGCCGATCCCACCATGCACATTGTCAAGGCCAAGAATCGATTCAAGAATCCAACATTGACCGGGTACCGCGATTTCAACTTGTGCATTCGCATTGACACGCAACGAGGCTTTCATCACGTTTGTGAAATTCAGATTCATTTGGGACCCATCAAGCAACTGTCCATTGACTTGAGTTCCCACAAACACTATGAGTACTTTCGAAGTTACTTTGATGGCTCGACGGATAGTTTGGCAGCTCGGTTGGAGGACTTGCAACAAATTGTCCAAGAGCACACGGAAACGGTGATTCGAACAAGAAGCATAGATAGCAATGGTGTCTTGGACGAAGGTATCTTGCAGAGACTCTTGGACAAAGGTCAAAACGAGGATCGTATCGATCGACTAGCGGATCTTTTTCGAGAGTACCTTTGTGAATATGATTGGTCCTTGCGGGCCTATGCCAAACTTTTGAATATCAGATTGCGAAAGCACAATGGACCCAATGATGCGGCGGTTGCTTCAACCTTCAAGGAAATGGCACAAGTCCTTCAGCACCAGCGGCGCTTGGAAGATTCGATATCCTTCTTTCAGCAAAGTTTGGATATCCAAAAACGCGTCTTGGGCGAGGATCATTTGGAGGTTGCCAATACCCTGAGCAGTATGGCCGCAGTCTTACGATTCCAAGGGAAGATTGATGAGGCCATGGACGTGTTGCAACAGGGCTTAACACTGAAGAAGCAGGCGTTAGGAGAGGAACATATATCAGTCGCAAATACATATAATACCATAGGCGGCGTCTACTTCAATAAGCGAGAGCTGGACAAGGCCATGAAATACTTTCAAAGAAGCCTGGAAATCTACATGAATGTGATTGGAGAGGACCACAAGTTCATTGCCAATACATTCAACAATATAGCTCTGGTATTGGTAGACCAAGCTGAATATGACAAAGCCATGCAGCAGTACAAAGGATGCTTGGACATTCAAAAACGGACATTGGGAGAGGAACATGCTGTCATTTCAACTACGTACTCAAATATTGGCGATGTGTACGTCCACAAAAAAGACCCCGATACGGCCTTGAAATACTATGAAATGAGTATAGAAATAAAACAGAAGACTCTAGGCGAGGACCATCCATCGGTGGCCAATATCTATCGAAATATGGTGAAAGCCTTGAAACAAAAGGGGGACATGACGCAAGCCATGGATCTAGAAGCCAAAGCGTACAGAATCGAAAAGGCTGCCAAGAAGAGCAATCGATGACAGAACTTGTACATTAATATCGAGGAAAAGGAAGAAATAATCTAAAGGATGTGATAAAAGTAAAACATCGTAGCTATAAGTAAAACATTGTATGTATCTAGTGTAATACCCATCAGTCGTTCCATCGAATGGAGTAGATACAGTCACGATTCGGCGGGGAAAAGAACGAGCGTGTCACTCCACATACGCATGGGATGTCAAGACTTTTTTTCAAAACTGCGCTCATGACACACGCGGAAGAACGATCAACATCGGCAGCATCGCCGCAAAGTGATCTATACAGACTCACTCAAACTATCACATTAGGAGTAGAGATTGTGGACTAAATTATTATTTCATAAATACTAAGCAGAAACCATGGTTTCGAATCCAAACGAGGCTGCAGCAATAATAATCGAAACTTCCGTACTGAGAGATTCAACTGATACCAAGATGAATTCTGTTAACGTGGCACTTCCTGCATCATATTCAAACAGCGTGGCAAAGCTACCCATGGACTTAACTGACATTGAGGACGACACTGATCAGAAGGAAGATAATGTCAACAAGGGCGATGAAGAAGCCACAGCAACTGAAACTGTAAGCCTGAATGAAGGATCAGTGGAGATGAATTCGGTCACTGTGACAGCACTCTCTGATAACATCGAAGAATACGACGAAGTTCTGCACAACTTCGATGACTTTGATCTTTACAAGCTGGACTATGAATCAGATCATGATGAGCAAGACGAGGGGCTCGAGAGTCTGCAATCACCTATACCAAAATCGAAACAACCCTGCGCGGCATCCTGGCCCATTGCGGCAGGTGGAGAAGTTCTGAAACCAGGAGATCACGTTTACATGTGGTGCACCATGTATCAGCACCATGGGATTGTTCTTAGTGCCGAGTCAACTGCCGATCCATCACACCTCCTTATCGCCGAATTTACAAATCTAGCATTGGCTCAAGCAAATAATTTTATGGTGTCATCGTCTGCGGCATCCGGAGCCACAGTGGGAAGCGGCGCTACAAGTGCCTTTCGATTTGTCAAGGAAACTGAAACCACCAAATGGCACAAGATGAAATACCAGGCCAATCCATTGGAATGTGTCACCTGGAGACCAGGAACCTGTAGCGCTGCCAAACCATCCGGGGCTCAAAAGGTTTTGTTGCGAGTGCAATTTCTACATGATTGTAGGCACCTTTTGCCGGAATACCACCTATTGTCGAGCAATTGTGAAACTGTGGCATTCTGGTGTGTGACAGGGAAATGGGAAACCTTGCAGTATCATCACACAATGAAATGGTCACAGGGAGCGAGTATGGGATTGCTTCCAGTGGCACCTGGGATTGCTGGATTGGCGGCAGGGCTAGCCTTCTGGCATTCTAATCAGACTAGAGGTCAATGGAAGGATACAGAGGAGAAGCTGAATGGGAATTTCAAATGGTATGCTTTGGGGAGAACACCGAAATGGTCTTTTGAGCAGTCGCCACCTTAAATCGTTGACTTAAAAAATGTTTCAGAGGCAATTAGCAAAATTACAATTTTAATGACTTGCACTAGTAGGACCTACTAGAACACAACTTTTGCACTCTTTAATTCCTGCTTCACTTCTTTATCTCAATGCACATTTGATTGACAAGTGCCAATCGACTTGGACCGTCACTCAAGCTTTCGAGAATTCCCACTCCCTTTGACTGAATCCCAATTTGATCAATCACAAGGCTGAAGGATTTCGCGGCCTTATTGTTCTCCTTGACCTCGCCAACCAATAAATGGCAAAGGACAACCAATTCCTCCACGCTATGAGAAAGCGAGCTTCCAAACAATTTCAAATATTCAGATTCGAGTTGGACATTTCTAGTCTCGCCGGTGTCCATCATCGTTGCAGGATTGGAGACCAGTCCTTGGATTTCCTCCATTCGAATGCCGAGAGTCTGAAATGCAAAAGCGCAATGAGATAAGAAGGACAAAAATCAAAGAGAACAAAATTTTGAACACTCACCTGTGCTGCAAATGCACAATGGTAGAGTCCGCAAGCAAGGGAACCGCTATCAATTGCATCGAGACGATTCAATCGTTTCAAAAGCGAAGTTCCAAGAGACAAAACATCCATCGCTACAATCGCGTACTCGAATTTGTCCTCATTCCATTTCTTGTCATTCTTCGTACCCCAGAAGTCACTATTCCCTACTGGCGCATTGAACGTGAATTGGCTCGTGCTCATATTTTTTCCCAAGAGAATAGTGTCTAGAACATCCCACCATGATCTCTCAGTCTCTGTTTCAACATTTACGACGCTCGACTTCGGGCGTACTGAGCTTTTCTTTAGTGGTGTAGGTATTTGTAGCAGAAGATCGCGGGGGAGAGGATTTTCCCATAACTGCTGGCAGAGCATTGCTATCCCGGTATCTACAAGACCGCTGGCTGCAATGATCGATTTTACTTTGGAGCTGTGCTCGGCTAGCAAGCTGTGCTGTAGAGATGGATCGCCAGACTGCGAAATAGACAAAGCTTGGACGAATCCACGCATGAAGCATCTCAGAACGTCAGCCTCAACTGGGAAGTTGTAGCACAATCGTCGAATCGTCATTTTGTACAAGGCCATGGTTTCAGCAGCTTGAATCGCAAGCTCAAGTGTCTTTCTGGAAGGAAGTCTTTGTGAAGACATGAGAGCGCTCAGTAACTTCAGATGACTCATCAAAAAGCGGGGTGTAGCAAGTGAAATTTTGTTGTAGCTCGAGGAATGCATCGTAGAAGACACACGTGCTTCTTCCTCTAGGTATGCCTTTGCGGCTGCCTGGAGCACTGTCAAGATGCCAGCGTCAAGCAATATCTCAGCTCCAAATGGCTGGAAGGCAATCGTTTGCAAGAGTTTGCAAATTGTCTCATCCATTGTGGCCACTAGATTCAACAGTGAACCCAAGAATGGTGTCGGAAGAGCATGGTATACCAATGAATCATTCAACTGTTCCGCTCCATCATTGCTACAAGCATCCATGATTGCACCAAATGCGGACCGAGCCAACATGGAAACAGTGCCGAGGTCACTGTCCACTCGGTGCAAGCACATCTTCCTTAGTGCTGCTGTTGCGGCCAAAAAGTCCGCTTGATACTGACGCACTAAATCAGGTTCTGATTTTGAAGTGTGGCGAAGAATTGCAGACAATGCGCTTGCCAAAACGGTAGATCTCTCCTGCCGGATGGGCACCTCAATGCCAGTTTCATCACCAACACAGGAGTGGGCCAGTGTTCGTGACAACATTGAAGCTGCCGTTAGAAGCTCAGAGGATGGCGGGGCATGCAGCTGGTCAATCGTAGTGATACTCTCTGCGAGAACAAGGACAGCGTTACTCAGATTTTTTGATGCGGTCGGAATGAGACTTGCATCCATCCCCCGTGGATTGTTTTCGTCAACGCACAACCGATTCAGTATCATTGCAAGTAAGTGCGTCTGGCTAGTTGTGTGCAGACCGGTGATTTCTCCAACGCTTCCATTTGTACCGAGTGATTGACAGCTTTCCAAAGCAGCACTCAAAGCAAAATATGCGGAATTCGATAGATGTGATGCACCACAATCCCACGAAGCAGCAGCATTCCATTGATCAACCCAATGCATCATCGATTCTACCTCGGTCTCCGAATGATTTGATGTGATAGCTTTTGCCACTGACTCTCTTTTTACTAGCTGGTAGCCACTGACTACATCCAAAGGGCCCCGTAGCTCATACGTAGCTTTCCTCAGTTCCTCGGAAGGTGGAGGCACTAAAGAATGATCGAACACCACCTTCTCGAGCGGAATATCTTGAATCAGCTTGAGAATCAGTTTCTCATCGTGCCCAAAGAGAAGCGAGAGATAAGTTCTGCATTGAGTCGGACGGGGAGAGAGGTATGACCCAAGTCCAGATCCTAGAATTGATGCATTGGCAAATCCAACCAGTAGTTTCAACTCAATTGCCAGGCCTTTCAGTAGCCATGCAATAGAATGAAGATTTGTTGCATCCACTTGGGATCGACTTTGCTTCAAGGGCATGACACCTCTGTCGGACAGCCAGGTGAGCAAGCTGGTAGTCCAAAAATCGGTTGACCTCAGCCTTTCTGCAGTGTACAGCACTGTTTTGAGGCAAAGTGCATTGCTTCCGGCCCCTTGGAACAAATCATAGAGCCGGAAAAAAACTTCAAAACACTTTGATGCAATACTTCCAGTCTCGGGCGCTGTGGCGTAGCGAATGTCTTTCAATAATTCCAGCATGGAATCAAAACAGTCCGTTGGAGAACCGCTATATTGCTTTGTGCCTGGTTGCCAATTGCCACCTTTTGCGTAGCTTGGTAGACCAAGTAGTGCTTGGACCAACTCCCCTGGCATGCCACCTCGCAGATCCCGAAGGATCCAGTCAAAAATAAGATTGGTCGTCTGCATGTCTACGACAGATCCTGGTCGTTTGGCACAATTCAACAGGCGTTTTGCAACAGCTCGTGAAAGAGTAACGATTTGTCGTGCTCCCACCAATGTTCCTAAATCCCCCTTTCCTACCATTGAATGCAACAAATATGACAGGAAAGAGAGAGCCGACGAGCCCATATCCATGTCTTGCTCCTCACTGCATCCAGTATACCCAACACAGTCAACAATTGACGATCGTACTAACTGGGTTCCTTGAATTGAAAGTAGAAGATTTGTCAACCGTTGCAATCGAACGTCAAGGACCCTGAAGTTTGACGAAGCATATCTTATTTGCTGAAATCGAAGCAAAGGAACAATCTTCAAAGGTTCCTTTGCACCACCCACTGCTGTGATAAAATCTTCTTCTCTCGTGGCTGTTGCACAGAGTATTTGCAATCCCAAAATCATCGATTTTTCTCTCCAGAAGGCAGCATCGTCAAAGTGTGTGTCATCCGCAAGCGGACTTAACATTTTTAGGTATGTTTGTAGCAGTTTCCCTGGTCTCTCTTTCGCCCCTTCCTTCGCGCTGTCAGTAGTCGGAGGTGTAGCTCCGAAGAGCGCGTATGCCAGTGCGATTTGATCTGATTGCTGGCGATGTACCGTCTGGACGCTTCTTGTGCCACCGAATCTGGAAAGTACCATCGCAAGTGTCTCAAAGACAGTGCCACCACCCGATGCCAGAATATCAGCCAAGACGATAAATCCTGGAGACTTGGTGCCCGGTAGACCCGACTTTGCGGATGCAGTAGCTGTTCCCCCATTTTCAATAAAGTTTGTTGAAGCGCGATTTGTGAAATCATCTTTCCATTGTTGGGATTCTGTGCTTGCAAGAGCATCTTGTGCTACTGTTCTGTCGGCAACAGCTTGGATTCCGAGCACTTGTACAGCTTTAGCGTAAACCCTTTCCATTGGATCCATCGGGTCTTTTCCTTGCGCTGATTTCAACGAAGCACTTGGCACAGCATATCGAGATATCACAACATGTAGAACCTCGAGTGCTCTTGTCAACAGACGACTTTGATCACCTTGCACTCGAAATGGTAGAATTGGAGCCCCTTTGATACCAAGCGCTCGGGTCAAAACAAAGTCCAAGATGTATTCGATGTATGGAGCACATCCTGTCCGAGGTCTCCAGCTTTGGCCCAGATTTTGTGGACATCCAGCTGCAATGATGAGCGATTTGAGAAGTTGCAAAAAACCTTCAGTCGATGGATACCATCCCATACGAGCTTCGATCTGCTCCATTTCATACAGGATTCCGAAAATTGGGTCCTTTTTCAACATTCCAGGCTTGTCGGGAGTAGAATTGCTCAGGGTTGTGGATGATGGTGGGAAACCGATACTTGCACGAGCTCTTTCATCGGCCGCTTGTTGGTTGAAGTGCTGATCCAGAAGTGCAATTGGTAACAATGGACAAGATTCCAAGTACTCCCAAGCATTGGTTCCCTGTTGCAACGCAAATGCTCTTTCCTCGGCAGTACAGCCGGGCGAAATCTCCAGCAGATTTGCAATCGTGGTCAGAGTTGCACCACGAACGGTTGGAGACAATGGAGCAATGGCAAGCTTGAAAAGGACCAGCAAGGCATCGTCCCCTCCTGCAGCAACGTCATCGCCTATCGGTATTGAAATCGACAAGATCGCCATTTGTGCCGCCGCAGAGTGCTGTGCCACTTTTTGAATTATTGTCAAATGGGAAGCCACTCGAAATGTGGCCATCGAAGAAAGTTCCTTTGGCTTACCCGAGCCGGATGTAGTTGCTTTGCTTTGAGTTGTGGATGAAGTAGAAGTTGATTGACCAGATGGTATTGAATTTCCTTCTAGGTTGTAGTAGTAGGAAGTATTGGCAGAACTCGATGACGAAGTTGTTGATGACTTGGAAACGGTGACATCGTAGTTGCTCAACTGTTGTGCATACCATCGGAGATTGTAGATCAGCGAAATCCAATTTATTCTCGGTGCACTTGACGCGCCATCGCCAGCTGCTTCGGGTGGTCTTGCAAGGAAGTTGTAGATTGCAGTAGCGCTCGCTTCGTCATTGACCAGTGCCGCCATGAAGCATAAGTAGGTTGGCATGAGTGAGTCGTCTGCCGCTTGGAGCTGCTCCAATCGTGCTAGCAATCGGCTTGGCACCAAGCCACCATTTGCATCCATGATCCAAAAGCTTTGGGAATACTCTCCTCCCAACTGACACAGAGTCGATGCCACGGCGACAATATCGTCGAGGCAATCTGGTCGGGCCATCAAATCAACCGACGCGGGGATCTCTTCTTGCTTGGCATCCGTCTTTCCCGACCACATGTTGAATTGTGACTGTTGAGCTGCTTGAGCTCGTCTCAAATTCAATTCCTCCTTTTCTTCCTTTTCGTACTTTTGTCTTGACATGGGCATGCTTCCTTCTGACAATACGTCCAAGTAGTGCGATACACATTCCGACAACACAGCCAAACCAAATTCCGACAAGTTGGCAAACGCAGACAGCGACAATCTTTGCAAGGCTGGAATCATGGTTAATCGACAAAAAGTAAAAGACTTGTAGGTCGATGGTAGAACCAGACAATCCCTAGCCGTGTTCCTAATTTGATTGGTTTGGGCACTGCTTCCAGCACGCGGCGACATCAATGCGGAAGGCGCTGATCGCAACATCAAGGCATAGGCAGCCGCCAAGAGTCCCCATATATCCTTGCGAGCCCACGAATTGGCGCCATCCGGTCCCAACCTTGATTGCAAATCTTGCGGCACCGATGGATTCTCGGAAGGTGGCAAGAATTTGTTTCCCTTGCCAAACGAGTTTGGTCCATGAATATCTCGATCGTACAGTACTTGTCGGGCCTCCATGGCACTAATGGCTGCTACTATTAGCAGTGAAATACATTGTAGAACTTGTGTTTGACCCGTTTCGTTAGTCAGCTCCACCAATTCTCGTTGCCACTTTAATGGATCCTTCTCCTTGAGCGCGTAGGTAAAGGGCACGTTGGAAGACGACGGCCATCCATTTTGGGCTGGGTCACCGGCAGCTTCAAAGGGCGACGGAACATTGGTAAAGGGACTCAGAGTTGGCAACATGTCCGACAAGTCCTTGATGAGATCCAACAGGCCTGCCATTTCAATGGGAGTCATTTGAGTGTGGTAAGCAATAAAGAAGAGACACTCGGAAGCAATCTGCCGTTCCTGTTGGCAGAAAAGCAAATGCACCGACGCGAAGGTAGGTAGTTGTTTCTTTCCATTGCCCCCCGCAGCCGTTCCTTGCAAATGTTGCTGTTGTAAGTTTTGTGCGAGGTGTTGGATCGACGCCTCGAATTGATTCTTTTTGGCCCCCATTTCTTGTTGCAACTGTAGAATCTGTTGGGTGTGCGCCTTAATCACCTTGATCAACTTTCCGACTAGATCACTGTTCAAAAGTGCATCCGTGGCCTCCAAAACACTGGGTGCATTTTGAAATCTCGATTGCAGCAAGAATAGTAGTGTTTGTAGTTGCAAGCCTTGTTGGTAAAAGAAAAAGTTGCGGGCGAGTAGCGAGGCATCACCATACTTTTTGGTTTCCATGCCGACAATAGCCATGTAGTTTGGTACTGACAGAGATGAAATGGCACCCAAATGTCGACTGACGTGAGCATAGAGCGACACTGCATTGGCTTCAGAGATTTTTAAATCCGAGGCCAATCGCAAGATGCGTTCCAGATTCTTGGACGTCAACTTCGTAGTCTCGGTATTCCCAGTGTCTGGATTGGTAATGGAAACGGTCGGATTAGAGGTCAGCTGCTGTCGCAACCCATTGTTGGGCGGGGTCCATTCTGCCGGAAGAGGATGCAATTTGGCTTGATTGGTGGTAATACAATGATGCAAGTCTTGCTTGCCCAAGAATCCTTCGTCACTATCGCCTTGCGCAGTGGAGAACTTTTGAATTTGTTGCCAGATTTGCAAATTGGGATAGATGGTATCAAAGTCTTGAGTGGTCACTGTCGGTGGTGCTGGAGCTGGTCCAGAATTTGTAGCTGGCGCCGGAGTTCCACCTGCTCCAAAGGAGGAAGAGAATCCAGTGGCTGGTGGTGGCGTAGTTGTCGTAGCCGCTGCTGGGGCCCCTGGTGCCGGTGTATTTCCAAATGAAAAGCCTCCCGCTGCTGGTGCCCCTGGTGTTGGAGCAGCCGGACCTGGAGTAGGAGCGCTAGCATTGGGTGCTGGTGCTGGATTATTGCCAAAAGAGAATCCTCCTGTAGCTGGAGCTGGACCTCCTGGTGCCGGAGTCGGAGCTGTATTCGGTGCACCTCCAAACGAAAACCCTCCAGTTGCTGGTGCCGCTGGAGTCGGTGCTGCTGGTGCTGTGGTAGATGGGGCACCACCAAATGAAAATCCTCCAGGTGCTGATGCTCCAGGTGCTCCCGCTTGGGGTGCAGGAGCTGGAGTACTGCCAAAGCCAAACGATGGAGCTGGTGTTGGCCCAGTTGGAGCCGCTGCTGACGCTCCTCCTCCTCCTCCTCCGAAGGAAAAACCTGCAGCTGGAGCTCCCGGTGCTGGTGCTGGTGTGGGATTTCCTCCAAAATTGAACGACATTCTACTTTGGAATGATGATTCAATGAAGCGTTATGGTGTGGTTTGGATCTGAATAATATAATATAATAGAATGTAATAGAATGGACGGTGTTGGTGTTTTGTCAACACAATGATTTCTCGTCTGCTGCTCCAATCGATTGCAATAGGAGATGGGACTCTGCTTGTATATGTCTAATATAGCGCTAATTGAGAGTCGTTGTTGCTATTTTGCCGTCAAAGGCGTGCAATCTAGCAATGATGATCAAAGGTCCAACACCAACCGTTTTGATGATTTGCTTTGATTGGCGCACAGCAATTCAAAGGGTGAAAGATTTTCATTGCTCGGTTGAAAACGATTGATGTCTCTGCTTTCGGGGGTAACATAGTCGGATGAATCATGCCTCAAAATCTATCTAATATATTCAATAAATATATCACAGTAATCGTTCACGATATCGTGAACGGTGCAAACAGAATAGAATGGTCCACTAGCACTAGCCACAACTAAATACTTTGCTGTTGTTCTGGAAAGCCTTTCTATTTTATTGCTTCCAATGTAGGATACGATTTCACGTTGACATGTACCTTTTGACTGAGAAAAGGAGGAGAATGATGTTGAACGAATGAATGAATGAATCAATCAGCCAATCCAGCCAATTTCTCAAAAGCCCGCATCTTGGATTGATTCAATTGTAACGACGGTACGGGTACTTCTCCCAATGGTAGGCGTTATAGGTGCTGGTATCACGCTCGCTACGTTGACCTTGAAGTTTGCCCAGGTTGGCATAGTCAGAATCATTGGGTGTTCTCGACGAACAACTCAAACGCATCTTGGCCATTTTGCTTTCCAAACTGTCGTTGTTCATGGTATTGTATTCCTTGCGGACGGCTTTCTTGGCCATAAATGCCTTGCCATTGCCCTTATCTTCCATTTTGTCGTACATTTCTTCCAACTCGTCCCCAATGTAGGCCATTTGGTAGGACATGTGGTCGCTTGGCGAAATTCCCATGATTTGGGTGGTGACAAATAAAATGTGCTTGCAAGTGGTATTGCCCTTGCGGTAGTCTGGACAAGTACATTGGGGGAGACGACCAAAGGTGATATCGTAGACGTTGCCAGTCGAACCGAGGAGGGTAAACTCGCACTTCAGGCTCTCGTAATCGACTGATGGGCGTTCCGTGAGATACATGTTCTCACGCGTGGCTCTTGACATGCGCTCTTGGACCTTGGCAGGGCAAGTGCGACGAATGCGTTTCAAACGTTTTTCTGCAGTCTTGGTTGTCATCTTGATAGTAGTGTATGTTAATGTATGTTTTTGTTGCGTGAAATTCAAGATTGTGAGCAGGAAAGGAAGTGGAAATTGTTTCGGGTTTGATGAAATCGTGAGCGAGGTTTCGTTGGCGAAAACACGGAAGAAACGTTCAAACAGTTTGCAAATCCCGCGGGAAGGTTGAGTGTTCCGGGACTCTAGAATTACTCGTGGACAGCGCACAGGTGCGCAAACCGACTGACTCACACGACCCTTTTCGTCTGCATATCGTTACCACTATACTCTTGGTTACCAGTACCGTTACCAATACCGATACCGGTACAATACCAGCAGGTGCAGGTGCAGTACCAGTACCGTCTATGGTACGCGTTTACAGTACGGTACCGGTTCACATCTGCTGCTAAAACGAGGAGCTGACAAATATTACCACCATACCGCCGAGTACTGGTACGTGTACGGTACTCCCACCATCCCAATCATCACACAGCACCAGCACCAAGAACCAGGTACCTGGCACCAGTAACCGCTACTATTAATACCCATTCTGCGTTTTGCCTTCGAAGTCAACATTCCGATTGCAAGGCGAACCATGAATATGATGAATGCGCCGCGCTCAAAAGTCTGAGTGCCGTAATGGTTGCTCCGATCGGAATGAGATTTTGTTTACGTCGAAGACCGACGAACCCCCCGCGATCCCAGATCAGATTTCCCCATTGAATCACGAATTCGAAATGCAGGTCGAAAAACTGTCGAACCCCCGCGCGTTCACGCATCATCCAGGATCAGATTTCCTATAATGAATCACGAATCGTACCACTTGCATCATTGAATATTGCAAGAATAAAAGTATATAGTAACGAGAGCATGATTGATTCCTTCCGCGCTTATTAAGATAACACGGGTACCATGAACAGCCCACAAGAACATCAAGCCTTAATGGAAGAAGGAATATGGAAGTTGTCTCTTGATAAGGGAAACATCGATGAAGCTCTGGAATCATTTGAGCGACACAAAGTCACAACTGCTGTGGACCTTATTTTGTACTCTTCAGACACATTGAACTTGCAACTGACACACTCCCAAGCATTACGGCTAATAAGACTGATAATGTCCCGTAAAGATAGCGTAATATGGCATGAAATCTGTCTTGAGTTTTCCAGTGAGAGCCCTCAGTTGCAATACAGTGTCTCGCAAATTATTGATTGCTTCCCAAAAGCTTTGGTTGCCAGGAGCTTCCCACTGTCGACAACATATGCCATTCATCATGCATTGCAATATGGTATTCGGCTCCAAGAGCTGCACTTGTCCGATTGTGCCTTATCTGACGGCAATGTGGAAATTCTGAGCGAAGCAATACGGTCGCCTTCATCCCAGTTTCAAAAGCTATCCCTATGGAATGTAAATTGTGTATCGTTTCAGACGGACGTCGTGGTCGACGGTCGCCACCATCCTCTTGCAATGGCTTTGGCGGAAAATACAACTCTACAGTGCATAGAGCTAAGACGCAGCATGACTGCAAACCTGGGAGTTATGTTTGAACTCATTAATGCTTTGATTGGGTCCACTAGCTTGGAAGACTTTTCCTTGGAAGAATCAAATCTTGCTAGCAAAGTACGAGTAGAAGGAGACGATATCGCTTTGATGGTTCCGTTGACAAAGATATTGATGGATTCGCAGTGTCGCATCAGCAATCTTGACCTTGCGAACTGTGGTTTGGGTCAACAAAGACACTGGCTACAGTCTCTACTTTCGGGCTTGGAGCACAACGCTTCGATAGAATCGCTGGACCTATCGGAAAATGGGTTTGATTCCATTGATATGACCATGGTTCTCGATGGTCTCAAACGAATTCGGGGTATCCGTCAGCTTGACTTGAATGATCAAGGCAACCTTTTGACTCACGGATCCATCGATTGGTTGGCAAATAGTTGTCTTCTCAACCCACAACCAACGATCTGTCTGGAGGAACTTCAGATTGACAATTATTTGCCCGCCGACATGGGAGACTCTGACTATGCTAGCGAGAATGGCGACGAAGATGACGGGCAAAAAAGGGAAAACGAGTTGGTCTTGCTAAAGCTCTTGCGAAACAATCCTTCGCTGGGAAAATTGGGAATTGAGCTAGATGAACTCCAAGAAAGATTATCTCCACGTGTTGTTCAGTTGCTGGATCTAAATCTGTGTGGCCGTCGTCTCCTCGTACCAATAAGTATCCAGCAAGGGAGCTGTGACAACAACACCACCACATTCCAGTACGACCAGATTCCATTAGGGCTGTGGCCAATAATACTGGAACGAGCAGACAGTATATTCTCGGAATTTCCCGAAAGGTGTGCTAATGTGCTTCATCATTTTTCACAGAACGGGCCGCTCCTTTTGGACTATTGACAGCCACAGTCACTGAAGTAACGAATGTTGCCAATTGCTATTCATAACATCCTTTGTACAATAAGCCTTATTTATATCTTGTTACTTAAAGTCTCTGCTGCTGCAAAATTGAGAACGAATGTACAATATTTTTGAGGAGTTATCAAAATTGAAAATTGTGGATTGGGAATACATCACTCTGCCCATCAGACGATGGATTCCCTATCCTTGCAAGTGGAGTGCGCCATTCAGGATTTTGACTCTGGGGCACGCCACTTTTGGTTTCTGCGGTGAATTAGTTTGCATAGCTCGGGTCGTGTTTTCTGGAAGTCTTGGTGGAAATAGGCACCCTTCAGTGCACCATTGGACAGGGCTTCAAAACCATAAAGATTCAGTTGACGTTTGAACGAACTTAAGTGGCTTTGATTGAAGTATCTCGGAACAATCTTGTCAAAAAACTGCTTCGGTTTGTGGATCTGAAATGCACGTCCATCAGATGTGAACGAAATAATGTCAGAAAGCCCTTCTAGTTCCACCTCCAGTAGCAATCGATGGAGTTTTTCAGGAAAGCTCTCCGATTTCTTGGCGGGATCAACCTTTCCACTATTCATTTGTAGGCTAGCCATGAGAAGAGATGGGTTCATCCCTTGGATTCTCTGATTCTGTGTAGTATTCAGGCTGGGCATCAGTGCAGCATCGATGCTGCTGAGCGGAGAAAGCGAAGAATGCATCCCGAAAGGACCCAAATTTGACGCATGGCCCAAAAGCCCGAAGTTGTTGTTGTGCAATCCAAACATCCCCGCGTTATTGTTTTGCTGCAGACTACTGAGCAAGAGCAAATCTCTTTGGTGTTGAGTCAAGCTGGTCTGCAAACTTGGCAGTCTGCTAGGAAGGAAAGGAGGCGGGTGTTGGAGCAGAAGTGACGCATTCGGGACTCGTGAAGGATGATTTAGAGAATTTGCGGATGCGGCAGCTGCAGCTTGGGCCATCGCCTGTTGATTTCTTAGGCTACTTATTAATGACTCCAACGATGTGTTAGTACCTGGGTTTGAAGGACCACTGAGATCACTCGCTTGGTCTTGTTGGTTCTTTGTCCGTAGCAAATGGATTATGTTACTTCCTGAACCTCGAGGGTCGGGACTTTGCATTCCCTCTCTTTCATCACTCATATTTGTAATGAATGGATTGTGAAGATGTCTGTTGCGAATTTGTATGCGCTTGGAACCTCACGTATGAGAATGTGTCGAATACAACTGGCTAAACCGAACCTGTTCTGTGGGTACATAATTGCCCGCGTCTATTAAGTACAAAAATATAGAGACAGACTTTGAGCTGGAGTACTGTGTGTCATGTGTTTGTTCGTGGTTTTCAAAACATTTAACATTCGAAAACGTGATATCTAGGTTTCTGGAAGTAGATAAATGCTTCTTTGCTCGTAGTTCTGGCCAAACTAGCCTTGGTTCGTCAAACACCACGCTCCTATTTAAACTTATGATTAAAAATCAACAGAAATGTCTAGGGTCAAAGCCTTCCCCACAGTCTTTCTGAGTTCAAAGATCGGTCCGCTCAGTAAATACAGATCCCGCTGGTCCGGTACTTGCATGATTCTTAATTTGTCCCGTCGCTCGGGCGCGACTTGAAGTGGTTGTGGTCAAGAGCGACTCGAAGCATTTCGGAACGAGTGACGTCAACAATGCTACCGTATTCAATATTACCCTTTTTGAAAACGCGACAATAAGGGTAGGGTTGATACGATACGCAACACCACACACTATACTGTACTGATGTCATCTATCACTGAAGGGGCCACAATATCGTTTCAGCCGAGTCTTTGTTCTTTCGAAGGTTCAGACAAAACTCTTTCATATAGCGTCGTCGGAATCTATTGACTCCACCTCCAAACATCAAATTGTGAGTGTTCAAGGCTATGGCAGCATGTTTTCTCGCACGATCCTTGTCTTTGACATCCCATGAGCACAGTGCCGCTTGTACTCGAACCACTATGGAACTCTCATCATTGGGCGGCATATTTGTTTCTGAAAACTGGATGCACTCTTCCCAGAGTCCGAGGGCCCGTGTGGACTGACCAAGGCTTTCCAGCGTAATGGCCTTCAGAATGCGAAGATTCTGAATGTCGCACTGGAACCAAGCGCTACCGCCTGCATCCATTCCATCCTCTTCTGATCTTTCTCCTTCAGGCAGTGCTTCTCCCGTCGCCTGTTTCATAAGCTCATCAATGGCATCCATTCTCTGAAAGGGATCCATCTCCATCAGTTCCATTTGTACATCACTATCCACAACTGGGAACGGGGGACCATCATGATCAGTACTACCAGAACCGTCTTCGGGTTCTTGGAAATCCATCCTCAGCATGGCATTCCGCCTTTTTGCATTCTCACATAACACATCATGCTCCACATAACTTATACAGACTTCTTGTCCTTGTGGAATATCTTGGTTGCATACAAACCACATGATATTTCCCACAGCATATCTGGAAACATTTGGCCTCGGACTGTGATTGAAGAATGACGGGAGATGAAACAAGCCAACGCCTCCTAACAACGAATGACCAGTAGGACCAGGATAACTCAAGAGCTCGGAACAAGTTTCAATCGACAAGACGTTATACCGAATAATCAATGGTAGCCGTTGCCGGATTTCATCGGATTTGCCCTGAAGCTGTGGGATACCTTCAATCTGTCGCAAGAGGGATCCAAATTGTGATAGAATATTGTCGTCCTTGCAATTCCATGTTGGCAAAGTTCCAATGTTGTCCCTTGGGTAAAGTGCAGATACCTGTTCAAACCAGATGCTGGGATTCTCCTTGATACGCTGCAAAACTCGTAGAACGACATGGTCATTCGATTTGGAACCATCCACCCCCTCATCGCCTTCGTCTTCTTCTTCGTCCTCCATTTCATCCTCATCATTATATGCTTCCAAATCCATGGTCCATGCAATTGGTTTCGATACCATGACTACTGTCCCAGCTACTAGAGGTGTCTTGGCAGTCCATCCCTTTCCTTTTCCTGGGGTGTCCACGAGCTGAAGCACATCACTTGGAGATTCCAAATGGGAATATTCTTCTGGGACATCAAACTCGGGCCGATTCGGACCATTATCTCCCGCTGTGAGCAATATTGCATCTAGTTCATCAAGGAGACGCACCATGGTTTCTTTGTTGGTCCAATCGGTTTTGCAGACGATTCTGCGAAACGTTGTTGTCGTCGATGGTTGTAATGATGAGATTGCGCGAATTCGCGTGAGATACGCGGGAATCAACGAGGTTCGTGACTGCAATTAAAAATTGGAGAATCTACACTATGGTGGTCGAGATCCCAGAGCCCTCTTGCAAGCTAACTGCCAGTCGTTTCTGCTGACCTTGATCGTGCGTGATCCATATTGCTACCATTCCTTCTCTCTCACAATAGGTTTCAATACTTTTTTCCACTTTGACTTTTGTTGCCATGTCCAAAGCTGATGTACTCTCGTCCAGCAGAATGACTTTTGGCCTAGAGGCAAGAGAGATTGCCAGTAGCATCCGTTGACTTTCCCCGCCAGAAAGCTCTTTCCACTCGGAATTGAGTAGGGTCTCGTCCAGCCCCCAGTTTTCGATGAGACTTTTGACGCTCGTTGTCATTTCGTCCAACGAAGGTGAATCAGCAATCCCTCCTGTCTTCCACACTTTGAATTGACTAATGGTCTCCAACAGAGCATTTGGACTGCCTGGGACGTCCACTTTTGTCTGTGGAACATAGAGCACCTGTTTCCGCCAGACAGACATGTCTTGATGAGAAGATTGTTTGATTCCACACAGTGAAACGTCGCCTTCCCAGCTTGGAACTAGTCCTGCGATTATTCGGAACAGTGTACTCTTGCCAACGCCACTATTGACATGAATACCATCATGAGCGAACAGTAGTCATGAGCGAACAGTAGTTTTATGGGGCAAATAAAGAGAAAAAATAGATGCATTGACTCACCTTGGACCATCCACAAGGGCCCGCTCTCCCTCCCGTAGTCGAAAATGTTGGTCTTGAAAAAGAATCCGCCTTTGTACCGTCTCACTGGAATTCTTGCTCTTATCAAAGGCAAACGAAAGCCCAGACACTTCAATGATGCATTGGTTTTGCTGCTTTTCGACCGGTGTCTTGATGGCAAGAGAACCAATAGGCGCTAGAGTAGAGACTTCATCTAGTGAACCTTTGGCAGTTGCATCCTTTTTCACAGATCCGACAAAACAACTTTGAATGAGATCAAAAATAGCAGCAAAGAATGACTTTTTACCGGACCGCTTCATCAACCAATCCGTCCGAAGCATTTGTTTGGAATCAAAGCACATGCGAATTGCAAGAAAGATTTGAGAGAAAATCGTCCCAAAGGAACTCATAGCAATCAAATATGTAATCAAGATTTGATATCGTGCTGCTTGTGTGACGGATGTTCCACCAAGAATTTGGCCCGTCATCATTCCACTGAAAACAAGAAGAATGAATGGATCAGAAATCAGCATTTCTATGCAAAGTAATGTCAATTCAAAACTGCATTGAACTCACGGGATCGATATCAGTCCAATGATTGCCATACTGGGGAAACGAAGAAATAAGATACATGTGAGAAATGGACGCGAATTTTCATCGGACTGTTCCTTATTCACTTTTCGATCAAGGAGTATAGACGTACCCATTCAGCCCCGGCAAAGATCCCGTTCGAATGGCGTCCTTTACATTTCTCTTACTTGCCTCATTGGTAGTAGCACCAAAGCTGAGGAGCAATTCAATTTCTCGCGAGGATTCCACCACTCCACTCAGCAAAGAATTCATGGACAAGGATACCCCGTTGATGCAGTTTCCGAGCAGCATTCCCATCATTGGAATCACATACTGAGGATCCCAGAGTGGATCCAAGTTCAACAGCAACCCAAAGGCGAATAATGATACAACGGTCACGTTTGCCACTAGCATTGCAAGGACATACCAGAACATATCCTGGAAATAATACCGAGACCGTGCGGTCGCTTCGTAGGATGCCAAGGTAATCATGAACATGACATAGACCAAGACTAGCCCCCACATTTCTTTTCCCCGAACAAAGATTGGCTCCAATATGATACCCAATACAGAAAGCTGTATCAGCGCACGGATTATTCCAACAAGCATTCCATTTTCAATGCCAAGATTCAGGTACCAAGATGCCCAGACAAGACCCAGTAGCGGAAGTGTTGCCAATAACAGAGTCCAGTAGGACACCTCAATGAGCACTTCCGTTTCGTATCCCATCGTAAAGATTTCGCTGCTTTTACTGTATGATGTGCGGCAATGACAACGACGACGATGATGATGATGATGATGATGCGATCGTGTGAAAAATGATGGATCTCGTTTTGTGAAAACTCGAATGAATCTTCGAGTTTATTATTTCCTTTCGAGTTGGAGTCCGTTCAGTCGTTAAGTTGGCGTCTGCTACTCATCCGTTCGAAGTCAGTATCTTTTGGGTCGAAGCACGTTCTTCGAATTTTAATTATTGTGCGATGGACGATGATGATGCGATGACACATGGTGGTGGCTGACACGACGCATTACAAATCGTGGCAGATTTTGTTCCAACCCAGCTATTTTATTTCACGATGGCACCACCGGATGATCTTCGAATCGGCTGTTTATTGCCTTCTGCAACAGCCATTTGTGTTTCATTGGGTTTGGAAGAATACATCGTCGGTGTCACGCACGAATGCACTGCCTTGTCGAACCATAACCAAAACCAGCGCAAACAAAATAAGGTTCAGGTGCTAACCAAGGACGGTTTGAACGTCACATCTCAGGGGGATATTCACAAGGCTATATCGTCTGCTCCAGCACCATCATGCGCTGCCATCCCTGGAAAGGAAATTCCTTCCTTTTATCCGATCTTACAGGACCGATTGGAATTGGCCAGACCCAATGTCATTTTCACCCAAGATTTGTGTGCCGTTTGTGCTCCCACAGCCACCGATGTACAGAAAATTGTAAAGGATGGCGAGCCGGCCATAATCTCCTTGCAACCGACGACGCTTCAAGAAGTTGCCGATAGCTTTGTTACGGTCGCCAAGGCCTGTGGAATTGAAGATCGAGGCATTGCGTATCGGAAGCAGTGGTGGTCCGACTTGGAACAGCTGAAATTGACCATCCTAGAAACTAGAATAGAAAACAAACCATCACCACGGTTGTTCATTTTGGAATGGTTGGATCCGCCCTTTGATTCTGGTCACTGGACCTATCAGATGATGGACTTTGCCTGTGTTGAAATGGCCAACACCAACAAGGACGACAAGCTTCAAAATGACTTCAAGGCGCATGCCATTCAATGGGAAGATGTCTACAAGACGAAACCAGATTTGATACTGGTAGGCTGTTGTGGCTTTGACTTGGATCGAAATTACCAAGATACCAAGAGCCATGCCGATAAGTTTGCTCCTCTCCTTCAAGCAGGAACAGCGATTTTTGCATGCAATGGCAACGAATACATTGCCAATCCCGGAACTTCTCTGCTACAAGGGGTGGCAATACTGGCACAATGCGCCTATCACGATCAGCCACAAGTATTGGATGCCATTCGTGCGCTGAACATCATTCCTCCTGACACTGGATTCAAGCCTGTTCCCTTTGACACCCATGAGCTCCATGATGCAAAAGACAATAATCAAGACGACAAGTCGAAGAATTCTGCATCCCTGGCTATAGCAAAGACATCTTTGGGCGTCGGAGATATTGAAGATCTGGTTAGTGAAAACGAAGGCTTTGCCAAGGTACACGAGGAAGCCTGTCGAGAAGGGAAGCAAATGTACACGGATCCGGAATCGGGGTATTCGGTATTCACCGAGTTGGCCCACAAGGAACGTGGCTTTTGCTGTGGTTCCGGATGTCGTCACTGTCCCTATAGTCACGAAAATGTCAAGAACAAGGAGAAGCGGATTCAGCAGCCTGCTATCATGTATCGACAGTCCGAAAGCGCCGATCTCTTTTCTTGGAAAGAAAACGCTGAAGTGAAGGTCTTGTTTGACAGTGGAGGCAAGGACTCGTTCCTTACCATCCGGGCCTTGGCCAAGTCATATCGAAAGGACAAACCTTTTGGACTGGTATTATTGACTACCTTTGATGCTACTTCCCGGAATATTGCCCATCAAAACATTCCGATTGACGATGTTGTCAGACAAGCCAAACACTTGGATATCACTTTGCTGGGGATACCACATCACCGAGCCAGTGGTGAGACATACATCAGCAAGATCACACGTGGTCTGGAAGTTATCCAAAAGAATTTGCCTCGGCCTGATTCCAAAATTACGACAATGGTATTCGGGGATTTGCATCTGGAGCACATCAAGGATTGGCGGGAAAATACATTCAAGAACGCTGGGTACCAAATGGAATATCCGCTATGGAAGGCGGACTACAGTGAGCTACTGAACGACTTGGAAAAGTCTCAAGTACCTTGCTTCATTACGGGATCCACCAATGTCCAAGTCAAAGTTGGGACCGAATTCACAAGATTTTTCTATCAAGAAGTGGTTGCGGCCAAACTGGACGGATTCGGGGAGAATGGGGAATTTCACTCGCTTGCCAAAGTTTGGGAGGTACCACGAGCAACAGCACTAGGGGTCCAACAATAGAATAGAATAAGCTAGGCTTGATTTCAAACATGTACAGCACTGTACCTCGTTATCTTCTGGTTTTTGCCATTCGAAGGCACCAATGTAGCTCCGATTTCTGCCAGCGAATCGACGTAATATACTGTACCAATTGTTTTTTATACTCTTGGACGTACAGTACCGTGTCGTTTTCCTGTTTGACATCAGCTTAACTGCATCGACTACTTCAAATAAGTAATTCTAATGTTTTGAATTTTAGGCTCTATCATTAGTCGTCAAAGAAGCTGGAGAGTGCTACTTCCGCCCCAGTCTTACTCTTTTTCTTTTCTTCCTTCAATTTTTCAAACTTGTTGTGGTACTTGAAAGTGCCCGTGTGCTTCAAAGTAGTCCTGGCTTCAGCTACTTCCTTTCTAGCCTGGTGTAACTCGACCGCTTGTTTGTCGTAATCCTCCGTCTTGTACCGGAGCTGGTCTCGCAAAAGTGCCAAATCCGCTTTCAGTTTCGTAATCTCCTTATCCTTTTCTGCCAACTGTTGTTCATGCTCCTCTGGGTCCTCGCCCTTGTGAATGATGGACCTCATGCCCCGGATACTGCGGGACGAATTCATCCTCAGCATTGCTGCTTCGTGTCGTTGCACACGTTGCTTCAAAATGTCATTTTCAATCTGCAGTTGTTCGATTTCCTTGCTCGATTGATTCTTGTTTCGAGCTGCAGTGTCCAACCTATCTGCTGTTTCGGCAGCCTTTTCCTTGAGTTCTTCAACTCTAAACTCCAATTGGCGATTCTTCTGTTCTAGGTATTCCTTTTCCATGGCCATGGATTCGAGCTTTTTGCGCAGGTTTATTTGTTCGTCGTCCACATTGGTCTCGTACTCTTCGAGCTGATCGAGCATATCATCCACAAATCTCCTCTTTTCCGCTTTGCCACTGTTCCTCCGTGCACTAAATCCTCCCGCGCTCACTTCGTCCAAACTTTTTTTGGCGAAACGAGGAGATCGTTTGCTCGACAAGCTAATTCTGCTACTGACGGATTTCTTACTCGAAACGGATTCGTTACCGTCTCTATCCCTCAGAGTCTTACGTCGACTGTTGCCGGGAGTCTCGACAATGTGTTCGTCGTCTTCATCAGTAGTAGTGTCACCCATGTTATACTCATAGGCTTCTGATTTATGACTATTCGAATTTTCGTTGTCTTGCGAAATCTGGTCCTTCAGAGGTATTTCTGGAACGTCAGTAGTTCGTTGCCGACGCTGACTAAAGGATAGGTTACGAATTGGAGGAAGATCGTCCTCTTGGCTGTAAATATCGTCGTCTTTGGTGTCGTCTTCGAATTCTTCTTCGTCCTTTGGTTGTCTGCGCGCACTCCTGGGAGACTTGCCATTGCTGAGTTGCCGCGATTGACGGCTACCCGCGGAGTCCCGTCGTTTGGCTTGTGGGTGTACTGGAGGAGGTGGTGGAGGTGGCGTATATTCGTCTTCCGTCTTGAGTTTGGGCAATTTTCTATCGAACATAGCGTCCAATTCTTGTTCCAAAGCCAGTCGGCGTTTTTCTACTTCCTCAGAATTCTTCTTTGACAAAAGCATATCTGTAGACATTTGCTTTTTGAACGCTTGTCGCCGTTCCTCTTTTGCTTTATCTTCCTCAACGCTATTTTGTTTCTTTTTGCGGCGTCTACGACGTGGTTTTGAAGTGGAACCATCATCACCGCCATAGAGAGAATGGACGTAGGTCTCATCTTCCGAGACTTCTTCCACTTCTTCGCCCCAAGCATTGACCTTAACTTTGGCCTTTCGAGATTTGCTTGCTTTTCTCGGCTTGCGGCTACCACTGGACTTGACACTGACATCATCACCAGCAGCACCCCTCCTGCTCTTGCTGCGGCTGCGGGTTTTCTTCTTGGTAGAAAGCGGACTCGCCATGTCATCACCAGTGTCTTTTTTCTTTTTTCGTCGCCGACCAGACTTGCTGACAATAGTTCCCGCTTCTGATTTGTCGTCGTCAAAAGGAAGAGCGGGGGCTTCTTTTGCTGGTTCGTCTTCAACATTATGTAGGATACCCAGACTGCCACCACTGGAGCTGCTTCCCTTGAAGTGGGAAGCTCGGCTATTATCACTGTCATCTAAATATTCAAGATCTCCAGGGTCTTGGACATTCTTAGATTTCAGTTTCATAAGATTCTTTCCCAGTTTCTTCTTGAGGGCTCTGGGAGTGAACGACGTGCCACGTTTGTATTCTGGGCGAGGCTGGGACGATACGCTCCTTTCATCTCCGCCGCCATGGACTGTGCTTCGCAGGGCGTTTCCAATTTTCAGGCGGCGTCTTCCTGTCGATTGTGGTGGGCTGATCTGTACTGGTGATTGTTCGTCAGCAGCATTATTCGCTTCACCAATCATTGACACACGGGTAAATGAATTAGACGACTTTTGTTCACCAGACGCTGCGGGGCTCAGTGGCGGTGAAAGAGGAGACTTGAAGGCTCGCTTGGCACCGAGACTTAAGCGTCGTCCCAGTGACTTTCTCGGCCGGCCAGGTTGAGGTGTCAGGTAGCCATACCCGTAATCTACCCCGTCGCCGCTCATACTAGCAATGCGGAGGTTATCAATATCGACCTGCTTGTTGATATTGACAGAGTATGTAGCTACCGTATACAGTTGTTACGCTTCTGACGGCAGGTACAAATGAAAAAAGGTAAAGATCATGTAGCCACCGATGCTTCAGGGACGCTGGGAACATTCTTGGTGACGATTGAAAACTGCACGCAAACTCCGCCCACGCCCGTCCATCCGAAGACATAAGTGTAAAAATAGAAGATCCACTCTTCTGATTCAGGACATAAGGCAGGTCGTTCGAAAATATGAAATTGACAATGTCGTTTACGCGACAATCATAAACAAGCATGTTTCTTCGGGAATGAAATTAAAGCGAAACAACGTATTTTTAGCGGCTCTAACTATTTCTATTGTATCCTACCGGTATGGCATTATTGGCGTCGCACAAAACGAAAGAGTGATCGAAAAAAGGGGAACCGCAGGCGAGATGATCTCAATGGTTTCAAAGCTTTCAGAACAATCTCTTGAGAGCATCAATACCAGCATCCAACGCCGCAATCTCTTTGTCATACCTCTCTATGGCGCGCTGCTGTTCGGGAGGCTACGACCAAACGCCCAATCTCCGATTCCATGACGTTGGACAAGATGTCATTCAGCCGACGATCATACTTTTGCATGACTTCAATGCAGATCATTGGAACAGTGTCAACAAAGCGTTTCTCAGCGACCTTGCCGTAAGCACTCAGCGCGTGCTGCATCTCTTCAGCCATGTGATCATCCATGGATCTCGCTTGCTTCTGTTCAAAAACAAGCTTGACTGCAGAACGAATTGCTGGCTTTTGCATATGTCCATGATCCGTGCCAATCGGAGACATGAGTTCTTCCATCAATCGCTGAGATCGAAGCTTGGATAGATTCTCGAATAGATCATGCCTGTAAGGAACCTGTTCACGATTGATGAACTGTGAAAGTTGGGCCTTAGATTCTTCCATCAAGGTTCCAACCAGCTCGGATGACGTGAATAGCAAGAACTCTCGCAACATGGGCAATGATTCGATTTTGCGAATGCTCTTGATATAATCTGTAGTTGCAGTTACTAACAAATCAGAAGTATATCTCAACAATTCTTCAGCGGGAAGCCGCCAATCCTCATCAATCAGATTGGCCACAATACCTTTGAAGGCCTCCGTGTTGATAAAGATTGGAAGGTCATATGGGCGGTTCATTTTGATCAATTTTCGAATCCATTCTGAAGCAGGTCGGACCAATTCCAATGGGACTGGCTCCATGGCGAAAGCATGATTGTTGTAGCCCATAATCATCACCTCATTTCATTTCTCGTAGACATCGCCGAGAGTAAGGTCAGGTGGAGGGCTTTCGTCCCGGAATTTACGCCGGATGCCCGTAAAATAGACTTTATCCCCTTTCAGGTATCGTACGGTCTCCCTAATCTCTTCAAATTGAACAAATGCAATGACGTCTACTCCCACAGTAATATTGGATATATTTGCTAAGCGACTCTTGCTAAGAGTCTCCTGAAACCGATTCGATGCCGAATGAAACTCGGCAGAGGGTTTTACTTCCAAAATGCTTCCCCCCCCCCCCAATGAGCTGACCACCAAATACCAATGGTCCAATTGACCTGCAGAAGTCATCCGTGACCTTCCTAAACAATGCTCTCTTCTCGGTCAAATTGGAAGGAATCACACCAAGTTCTTGCCGAGAGGAGACCGCCGAATCACGCTTCTCTTTCATTTCTGATACAATATTATGAAACGAAAGGCGGATAAGTTTCATTTGAAGTTTCCCGAGCTTCACGCGTAGAGCGGTTGTACCAAACAAGGTCTTGTCTTCAATCCCACGCCATGGCTCCTTGTTGTAGAAAAAGCTCGCTTCTTGCGCCAGACCTTCTTCGATCGTCGTCTTCTTGTTCAGCGCTTCTTGTCCTCGACCTTTCACCATGTGAAAACCAATTTCGAAGTGCTCAGTCTTCTCGCCGAGAAGAAGCTCTTTTACGCCGCCTTCGGCTCCAGAATCAATCAAGTCAGGTTTTGTCAGTACCGGTATAGTACGTTTCGTGTCAGGATCAACCTTCAAGGCTTCTGCCATGATCTGTGAGTTATGAAAGTCGACGTTGGCTGGCAGAACGGCCAGAATCACACATCGCGGGTTCGTCAAGTAGTCGGACAGCAATGCCTCGATGTCTTGCGATAGGCCGGCACTCTCACCCTTTCCATGAGACCGGACGATGCCCGGAAGATCAATCAAAGTGAGGTCCTCGCAATGCGGACAAGTCATTTCCACACTCACAACATCGCGAGCAGCCTCCTTGTTTCGTTTCGCAACAATGTGCTTTTGAGCATCCAAGATGTAGCCTGTAAGATCATCCCAATTGGCCTCTGTCACTTTCCTCGGAATAAACTCGAAGTCGGGTCCTTCAGGAATATCTTTCCAAATGATCTTGACGGTTGCTGATTTGGATTCTTTTGTATGCATTTGAAGTCTGATGGGACACCGAGTGGTCAACTTATCATTGCTAGGAAGCTCCACCATGGATATCATGGAAAGAAGACTTGATTTACCGCTGCTAGTATCTCCCATAACAGCAATCATAGGCAGGTCGACGTATTCATCAACATTGAACTGAGCCAACTTGTTCATGAAGCCTCTGTACTGTTCATATCCGCTCCCCTCGTGGGGATGGGGAGCATTGCTGGTGGAAGACCTGGGCTCGTGTGCAGCTACTCCATGTTTTGTTGAGGTATCATGATCGGGAGTTCTATCCTCGTCGTGGGCTTGATACTGTACTGCCTCAACTGCGTCACCAACGCAAAATACAACAAGTACACAACATGAGTATAGGACTGCCTGAAAAAGGGTTATCTTTATCATTGGCTCAAAGCTTTCAGATTCAGGCCTTTCCTCCAAAATACTGCGAAGGATTGCCGAAATCAGATATGAAGAGAAGAAGCGCTAGCTTGCGATATTGGCGTACACCGTTCTCTACGGTACATGGAATTTTCAGGTCAGCATTCTGGATCCGCATGCAGGAGGACGAAGGATCTTGTGATTCTTGATTGGCCAGTATGCAATCTGAATTTTTCAGGAGAAAGTACCGCAGCCTGCCAATAACCAAGAGGTACTACTGTACCGTACTGGTACCGTGGTGGCCCCAGTTTTGCGACGCAGTAAGGATGCCATGGGTTTTGCTTTTTCATACCCCTATGCCGAAGAGAATTTACCCTGCTGATACATATTATATAGGTTGCTATGAAACGGTATCACATGATGTGTATCGAAGATGACAAATCTCTTGGCGGAGTGCGTTACAGACTTACTGAAAAGTATATCATTTTCGCGCATTTCCGCACGAAACGTATATCGATATCATATACTTTTGATTCATATGTAAAAATGTTGTTCCCACAAAGGCTTGCGGAAAAGTATATACCTCTCCGGGTCCCTTGATATACGATGCGATTTCAAGTCAGGCTCAATTTTGGCACGTAGAAATCGTACCGTTTTCGCGTAGACCAGAATACTGGCCTGGTTGAGAATATTGGAAAATACACGTTCCTCAAAAGACACCAGATTGCCCACAACAAACGAAAACATCACCGTCGATGGATACAAAACAAACGAGAGAAATGAAAGGAAATGAAAGAAGAGCAAAGGTGCTGATGTAAATGTAAGTTTTAGATGGCAACATCTCGGACTTCGTGTGGAATTTTCTCAAACATGGCTCCTGCAAAACCTGTACGGGTTGGACTGGTGACATCGGCATCGCTTTCGTCAAACCACCCTCTCTGAAAGGAACACCTTCCATGGACGGGGATACCAATAGACTTGCAACGGTGCCCTCCCGATCCTTCAAGTGCCACCGATTCACCTTTGCTTCCAGCACATTCACATTTGCCCACTCTTGGTGGCGTTTGATATGGCTGGAATGAATCCTCTTGTGTTATTGTCACACATATCAATCAGCCACTGGACGTATCTGGACGAGGTCTCCGCATCCTGGGCACTACAGAGCAACCAGTTCATTGTAATCTGGCGCCATAATGAGGACAAAGGACCGCAAGGAGTATTATGTTGGCGCTCTTTTGTGAAGAACATACTGGATGGCGTATCTTCCAGATTCGACACCACTTCTTCATCACCTGAATCAACAATCAACATTGTTCTGCGCTGGCTGGTCCATGGGGTTATCGGTAATTTGATTCGATGTCTGTCGTTTCTGCTGAGAAGATCACTGCAGCAGGCGCTTATTGCTGTTGGTCTAGATTGCGGGTATGTTGTCAAACCGATGAATGTTTGACATCTCGCCTTTTACCATGACCCATTGGACCCAGCAGAGATACCCAGAAGAGATGTGAAAGAAAGCTTCTGATCATAAATCCAGAATTGGACTGAGGACAGAATACTAGTAGCGGCTTCTGTCACGACAATAAGCAGGGATGTGCTGGAGCGGCAATCATACCGTTGTTCGAGTTTTGTTGCTCCTAGAATGAATGGCTTCATAGCCGAAGGACTCTATATTATAATGTAGCATATTAATTGATTGTAAACCGTTTACTATAAACGCAACTAGCAGTTTTTAATGATCCATGTCGGCCCTTCCTATAGAAGCAACCTCGAGGACGCCTGGGCATTGTTACTTCATCTCATTCACCATACTGGAAGGATAGTTTTCATCGCCGTCTCATTGCCAGGGCAGGGCGTTGAAGGATGTGCCATGTAGGCCCTTGCCAGAATCATCGCCTATTTTGGGAAGAACTTCTTCTTCCTCTTGCCTTGATGTAGCTCGAAAAGGAGTCGAAGAGGATGTGCCCCAAGGTCCTGTCACCGTGCACAATAGCTGGTATCGATTGAGGCATCGTGATTCTTCCAGAGGCTGTACGTCCCTGAGCTGGTTGGGTGCCTCCCGTGTATGGCTCCTCTCATCAGCGTTCTTGGAGTGAAATACACTGCATTATTTTATTGTCTTTGGGATGAACATCAAACGATATCCAGTGACTTCTACCCACGATAAAGTATGTTTATGCAGTGAGAGGACGTACAGACGTTACCGTATATGGGGGTATATACCGGTACGTTTCCGCCGGTCACTACAGTAGTTGTTGTGTGGCGCTAATAACGCAAGACAGACAAACTGTTGTACCTATGAATGCGGTGGGCCACCTGCTTGGAAAGGAATAAGCTCCTACGCACAGAACTTAATGATATTAAATTCTGAAATCTACGCAATGCTCTGACCTGGCGTACTATATATATCATACCGGTCTCCTCCATCTGCCCAAATCTGCATGGCATTTAGGCAAGAAAAAAAACAGATTATAATTACCCCGCCACCAACATTGTCGTAAGCAGGCGCTATTTTCAATTTGTCGATGCCAACGATTTTTCAATTAAAGATGCCGCGCTATTCCTGACGCCAACGATTTTTAAGACGCGGCGCTATTTCTTGATGCCAATGATTTGGATCTACGAAAAATAAAAGCCTCTATTCCTTCTTTTTCAGGTACATATTATATATAAAACACGACCAATTTTTAGAGCTGTATATATATATGATGTAGTTGAAAAGCTCGTCTTCTCACATTTTGAGCACGTAGACTAAACTATTTTCACGGTTTTTGCACACAGTATTCACTACTCACAACCTCACAAACGGGTAGAACCATGTACGGCCTTATCTTCGAAGTCCTTGAAGACTTTGTTGTCGACATGCATGGGACGGAAGCTTGGCATAAGATAAAAGAGATCGCAGGGTGCAAAACGGATGACCAGGCTTTTTTGCGAAGGGCCAACTATGACGATGAAGAACTGTTTGCACTCGTCGATGCAGCTGCATCACTCCTAAAAGTGTCTTCTTCAGATGTTCTAAAAGCCTATGGTCGGTATTTTCTCATCAAAAAGCTCTCTGGAGGTGGATACAGTGAGCTGTTGAAATGTCAGGGGTCTACCTTGCGCCAATGGCTTTCCAATCTCAACGCCATGCATGAATACATCAAGAGAAGCTTTCCAGGGGAAGGGTTTATCGCACCTATATTCTGGTGTGAAGACTGCGAAGACTTCAATGGGTCCATTCTTCTACATTACTACTCAATGAGGGGAAATAGGCTTGTTCAAATGGTAGTTGGAATTGTGGAGGAACTCGCAATTCAACATTTCGATTTGGAGGTCAAGATGAATCAGACTTCCTTACAAGGGGAAGGCGGGGCAGCATTCACGACATGGCGGGTGTCAGCTGTTGATGAATCTAAGCAGTGGAAGCTCTCACCAAGAAACGACGTCGAACATCAGGTTGATTTTCATGACGTTCCAATTCCTGAGAAATGTCCTTTCTCGGGGCGAAAGCTCAAAAGGGGGACAAGCGATGCTAGCACAATAATAACGTCGACAACAGCGCAATGTCCATTTCATAGTGGTATATCCAAGGGCACAAGTCAGTCTGGAACCGCCGAGACGTCCTCAGTTATCTCATTTTCAAGATCTAGCGAAGCTGGTGACGTTGCGAATTCCTTCAGATTCGAATTGCAGCATCTGACAGAGCTCTTCCCATTTCACATCTTGGTCGATGAAAGTTTCTCGATTATCAATGTCGGCGAAAAGCTATCAAGACTTCTGAATAAGTCTGAGCAGCAAATTGAAGGCTTACACATCGGCGATATCGTCGAAATTACAAGGTAAGCGGCTGCTCTTTTAGAGTAATTGCTATTGCCATCGTGGTATTCGGTGTGCTAACCTTGGCATTCCAAACTCAGGCCTGTGATGGTTTCTTCGTGGGATTGGAAGTCGCTCAACAAATTATCCGATCAAAACTTTTTCCTTACTCCGACAATCAAGGTATCGCCCTTTCGCAACCAATTGGAGTCATTGTCTTTGCTTCAAAAGAAAGTCTCCATGGCAGATAGCACTATCCGGTTTAAGGCTTCCATGCACCGCTTGTCGTCCGAGCAGGTCCTTTTCTCTTTGGCACCAGATGCTAGAAATGTTTCCGACCTTCATGACATGGGATTGACATTGTCCGACCTGCCACTCTCTAGCTGTCAGCGTGATGCTGTCCTTTTGGGCGAACACGTTGCCCAGGAGGCCGACAAAGCTCACGAGCTTGACAAGCTCAGCAGACGAATGACAGCCGAAAAGGACCTGTCGAACACTCTCCTGAACAACCTGCTTCCTCAAAAGGTAGCCGAGGACCTTCGACGAGGAAAGACTGTTGAGCCAGTCTTCCATGAAAACGTCACGCTGTTCTTCTCTGATGTAGTTGGATTCACCAACATCTGCGATCAAGTCGAACCATGGGATGTAATCGACATGATGAACCAACTGTATTCAGTGATGGATTTTCTCGCCAGTCACTTTGATCTGTACAAGGTCGAGACAGTCGGTGATTCCTACTTGTGTGCTTCCGGGCTGCCGGATTCCGACGAGTTGCACGCCGAGAAGATTGCGAACTTTGCTTTGGCAGTTCTGGAGTGTGTCAAGCACATCAAGTCTCCCATCGATGGATCTCCTATTCAGCTTCGAATTGGAATACACACTGGCAGCTGTACCTCTGGAGTTGTTGGAACATTGACGCCTCATTACTGCTTGTTTGGTACGTACATGCCATATGTGGAATTCGAATTTTCATTCGGAATCAATCGATCGATTAATCTTATTGGGCTTGTGATTCTTTCTTTTGTAGGTGACATGGTCAACACAGCTTCTCGACATGAGTCAACAGGTATTGCCGGCAAGATTCAATGTTCAAGTGTTCTGTACGGTAGACTCGAACATTTCTCGAAAAGCGACGATCGTCAGTACAACTTCAAGGCACGGGGTCTTGTTGATATGAAGGGCAAGGGAGAGCAATACACCTATTGGCTGGAGAGCGCTACAGATGAAAACGCTGCAATCAATGCGGAATCATTAAACAATATCTCAAGCCAGGTGGTCGAGATGCTTGGAACCAAGTCTTGGAAGAAGAGGCACTACTTTAGAGGGTTATCGGGTGATGGTTCGAGTCATGGCCAGAACACGACTGAATCTTCACACTGTTCTCTATCGGATGAAAACGCATCTACTTGCCCCATTGAAGCGTTTGGCAACGATGATTCGCCAGAAGATGGTGACACGATTGCTCCCATTGTGATTGATTTCTCACCGGAGAAGAGGATCAATTCTTGGGGCGAACTCAGCTCCGACGTGACCTCATCTCAGTCAGAGACTGAATCCATCATTTTTGACATGTTGGCGCAATCAATGAAGGATTGCATTTTGAAAAGTGGAAACAGATTGCAAGTCATGGAAGAGCAGCTTCGTGGATTCGTCGCCTCCACCACAAACATCTACATTGCGAATCCTGAAGGAGTCGAGCTGCACAATATCGCCAAGCTACTTTTGCGATGCAACTACCTCTGGGGAGCAAGGAAGCGGAACGAGAGATCTCCATACGCACTTGGTGCGAACCCTTGGGATCATTTCACCCTTCTTTTCAGTGCCTTCATCCACCGAGTCAAGCATACTGGATCAGCCAACGCCACTCTTAGAAGCGAAAGCCATCCTATTGCCCAGATGTACGAAGGGTTGTTATCTTGTCAGGAGAGATTATCGGTCGACTTTGCATTCACTCTGCTGGAAGACGAGTTTGGAGAATTGTACGACGAGATCAGCTTTGGCTGTCCGAACTTCAGAAGTCTGGTTCGCAAGGCAGTTCTCAGTACTGATTTAGAGCATGAAAGCACCGTTCACAGTATGCTTGGAAAGTGTCAGCAATTGAACTCGATGGTCTGTGTGGATGAGCGACAAACTCGGCAGCGCAATGCGGCAAACGTCGGACTCATCTTGGCCATGGCTACGGTCGGGCAATATACACAATCACTTGATCAGTTCCTGAAGTATAGCAGCGAAGAGTATGAAAAGTCGCTGAAGGCTTCCGATTCTAATATTTCGGAAAGCTGGTATTACGAGCAGAGCATGTTCATGAAGGATGTCTTACTTCCCTTGATCGATGAAGTGTCAGCTGTGTTACCGCTTTCTGGATACTTGGAAGAAGGTGCAACAGAAAACATTGCCTTTTGGGACAAGAGGGGGCAGGAGTGGATGGTAGCTAACAGTCTGAAGAAAGCAAAGGTCCACGTGGCAATGGAAGGCAGCATCGAATGGAAGTTTCACTTGGAAAAGCTGGTATCCGCCAACGTTGGTATCCTTGAGTCCCTGCTGGCGCAAGTCATGACTACCCGTCACGGAAACGAGCCAACATATCTGGATGACGGAGTTGAGTCGACTTCCCTAAAGCCGTATGAGGAGATCCAGATGTTCATCAAAATTAAGAGGTCAAAACTCGAGAATGAGCATGAAACGACTGGTATTCATGAAATTGATGCTGATGCTCGCTCCGAATTAAAAGACTTTGTGAGAGTCATCGCCGCTAGATACGAGAACAACCGATTCCACAACTTCTTGCATGCGAGTCATGTTGCAAACTTGTCAAATCTCCTTGTCAAGGGTATCCATTCAACGGGAGGATCATGTGGCGCCAGCAATATTGCCCATGATCCGCTTGCTCGCTTTGCTATTGTCTTGTCAGCACTAGTGCATGATGTTGGACACACTGGAGTCCCCAACAGCCTACTTGCTGAAGAACAGCCAGTACTTGCAGATATCTATAATCGCAAGAGTATCGCTGAACAGAACTCGATCGATACAGCTTGGGGTATTCTCATGTCTCCCAAATTTAAGACACTACAACATTGCCTCTTCGAATCGAAGCAAGAGAAACATCGATTCCGCCACTTGCTCGTCAACTGTGTAATGGCAACTGACATTTTTGACCAAGACTTGCGCGCATTGCGACAGTCAAGGTGGGAGAAAGCGTTCTCTGTTGAAGACGAGGAAGGGCACTACAAGGCCACGAGTGTCATTGAGCACATCACGCAGGCATCCGATGTAGCTCATACCATGCAAGAGTGGGAGATTTACCGCCAATGGAACGAGAGTCTCTTCAAGGAAATGTACCATGCATACACTGAAGGAAGAGCTGCGAAGGATCCATCTGATGGTTGGTACGAGGGCGAGCTTTGGTTCTTTGACAACTGGGTGATCCCATTGGCTCAAAACTTGAAGGAATGTGGAGTCTTGGATCTTGTGAGCGAGCAGTTGGTGAAACAGGCTCAAAGTAATCGACACAGATGGCAGTTGGAGGGCAAGCAGATTAGCCAAGAAATGTGCTCTGGTATCAAGTCGAGTACTCGAATGTTGGAGCGGTCACCGTCAAGTTGTTGCCTTCATTCTCTCTCTGCTAGTAGTGAGCATTCAAGCAGTTCCGCCAGTCATCTGGCATCTCGGATGGTAACCGAAGCGGAGTCGCTGTCGAGAGTAATGGCTCGATACGAACGCAAGTACGAGACAGTATTGGAGAGTATGATTGCTCTGGCTTACAAAGGGCAACCGTTTCCAATGGACCTCGATCAACAAGATTTGTCCGATGTCCACAATCACTTCAAAGAGCAGGATTGGTATAAATCCCATGCCAACGATAGTGACAAGGAGGCGTTGACATACAGTGCACGCGTTGCCTGATGATTGATTTTCATATGACCCTGTGATCCTCAACTAGAATTATGAGATAGATTGATCTATTTTATGTACAACTTGGTTTTTTTACAGCACTGGTAGGTAGTCCAAAAAGCAAAGGGATGGTTGTTCGAGCCAAAAGCGAGGCTCTTATAGCCTATTGATAGGACCAAAAATCTTATTTAGTTACTTCAAAACAGCCGCTGACAGATACATCCACTGGGGAACTCCAATATATTTCTACTAACAATACTACATCCTTCATGCGATGTCTATATTTGATTCGATAACCGGTTGGATTCCACTTCCTCACTCGGTAACGGCGCAAATGTAGTCGCAATCGGGGGAAACGGCGTCATAGACGCCAATGTCCCAAACAGCCAATACAGAGATGCGCTGATGGACGCCACGGCTCCAAGTCCCATTTCACAATTGTTGGAATCTACGAAAGATGTACAATATGGTGTATCCAGCAAAAAGAGCGTCAACGATTGCAGAATGGTCGCCAAGAGAAACGGCAGTGTCAAATAATGAAAGTACCCTCGTTGCGAGGGACAACAGCATCCCGTGAACAAGAACAAGAAACTCAGGCCGCCCAAGACTGATGCAGCTACGGATGCCACTCGAGCCAGTTGAAACTGCCAGCCCAACTCCAAGCTTTCTGTCTCGGAGATGCTGAAACAGGAATCTTGATAGTTATCACCTCCACCCAAGAAATTAGATTTCGAAGACGACAGGCCCAAGGCCCACAATCCCAATGAATAATATTCCAGACGCAAGGAGTCTCCTGTATTGACAACGTTGTCGCCTCCTTCATTCATAATCCGGAAAAAGTCTTCCTCCGACGTATTCTCCCATTCCAAAGTCAAGGATTCGTTGAGCTGGATAAAATCACAAGACAAATTTGCAAATATGGAAAGCCCCAGTCCAATTGCAGTAGCAAAAAGCAACAACAAGGACATTGTCACTTGCGAGCCAGATTCCTTGTATCGTTGGTATTTGTAATTCCGCCCGCCATTAATATTGTCTTGATTGCTCCCCGCCGCCGCTCGCTTTTGAGATCGTTTCCATTGAGAGACTCTTCGATTTCTGACCACCAATAAAGGTATCCATATTACAAAGAATAAGATCCAGACGATCCACACCAGCATCAAAAAATAGAGAAGAGGGGTGGCACCGCTGCCCGTCTCACTGTCGGTTTCCGTAGTAGAGGAGGGCGAGTCGTCCCCATCCGTATTATTCGTTGGCATGGAAAAATTGCCATTGCTGCTAATATTGGCAGCGTCACTTGCATTGGATTGGCTAATAGGATCCCCGACATCAGTAGGTAATGAAACGGACATGTCGTCGTTGGTAATTGTATTCGCAATGTTCGTCTAAAGTAATGTCAGCACACGCACAACCTTGGATGTTGTGATTGCTGTAAGGAAGGTGAATTTGTTGCGTCGAGAGTAATGAAAGCAGCACTGCTGATGTTGGTTGGCCACATATAGTGAAAACAAAAAAAGTGCAACAACATCATGAAAGGTGCACCCTAACCAAACGTTTCGTGTGAATCCAAAAACGCCAGCATATATAGTCATTCGTGCACCACTCCGACGACCGACAGACACCATTCATTGATTGATTGATTGATTGATTGATTGATTGATTCAATCTGAATCCCCTTCCTCAACTCAAAACGTACACGTGTACTGTAGTAGCGTTTCATGGAGAAAAAACATGAGCATGTTTGCGTGCCCTTCCGGAACACTATAGTACCTACAGGAAAATTATAGACGCTATGCATTATGTGAGATGAAAAAATGTATTGTCCTACCCTCCTCCTCGTATGTTTTTCTGAAGGTTACTTTGCCCCAGACTTCGACCGGATCGTTCGAAAGTTGGCGCCGACTTTCTTGATGGCAACCTCAATATCCACTGGGAACCACTTGTTGTCATCTTGCTTTAGAAATAGGCCTCCATTGCTCCTAATCATATCAACACATTCTTTAGCAATACTCTTCTTTCGTCCTTTCTTTGCCTTTTCGTACTCCTTCTGCCGATCCGCGACAATCATTCGAAGCTTTCTGTTGCCAGAGTGGATTTGAAATGGAATACCTTTGCCCAGCAAAACGTCCTCGCAAAATGGAACAAAAATCGTGCTAGGAATAGGATATATTAAGCGCTCCTGCCGCCGTTGTCGTTCTAATCTCTGACGATCTTCGAGAAGGTCAGTGATCTCGCCTTTGTCGTTCACAGGTATGGAAGATGGGTCGATTCCATGCCCACGCAATCGTTCCAAACATTCAAGGACAGTGCCTATAAAAAAGAAAAAGAAAACAAAGATCAGACTCAAGTTCAACCCTACAACTAGGCTCATAGAGACAGGGAACTTGATCACGTACCATGATGCACCCTACATCTAACTTGCTTTGGTTCGCTGAAAGCAGTCCTAACCAGTGCATTATGAGCTTCCCACGATTCCTCACTGTAACATAGGTGGACAGCCGAGAGGTATATGGGGGATCCTTCATTCAGCTTTGGAAACTTCCAGTTAAGAACAGCATTATCCCCACTCGTACCCTTGACATCATGATCTCCAGAATGGAAAACGATACTGACAAAACCCCGCCGTTGTATCTCCACGTCATGGCATGCTATCATGACGTTGTAAAAGGCCCTACGAAGCTAAAAAAAGGGTTCGATTGAGAAATCAAATTATCGTGGGTATTAAAAAATCGAGTCAAGAATTTCGACACTTTTGAACTTACGACTGCATCGGCCTTATAAACTTTGGGAACTTGCACCACGATGTTTATGACCCGCCCCCCTGCATCGTACGCATTCAAGAATCTTCCACTTGAGGTATAGAGAACTTCCATGTCGTCAGCGTCCAAATCATCTTGAGTAATGTCCATTGCAAGCGAATCAGCGCCAAACAAGTCCAGTTTCATTTGAAAATGCCGTATGATTCGGAGCGCAGCCTTCTGGCAATCGAACCTGTCGCATCGAAGGAACGCAAGGCGGAAGTCTCTGTCCTGGGTATATGTTGAATCCAGCCGTTCAGCAATGTTATAGGCTTTCTTGTCAGGTAGAGTATCGATCTCGTGTTGCAATTCCAACAAACTCTTCTGAATTAGTTCTGGGGTTTCTGCAACAAAGTCTGGTATCCCATGAACGTCCATGTACACCTTTTCTCGGTCTGAGACTGATAGCTTTGCCATTTGAGAGGCAATCAAGGAATCGGCGGTTTTAAGATCTGACGCATTTGGTGGAATTTGTTTGGCAAAGACATTGGCAATCTTGTTGTTATTGACTAGCGTGATGCTAGTGTCGGTAACAGCATCCGGACTCTGAGAGTACTTCGCTGCCACAAAACAGGTCGCACTGTCACTCATATTACAAGAGATTAGGTTGCTTTTTACAGCACTGGCGCCGTTGTGTTTGTCTCCTTCTTAAGAATATAAGATACAGTGCGGTATTTTAATCGTGTTTTTGAGACTTTTTTGTTTTCTCTCGAGGGACCGCAAGCGCAGATAGCCCGTCGTGTGCGACATGAAACACGGGTACACGTGTACCATGTAGATCCAAAATTGTCCCTCGTCAATTTTTGGGGCGAATGCTGTGATTTGTTTTGATTTAGGGGGAGTTATTTTACAGTATTTTAAAATATGTTACTGCAGTACTATAGTCCTATGTGTATGGGTGTAGAGATATTAATAAATCATAGTTTGTAAGAATGCACTTGTTAAAAAGCATATCTTGTGCCGAGGGCACTCACAATTGATGACGAATAGGACTTTAGAAACGTCCATATTCCGCTTTGCTCTAGGCTTCGACAAAATTTCAACTGCTCAGATAACTCGCGATGTCCATTGACTATAGAAAGCTGCTTGGTCGATTGAATCATTCCATTTACCCGAAAATGTTGCAGTGATTCTAGGACGGTGCCATAATGAAATCGGACTCGCAGATGAATCTGCTTGTTGCAAGCAATTATATTCAGTGCGACTGATTAGATCCTTCCAAAAGTCATCCGTGAAGGCATTGATTCGTGAAGGTTACTTTGGTCCATCAGCTTTCCTTAGCCGAAGTGATCGAAAAAGTGCACCAACTTTCTTGATGGCAACCTCGATGTCCACTACAAACCACTTGTTGCCATCCTGCTTTAGAAATAGGCCTCCGTTGCTCCTAATGGCGTCAACGCACTCTTGCGCGATAACCTTCTTTCTTCCTTTTTTTGCCTTTTCGTACTCCTTGTGCCGATCCACGACGATCTTTCGAAGCTTCCTGTTGCCGGTGTGGATCTGAAATGGGGTCCCCTTGCCCAGCAAAACATCCTCGCAAAATGGAACACCAATCGTGCTACGAATAGGATATTTCAACCGCTCCAAACACCGTTGTTTTTCCAATCTCTGACTATCTTCGAAATGGTCAGTAATCTCGCCTCTGTCATTCACAGGTATGGACGATGGGTCGATTCCATTTCCCCGCAATCGCTCTAGACATTCGAGGACTGTACCTGTGAAGAGAGAAAGTGAAAAGGGTTAGGGTTAGGGTCGACCCCTACTGTGCTCATCAACATCTGGAACGAAATCACGTACCATGGTGCACTCTACATCTAGCTTGGTTTTTCTGGCTGAGCGAAGTCTTAACCAGTGCATGAAGACCTTCCCACGTTTCTTCACTATAACATAGATGTAGTGCCGACATGTACATTGGCGATCCTTCATTTAGCTTTGGCATTTTCCAGACAAGCTCAGCATTATCCGCGCTCGTGTTCTTTATTTCATCTAAAGAATGGAGAACGACACTGACAAAGCCACGTCGTTGTATCTCTACGTCGTGGTAAGCTGTCACCAGGTTGTAAAAGCCTCTTCGAAGCTATACACACGGTTGAATTGAGACGTTATCGTACCAAATCGAGGCAAGGCTTATTCTGGAATTCTAAACTTACAATTGCATCGGTCTTGAACATTTTGCGCACTTGAACTATGAGATTGATGATTCTTCCCCCAGTATCATACACGTTCAAGAATCTTCCAGTGGAGCTATAGAGAGCATCCATGTCATCGGTTTCCAGGTCGTCTTGAGTAATGCGCATCACAAGCTTGTCAACCCCAAACAAGTCCAACTTCATTTGAAAATGGCGTATGATACGGATGGCTGCCTTTTGACAATCAAACTTCTCACATCTAAGGCAGGCGAGACAGAAGTCACGATCCTGGACATATTTCGCATCCACTCGCGCAGCAAAGCTGTAAGCTTTCTTGTCAGGTAGCATATCGATCTCGTGTTGCAATTCCAGCAAACTCTTCTGAATTAGTTCTGGGGTTTCTGCAACAAGGTCTGGTATCCCATGGACGTCCATGTACGCCTTTTCTCGATCGGCGACTGAGAGCTTTGCCATTTGAGATGCAATCAAAGAATCGGCGCTTTTCGGATCAGAGGCATTTGGTGGAATTAGTTTTGAAAACACTTCTGCACTCTTGTTGTTGTCTGGTGCAATTTCAGCGTCATTAATGACATCCTCCTGATTCAGAAAGTAAATGTCCCACATATCTTCTGCCGTGCTGTCAGAGTCCGAGGCATCCTCCTGATTCAGAAAGTAAGTATCCCACATTTTCAAATCGTATCCATGAACTAGGTTGTGCTTGTATTGCGCCACTATGGTGCCGCTCGGCAATGATCAGTGTTTTGTTTCGTTTTTTATTCGTGGCGATGCAGTACACAGCTGCCCTGGAAAAGAAGACGGGCCACCATTTGCAGATATGTCTTTTGGTAGGCCGTATCGGTATGAAACGAGATGAGATATTTAACCAATCGCGCAGGCGTGCGTGCCGCCCAGGTCATACTGTACTGTACGGTACCTGGTACACGTACTGTACAGTAATAAAAATATATACCGTACATACAGTATCCCGCAGGACACAGGAGACGACCGAAATGTCAAATTCGCAAACGTGGATTTTTATTTGTGCAGTGGTATTGTAGTACCTTGTGCTTGTAGTAAAGCACACTATGTAGTCACGTAATTAATAACTGGTACCATAGGTACCGGGTATCGGCAATAGAATGGCAAATCAAAATCGACTGTATCCGGCGTAATAGTCACCACTTTGTGCCAATCTTCAATGGCAAAGTTCGAAAAAGAGCACTGACTTTCATTATTGGGTGGAATGAATTCGTCGGTTGTCATCTTGCCTCAGAAATAGATCTTCAATCTCCATAGCCACTGATGACATCAACAATTAGTTTTGAAATGTCGTCTTGCCCTTTTTTTGCTCTTCCGTGTTCAGTGTATGATCTGACAAAAACTATTGCAGTTTCTCGTTACCAGTGTTATAGTTCCAAAGAAGTGCCTTTCCTGCGCCTCACAAGCAACTTGTGCAGAGGAAGCAGCGCCAATGGTTTCGCCAATGAGATTTTCAGACGTTCATTCTTCTGATTTGCTCTAGTCATCGACAGCATTTCAACTGGTCCCAATTTCTCGGCAAGTGCAACAATTAACTCGAACTCGCAGATGAATCTGCTTGTTGCAAGCAATTATATTCAGTGAGACTGATTAGATCCTTCCAAAAGTCATCCATGAAGGAAGGTTACTTTGGTCCATCAGCTTTCCTTAGCCGAAGTGATCGAAAAAGTGCACCAACTTTCTTGATGGCAACCTCGATGTCCACTACAAACCACTTGTTGCCATCCTGCTTTAAAAATAGGCCTCCGTTGCTCCTAATGGCGTCAACGCACTCTTGCGCGATAACCTTCTTTCTTCCTTTTTTTGCCTTTTCGTACTCCTTGTGCCGATCCACGACGATCTTTCGAAGCTTCCTGTTGCCGGTGTGGATCTGAAATGGGGTCCCCTTGCCCAGCAAAACATCCTCGCAAAATGGAACACCAATCGTGCTACGAATAGGATATTTCAACCGCTCCAAACACCGTTGTTTTTCCAATCTCTGACTATCTTCGAAATGGTCAGTAATCTCGCCTCTGTCATTCACAGGTATGGACGATGGGTCGATTCCATTTCCCCGCAATCGCTCTAGACATTCGAGGACTGTACCTGTGAAGAGAGAAAGTGAAAAGGGTTAGGGTTAGGGTCGACCCCTACTGTGCTCATCAACATCTGGAACGAAATCACGTACCATGGTGCACTCTACATCTAGCTTGGTTTTTCTGGCTGAGCGAAGTCTTAACCAGTGCATGAAGACCTTCCCACGTTTCTTCACTATAACATAGATGTAGTGCCGACATGTACATTGGCGATCCTTCGTTTAGCTTTGATAGCTTCCCGACAAAGCCACGTCGTTGTATCTCTACGTCGTGGTAAGCTGTCACCAGGTTATTATGAAAAGCCTCTTCGAAGCTATACACACGGTTGAATTGAGGCGTTATCGAGGCAAGGCTTATTCTGGAATTCTAAACTTACCTACAATTGCATGGTATCCTATGGACGTCCCTACGCATTCTCTCGATCGACGACTGAGAGCTTTGCCATTTGAGATGCGATCAAAGAATCGGCGCGCTTTTCGGATCAGAGGCATTTGGTGGAATTTGTTTCGAAAACACCTACTCTGCAATCTTAATCTTATCTTGCGTCAGTGACATCCTCCTGATTCAGAAAGTAAATATCCCACATTTCTTCTGCCGTGCTGTCAGAGTCCGAGACATCCTCTTTATTCGGAAAGTTAGTATCCCACATTTTCAACTCTCATATCCATGAACTATTAATAGGTTGTGCTTGTATTACGCAACAATGGGGCCCCGTACATGTGTACCGATATGTGTGCACCACAGATCAACACGATGTCCGTGAGTTCGATTTCAGCCGCGGTCATCATATTTTTTATAATAGGAATTAATTTCATATATGGAAATGGTGTCAACGAGACAAAGCAATCTAAATACCTCGATGGCTACGAAGGAGTGGGTGAAGAATCGACCTGCGGTATCGGTATCATACTACAGTGGACCGCATTAATCCGGCGTACTAACAATTACTTTATTCCACCCTTCAACCGCAACGTTCGAAATGCAGCGCTGACTTTCACCACCGCTACTTCGTCGTTGACTGGGATCTTCCCATCTTGCTTTAGAAATAGGCCTCCATTGCAGGGGAGGGAGGATACAATCCATCTGGCGAGATGCTCATCGTCGGCAAATAAGGCCCCTATTTTGTCCCGCCCTTCAACCGCAACGTTCGAAATGCAGCACTGACTTTCACCACCGCTACTTCACCGTTGACTGGGATCCATTTCTTCCCATCTTGCTTGAGAAATAGGCCTCCGTTGCCTCTGATGACATCAACGATTTCTTTAGCAATAACCTTCTTTAAACCTTTTTGGGCCTTTTCATACTCCTTGTATCGATCGACGACCACCTGCCGAAGACTTTTGTTACCTGCATGATTTTGAAAGGGAGTACCTTTGCCGAGAAGCACATCCTGTGCCGAGGGAACCCCAATGATATGCCGAAGGGGATATTTCAGACGCTCATGCTTCCGCTGTTGCTTCAGTATTCGACAATGTTCCAACTGGTCTGAAATTTCCCCATGTTCATTGACTGGGATGGATGTTGGGTCGATTCCATGTCGCCGTAAGTGTTGCAAGCACTCTTGGACGGTGCCATAATGAACTCGGGCTCTCACTTGAGTCTGCTTGTTCAAGCCATTTCTTATTATTGCGACTCGATCCTTCCAAACTGAATCAGTATAGCACATGTGGAGTGCCGATATCCGCATGGGGGATCCTTCGTTCAACTTTGGCAGTTTCCAGTTGAGATCAGCATTGTCCCCGCTTGTTCCTTCCGCACTCCCAGCACCCCAGCAGATAGCAACTGTCCCACGTCTTTGTATCTCCGCGTTGTCACGAAAAGCTACCATTATATTGTAAAAAGCTCTTCGAAGCTGAAAATAATTGGTTAAGTGGATATCGCACTGGCAGACGCTGAAAAAGTCAAAAGGGTTTCGAGCCAACAAGGATGACTTACCACTGCATCCGTCTTGAACAATTTCGGTACCCCCACTAGGAAATTGATGATCCTTCTTCCGCTATCGTGTGCATCTAGAAAGCGACCAGCAGCACTATAGAGAGCATCCATGTCATCCATATCCAAATCGTCTTGAGTAATGTCCTTCGCCAGCTTGTCCTCGCCAAACAAGTCTAGTTTCATCTGAAAATGCCGTACGATCCTAAGGGCTGCCTTTTGACAGTCAAACTTCTCACATCGAAGGAAGGCGAGACAGAATTCTTGATCCCGGACATATTCCGGATCCAGCCTTTCAGCGATGTTGTAGGCTTTCTTGTCTCGCAATATATCGATTTCATTTTGGAGTCGCACCAAGCTTTCGTGAATTAATTCTTGAGTTTCTTCAGCATCGTCGTCTGGCATTCCATGGACGTCCATGTAAGCTTTTTCTCGATCGGCGACTGATAGCTTAGCCATCTGAAAGGCAATCAAGGAATCGGCGGATTGGGGATCAGAAGCATTGGGTGGCATTTGCTTGGAAAAGACATCCGCCACCTTGTCGTCAGACATCACCTTGCCGCCCTCCTCGCCATCTTTCTGAAAGTGTTTATTAGATGCCCTAGACACCGATCCTTCATTCATCTCTGCAGATTGAAGTGGAAGACAGCGATGAGGTTGCCAGTATATATGATCACATTCATGCAGTAGTATATCGTGGCTGATGTAATATTACTAGCAAAATTAATTTTATATAAAATATTAAAATTATAAACAATGCGGTTTCATTGTCCACGAGCGCACGACATACGCACAAACCGCAATCGCTTTTATTTCCATTCACACACACATTTGTGAACAACAAAAAAGAAACCAAAATGAGAACATGCATATTGAATATATTCATAAATACAGGAAATAGAATACTGTAAAAGGTATTAAAAGTTCTTCTTGCGCAACTTCAGCAGCGACGTGACCAAGCTTCATGGCCACGCATGAACCTATAGTTTTCTTCTCCAATTTCGATCTGTTGTATGGGCAAAGAGCTGGTCTCTGTCGTTCCTGGCGACAAAGACTTTATGAACCATCATGACGAAAATAAGGATAACGACAAGGTCGTGGACGACGACAAGAGTGCCAACGTCTTGGCCAAACAAATGCCACCCGATGCTTCTGATCCCAAAACTGCCGACTCCTTGATTGCTACCCAAATAGCTAACCTATCAGTCGCTGATCGAGAAAAGGCTTACATGGACGTCCATGGGATGCCAGACGACCATGCTGAAGAAACTCAAGAATTGATTCACGAAAGCTTGGTGCGACTCCAAAATGAAATCGACATGTTGCCCGACAAGAAAGCCTACATCATTGCTGACCGAATGGATTCCCAGTATACCCAGGATAGAGACTTTAGACTTGGATTCCTTCGGTGCGAGAAGTTCGATTGCCAAAAGGCAGCTCTGCGAATCATTCGCCATTTTCAGACGATTTTGGATTTGTTTGGCGAGGGCAAACTTGGAATGGACATCACCCAAGACGATTTGGATATGGATGACATGGATGCTCTCTACAGCGGCTCTGGCCGCTTTCTGAATGCATACGATAGCGGGGGAAGGATTATCAATTTTCTAGCGGGGGTACCGAAATTGTTCAAGACGGATGCAGTGGTAAGTCGTCGTCTATGTAGATACGGTATTAGGTTGCCCCATGCTCTGCAATCTTTCGTCGTGGTTACTTGGCTATTGCTATGTCAGTTATTGTGATATCCATCTCATTCAATACTTTTCAGCTTCGGAGGTCTTTCTACAATATAATGGTTGCTTTTCGTGACAACGCGGAGGTGCAACGGCGTGGGGCAGTTTCTGTCTGCTGGACTGTTGGGAGTGCGGAGGGAACAAGTGGGGACAATCCTGATCTCAATTGGAAACTACCAAGGTTGCATGAAGGAACTCCTATGCGGGTATCAGCAGTCCACTTGTGCTATACAGATGACACTTGGAAGGACAGAATGGCAATCATGAGAAGCGGTTTGAGCAAGCAGCTAATAGTGCGAGTACGGCTTATTCATGGAACAATCCAAGAATGCCTGCAATATTTACGGCGACATGGAATCAACCCAGCTTGCATTCCAGTGAATGAAAACGGGGAGATTTCAGACCATTTGGAATATTGTCGTCGACTGGAGCAACAGCGGATGCATGAGCGCTTAAACTATCCCCTTCGACATAGCATTGCGGTTCCCTCGGCACAAGATGTGCTTCTCGGCAAAGGCACTCCCTTTCAGAATCACTCTGGTAACAAGAGCCTTCGGCAGGTGGTCTCGGACCGATACAAGGAGTATGAAAAAGCACAAAAAGGCGTAAAGAAGACCATAGCTGCAGAAATCGTTGATTCTGTCAGGGGCAACGGAGCCCTATTTCTAAAGCAAGACGGGAAGAAATGGATCCCGGTCAACGACGAAGTAGCGGTGGTGAAAGTCAGCGCAGCTTTTCGAACGTTGCGGCTGAAGGGCGGGACAAAGTAGTGGTGGCCTCACAAGGCCCACGAGCAAGGAGTTGCCAAAACGAAATGATGTGCGGACGCACGACACACCTACAAACCGCAATCGCTTTTCCACCGCTAAATAATTTTCAAGCGTTTGGAGCTAAAAAACGAGAAATTGCATGAAAGATACACGTGCATTGATGTTCGCACATTGATATATATTTTATTTATATCATCATGCGAACAATAAAAGAAAGAAAATAACTAATGATATTTATCAACGTGCGAACAATAAGAATAAAAAGCGCTACAGTATCATCAAAACAATCCCGAGAGTCATACGTGATTTGCCTGCTACCTGGCACTAGTACCGATTATACGGCACGCATTTTGCTTTCCCCGCAGCAATCCTGAGAAGTGACCACGCATGCGTCCTGAAAGTTCTGCTTGCATAAATTCCAGTGAAATGAAGAGCCAATCCCTTGATATGAGTGAAGAGTTGGTCTCTGTTGTCTCTGACGACGATGACTTCATGAATAATCTTGAGGAAAATCATCTTGAGGAAAACGAGGATGAGAGCGATAGAATCATGTTTGACGACAAGATTGCCAATGTCATTTCCAAACAAATGCCACCCAATGCCTCTGATCCCCAAAACGTCGATTCCTTGATTGCCTTTCAGATGGCTAAGCTATCAGTGGCTGATCGAGAAAAGGCATACATGGACGTTCATGGGATACCAGATCTTGTAGAAGAATCCCCAGAACTAATTCAGAAGAGTTTGTCGGAATTGGAACACGAGATCGACATGCTACCTGACAAGAAGGCCTACAGCATCGCTGAAAGGCTGGATCCGGAATATGTTCGGGATCGAGACTTCTGTCTCGCCTTCCTTCGATGCGAGAAGTTTGACTGTCAAAAGGCAGCTCTGCGGATCATACGACATTTTCAGACAAAACTGGATTTATTTGGTGAGGATAAACTTGCAATGGACATCACTCAAGACGATTTGGATATGGATGACATGGATGCTGTCTACAGCGGCGCTGGACGCTTTTTGAATGCATACGACAGCGGGGGGAGGATTATCAATTTTTTGGTCGGGGTACCGAAAGTGTACAAGACAGATGCAGTGGTAAGTCATCATCGTTTTCGCGATCGAGTTGGTCTATCATCTTTCTCCGTGGTTACTCGTCGGATTTCTGTACGTCAGTGTGATATCTTCGGCTCAACCACTTATTTTCAGCTTAGAAGAGCGTTTTATAATATAATGGTTGCTTTTCGTGACAACGCGGAGGTACAACGGCGTGGAGCAGTTGCCATCGGCTGGACTGTTGGGAATGTGAATGGAACAGCTGGTGACAATGCTGATATGAACTGGAAACTACCAAGGTTGCATGAAGGGACTCCTATGCGGGCATCAGCAGTTCACTTGTGCTACACAGATGACACTTGGAAGGACAGCATGGCGGTAATGAGAAGCGGTTTGAACAAGCAGATCCAAGTGCGCGTCCGGGTTCATCACGGCACAATCCAAGAATGCATGCAACACTTACGGCGACATGGAATCAACCCAACATCCATCCCAGTCAATGAAAATGGGGAAATTTCAGACCAGTTGGAATATTGTCGTCGACTGGAGCAACTGCGGAAGCATGAGCGTCTGAAATATCCCCTTCGGCATATCATTGGGGTTCCCTCGGCACAGGATGTGCTTCTCGGCAAAGGCACTCCTTTTCAAAATCATGCTGGTAACAAAAGTCTTCGGCAGGTGGTCTCGGACCGATACAAGGAGTATGAAAAGGCCCAAAAAGGTTTAAAGAAGGTTATTGCTAAAGAAATCGTTGATGCCATCAGAGGCAACGGAGGCCTATTTCTCAAGCAAGACGGGAAGAAATGGATCCCAGTCAACGGTGAAGTAGCGGTGTTGAAAGTCAGCGCTGCTTTTCGAACGTTGCGGCTGAAGGGCGGGACAAAATAGGGGCTCTATTTGCCGACGATGAGCATCTCGCCAGATGGATTGTATCCTCCCTCCCCTGTAAATTCATGCGACCAGTGGTTTGAAGTCAGCGATTATCTAAATTTCCCTGCGTTGCCTGTGATTTTCCGAGTGAAGCACCAAAATTAATTATTGTGGAGTTGTTTCACTGTAGGAGGATACACTCTAGTATTCTTATAAAAATATATTTTATTACTGTAGTAGTTTTATTACTGTGGTAGTACAGATGCAATAGAACTTTCACGAAAGTACTGGTACCTGTACTTGGGACCAGTACCTGTACTGTGTACTGTATTTTAGGACTTTACATTGCCCACTCCACGAGTACAAGTATATACAGCGGTATACCGTACAATACAATTTGTTCACACGACGCATGTACAGACCGCAATCGTTTTCCCGATTTGAAGTACGGTACTGCGGTACTGTACAATTACCATCTGTATATATATAGCACCGCTATTGCCGGGCTCATCATGCGATTCCATTTCGAAATGATGGTTTCTGTGGCGAAATATAATAACAATAATGAGAATATACAGAATCAGCGGATACGGTTCTGAATAGGGTCTGAATAGGTAATAGAGTGCCAAAAGTATTGTTTGCATCGCTTCCAGCGAAATGAATTGCCTGCCCAAGGATATGATTGAAGAGTCGGCCTCTGTCGTACTTCCTGACAAACACTTTTTGAATAACCTTGAGGAAAATGCCGATGAGGGCGGCCAGATGATGCACCGGGATGGCGGCAAGGTAGCCAATGTATTTTCCAAGCAAATGCCTCCCAATGCTTCTGATCCCAAATTCGTCGATTCCTTGATTGCCTCTCAAATGGCCAAGCTATCAGTCGCTGATCGAGAAAAGGCATACATGGACGTTCACGGGATCCCAGACCTTGTGGAAGAAACCCCAGAACTGGTTCAGAAGAGTTTGTTGCTACTCCAAAATGAGATTGATTTGTTATCCGCAAAGGAAGCCTACAATATTGCCGAACGGCTGGATCCAGATTACGTCCGGGATCGAGACTTCTGCCTCGCCTTTCTTCGATGCGAGAAGTTTGATTGTCAAAAGGCAGCTCTGCGGATCATACGACATTTTCAGACGAAACTGGATTTATTTGGTGAGGATAAGCTTGCGATGGACATTGCCCAAGACGATTTGGATATGGACGACATGGATGCTTTGTACAGTGCCTCTGGCCGTTTTCTGAATGCATATGATAGCGGGGGTAGGGTTATCAATTTTATAACGGGAGTACCGAAAGTGTACGAGTCGTAAGTCATCATCGTTTTCGCGATCGCAGGTGGCTCGATGCGATATTTGGCTCAACCAATTATTTTCAGCTTAGAAGAGCGTTTTACAATATAATGGTGGCTTTTCGCCACAACGCCGAGGTACAACGGCGTGGAGCAGTTACTGTCGGCTGGAATGCTGGTGGTGTGAAAGGGACAAGCTGGGACAATGCTGATCTCAACTGGAAACTACCAAAGTTGCATGAAGCAACTCCTATGCGGACATCTGCAGCCCACGGTTGCTACACCGATGAGGATTGGAAAGAAAAACTTGCGGTAATTACTATGGGTTTCAACAAGCAGGTCCAAGTGAGAGTCCGAATTCATTATGGCACCGTCCAAGAGTGCCTGCAACACTTACGGCGACATGGTATCGACCCAGCTTGCATCCCAGTCAACGAAAAAGGCCAAAGCACAGACCATTTGGAATATTGTCTTCGACTGGAGCAACAGCGGAAACATGAGCGTCTGAACTATCCCCTTCGGCATAGCATCGGAGTTCCCTTTCCGCAAGATGTGCTTCTCGGCAAAGGCACTCCCTTTCAGAATCACCCAGGTAATTCGAACCTTCGGCAGGTGGTCTCGGACCGATACAAGGAGTATGAAAAGGCCCAAAAAGGTTTAAAGAAGGTTATTGCTAAAGAAATCGTTGATGCCATCAGAGGCAACGGAGGCCTATTTCTCAAGCAAGACGGGAAGAAATGGATCCCAGTCAACGGTGAAGTAGCGGTGTTGAAAGTCAGCGCTGCTTTTCGAACTTTACGGCGTAAGGGCTGGGTAACATAGTGGCCTCATATGGCCGACGATGAGTATCTCGCCAGATGGTTTGCATCCTCCCTCACCTGTAAATTCTTGCGACCTGTGGTTTGAAGTCAGCCATTATGTAAATCGCTTTGCACGTTCACTTGTCGTCTGTGGTTTCCCGCGTGAAGCATCAATCAATCATTGGGGAGTGGTTTGACTGAATGGCTCCCACGCTGCTTTGAATATATTGTAGTACCGTAGTATAAATATACGGAGACATAACGTGCCATAAAGGCTAAAGTAGAAGAAATAGAAAGTCGACTATGAGAAGAGCTATAGAGAACGCAAATCGCATCATTATGGTTGCGGATTCATTCCATTATCCTTCTGACGACGGTCGGACGACGGTCACCAACAGCATTGCAACCAAGTCTGATCATTTCATCCAACTTGTGTACCGGTACGAGCATACATCAAGAAATAAAGTTATTTCTTTATTTCCCTCCCACCACAGGTAGCTGGTAGTAGTAGACAATATAATAGCAAGACTCTTTTATTCCGTGATGGTCGTTTGGATCGCACGATTCATTCGCGCTATCCACGACCAACTTCGAACTACCGCCGCACAACCCATCAGTTGTCACGCCACATTTTTCTGAACCTTTAGAAATTCCTCACGGAAGAAACCAAGCAAAAGGCGCCAGTAGGCTATCAGATAGGCCAGAATAGAGTGCCGAAAGATCTTCTTGCAACAATTCCAGTAAAATTGATAACCAGTCCCTTGATATGAGTGATGAGTTGGTGTCTGTTGTATCTGACGACAACGACTTTCTGAATGATCTTGAGGAAAATGAGGAGAACTGCAATGATGTCGCGAATGACGACGAGATTGTCAATGTCTTTTCCAAACAAATGCCACCCAATGCTTCTGATCCCAAATACGTGGATTCTTTGATTGCCTCTCAAATGGCTATGCTATCAGTCGTTGATCGAGAAAAGGCATACATGGACGTTCATGGGATGCCAGAATTGGTACAAGAAACTCCAGAATTGATCCAGGAAAGTTTGTTGCTACTCCAAGATGAGATTGATTTGTTATCCGCTAAGGAAGCTTACAATATTGCCGAACGGCTGGATCCAGATTATGTCCGGGATCGAGACTTCTGCCTCGCCTTTCTTCGATGCGAGAAGTTTGATTGGCAAAAGGCAGCTATGCGGATCATACGACATTTTCAGACGAAACTGGATTTGTTTGGTAAGGATAAGCTTGCGATGGACATTACCCAAGACGATTTGGATATGGACGACATGGATGCTGTCTACAGCGGCGCTGGACACTTTCTGAATGCATGTGATAGCGGGGGAAGGATAATCAATTTTCTAGCCGGGGTGCCGAAAGTGTACGAGACAGATGCAGTGGTAAGTCATCGCATATATATCTCGATCGCAGGTCGCTCCATGCTATGTCATCTTTCTCCATGGTTGCTCGTCGTTTTTATGTACGTCAGTGCGATATCCGGCTCAACCACTTATTTTCAGCTTAGAAGAGCGTTTTACAATATAATGGTGGCTTTTCGCCACAACGCCGAGGTACAACGGCGTGGAGCAGTTATTGTCGGCTGGAATGCTGGTGGTGTGAAAGGGACAAGCTGGGACAATGCTGATGCCAACTGGAAACTGCCAAAGTTGCATGAAGCAACTCCTATGCGGGTATCAGCAGCCCACGGTTGCTACACCGATGAAGATTGGAAGGAAAAACTTGCGGTAATTACCATGGGTTGCAACGAGGAGATCCAAGTGAGACTCCGCGTTCAACATGGCACCGTCCAAGAGTGCCTGCAACACTTACGACGACATGGGATCGACCCAGCTTGCATCCCAGTCAATGAACAAGGCGAAACTACAGACCATTTGGAATATTGTCTTCGATTGGAGCAACAGCGGAAGCATGAGCGTCTGAACTATCCCCTTCGGCATAGCATTGGGGTTCCATTTCCACAAGATGTGCTTCTCGGCAAAGGCCTTCCATTTCAGAATCACCCAGGTAATACGAACTTTCGGCAGGTGGTCGTCGATCGATACAAGGAATATGAAAAGGCGCAAAAAGGGTTAAAGAGGGCTATTGCTAAAGAAATCGTTGATACCATTAGGGGCAACGGAGGCCTATTCCTGAAGCAAGATGGGAAGAAGTGGGTCCCAGCCAACGATGAAGTATCGGTGTTGAAAGTCAGCGCTGCTTTTCGAACGTTACGGCTGAAGGGCGGGGTAAAGTAGTGGCCGATCATGAGCATCTTGTCAGATGGAATCAAGCCTCTCTCGCCTGTAACTTCTTGCGACTAATGAAGTCAGTCTTAGCAATTTTCCAGTGGAAGCATCGCAGCCAATAATAAATCATGCAATCACCGGGGAATTATTGTTTGACTGCATTCGAAATTGCTCCAACGGTGTTTCGATGCCACAGAATACTATTATATATATACCATAGAATAAGAAACCAGATCAATAGACCTTTGCAATTACGTATGTTTCCACAAAATAGGAACACAAAACTTTTGTCCGTTTCGCAGAAGTAACGATAGAACAAATAGGGGGAATTCTATAAAAGTGTAGATGAAAATGGGAGCAAGGCAATAAGGTGAGCAAGGGCAACCCATAATTATAATCGACCCGAACGACCACAATAATTTAACGGTTGAGTATCTTTTTTGGTGAAACTCAAGACTGCGCGATCCTGGAATTTTTACTATTATCATCACCACTTTCCAACACCAGGAAACCATCCAAATACGCTATTTTCTGCAGTAGAATCAACACTAAGAGGATCATCAAACCATGAAGAACCTAGCCCAACTGTCAACCCAGTTACTGTTTGCCAGTTTCATTCTGGCCATCTTCCTTCCTTCAGGTTCTGATGCCTTCGTCGCACCCTCGTGGTCTACCACCGCCCATGCATCGAGGTGGCAACTTTCGCCACTGTCGTTTGCTCCTTCCCCCTTCTCCTCTCAGGCATCAGTGTGCAAGCATGGGATATTGTTTCCGCCTTCTTCGCCCCAAAGACTCCGCCATGCTCAACGCGCAGAGCCCCTTTACATGGCGGCCAAGAGAAAGGCTGCCAAATCGGTAAGCGGCAAGCTTATGCCTGCTGTCCAAGGCGTCATGTCTTGTGCTACCAAGGTTCTTGCTACCCTATTTGTAGAGCTGAAGCAACTATCCAAGATTCAAGCCCTTCTTTTTGTTGCCATTTTCTGGATTGGACTGACCATTGGACGATCTCCCTCCGCTATCGGTGGCATGGCTCTGAAACGATTCCAAGAGGCCTCGGAAATTCCTAGTGCTTTCTTTGGTCCCAGTGCTCCCTTGCTACGAGGAAGAGTCACTTCATGCAGTGACGGTGATACCATTCGATTCTTGCATGTTCCCAATCGCTTCAGTGCCAACAAATTGGAAAAGGGTCAAACTCAGACAGAATACTGCTTGCCAATTCGCTTGTGCAGTATGGACACACCCGAAACTGCCAAGTTTGGCAAACCCGGGCAACCTTTTGGTCAAGAAGCCAAAGAGTATTTGCAAAAATTGCTGGATCAAAAAATGATCAAGATTCGACTCTTGCAAAAGGATCAGTACGGGCGTGCCGTTGCCGAAGTTTATGCCCCCAATGGCAAGGGATGCGATGAACTAATGTTGAAAAAGGGATTCGCGGAAGTATACCTGGGAGGAGGTGCAGTGTATGGTCCATTGGGCAAGGACAAGTATTTGGCGTTCGAGGCTCAAGCCAAAAAGAAAAAGTTGGGCATTTGGTCTACGGGAAAGCGCGAGTCAGCAGCCGAGTTCAAGAAGCGGACCAAGAAGTGAGGGAAGTGAAATGATGGCACCAATGTACAGGTCAGACAGAAGTTCTGTATTTCACCAAAAGCAAGGATGCTTGACATGAACACACACAAAGTGATCATCACCATCAATGGAGCAAAAACAAAACTGAAACGCCAAGACAGCAAGAACAAGACGACATGGAGAGTTTAAGAAAGCACATTATTATACATCCTCTTTAGCAGCATCGATTATATTCGAAAGAATCCAGTTGTGGTGTCCAGATACATGATGATTATTTCATAATCAGTGCAGTACGTATCAAAAAGTGCATAGTGAGTCCTTTCCAACTATAGGAAATGACCAATAACGTACAACATCAGTAGGTTCAATATCCACGGGTATACAGAACCAGTATACACAACAATTAAAAAGTATATCATTATAGTCTATAGATTGAGGAGTTGTTATTAGTCTTTCTTCTTGTCTGCAGGTTTCTTTGGTGGTGAAGCAGTAGGCTCCTTCTTCTTTACCGCAGTCTCAGGATGCAACTCGTTTTCCAATTCCACATGTTCTTGCATCAACTGACAAATGCGACCGATTACAAAGAGTAGAGTCAAAGCAAACCCAGTCAAGTACATGTTGCGTTCGGCCTTGTACTTCTTTTCCTTTTCGTGATGCACGACATGTGGCAAGTGGTGCCCATGGTCCAGCTCGGCATTGCGTTCCTCGTTGATCATGTCCAGCACATATTTATGCTTACTGTAGGAATCGACAAAGCCAAAGGCTAGGGCAATGCCAATGAACAGAATCGGTTTGCGCAAGCGTTCGCCAAGGTTCAATTGAAAGACTTTGCGGGTGATTGCATTTCGAATCTTGATTGGAACGGGAACGACCAAGATGGCGGTGATCACCAATTCCACCAACAAAAAGAGATAAGCGGAGCTCCAGATTAGAGATGGCATTGTATCTTGTATTGAGTTGTTGGCGTTGTGTCGTTTGGGTTTCAAACCTGTTGTAATAGTGTGTGGTGCTGGAAGTTGATAACAAGAGATGGAAAATGCGCAGAATGCTTTTTTTAGTCCCGTTTCGTGGTTGGATGCAAGTGCAATTGATAGTCGGACGGGTCGAATTCCAATTTGGATAGTACTGTATGGTAATTGGCATGTTGACGATGACTTGCATTGTGCAATCACTATTCATACTATTATTACTACTATATTTGATTCATATTGTTGAGAGACCAATTCATAACGACAGGGGGGAATGAGGGCATACTACTACTTCTCCTAATGCTCATCCTTCTCCTCATGCTCATCCTCCTGTCTCCTTCTTTTTGTTGGTTCTGATGATACAGGCTCCTCCACATCAGCACATGACCTCTTCTTTTGATCTCCTACTCCTGAATCATGTACTACTGTCGTTGGAGCTTTTGTTTGACTTTTCTTCGTGAGAGACTCCTCGACCATTTTCTGTAGTCCATCCAAGCAATCTTTCATGCTTGCCACTTGTTCTTTCAGTTCATCACGTTCCAATTTGGTTTGCGTCAGCTCGGATTGGGTCTCTTGCCATTGAGATCGGACGGCTTCCAATTCAGTTTCCATTGCCGTTTGTCTTGTAGACATAGTTTGGAGTTTTTGATCCGTCGAGTCTGCGTGATTTTGAAGTTTGCTTTGAAGTCTTGTTTCCATCTGTTGGACCTGTGCCAAGGTATCCTCGTTGGCTGTTTCGGATGAATCTTCTTCTTCTTCGTCGTCGTCGTCTGTTTTGATTGTGATTGCATCCACACGCTGTACCTTTCGCTCAAATCCAGTGGCAATATTGATTTGTTTCATGACTGCCAAGTTGACATTGTACCCTTCACATGGCGATACGATACCAAAGGGCTGTGTTTGAAAACCATCCTCTAAAATAGCAGTTGCTTCGTCATCATATTTAATCCAGTTTGAATCGGATGGATCACCATAAATGGTAGATGCATCATGCCGCCACATGAACCCATCCGTCTCTTGCCAGCACCAAACCTTAGTTTTCTTTGGCGTTGTCGTTGTCGATGTGCTTTGAGCCGCCACTGCTGACGCTGCTGATGTTGCGGTTGTTGATGCAGCAGTGTCCGGCACAATCTGGTGCCGATCTTCCTCCTCTTCCTCCTCCTCAGGTTGTTTGAAATCGACTCGTTGTACTTCTCGTTCGGATCCAGTGACTTCATTGGTTTCAATCATGTCTTCAAAGTTGACGACCAACCCGTTTTTGGGAGAGACTTCGTCTTGTCCATCATTGTCCAGATAGGCAGACTCCAACAATTCATTCTGTGCAGTATCATATTTGATCCAGCAATCCGAAGGATTCCCATAGATAGTAGACGGGTTGTGTTTCCACATTAACCCTTCTATTTCTTTCCAGCACCAAACTTTAGGTGCATCAATGGTCCTTTGAACATCTCGTTGAAACCCAGTCCTCTTGTTGACCTGAATCATGGTGTGTAGATCCACCACGTAGGTGTCGTCTAAATTCATCAGAGTTCGTACAGATGATGATGCATCTTGATTCTGACAATAATTTTGATAGGCCGCTTCCAATCGGGCATTCGAATGACGACCATAGCGAATCCAGCAATCGGAGGCGTCTCCCACAATGGAACTTGCGGGGTGTTGTTCCATTTGGGACGGAGTCTCTTTCCACGACCATACGTAGACACTTTTAGTGGATTTCGAAGTATCATGGTTTGTAGAAGACGGATTTGAGGTGCTTGCCACCTGGTCTGGGGTGTCTTGTTCGGACTGCATGTTGAATCTAAGACTCTTCAGCTGACTAACTCTGCTGATGATGATTAATTTTGTTTCTTTTTGCTGATATAGACGATAATGCGTGCGACATGGATGAGTGTGAGGGTACATGAAAATTTGAATTTGGCATTTTCGACACATTCGACCACACTCCCACACCATCGCAAGATCATGATGCGATGAGCCATGACATGCAGTATATAATGCAGTGAATACAAGTACACTCACATATAAACGACAACACTGCAAATAGAGATATTTCAGTTCCACCATGCCGCCACCCCATCTTCGGTATTCCTATGTATCCAAATCTAAATCAAAGACTTCCAGAGTGTCAATACCAATCGTATTGTCCACCTTTCTTGTGGCGTTGTTTGTCTTGAATCTCTTGCGCATGCCATCGGCGTATGTGGAAGACAACATTGAACTTCAATCGACAAATGAAGATTATTCTTCTTCGTCTTCAAGAGAAGAAGCTAAAGAGACTGTTGCTATGGCGACTTCCCTTACAATCAAACCTGCCGCAGCTGCGGAAGAAGATGATGCAGATGATGCAGATGATACAGATGAGGATGGCAGTAGCAGTGTCTCTTCGCCCACAGTGACGGAGGAAGCACCAACATTGAAACCATTTGAAATTTTGTGCACCACCGAACGAAGAATTGCCACTGGTGGAGCTTACTTGATTCGGTGTCGTGATTTCAAACGCATGGTGGATCATTGTACCAATGACGTCAACATTGCCTTGTACACACACAATGAATTGGTCCCCAAGGCCAATATGACATACAATGCTTCGGAAGCCGAAATCTTTACCAAACAGTTTGATGCCACTGTAACTATCAAATTCATCATCAAACCAAATCCAAGATTTGGTCGCTTGTTTTTGGATGTGGTAGACCGCTACAAACTAAAGGCGGACGATCTTGTGGAAGGCATGGAAGTCATCGTGCAGAATGAGTATCACGGGAGCGATGTCTATTCCAACAAAAAGTATCACGTCGTGGAACATTGGTACAATAGTTTTCCAGAAGACATGCTGGCCAGTAAGGACATTCCTGGTAGTTTCAAACTACCCGAGATCACACCCCTCGAAAAGATGCGCATGATTATTGTTTGGACCAATCGGATACAGCCCTGTCCCGAACTGACCTGGGATCATCCCGATATCACCATGGGCTGCATCCATCGCAAATTTCGAATTGAAACTTGGTACAACATGGAATTGCCAGCCTTTAATGCTTCTTCGCCTTTGACCTATAATGAGACGGAAATCCAGCGACTCGAAGCCTTGTTGAAAGATCCCGATCAAGGGACGGGACGAATCTACTACGAAATCTTTTGGCTCTTTGATGTGCTGGTGGTCCCGGCCAAATTGGAATCGGAAGAAAAGACCCGATATGGTAATGTCCAACGAGCCATTAGTCAAATGAGAAGTGGGGTTCCAGTCTTGTTGGAAGTTTATGGAGATGTTCTAGAAGATTTCATGATGCGCTACAATTATACCTGTGCCTATGTCCGCCCGGAAGTGACCTTCAAAATGCAGTTGCCCAATAGAACCAATTGGTGGACCTTGGACGAAGCTACCGTGGCCATGAAGGATCCGAAATTGCGAAAGCAATGTCAAACGGAAGGATTGACCATTGCCAAGGATTATTCACCCGCTCGACTGGTCGAACGGGAATTGCGAATATTAGGATACAAGGGCAAATTTCATTGCAATTGAGAAAGGAGCGAGAAACTACGGACCATCCTTTTGTTATTATACATTACATTACAATAGAGAAGAGCACAGTGATACGTGACTCTCGACTAAAAGTCGCTAGTTTGGACATGATTGATTGATGGCGTTGGGAGTCATTCGACGACTCTTGGTATTGCCTTTCTTGCTGTCCGACAAGACGATGATGATGATGATGATGATGGTGGAAAAAACAGAATATTATTCACAGTGGATCGAGAAGTGTGGAGTTATTCGTCAGTCGGAACACGAGTTGGATCCTTCTACTTAAAAGGAGTGCAGCTGTTAATATCAATATTCTGAATTGATATGGACTATTGTATGTTGCGATATGAGTCCTTGGTCAACGATCAGCCGGCCATTGAATTGTTATTATGATGGATTGGATGATGATTTTCATCCCGACGATTGCTACTGTACGAGCAGATGCTGTAATATCTTGTATAATTTCAACTTTTTTAGAATCTTAGGATTGACTGCATAGTGTATACGAGATATTATGCGCTTGGGAGGACCTAGTTCGCTTTCCCCATGATGTTCAATCTTTCATTTTCATTTTTCGTATCACAAATAAGTTACCCCGGGTCTTGGCTCGAAGTTGTGCATATCTAAATTTTCTCAACATTTCACATTTTAGATCTTTTTCTTTCTTTCCCTTCCAAATATAAACAATAGTATATCCCTCTTTTGGCTTGTTGTTTAGGATTCGTAGGGAGTGTTGTAGTGAACAAGCTGTCTCTTGCTGCTCTTGCTGCTGCTACCCTTGGAGGACGAAGCGGCGACAGGGACGGCAACCGGTGCTACCACAGCGATTGGAACTGCCACAGGGGCGGCAGTTTGAAGACGGCGAAGAGCCTTGGGCTTGTCGGCAGAGACGGTAGATGCGATGATGGCAAGGAGGGCAAGGGCGAGGAAGGTGAACTTATTCATGTTGTTGGTTGGCTGGTTGGTTGGTTGGTTGGTTTCGTTTTATGTATCGAAGATGGTTGTTTTTGTGAGACGAATTCATGTTTTCGCAGTTTGGATCGTCGCCATGAAAGCGTATCCAAAATTTTACACGCGGTCAAAAAGTCTCACGCGTGATCGTGTAGGTGAGACAATTTCGTCGAACAATTCGAATTCCGCGATGAAATTGTATCCCGAGAACGAATGATGGGCGAATACACAAGAGTGCGTCGCATTTACGTGTAATATATACTTCCCACGAAAACCTCGACCAAAAGAGTGGTTGTGTTTCGGAGTCTGTCCTTGCTTGTATCATAGTAGTGAGATAGGTAGGCGAGGTGTATGATATCTCAGTTTCAATAAATGTTAGATATTACACCGACCGCCATGTAGTAGCCTAGGTATTACCATTGAGCTTGTGTAGTAATGTTGAAAAGATCACAAAGTCTATGGCGCTTTATTATTGATCATGCATGACAGCTCCAAAGAATCTGTATTTGCGATCGATTTGTGTTACCCATCCCGCAAGAACTTGCCATGAAGAATGCTTTTAATGATCTGTTTCAATCTCATCATGGGCAATCAAAGTCTCCATCATAGCCCAGTATTCGTAATTCACGCTCCACCAAGCTTGCCGGAGAGTAATCTGCAGCAATAGCGAGGCCTTCTTTTTGACATTTTCTTCGTATCTCAGGGCTTTCTTTCATTGCCATGACAGCTTCATCCAATGTCCAGTACTTACGCGCTGATGTCGATCTATCGCCCTCGTCATTGTGCTTTTGAGTAGCAGCAGCAGCAACAGCAGCAGTAGTAGTAGCAGTAGTAGTATTCTTGTAGGCACAAGTGTAGTTGTATCTATCCATAAAATCCTCCAACACTTCCCCGTAGATTTCAAGTAGTACTGGAACCCCGCTGCGCATTTGACTCACCGCTCGTTGCACATTTCCATAGCGCAACTTTTCGGGCAAGGCGGTCTTGGCTGGAACCAGTAAAAGATTGTACTTCCAAAAGAGCTCATAGTAGATTCGACCGGGACCTTGCCTCGGGTCCTGCAAGAGATTATCCAATCGCTGCATTTCAAACGATGCAGTACTCCTATTGAAATACTTTTGGTACCAACCTGCAATTCCAAATCTCTCATTGATGCAATCAAATTTGACATCCGAATTGTTGGCAAACGAGAGTGTTGGGCAAAGCTGCTTCATGTTGGTCCATACCGTCGCCATTTTCATGTTCGAAACTGGTTGAATCTTTGGTAGTTCAAACTTGGGAATGTCCGAACTCGACAGCATGTCTTCTGGGAAACTGTTGTACCAATGTTCCACCACATGATACGTACGGTTCGGAAACTGATCTTGTGCGTGATATTTCGTCTGGACAATGACTTCCACTTGCGAATCCAGCCCATCAAACGAGGTATATCGATCCACTACATCCATGAACAATTTTCCGAATCTTGGTTTGGGTGCCAATCCTATTTTGACAGTGACGGTAGCATTAAAGTCCTTCTTCCAACCATCAGTATTATTGTTAGGACCATTTGGTTTGAAGATGAGTTGATCATGGGAGTAGAGGTGAACCCGAACATTTTTGGTGCAATGCTCTGCGAATCCCTTGAAATCTTGGCATCGAATGATATAGGATCCTCCCGTCATTCGTCTTCGTTCCGTCGTACATAGAATATTGAACAATCTCTGGTCCATAATGACGTTCGAATAAAGGAGCATTGTTTGGTGCATCAAGGTTTGAGGTTGAAGGAGTACCACATTCGGCACAATACAGAACAATAGCAGGGCTACAACCACTTGGCAATGCTTCCACGGGAAGTCTATTACTCTTCTTCGTTTTGGCTTTCTGGAGAACGATGGTAGATGCGGTACTTCATTTTCCACAGTGGCATCTTTCAGCATACTTTAGGAAAACGTGAGTTTCCAGCGGTTTAGTGGTCTTTCATTGGCAATGCCAACTGCAAACACTGATGCTAATGATGGAAACTGAACTATGCGCATTATTATATTTTGTTGCAACTTGAAACTTGAAACTGTGCGATGAGTCAGTCGGAGTAGTCGAGCATCGGGTTCCATATGGATCGATCGTGAACATACTTGCTTGGGCAAAGGCATAGTATTTCAGAATAATTGAGCATGACAATAGTTTGGATACAATTATGAGACGTACAGTTATGGTGATCATGAGAGATATCCAATGCCTTATAATAATGTTATCATTATTGATTCGAAACAATCTCTGCCGTTGGAATATTTCCCCGTCCACATCGAGTGAGTCTCTTTCCATACCTTGGATTATATCGACACGAAGGTGGCCATCCAAACTCTGCTATGTTCGTTTCTATCCTTCCCCCTCTTGGAATTGAGGCAACTGTCATGGCCACGAAAGAGTGAAACAGTCTCCTGACAATGCTACCATACCGGAACAAAGTCCTGTCTCTTTTGGCGCCCAGATAGCGATTGGTCCTTTCCCCTTGTCCCCATATTTCCCACTAGTCGTAACCCCTCCCGGCCTCCCTCAATATTCTCTCAAAAGCATTTGCTATGGACAATCGAAGGACCCTTTTTGTAAAATTCTTCCTTCGAGATCCACATGTTTTGAAATTCGTCTAGAGACGCCACCACAGATGCGCCCACCCATGGGGTGTTTTGAGGTTCCGCCATTGCCAACACATTGACTTCCAACGTGTTGGGAGCCAGAGCCGCCATTTCTTTTGTGAGTCGCTCCTTGAAACCAGGGAATTTGGTACAGCCACCCGACAAAACAATATTGGACAGCATCTCCTCGTGCATGTATTCGTCACACTTCATAATGGCTCCAAAGGTAGCATCGACCACACTCTCCTCTTCCAGATCCGCCAGCTCGGGTTGGAAGAGAGCTTCTGGTAAAAAGAATCGTTCGTTGCCAATAACGACAGTATCCCCATTTGATAGTGTATGTTTCTTTTCCAGGTTGTGAGAATCTTCGACCACCTTGATGCTTTCCTTGTTGAAATCCAGTGCCACATAACACAGCTTTTCCATAATACCCCGCACTTGTAGGTGGACGACTTCCGTGGTTAGCGATAATCCCTTTCCCGTCACATTACGCATTTCATGATCTTGCAAGGTATAACCATGATCCGAAATCATCTTTTCCAAATAGTCTGTCAGGACCTTTCCGCCCACATCCAACCTAACAATGGCGTTCACCAACACCACTCCTTCGTACACAGGAACAACATGGGTGACACCTTCTCCACATTCTAGGACACATCCAGTGGTACGTCCATGAGCATAGAGTGACAGAGCCGCCGTAGTGTTCATATAGAGTGCCGGTACCTTGAAGGTTTCAAACATCATTTCCGTAATGCGTTCCCGATTGGCCTTGGGGTTCATGGGAACCTCCGTCAAGAACACGGGATAAAATTCGGGAGTCGTCTTGAGTTCTCGATAAAAAGTATGGTGCCATAATGTTTCGATGTCATCCCAATTGGTAACAATCCCCCGTTCAATGGGCTGCTTGACATCCAAAACGCCCCACTTTCCTTCCGCAGGTTGCCCAACGACCTTCTTGGCATTTGGACCCCAGTTCGTCGTTGGATGTGCCACGAGTGACGCAAATGTCGTCCGGGGTGCCTCGTCGTCGGAAAAACCAGCTGAGTGAGAGAGAGAAAGAGAGAGAGAGACTATATTAGCGAGTAAAGATGATGAAGATGATGATGATTCAAAGCATTATAATTGCTATTGGACACAGCTGAAACATTCAGGTCCTTCAACAAAAGGCCGAGAAAACCACATACCTTTTGTCCTTCCTGATCCAGTGTCAATCACAATGGCGACATTTTTTTCACCACGCCCAGCCATTCTTTTGGCTGACACTTAAAATATATTATGCTCTATGTTATTTCCTGCTGTCATGCCCCGCATCCGGAATTTGGCTTCGCACACATGTAAACCAGTGGAATAACGACGGACTCTCCATTATTTTTACTGTCAAAATTTCTGAATGAATCGACTCTCATGACTACTACTTGAAGTCGGCTCAGTCATTTTTGAAAATTTCCGCACGCGTGATCGATGATGATGATGAGACGCATCGCATTTCAGCTTTTTGCAGTCAGCCTCTATATAGTATATATATATCGCGTACCTACTCCAATAGACATCATCTCTCGTCGTTGTCATCATCAAACGGAAGGTTCCTATTCCGATATGAAGCATTGAGGGCTAAGATCGATGAAATATGGAGCTTGGACTTCGAGAATCAAGCTACTTTCTCTACTTGTGCTGATATTGCTACTACTTCTTCATCAGCTCAGAGGTAGTTTTTTATTGCAGCAAACTACTATCAACACCACATGGATCCTACAGGAAGATGCAATCAATGCTCCGACCTTCTCTGATTCTGATGAAAGATTGACATTGGTCCACTGTGTAGGAGAAAACTTTCTTCCGGGATCATCTTGGCACTCCAAGTCCTGTCATTACCGCAATCTTTGCTATCATGACCAGCAGCAATGGACCCTTCGTCCATCCTCCACCTTGCAACTCGAACTTGAGGAAGAGAACAACTTCTTCTTCTTCTCATCCACAAAATTGCAGCAAAATGTTTCGACCATTGGACTACGTCCAAGTTGGGTTCGGAACAAACAATATCGATGGAGTCCAAACCTCGATGTGACGAATAATGCTGACCGCGACACTATCAGGAAAACGGTTCGAAAACATGTGGATCGTACCGTGATCATCGTGTCGGTTCCACCATTTGGATCCATGATAACATTTTTGGTCGATCTTCTCTTTCCAATCTTCAACTTGATTGAACTGTTTCATTTGCAAAGCAGCACATTTGATAAACCAATCCTGGTTAACCTTTTGAATATTCAAGACTTGAATGATGATGATATTGCTTGGATGGAAAAGGGTTTGAGTTGGATGGGATATGAACTCATGTATCGCAATATTTCTTCTTTGACGACGAATCTTTCTAGTAGTAGTTCTCAAATCCCGTACTGCTTTTCCCACGCCGCCGCGGGGATTGGAATGTTGACAGTCACGGGGCTCTCCCAACGGGGGGCCCTTGCCACCGACTATCAGCCAGCTTGGTCAAGAAATCATGCTGGTCGAGGAGTCCTCCTTCACCAGTTTCGAAACCATGTACTCCGCCATACATTGACAAAGAAGAAGAAGGAGAAGGAGAACTTGGAAGACAGTAGCAGTCGTAAGAAGATGATTCAGCTGGCCTTTACAGCGACGACTCGAGATAATTGGAAGGATCTTTCCAAATGCCTAGACGATACAGTTGCCACCACACAGAACAGTTATTCCATACGGCACATCGATTGGACATCTCATGGCAGAATGAATAATACCGTTGATCTAATGGAAACCGCCGCCAGTTCGTATGCATGGATCGCCGATGCCAACAATGAGAACTGTACTTGGCCGGCACTCTTTCTTCCCAAAGGGGCACATTTGATTTTGTTGTACGATTCCAATGTTCTCGTCAAGAACAAGAAGAAGCGCAACAAGAATAGTAATGGTGGCAATGGGAGACCAATCAAATTAGACTTTGGACTTTGGAATCAACTATCCCACATTCATGTCCATTGGCTCTCACTATCCCATCCGCCCGTGACACTTGCCAACATGATGGCAGGTATCCTTTTGAACAATAATATTTCGGGAAACGACACGATCAAAAGTGATACCCAAGATGGGACACGACAAATACACAGTGATTCTTCAACAAAAGTCAGATTCGATGGAGGAATGCCTCTCAGTTTAAAGACTAGACACATGCCCGAAGGATCTTCCAAGGTGCATTGCATCGGTGAAAACTGGATGTGGAATGCAGCACACTACCGGTCGTGTCATGTGCAACATTTGTGTTTCGACACAGTTTCCAAGACCTTTGTCTTGCCCGCGACTGCAACGCATAACAATAATGGTCGTCTTTTGCCAATGGATGCCGTATCCACCTGGGTCGACCCACAAACGACAAAGGTAATGATGGGTCATTCCATTCGGCATTCGACGTCAGAAGATGCTTGGTTTCCTCTCCTGCAATCATCGTCAAGTCCAAACAAGGATTATTCGTACTATGCATTGGATCCCAACGTGATTTGGTTGCCTTTTTTCTCCGAGCAGCCCAACATTAGCAATCCTGGCCACTTGCTGTGGGACTTTTGGCTTCCAATGTTCACTCTAATGGAACTATTCTTACCAAAAGATGGAGGAAGGCCAAAGTTGCTATTGACCAACTTGGATTCATCCTGCACCAAAGGGGCAATTGATGCAAGCTGCTACAAAATGGTATCCAAGTTTCTGCCGCTATTGGGGGTATCCAACGATTCACTGGTGAGCGCAATGGTGGAATCCCAACTATGGGATCCGACCACTGATGTTCCGGAGCACCCAACACCACTAGTTTGCGCGGAGAACGGGTTGATGGGAATTGGAATGCTGACGGACCACGGCAGCAAGAAGCATGGTCAGCTTTTGGAGGACTACCAATCTGTTCAGAATATTGGCAGAGGCCCCATGTTTTGGAGGTTTCGAAACTTTATGTTGAAGAATCTCAAACAAGAAGAATCGAGCGGACGCCCAGCAGCACCTTGGAAAATTACCTTTTCTATCAATTCCAGTCAGAATCCAAGTCGGCGAAGAGCCATGGAGCGACAAATTGAAATCGCCCAAGAGTTATTTCCTCCAGATGGAAACGAGCTCGGTATTGTTGTCGAGTCTGTTCAACTGGGCCAATTGGCGCTGGAAGCTCAAACGAAACTGATGGACGAAACGGCAGTCTTTGTCAGCGTCATGGGTGGTTCCGCATCTACAGCCATGTTTCTGCGACGAGATACGAGTTTGATATTGTACTACAACGATATCGACGACTTTGCCAAAGGAAATCCGAACAAGGGTGGAAATAGTATTCCCAACCGAATGGATTGGGATTTTTGGAACAATGCCTCCTATTTACGAGTTCATTGGCTCCCAATCCGCACAATGGATGCTGAAAATGATTTGAAATCCTTTGCTAGGTTACTGCAAGTTGAGGTCAATACGGCTATGCTCTTGGCCCAAGAACAAAGTACGGCATAGTCAATTTCGTTGCTAAGCATGTAAACTACTGTAGTATTCGTTATATATCGTATAAAATGAATAGATAAAGAGCATGGAACCATGGAATGCAGTGCATGCACTGTAAAAAGTCAAAAATGAAGCACATCGGCCGTCGCCTTTTTTTATATGGATAGGGCGTAAATTTCTTGAGCGAACATGTCATCGTCCATTGCATACAATGACTTCTCGTTGTTAGGTGGTGTTGGCGGCTCTGTGGAGGCATTCGAGCCATCCGAATCAATCGATTTACCATTGTTCTGACCTCGGAACAAACCTCGAAATTCAGAAGCACGCCTTCGTACACCCTGAAGCGGCTGACGCTGTGGCTTGTCGTTGAGGAGACTGCTGTTGTCCAGATGCTCTTGCACATCAGCGTGGCTTCCCTGCCGCATTTGCCGAGATCGTCTGATACGACCCACAAGGCCAAGACGACCATTGTCTTCAATATCGTCCAGAGATAGCTTCTCAACTTTCGAGCGATGGAAGCGACTCTTTGGCTCTTGTTGTTTTTCTTGTTGAACAGATTTGGGCAACTCATCGTTTCCTTCGTCCATGTTTCGAGATCTTCGCAAGCGGCGAATAACGCCGCGGCGCTCGGAAGCATCCAACTCGTCTCCTTCTTCGTTGATTTCAGCAGCCATCAAGTCCTTCCATACCTTGGAATCCCTGATATTCCTTGGAGTTTGTCTCACTCTCTTTCCAAGGTTTCGCAAGCCACCAGAAAGTCGTTGAATTCGTCTTCTATTCCGTTGTCTAAAGTTCTTTCGCTGCGAGTTTGGAGTAGGATCCATTCCCAATTGGAGCCGTAAGGAAGTAATCACTTCTTCTTGATCCACGGCATCCTTCTCGAGCATATCCATCATGACTTGATTTGCACTTTCAGTCTCCTTCAATTCTGCTTCAAAATCATCCGATCGTTTCTTGCTGATTGCTTTCTGAGCTTCGATCTCAGTCGAAAGGAATACAATAAGGCGCTTATTGCTTCGTTGTGAAAACTTGATCTGCCTTTGATTGACTTCTTGTTGGTGAAGTGCACAGCATAGTTGTGATTGTATCTTTCGAACAAAAGGAGTAAATTGTGGCTCTTGTTCCTCCATTTGCTGGCTAACATCTTGGAACCCTCCGTCCTTCTTCTCTTCACTTTGATCACTAGCATCAATATTGCGTGACGAAGGCTCCATAATTTGGTGGTAGATGGAATGATCCGCACGATTTTCGTGTTTTGCATGAAGATTCTGCGAAATAGGTTCGTAGTCCGATCGCAAACTCTGTAGCTCCCTTCGATATTCTAGGCGCAGTTGGTTGCCTCTCTCTTTCAGTTCCTCCAGTTCCATTCTTAGAGTCTCCAAGGACTCGCATTCGTAATCATCGTCAGAAGATAGCATCTTGTTGGTTTGTATGAATGAATCCGTACAGTACCGGTACTGTGTTGAGGAGGAGACAGTTTCAGTTGGGCACCGACCGACCGGTACGATGTTTTTTCCCTCATGAATTTCTTGCCAGTTCAGTTTTACAATCACGACCAATAAGATCCAGATGACCGTTTGGATGGAAAAATTCGTCTAGACTTATGGTTTGGAGTTTCATGGGAGCGTTATACTCGTGTCAATACGGTATTCAAATGTCTTTTTTTGAAATTTTCGTGCACCGGACGGCTTTGCGCGGCTCTCGATCATTGAATTTATCTTCGGAGACGGAGATTGATTATTTCAAAACGTCCAAATCGTGAAACTTTCGCTGCGAACCATGAGGTGTCTCGATTTTATCAGAAGCTTTACTGTTTGTGTCCCCGCATGAAACTGCATGGAGCTTCACGTTAAGGTCTGTCCTTTTCACCTTCAGGTTTTTAAATGGGGGACATAAAGTGAATGTCAGGGAAATTGGAGAGTTTGGGGAAATGTTGCAAACTTGCAAACGAGGTCTGAAGAATGAAAATCTTCCACGTTACACATTTTCTTCCAAGTTTCACAGTAGTGTACCGGTAAGAATAATGGAAGGACACGACACACAGTTCCCAAGGAAAGGAGATGAAGAGAATAAACTTTGAGATCATCATCCTTTTCCAAGCAGCATTATGCTTCGTCATTGCATCTTCCGTTGGCGAGGTACAGCATCCAGCCCACGACGAGAAATCAACTTCGAACCATCATCATGATCATGACGACACCAAACATGGAATCGCTGAACACGACCCTCAGTCTTCCACCAATGATGACCATGAGCTCCCTCCCTACTTGGGTGGTTACGAACACTACCGATCGTTCATTGATCAACTTTCTCAATACAACGTGGACGAGTACATTGATCTTCCAATGATTGCTGTCATGGGGGATACGAGCAGTGGCAAATCGAGCCTACTGTCCATGATTTCTCAGGTGGAACTCCCGTCTAAAGCCACTCTCACGACACGGTGTCCAATCATGTTACAAATGCGAAAGTCACATCGCAATTCCTACCGTCACGATAGCAGTGGTACTACTAGTGACGACGATGATGATGATGATAATTATCAAGCTACGGTCAAGGTCATTTGGAAGGACCGACCAACCAACAATGGTCGATTTTGGAGATCAGAAGAAGATGGCTTTGCACCGCGGACAGTCAATCGATCTAATTGGGGTGACTTGACTCAACTGATTGCCGATGCACAAACATTCATATTGGCGAAACAAGAAAAGGATGTCGCGCGAGATGTGATTCAGGTCGAAATGAAATGCCCGCATTGTGAGGATCTGACCTTGATTGATTTGCCCGGAATGGTCCGATCTCATGGCAAAGACGAAAGTGACACTTTGGGAGAGGAAATTCAAGCACTATTGAATGACTACCTTCACAATTCGCGCTGCGTCATTTTGGCCGTCCTGCCTGCCAATGTCGACTTTCACAATTCTCAAATCTTGGCCGAAGCACAAAAGGTCGACCACGAAACCAAACGAACCATTCCAGTTTTGACCAAACCAGACCTGATCGACTACGGAGCAGAAGGAAATGTAAAGGAATTGTTGCTGGGCGAAAAGACGCAAAAGTTTGAAATGGGATTTCACATGGTCAAGGGACGTGGCCAAGATGCACTGAACCGAAATGTCACCATCACGGAAGCTCTGCATCAAGAAGAGACATTCTTTCGTCTGACAGAACCTTGGAGTAAGGTTGACGATAATACCTTGTTTGGGACCCAAAACTTGCGCACCAAGCTGGGAGAATTGCAGATGCGCCTGATTCGATCTTCCTTTGAATCCATCATTGCTGAAATCAAGGCCGAACGAGAAGCTGCATTGCAAGCACGGGCACGACTGGGGGTAGTGCCAACGGATCTGGGACAAAAGATTGTCTTGTTTCGGACCATTAAGGACGACTATTATCACAACATTGGTCCCTTGATGCTGGGTGGAGGTGGTGGAAACAATAAGAGGAATAGTGGCAGCACAGATCTTTCAACGCAACGAAAGCCATCTGCTGATTTCTTGCTTGCGTCCAAAGATTTCATGGTCGAGCTGGATGGAAGCCGACTATCCACGATTGCAGACATTAGTATTGGGACGACAGTCGTTGCTTTGGTGAATGGGCAAGAAATCAAGGATCGGGTCTGTAATATCCGGGGAGATCAAGTATTTCTGGAACGAATGATATCTTCTTCCCGCAACACGTACATACCCATGCTGGACCCAACTTCCAGTCTCAGTGGTAGCTTTCGAGGAACCTGTGATGATGAAAACACCCTGCTGAGGTACAAATCCATTCACAAGAACTTGGTCCGTCGGGATTCTACTTGGATTCAAAAGATTATTGAAGACCGCCGTCCATACAAGCTTCCCGTCTTTGCCAGCACTGATGCCTTTGAAGAAATTGTGTTTCGACTTTTGGAAGAAGATTGGCGTCCCCCAACTATGGATCTGCTGGAAAAGACCTCGAAACTCATGAAGAAGACGGCGAACGAGTACGTGGCTAGCATCACTGCGATTGAATCGTTATCCGAGTTCCGCGGGTACTTGCAATTGATATCTATCGAAACAGTGGATAAGCTGACCGAAGAGGCCAAGGTCAAGATTGACGACTTTATCAAGCGAGAGCAAACTCCCTACACTCAAGACGAGGATTTGATCCGGAATCTGAACAAACTTCGAACCAAGAGGCTGAAGGACGAAATTGTGACCATGATGGATGTCGATATGGTAATGTCTTTATGGGAAGATAGCGATTCCTCCGAACGGATCGCTAGGAGGCTTCATGAAATGGTAACAGATGTCTTTGATCGCAACAATGCACGAGAATTGGACGATCATATGGCCGAAGAGATGCAACATATTCTCAATGCCTATGGAAAGATTGCCCGAAAGCGATTAATTGACGGAATTCCCATGATTTGCGTCGAGATCATGCAAGAATTTCCCCAGCGAATCAACCAAGCACTTTCACAAGTGTCGGACGATGTCATTGATGCCATTATTGTTCCTCAGCCCGAAAAGATTCGGGCCATGGTCGAGTACGATCGGAAAATTGATGCCTTCAGCAATGGAATTGCCGCTATTCGAACAATGTATTAGCTTTGAGCTACAATAAAGTTTTGATTACCTATTGCATTCCTACGAGGAGGGTAATACATACCTTGTACACAGGCACCAAATTCATTTTCGAATGAAATATATTCTCCTTTCTTTAGTCGGACTAGTCACTTTTTCGAATTTCCAAACTTGCTCAACATCAACACACCGCACCATATTCGAGTTGAATTTGTTGCTTATCCCGTCATTGCCAACAAAGGTTTCGAGAAAATGGACCGCACCTCCAAGTCCCAATTCAAAGCAGTTCTATCTGCTCGCGCCAACGATGGACGTCCTTCAGGTAAGTCGCCAAAATGTTTGGATCCATTTGAGAATTGCGGTGGGAGGATTCTTTCTTCGATTTTCATTCCGAGCTTCCAATCGATCTTTCACTGTTGGCGTCCAAAGACTTCCTTTTGGCATGTATGCTGTCTAACTTCTCTGTTGGTACTGTGTTGATCAGACTTGGAATTCCTACTTCGCTCCCACTGTCAAAAGATCAAGGTGGTGAAAAAACTCTCGGGAGCCCATTTGATGATCAAACAGGACAAGACAACTCTCGCTGTTCGAGCTTACTTTTCGCACGACATGCAAGAATTGAACGAGAAGGAGAATGAAGAAAAGGTATATGGTAAAGACGAAGACGACCATGACTTTGATGACCTATCTTCCTTTTTGAAAGGCTTCAAAGTGTCAATTATTTTCTTTATTTTGCCAATGGAAGAACAGCGAAAGCAACTCGACGATCTACTGTCGTTCTTTCAACGAGCCCAAAAGCTGGTACAGCAACTCACACGAAACGAGGTGGGGAAAGTTGCTCGGGTGTGCCTACTCTCGAACCCTGCCAAAGCCGTGGACCTGCTTCATTCCTTTGCCAAAGTGCTGCATCCTTCGACCGAAGAACGGAAACAAAAGTATTTTGCTCAAAAGCACAAGCAGCTCTTTCTTCCGCAGCCAACACTCATCCCACCGACCAGTCATGCCGATGGAGCCAAACACGTTCGTGAGACTATTGCGGCTTGGGCCGATCGCTTTGAATTTCCTCCCACCGAAGCGGAGGTCTTGTGCAACATGACGAAGAATTTGCAAACGATTGCTTCGGCAGACAGCGGAGTCTTGCAAGGGATTCCATTGGATCCACGTACCAAACAATGCATGATGCAATTCTTTGGGACGGGACCTTTGGAGCAGGAGGAGGAGCCAATGCCGTCGCAGCAAATTCATCTTGGCGTCGAAGATCCACCAACGAGTCCGCTTACGATTCCCGACATGATGCGGCAACATCAAATGCATCAAATGCAGCAACTCCAGCACCAGCACCAGCACCAGCAAGGACAAGCATTTGCCAATCTTCAATCACAACATCCGTCGCAACCGTCGCAGCGACCGTATTCGACCCAGCCAATGCAAAATGCGCCCATGATGCGGCCACAGTCTCAAATACATGGTCAAATACATGGTGGACCTCTAGCAAGATTCGGTTTCAATCCAAATCCAACTCCTCCAACTCGCACGGTAGCTCCAACGCATTCGCTTGCACAATTTCCCAGTCAAGGGATATCTTCCTCCGTGCACTCTCATTCTCAACAACAGCAACAACAACAGCAGCAGCCCGCCAGTCATGGCCGCTTTGGACCGCCGACAAGAACTGTTTATCAAGAAACCAGCATCCTTACGGCAGCAGCGTCTATTCCAACTCCTCACCAGAATGCCCACCACTTCCATCCACAAGTGGTGTCACATGAAATGCAATATCCCATGTCGAATCCTCCAGGTTCTACTGTGACGCAACACCACAACCATCACCATCAGGAGCAGCAGTCACGAGGGCCATCCTACAGTATGGAGCCAACTCCGCATCATGGCTTCCAACAATCCGTTCCTCCTCATCAAGGTCGTCAATCATCGACATTGTCCTATCATCACCCATCGCAGCAATCTGTGGCCAGTCATCAGCAGCACCATCATGCAATGCACCACCCGAGTCACATGACCCCTTCAGTCAACCCACAAATGATGATGTCGCCATCCTACTACTACTCCCACCACCAACAGCAGCAGCAGCAGCAACCTGTCACGACCAGCACTCCCAGGATGATGGCACGCCGAACAATGCCTTCCTCTCATCGCAATCACCCACAACCAGCCTTTCCTCCACGTCGTCAAAGACGTTTTGTTCCTTGAGTTTGCATATATATATATATATATGAATAGCCAGTTGGTTGTTGCCGGGCCATTGGATCATCCATATCGAGGAGGCCATTGGATCAGATTGCTATTTGTCGACTGCGCCATCTATTTCCTGTAAGCTGGACTGCATTCCATGATGTAATACTGGATAGTAGCATTTTGGATTTTGTTGCCCCTCACACCATCACACTATATGAATATAGTCCCGTTGTGAAAAGAGAAAAAAACCGAAGGCTAGACAAATTTGCGTGATGCATGGAGCCCCTTTTTTGCCTTCCCATTTAGTCCTCTTGAGACGTTACACAATTCGGCACATGATTTGATGTAAAAGTTCTTTTGCTTGCATCGTGTCTTGTCTCAAATTCTCATTGAGCCCCTTTCGCATTCTGCCCAACGTTACTTGTCACAGGGCTTTGATGTGGAAGTTCTTTTTCCTCGTCATCGCATCACCGAAACGGTGTCCAAAATCGTGCGTCATTGAAATACTCAACGCCAGCTGGATTTTGTCCTTGTGTGACAGACACCCTGCAAGATGGAAACCTTGAACATCGTGCGTAAAAGGTCAACCTCCTCGATGCCAGCTTTTTTGGACCGATGGATCTTGTTTCAAGGTGATGTCAGATTTTTTACTTAAGGATACGCCAGGTTCGTTAAGTACAAGTCGTACGCATTTTGAAGTCAGTGCCAGCTTTTTCCAACAGATTGACCGGCAATTTTATCCTTTGCGATGATGTCAGATTTCGTGCTAGCTTTGTTAAGTAAAAATCGTGCGTCATCTCCCATCGGCGCCAGCTTTTTTCAACAACTTGACCAGAAATTTCATCCTCTGAAATGAATTGAGTCCTTCTACTTAACGACATTTCAGCCTTGTTAAATAGAACTGATGAGGCCACTAAGTAAATTGTCCGATATTATTTGACGTGGTGCACAAAAATGGTCCGCATTTTTGACGTGGTGCAAATGGAAAGTCGGGAAGTTTTTTTGACGCCGGCTGGAGAGGTGGAACCATCAATGAATGAAATTCTCCCCAGTCACCTTTGCCGTATATCTTGTGGCAAGAGGTGTAGATGTCTCCTGAGCTTCAAAAGGGAGACTTTAACATCTTGTCATAAAAACACCAAGACACTTTCAAATCCACACACATATACATATCATGTCCAAAATAAAACAAATGCTGTCCTTTGACTCGGAAGAATGGGACTACAAAGAGCTCACATCTTTGTTGGAAGACTTGGATTTGTTTGAAGAGCCATCACTGAGGTTCTCTCAAGCTCTTTTAGCTTCCTCTGACTTGTTGGCCTTTCTCTTGAAGCGTGGTGGTTGCAATCCAACCAAAATTGCAATTTCCTGCCTACTGTTGAGCCAGGTTTCCAACCTTGTCCTTCCTGACTGTGCTTGGTTGCGATACACCTGGTTCGCTTTGATCATTTTGTCAACGCTGTTCCTGAGCATGACAGTGCTCTTCATGGCACACATTTTTGTCTCCAAGCGTCAACCTGCGTTCAAATCAGCACACAATGAACTATGGGATCGCATACAAGATGGTCGGGCCCTCCGAAACGAAGGATACGATGTCTTCCTTCCCTTGGTTGCTACTAGTACTACTACGACTAGTAATTTCGTGGACCAAGATGAAAAGGAAGAAAAGGAACCCGAGATTGAAGTTGAAACCAATACAAGCAGCAGCAAACATGGTATCATTCTGTTTCCTGGTGCATTGATCAATCATACTGCCTATGCATCCTTGGCGGCCAAATTGAGCGACCATGGAATCCTGGTGGTGATCATGTCCTATGGTGCAAGCCGATTGACCATGGATGTTGCGGAATGTCAACAGAGGGCACAGTTGGCAATTTCCGAAGTTACCTACGAATTGAAGGCGTTGGGCCTTGATGACTTGGCAGTAAAGGAATGGGTCCTGGCCGGTCACTCGCTGGGTGGCACCTTGGCGCTCAATGCGGCTGCCCAAATGGACAATATTGAAAAGGTCATTCTTTTTGGAGTTGGACGAGATGCCATGGGAGTACCATCTTCTTTCGCGTCATCGGATAAACAAGTATTGGTTATCAATGGATCCAATGATCCATTTGTGACGGATTGTACCGATGCCCAAAAGACTGATTTTCGAGACTGTCTACCACCCACAGCAGCTGGTTCTGAAAAGAAGACAAAGACAACCAAAGGAAGGACTACCTATGTGACAGTTGAAGGCGGCAACCATGCCGGCTTTGCACATTATGGTCCACAAACATACCCAAAACAAGATGGCGAACGAACGCTATCGATTGACGAGCAACAGGAAGCATTTGTACAAAAGACCCTGGAGCTCTTGAATCTTGTAAATTTTTGAACATATCACCATCATCATCATCATTGAACATAGAATAACAATACTGTATAAAACTGTAAATATAACAACAACAACAGCAGCAAGAGAATACCATAGTGTATTGATATAATTTACATCTGTATCGTTGTTGGAAGAGAGCATTGGATGAATACTGTAGTTTATGGGGTGCAGGATATCACATACAATCCAAAAGATTTTAGAGTACCGGTAGTCATGCGAGTCGGATTTTCAGTTTTCAGAATTTCTCATGTTGATTTACTTTTACTTTTACAAAATGCAACAACGCTCGTCCAAACAGATAAAACAAAAGTCTTCAGGAAGGAACCTTTTTGTCGCACAATCCAGCAACCAAGCCAAAAATCCGATACCTTTACACAAGTATCCCAACCAGACCAGCGTTGAACAATCTACACAATAGTTAGAAGAATGGATCCATCTGATGTTGCCATAATACGAGCCTTGCCAGGAAATGACAGATGTGTCGACTGTGGAGCTATGAATCCACAGTGGGGCAGCGTGCGTTTTGGGGTATTGTTCTGCCTTAGCTGCAGTGGCAAACACCGGTACGTTCGTTTCTTTAAAAAAAAATGCAAGCAATGGATGGATGCATTTATGGGAATCAATCAAACACAGCGTCAGGGTTCTCATGTTAATATCTTTCTTTCGTTCTATTCTCTTCCATGGATCAATCTTATCGAACTCAATTCAATTCAATTCATCTACAATCAATGTACCAACAACTTATGCACAACTCACTCCATATAATAATACTGTAGTGGTTTGGGAGTGCAAGTTGATTTTGTCCGATCCGTCAATCTCGACGAATGGACCCAAGATCAACTTCAAGTGATGAAGGTGGGGGGCAATGACAAGTGCAAGTCCTACTTTGAAGAACACAACTTGCCATCGGATTCCACATTGAAGGAACGTTATACCTCGGATATCGCCCAGCATTACAAAAAAGTGGTGGCGGCTGCTTCCAAGGGAGAAGCTCCACCTGCAGTACCACCGGCAAGAAGAACGGACAACGGGTCAACGACAGATGGCGAATCATCCATGTCTCTGGAAAAGATCACGCGACTGGATGAGCCAATGACATACTCTCAAGCGTATGCTCCGTACTTGGGTTTTCTGATTGCCTTTTTGACCCAAAGCCTCGTTGTACCTACCATTGGTATTCCATACGTGGCATTGGGCATTGCAACATACTTTGTCGCGCCGGATCATGAGTTGCTCCGACATGTTTGGTGGGCCTCGTTGGTGCTGCCACCCGTTGCCATCTTGGGACTGTATGCCTCTGCACTCCGTATCTTTGTCCAGAATCGTGAGCCTGCCTTCAAGTCGGCCAACAATCTCTTGTGGGAACGGATTCAAACTGGCCGGGCCAAACGATTGGATGGATACGATATTTATCTACCATTCAACAAGACTGAATCATCCAATTCCTCCAAACAAGGTCTCATTTTCGTTCCTGGTGGTTTGGTCAGTCATACTGCGTACGCTCCAGTAGCTGCCAAACTAAGCGATGCCGGAATTTTGGTCGTTGTCATGTCGTTGGAACCAACACGGCTCCCCATGGATGTCTCGTCCTGTCACAAGCGAGCCCTGTTGGTCATGTACGAAGTCCTCACTTTGGGACTGGACATTTCGGTCGACGAATGGAATTTGGGGGGTCACTCGGCTGGAGCCAGCATGGCCTTGGTGTTGGCGGCCAAAATGACGCCCAGCAAACTAGTTCTGTGTGGGATTGCCCGAGATGATTTGGGCGTATCGCCCAAATTCAAGACAGCGGCAACACAAGTACTGGTAATGAACGGTTCCGAGGATCCCTTTTTACAAGAAAAGACCAAGGAGCAATGGCAAGCATTTCAAAATTTGCTGCCTCCAGAAACGGACCAAGTGAAAACAGAAAAAATGGGTGGGACGACAGAATATGTCACGATTGAAGGAGGCAATCATTCTGGCTTTGCTCATTATGGTCCTCAAACATATCCTAAAAAAGATGGTATTCGCAAGATCACCATGGAAGAACAACAAGATGCCTTTCTGAAAACGACAATCGAGTTCTTGTTAGCGACACCACACGACGGCAAAAAGAAGGACTAGACTTTTTTCATCACTGACGGTAGACCATAAAACATATTACTAACTCTGCAACTTGATCATTCCTTAGGAGAAGTAGATATTATTTGAAGATAGTTGTAGGCGACGAAATAAAAATATCGTGGCAAGTTGATAGCTGGTTTGTTCATACTCTAATATATATCCGATGAACCAGTCCGAGGGTGTGCTCTCCTCTCTGTTCTGGAAAGAGGGGGATTGTTCGTTGTCACTTCGTTCATTTGGCTCCACAGAAGGCAGATGACTGCAATCTTATTGAATAAGATGATAATGGTTCATTCATGTGCGTCAGGCCTCATTATAGTTTCGCCCCTTCAGTTTCGGTTTTCGTTTGGTTCTCAGCAGGAATGCACACATCCATAATTATCGTCGTTCATGGATTCTTCATACAACATGCGGAATGTGAATAGATGACGGTGATGGCAACGAGTCGTCTATCATGTCCAAGCTCCCCGAGGAATCACTCTCCACCCGAATGAGTCGACCTCGACGTCGCGCATGATGATGACGTTGATTTCCATGCTGTTCAGCCTCGATTTCAGCTTCGATATCTTCAATACTCGCATTGCGATGACGCCATCTAGACTGTCCAGATTGGTGGCGGTGATTATGACGACGTCGTCGACGGCCCCCCTCTTCCTCTTCCGGAGGTCGAATGGGAACTTGAATGAACACCCATGTCATCAACCACAATATCAACTGACATCCAAAGCACCAAGATCCCATAGATAATGAATGCTTCTAACAGACCACAGCATACACAGCGGCAAAGGGACTGAACTGTCAAATAGACGCCTCCTGCGTACTGTATTATGGTTTGCTTTGCGGGATGAGGTACATGCCGTTAAAAAGGTGAACAGTTGAGGCGTTGATATTATCACTTTTTTTCAATGATGAGAACCCGGATATATACTACCGGTAGTGTGACAGAACCAATACATAGGTGCTACCGGTATTACCGGGAATGTGAAAGTCCTGTCGTACTATGACTGTTCAATGCTATTGTCCAGCCCACCAGTACTGCTGTATTCGTCTGATGATTTGCCAAAGGAAATCGCAGAAACTCGGATCCCTTTGATATTTGACAATCGTAATCGAACTGACTTGTTGTACTCCAGCGTCCACCAAACACCTCCAATGTAATCTTGAATAAGAGTCGTAGGTGCAATGATATTGAGCGACTCCAAGTCCATGGCTCGAATCGCATGCTTGCCGTCCGCTGACTTTGCCACAAAGTATACGGACAAGGCAAATGGTGGTACATTGGACGCTGCCGTTTCAATGTGCAAAAACATCTCATTGATTTGTCCCCCGCGACTGTCATCGTATCCCACCATTCCCAATCTCCGCACTTTTGTCGTCCCTTCTTTGTCATAATCCACAACATAAGTTGGATCATCCAAGGAGGTTCCAATAAACTCGCGCTTCGGTTGCAACCAACCAGGATAACCATGCTGCCAGATGGATACCTTGCGGATATAACTTGGCAATCGAGTGACATCCGTTCCATTCTCATTATGGCCCACAAGTAGATAGCCGTCCGATCCATGATGGGAAAGGCCATTTCCACGAGAAACTATGTCAATGCCTAGGATTGTTGCCGGATACGCGGGATCTGGAAATGGGGTTTCGTTCTTGATAGTGTCCCCATTGGAAATGTCCTCAATGGGACGATAGTGAATTGTAAAATTGGTTGTGCCACCTGCCTCAATAGGCACAAAACGATGATCGGAAGGCAATGTAGTGGATAAGGATACATTGTTGTATCGTGACAATCTTTGCTCCATCTGCGCATCATGTAGTGTCATTGGTTCGACCATCACGTTGCCCCTATAGATAGCGCTTAGTGTGGCCCTTGGTTTGCCACTTGGTCCATGCAACTCGGGTCGGAAACCAAAGATTCCTGCCATGGGACTGGACACGGAAACATGAACGACGGTGACGTCACCTCGTACAATAAGCTTGTTTGGTGTCATCTCATTCTCTACCACCACCAAAGTAGCATTCACTTCAACTTTGCCATGCGGTGTCAGTAGGCTTGCCTTTACGGTTGGGTATTGTTTGGAGAAATAGGGTGCCACCAGAACTCGTTCGTACCCCGGTAAGATTGGTCGAATGCCTCCTATGGAATGGGAGAGCCACGCCGTGACACCCGAGGCCCAAGGATGACAATACGATGGCAAACCAGGTGCCGCATCGCCTTTTTTCATAAAGGCAAGCCATTCCGGAGAAGAATTCTCCCAAAAGCATCCCTTTCCAAGATCCAAAGGTGCTTTCCAACATAGTTTGATCGAGGCCAAGGCTTGTTCCATCAATTCCGCATTTCCATAGCTTTGCAAAATCCAATATTGATTGAATTGAGACACGGAACAAAGGTTGACGGGATCATTCAAAATGGTGGTCATCCAAAGGTTGGTTTCATTTCGAGTTGAAATGCCGGCGTTAATGGCATTGGCAGCAGCATGTACCCCAAACTGTTTGGGCCATTGAGGAATGGAACGTAATTTTTGTCTCATACTTTGATATGCCTCGTGATAAAACTGAGCCTCATCTTGCATCTTGGCAAACTCCAAGGTTTGTGCAAAGTCTCGGCACACTCGAACCACCAGCGCTGCAAACGCCAAATGGGCTTCCTGTGGACAATGATCACCATTGCTATGAAAACACCATCCATTCCCGAGTCGATCATCCCAACCAAACCATTGAATGTCCAAGGTGGGTGACAAAAAGTCTTGGATTCGAGGATTCAAGATTTTCATGACGTCCTTTGCGAATACAAGAGAAAAGATTTCCGTGTCACCACTTTCCATGTAATAATCCATGACGCTGAGTGACCAATACAATGGATAGGCCATGATCCCTTGATCCACGACACTGTGATTTCCCGAATCCGTCTGTTGGAGTACAGTCTTTACTAAAGAGTAGGGTGAAAAGGCCACCAAACTGGCGGCAATGGTGGGGTGTCCGTCACCTTGAATTGCCACACGATCCCCCCGTTCGATGAGAATGGAATTGAAATTGTTCTCTTCCATGTTGAGACGTACTCCATAAGCGCCTGTGTACCAGGCTCGCGTTAGCTTGGCATCAGAGGACGTAAAGGATCCCGTGTAATGGATGGGTTTGATCTTGGCCACTAGCGAAATGTCCTGAATGACAATGATTCCATCCTCACTATCATAGCTGTTGTTGTTGTTGTTGTCTAATAGAAACTGAAAGTACAGCCAGGTAAAGCGGACACCTTCGTATAATTCGTCATTTGATTCCAATCGATAGGTGTGATTACCATACTTGGTCAATGGTTTGGTCTTGCCAGGATATGCCAAGTTGAATTCGGACAAGGAGGCTGTCACCAAAAGATTTTCATTCGACGATAAATCTTGAAGGGCAATCAATTCCATCCAAGCCGCTCGTTCCACTCCCCAATCCATTTGAATGGTACAGTTCTGATGGACTCGAAAGGAAAACGATGATGATCCCGCGGTCCTCTCCATCATCATACTAGCAGCACCTTTGGGTGACACTTGAAACGACGCTGGTGCTCGCACTCGATAATATTGTAGTTTGGTGTCATCTATATTGTCGTTCCATGTATAGGATACCAGTGGATCGGGGCTCTCTGGAATATTATTATCATTATTATTATTATGAGGGAGGATGGTGTATCCATTCAATTCGTCATATGGTTCGGGTGCTTCATACACGTAATCATAATAGTCGAGTTTATAGTATGATGATTCATCAGCATATGCGCCTTGTTCAGTCAACAACAGCAAAACACATGATAATGAGCAAAGAAAACAAAGATGGCTGAAAGGTACAATGCTCTGGAGCATTATTGTATCACTTATTTGGAGGCATTGCGATGTTATTGAAGAAGAATAAATTCATAATGCTGTGATCGGAAAACGGACACTTATTTGTACGGAGTTCTTCGCGAACTAAAAGACGGACATTCCGATTCGCTGT